CCAGAGCCTGCCTGGCTACCCCTAGCGTGACATATAGCAGCATCACTATAAGCGGCATTCCGTGTTTCCAGAATTAATCCTTTGTCGATCATAATCTAGAAAACCCGAGACTGATAAAAGCAGGGAAACAATGTCGGAGAAGAAAGACAGGGGAAAAGAATGTAATCCTTTGCGGCATTGGAGGGTGTTTTCTGGAGTTTACCTTTGTGGAAAATTTGATGTTTCTCAGAGCTTGTTTTGATTAAATTCTCAGTTTTTCAGAATAATTTAGATATTAAATTTGCTTGCTGAGTTTCTCGATTTTCAGAAAGTCAAAAGAAACAGAAAAAATAACCAGACACAAGTGTATTAATTAACTTATAGTCTCAATGATTGCGGAAGGAGTTGCCTGTGCCTAGACGAGGTTTCTTGAGCTGAATATGGCGGTGTGACTCTAGATCCTCTACAACTCGCAGTACACCCCAGTTAATACCAACTCTCCCACGACAAAACTTGCAAACCAGGGTTACTTATCCTACCAAGTTTGGCGCAGTATGGCCGTCGGAGCTCTTGCGCCATAAAACCCGTAAACAACAACAACAACAGGGTTACTTATCCAAGTGTCGGTACATTAAGCTATCAGTCTCCTCGATTCGGTCACTGAAAAACTTTGTTTTACCCGCCTTTTTAAAGGCTCCCCGACATACTTGCTACTCGCAGCCGTAGGTGCCACGGGAACGTGCCGCGCTGCATGGCTGTGCGGGGTGAAGTTTGAAATCTAGAAAGTTCCGCCGCCTTCGCTCGTCCCACAAAATCTGCGGGCTAATGGCTTCCTTCATGATAGAAACTGTACCCCTCTTCACGTTACGAAGCCCAAATGGTTTGTTCGAAACTCTTGTTTGGAGCATGGCTAGCACAACGACATCAGAGAACAGAATGGAACATATTTCTTTCGTGCTGCTGAGCTATTGTTGGGGTTCCGCAGGCTTTTGTTTGTTGCCATCGAAATTCTTCTAATCAGTTGGAAACAAGTTCTACTGCCAAAACCCAACCCCTCCCCACCCCGACGTCACAAATACTGATGTCACATAGACAAGGGGAACACGACTACAACATAAACAGAATCACTTCTGGACACTAAGGCGTACATTGCCAAGATTGCAGATGTCAAGCAGAACTAAAAACATTGCCCCGTAATAAGTAAAAATAATAACCAACTAATTAGGGAAGTTATTGAAGCTGAAAAGATTTCGAGGTTAGAAGAAAACTGTCACTAAACCTTGTCCAGATTTATTACAAAAAAGAATTAGATTATCTTGCATCCAGATAAAACCAAAAATAACAAAAAAAAAATCTTATTGTTTAAAAAGACAGGCGCAGGCAGAGAAGAAATAATACAAGACTGAGTTGCAAGTCAGAGCTTCATGAATGTCTTTTCCTTTTGTGTGTGCTTGTGCTTGGTTGCGAATTTTTCGCGCTGTAGAGGAGTATGCAACACCAGCTTGTCCGAGCCTACATATTTTTAATACTGCCAGTAGAAACTTTCACTTTGAAAATATGATGAGGACCGAATTTAAAAATTCAATGTCGCCAAACAATTTTTTGCGGACGTAAGGTTTTGGTTACGAGGTCAGTCATAGCTACTGGTGTGTTCAGCCAATTTTGAGGCAAATTTGTGACCTTGAAAAAAAATTACAGGTATACTGTTACATTCTCCTTAGCCTCCTGAAGATGTAAATCACTGGATTGAGCCCCTACCATATTGTTTTGTCTCATAACTGATGCAGGTATCTTCTTTTTTTCTTCAACTCAGTTCGACGTAGGAGCTGCCAAGGAGTCCTGTCCCTTTCACGTGAGCAGTGGCCAGCACTGGAAGAAGCAATCTTTGGTCTGCTGTAATCCATTCTTTGGGCAAGTGAATAAATTTCTTTGAAGCAGAGACCTGGTGTTTGCACAGCAGCTTCACAGAACAAACAACACAAACACAAATGTTTCTGTGCCCAAAGCCTTCGTAGCTGCTTGAACTTATTGATCTGAGCTTGCACGTTGCAATGTTAAGGCAAGATGCAGATATAGTTAACGTCTCTCTAAAAAAATTGGGGGCACCTTATGCTTGGATGCCTAGCTTGATCAACTTGGAACGTCCAGCCGAATTGAAGCAAGGATCTAGCCGAACTGAAGCATGCAGCCGAATTGAAACTTGTAGCCGAACTGAAGATTTAGCCAAACTGAAGCGTCCAGCCGAATTGAAACTTCTAGCCGAATTGAGGATGTAGCCGAACTGGAACGTCCAGCCGAATTGAAACTTCTAGCCGAATTGAGGCAATAGCCGAATTGAGGCGTCAGCCGGATTGGGACGACACCGGCGAGCAGACGCAGTAGCGGCTTCTGCGTTGCGGAGGGCTTAGTGGAGGAGGAAACGCGGTCTACGAAAGCGGATCAGCGTTGGCTCGTTAGAAGTGCCGAGGCGATAGCAAACTGATTCACGTTCTTCGCGGAGTTTGAATCAAATACACAGACTTACAAACGCGCGCGCAGACACACACACGCACGCACACACGCATGCCGCTGATACATATTCCCAAAGCCTACAATGATTTCCTTTTTTTTTTACATTGTTCTGTTGTTTCTTGAAGCGGTTGGCTCAGTAGACGCGCAAGCGTAAGGACTTCCGCCTTTCTGCTCTAGCCTTTGCAACCTTTGCATTTTTTTTTTTCATTGCTATGCGAAGCACAGATGTTTCGTTCGATTTGGCCTGTATGCTTACTCCTCCTTCGTAAAGTAATTGTAATAATAATTGATAATAATATTAATAACAAAATCAACAACAATCTAGAGGTCGCGATCGTCGAATAGCTCCTAAAATACCTTTTTTTTTTATATTTATGAGTTGTACGGCGGCGAGATGATTTTTGCGCCACAAACAAGGCGCGCTGTATTTGCGAACGAACTAAAGAAATTCAGGCATTTTCAAGCAGTGCATAACATTTTATTCTGTTCGTTGTGGACTTCACTACATTTGAGAAGTTCGAGAAAAGTTCTGCTAGTGCTGATTATTCTTTGCTGATTACGCGATAAAATATCGATTAATTGATTGGTTGACTAATTAGTTGGTGATTGATTAAATATTGTTTTCATTTGTCTATTTTATTATTATTATCTTCTTTTTTTTTAAGGAGGGGAGTTAGGGGAGTTGCCGGTCGTGCGTGAACGCAAATTCAGCTGGCTCGTAATCTAAAATAATAATAATAATAATAATATTTTTAAAAAAAGAATATTAGATCAGTTTTGTTTGACTTCTGAAGAAAAAAAAACTCCCTCTCAAAAGGGTGTCGGGTATCGTTATCGGAGTCATCGGAACGATCTGTATGCCGCCGGTCTCACTGCCCGTCAGACAAACGATACGGTGTTCGGATAGCAGACATGAGGGCAGATATTATCTGCGGCGGACGCGCCTTCAAAGCATACATTTGCTTTGTGAATACGTATTCCAGCATGCGTGCAGACAGCGTTTTGTTTGACCGCGATGTCATGGGATCGTTTACAAGCAAGAACCACGACTCAAACAGTGTCTTTGTATATGAAGCAATGCGAGCGCGGCTATCTCAGAGACAACTTTCTGTTCCCATCTTGAGCGCCGATGAAAGGGGCGGTGCAACGATTTTCGGACTTTGGCCAATTACCTGCGGGAAGTAAATCAGTGCCACCTATAAAACGAAAAACAGAAAACTTTTTCCCCTTTTGCGCGTTCTAGTTTTTATTTAAAAAGAATGAAACAAATCGAAGGTCAAAGTGCCCCATTTCGACTGACGTCTCTGGGCACGCACGCTCCTTGGGGGAGCACCTGTTGTGTTCTCTGTTCAGAGACCCTGTCCAGCCGCCCCTTCTGCTATTGTCGTCTTTTGAAGGATTAGCATCGCCAAAAGTCGCGGCGAGCGATCGACACATAAGACGGTTCGCCACCTCTTTCCACTTGAGCAGAGCGAACGCTGGAGAGAAGGTCGCCTCCTCTCCAGCGTTGGCTCTGCCAAGGGGGAGAGAGGTGGGAGGAGCTTCTACTTTACTCTGTCACCCTGGCTGCAAATCGGCAAATATATATATATTTTTTTTCCATTACGCAGTGGATAAGCAGTTTTTCGGAGGAAGGTAGCGCGTTTTTTTATAGAGTGTTTAAAAAAACGCAGGCCAAATCGCTCCTGCAAAAACTACTTATCGCAACGATAAAAGGCTTGTGGCGTTTTGGTCCTGGGCCAAGGGCCCATTTAAGAAAATTATTAAAGTCCCGGATAATTAACTTGCTAATTATTTTTGCGTAATTAACTTTTTTAATATTGTGTTTAAGGGCATAGTTTGAATTAGAAAATTGCTCAGCATCGTCGAAAACCACTAAATCAACAAATTGCAGAACGATAGAAGGCACGCGAAGCGTTTTACGGCTTTCTGAAAAACCGCACAAATTCCCCGCGTGTTTAAGTTTCGGTTTGTTATCGGAGCGCATCTCTGCCCCGACGGCACCGCGCCCCGTGAAGAGATGGTGCAACCAACCTTTGCTGCGCTGTCATCGCGCGACGCAGCAGAGTCTGGTTGCACTCTCTCTTCACGCGGCGCGGTGCTGCCGGGGCCGAGATGCGCTCCGATAACAAACCGAAACTTACAAACCCGTCGAATTTGTGTGGTTTTCAGAAAGCCGTAAAATACTTCGCGTGCCTTCTATCGTTCTGCAATTTGTTGGTTTAGTGGTTTTCGATGATGCTGAACAATTTTTTATTTTAAACCATGCCCTTAAACACAATATTGAAAAAGTTAATTAGGCAAAAATAATTAACAAGTTAATTATCCCGGACTTTAATCATTTTCTTAAATGGGCCACTGGCCTAGGACCACAACGCCACAAGCCTTTTTTCGTTGCGATGAGTAGTTTTCGCAGGAGTGATTTGGCCTGCGTTCTCTGAAACACACTGTATATATAAAAAAAATACAAACTGCCGAAGCTGCTCGTGCGCCTCCTTCTCTCTTCGGAAATGCCAAGAGAAGTTGTCCCCGAGTACTACACAGAAGCCCGCGCATTCGACCCCCCGTTCTTGCATGCAGGCGAGCATCCAGTATGCCCTGGTGTCCGAGGTCCTCAAGTGGTTCGTCTTGGCCTCCGTCCTGGCTCTCGGATACGCCGAGGGTCGGCCCAGGAAGGGCCGCTCCTTCACCAAGACTCCTTGCTGGACGCTCCTCGACATCGGGAACGTGGTACCTTCGCTTCACTCACGGCTTTCTCCGCGGCAATCGCACACGTCACAGGTGGCCCCATGCTGTCTCCGTTTGCAAGTACGGCCTCAGGGCGCCTGACATCTTGCTCAGATGGTGTGCGCTTGGGCGCGGCCATAATCCGATTACGACGCCTTAGCAAGGCTTCGTAATCGAATGATGATGCGCCCAAGTTAACCGAGCAAGATGGCGGCGCCGTGAGGCCGTACGAAAGGTACGAAACCATGTATTTGGCGGCGCCACCTCGCGGGCAGCCTCCTGTGACAGAGTTGGGTTGTTAGCAACGTTATTAGATTGGTTTTAGGATGCGAGATAGACGACGCGCTATGTCAAAGCACGGAGTGGATATATGTTAGTTCGCATCTATGCCAATGAAAAACGCTTTATTTAAATTAAAAAAAAAAAAAAAAAAAAAAAAAAAACAACGTGTATGACGTTTTTGGGGGTGAGCTTTCTGATGAATACACCTAAGCATTTCTTATGAGTTGTGAATGCGAAAGCATGCAACCCGCTAGTCCCAGGGGCCTTAGCTCGCCCGCTCCCTTTGTCGTCTGCTCGTCCGCTCCCTTTGTCGTCTGCTGCGTACAAGCGCGCGCGCGCTTCGGGATCTCGGAGGGCATGGTGCAGCGGCCAATGGGAGCCCCGTCGACGCGCGCCAGCCAAGGAAACCGAAGGCGAATCGCTCCAATTGGGATTTCGGAAACTAGGAGTCGTTTTCGCGCTTCAAACTGATGACCTCAGCTCGCACCTCAACAAGAATCAGCGCCTCTGATTCTTGTTGTTTTTCGTATCTCTAAAAACTGCTTTTAAAAAGAAAAAAAGAAGTTTTGAAGACATTTAGGCACGTTTTATGAGTTGTGATTGTGAATGCGAAAGCGTGAATGTCGTTCTTGCGCTCCCTTAGTTTGTCTGCGGCGTGCTGGCGTAAACAGCCACGTTTCGCTACTGCCAAGGTAACGAAGCGCACATCGAAACATGCGTATTGTAGCATAAATATTGGGCGAACATTTTTTTTCGACTGATATTTATTTTGAAGGGGGGGGGGGGGGGGGCGGCATCAAGGGGCTTTTTATCTTTATTTTTATTTTAAAGATCTTCGTTTAATTCTCACGCCCGCAGATCCTAGTGCTGGCAGCGGCCGCGCTTGCTGCCTTCAAGGGCTACATCCTGACCTGGATGCACTGGTCCCATCCACACGACGACGTGCACATTCTACGAGAGGGACTGGCCAGCATCTCAGTCGCCGTGTCGCTCGTGAGTCTGCGGCCAGGGGCCGATAGTCCGAAACTTTTTACTTTGTTTTGCGTCCCGTGCAACGGGCCTCTGCGGCCCGTTTGGCCGAGTCAAAATTTGGACGCAGCCACCTAAATTCACAGTTTGCTCAATTTTCATGTCCCTCTATTATTTCCTGGTGCAAGTAAACAACCGCCGCAACTTGCATGGATGCGCGTTTGAAAACAGGAATCGGAGGCGCGTGAAGGGAGCCAGACTTGCGCGTCTGTTTTCCACGTGCCGCCGCGCCGCTGTTCGCCGAGGTCAATCACGTGAAGAGCAAATAATCCTGCGCCGCGCAGGAAAGGCACCGCTACAATCGCTTTCCTTCCCGGTTTTGAACAAAAAACAAGAAAAAAAAAAAAAAAAGGGGGCGGCATTGCGCGCGCCGCGGCGGCGCACGTGGTGCCGCTATTCGCCGAATTCAGTCACCGTGCAAGAAAGCCGGCGCTACGCGCACCCGCCGAGGATGATCGCGCACAGGGTGTTCACCCCCCCCCCCCCCCCTTTTCCAAAAAAAAAAAAAAAAAAACATATCTATATATATATATATATTCTTTTCCTTTGCAAAAATAATTTACGCTTTGCCGAACGCTGGTTCTCCACCCGAAGGAAGCGCTATAAAGGTCCGAATAAGGTGCTAAAGGTTCAGCAGGAAGAACCGATATTTTATTCAAAAGTTATAAATGATTTTCTGAAAATTTCAATGGAAAAATGGGGCCCATATTTGTCCGTTTTCGGTTTCTGGCGCCATAGAGCTCCATGTAATCGAGACAATTCCGTCGGTCACCATTTTCCTTTGAAATATTCGGAAAATCAGTTATAACTTTTGAATAAAATATCTGTGAAAAAAACCCTGTAAATTTTTTTTCGGGGGCACCCTGCTCCGTGTCACAAGTTGCTTGCAGTACAGTCGAAGGCAACGCCAGACGAGGGGGAGAAGGGGAAAGCGCTAGGAAGGCTGGGGAGGAGGAGAGAAACCTCATCTCCTCTCTAACGTTCCTAGTGCTCTCCCCTTTTCCACTCGCGCTCCATTGTCTGATCTCCCGTTTCGCCTTCCTAGTGCTACTATGCTAGTGCCGATGCTTTCGGAGCATATTTAATTAGCTGGGATGGCACGTAGCGTCTGTTGCCGCGTGAGTGTGGCTAGGTGGCGCAAGTTACCGACCGTTCTGAAGGTATTCACGATATTCATTCGTGTATCTATCCAATGATGATTGGCGAGCTGAGCGAGCGCGCAAGTCAAGCTGGTGAAGTTATCTCCGAACGCGTTTTTTTCGAAAAAATACCTTTTGGAGCCGTGTACCAAGGTGCGTGCGCGTTTCGAAGTTCGTGCTGAGGAGCGGAGGTCTAGGATAGAACTTTCCCCTTTAAATAAGTGCAAAAAAAGAAAAAAATACTTTCGGAATTAACACTAATTTAGGATAGGGAACCCGAGCGGTCCAGAATCGCTCCAAAGGTACGCGATTTTGGGTGGTGTGTGCACGGTTTCCGGTGCGCGTGGTCTCAGAAGGGTGGCTGTTGCGCCACGCGCAAAGCGAACGCCCTGCCGGGCGAAGTTCGTCGGTTCTTCGCCGCGTATGGGCTCCATGGAGTCCAGCCTTTAGGCTACGGGTTCGCCAGACCAATCAGCGGCTTTCCTTGCATCACCTGACCCCGCACTGCCAGCTTAGGGGTGATGGATCAGCACCGGCGCGCGCTTTTGTAAGGGAAATTTGTCGAGGGACGACCGGAATAGCGTGCACGTGGAACAGATCTGCTGCGTGTCTAAAGCGTCCTTCCGTGTGAAAATGCCCAAACTTCCAGCGCTACCAAGTTTGTTTTTCCTGGTTTGACAGCCCTCTCTCTCATCTCACATAAAATTATGTGCCTGATGCCTGCCGAGTCCTCTTGTACTTGGTTGAAGTTGTTACACGAGTTTCTTGGATGTTGAGAATTCGGGGCCCCATGAATGCTCACAAAAAGTGCTCACCATCTAGTATCCGAGTCCATCAGTGCTTGGGCATGCACTCTCTGATTATGTTTTGGAAACGAGGGCTGCGTCTGCGTTCAGTGTGAACTCTGCTCAGTCTGTATCGAGAACGAGTGCAGCGTCGGCGTTTGGCGAGGTCCCAAGAAATGGCAACCGCCACTTTAACGGTGTCTTGGAAAGGGTCTATTAAGTTGATCTAGGGGTCGGCTCTACTAATTATTTTTCTATGCAGGTGATTATAGCAGTCATTACGATTTTACGAATCGAGTTGGTGCTCGGGCCTTCTGGCTTCATCTGCTCCCTGCTTGGCCTCCTGGTGACTGCGACATTCACGGATGTGTTCCAGCTTGCAAGGCTGCTCTGGAACGCGAAGGTAACGGGAAGCCATATTAATTTCTGTAATTGCACTAATATAAAAAATGCTGAAAAAAAATATATATGTATATAGTTTTTTTTTTTTTAATTATTTAACAAAATAATCTATTGCTGAACACTTGTTGTCCACCCAAATTTTGCGCTAGTGATTCAAACCAGCTGCCAATGTTTCAGAACTAACCGTTACCTTGTTAAAAAGTTATAATGCCAGCTTCAGATGGGGCAACTTTCTCGGGAATTTTGGGATTGCTGGTGGATTGTTCCCTAGCATTGCCTAGATCGTAACAAATTGCTGAGATCGAATCTGGCTTGAAACAAGCGAGCAGCTCGGAGCAATTCGGAGACGTTTGAAGCGGCAGCAGTTAATCAGGGACGCTATACTGGCGATACTCCGTGCCGGTGATGATGACAACTAAAAACTTGAGGCCGGATTCTCAAAAAACATCTTATCTTACGAAATCTTAGCCAAGAAGTTCGTAACTTAAGAAGTTCGTAAGATCAGCCGAAATCGGTATGCTCGAAAGGCTTCTTAGCGTGTTCTTAGCTGCGAACTAGGGAACGACCAGGGAACGACAGAAGGCGCGAGAGGAGCGAGAGAAAGAGAAGCTTCCGGTGTCTCGTAACCGACGAGAACAAGCGAGAGGGGTGTGTTGCTATGGCGATTCTGACGACAATAACACTTTTGGTTTGATAGTACCACGTGTAGTTGAGATCTGATGGCGTCTCCACCACCCGTCAAAAAGAGCCGAAAGGCCAATTTTTCGGACAACGAGCTGTCGGCTCTGGTAGACGGATACGAGCAGCGCAAAGTGGCGATTGAGGGAAAAGGGAACACCGCGCATGGCTCGATTGCCAAGCAGCGGGCTTGGGAACAAATTACTCGCGATGTGTTCGCAGTTTCCGGCATCCGAAGGGAAGTGGCCGACATAAAAAAGAAATGGGCCGATGTCAAGAGCATCAACAAGAAGCGGGGTAAGTCAATCCTCAAGTTTTGGAGTTCGCGAACTTAAATGATACGATATGCTTTGTACTAATGTAAGAGGCAAAATGTTCGGCGCTAGCGCTGAGTCAACGCACGAGCACATTTTACTCCTTCACAATAGTGCTTTTAATAATGTTGTTGACATTAGACGCGCTAGCGGAGATGACTTAGCTAGATGCATCATTCTTTTGAGAACATTTGTTTTATGCTGTCATACACTGTGGAAGGTTCCCGCCTTCTGTTAGCTACGAGGGAGGTTTTAGCAAGCGTGTAGTGACAACTAACAGTGTTAAACCAGTTCAATTTTGCTCGAGATATTAGCTGGTGTCCGACACAGAAAAATGTCGCGAAGTTTGAGGTCATCCTTATGCACGTTCGAAAGGCATACCTGTTGCCCAAAAGCCTTGGCTAGGCAATGAAAACCGGTGATCGAGCAGTCGCGCTTACAGCAGCCTCCTTTGTCTGCTACGTTATTTAATACTGACACAATACGCAGGTGCAGCCGTGAAAAAAAGTCAGTGTGCCACTGGAGGCGGCGTAGGCGACGAGCCCCTCAACGAGATGGAGGAGAGAATCGTGGGGCTGCTCAACGTGGAGTCGGTGGAGGGCATTCCAGGCGCCTTTGACATTGGCGTTGCCCCAATTCAAGAGGTGTTTGTGGGTGTGCCCTTCTCCCTGCCACTCTCGGGTAGGTTTGCACAAGCCTGGATTAAACACTACCTTTCTTCATTAATGGTTGGCCCAGAATTATGTAGTTAAAACATTATTAGCAGCCTACCATGTGCGTGTCGCGTTTGTTGCTTTTCTTGGTCAAACTAATTTTTAAATACAAATTTTCAAGGTACTCCTGCCAGGCCGAGCTCAGCAAGGCCAGTTCCCTCAGCTGGTGAGTTAGCAAGGGTTCTACTTCCATTGCAAAATATAAAATAATAGTGCCGTCCAAGCAAACTACCAGTTAATTTGTATGTACCCGCCTAGTATGTACCTGTCACGTTTGTTGCTTTTGTTGGTCAAACTAATCTTTAAATACAAATTTTTAAGGTACTCCTGCCAGGCCGAGCTCAGCAAGGCCAGTTCCCTCACTTGGTGAGTTAATAATGTGGGCTGATTAGTTGCATGGTTAATGTTCCTCTTCATTACTGCTCTTCAAACAATCCCCGTAACCTCCAGTTTTGAATTATCAATCGGGTAGCTGATTATCCAAGTGATTTGGACTGGGACCCACATTGTATGGACAAGCAGTATGTTACTGTCTTCCCAAACACTGTTTGCTGGATCCGTACAGTGCATTTCTGGATCTTGTTTAAGGCACCACCATAACGGCAGGCAGGTCCACGGTTTTTACCATAGAAATCATAACATTACTTATAATGATTATAATTACATTACCTAATCACAACCTTTTCGGTCATTCAACCTGGTTGGTAGTCAACGAATACGGTGGCCGCCAGGTGCAGGTGTTGCTGGTTGAGCAATCAAGCTTAGTTGGTACAACTTCCTGCAATCTCTCAGTCCTGTGTTAGCATTTTTTCCATGCAGAGCCTGTATTTCCTAACAGCAAATATTTCGGTACTCAAGGCTGTTGGCTTTTCTATTTAGATAGCCAAGAAGCGAGCACAAGTGGCCAACCAGAAGTGGATGATATGTTGGCCCACTCTTCGGGAAATCCAAAGTCACGCCAAGAAAGTGAGTAGCAATCCTAAATGCTGCTAGATGCAGACCACACCATGCAGCAATACGAACATAACACTTAATGCAGAACCAAAATAGATATGTTGCAGCATCTGATCAAAACAAGCGTTCAAGTCCATAAAAAAAAAAAAAATCTCCACTGTCAAAAGGAACAGAGTAGAAATTTGTGCTGCTTATAACTATTAAGGTGCAAGTTCTCTCATTAGCAACTTGTGATGATGATTCGTGCATGCTTCCTGTAGTTAGATATGGCCTGCATAGTTAATGCAATAAATGCAGGCAAGCTGGATAATAAGAACCAATAAATATTCCCTGAAGGGGACAAGGGACAAACACAAATCTCCAACAGCAGCTATGTGATTTGTGCGTGGCGCTGGTTTCATAGCTATATAATGGAAATGTGACAATGCAGTGGTGTGACCGCTTTGAACCGTGCAAACATCTTTTCCGTCGTCTGCAGGGATCAAGGAAGACCCCACACAAAAGATCATCGAGGGTCAACAGGCTATCACAGCCCGCTTGGATAGGCTTGTGGAGCTGCACGAGCAGATGGTGGCTCTAAAAGCTTACAAACTTAATGTATGTTTTCAAAATGGAAAAATTGTTCCAAAATATGAATAAAAGGGCACTTGTATAGAACAGCAATACATTGTTTCTTTATTACACAAAGTTTCTGGTGTCACCGCTGATCTCTACAATGATTTTCTGGATCGCTTCTCCCTCCTTGTAGCGCAGGTGAATCCACCGGAAGTTCTCAATCGGCCGTCTTATGCCATGCAAAAGTCAGCCGAGCGTAGTGCCGTGAAGACTAGTACATCCATGGAAAAACCCATTTTGAGCTTCATCACCGTCATGATTGAAAAGTTTCATGATGTTCTTGGAAACTAGCCACTGCATTTCCAGTGGCTAGTTTCCAAGAATTGCTAATAAATTATAGGCTGCACAAACATGCTTTCTCGATGAGCCTCCACAACTGCGTGCATGTCCCGGCAGCAGCCATCTGCCATCTCGCCCATCTGCCGAGTTGAACGTTGTTGGCAGTGTACCGTATCTGCGGCAGCCTAAAGGCATTGCGACAGGTAAACTTATTTGAATATGCTATTCGTCGTAATTTACCTTCACGTATTGCAGTGTCACCGAATCCAATTATTTTGCACCGCAACCGTGGCAGGTTCGACAAAGCGTTGGTGCAGCAGACGACAGAGCCAGCACAAAGGGGAGGGATAAGAATGGGGAAGCCGTTGGCTCGTCGCTCACCCGACTCAACTGCTCAAAAGTTGTTGCCGTGGTAACCTGCGCCTGCTCGCGTATGCCACATGGTCACGTGGTAGCGGGAGGAGTGGCATACCAAAAACTCCCATTATTTCTCGCACGCGCGGGCTTTTTGAAAAGGGTCTATTGAGAACTTCCAGTGGCTTCACCCCCGAAGTGGTGATGCGTGATCCAGAAAATCGTCGGAGATCAGTGGGTGTCATCTACACCCAGTGATCGCTTTTGTGCTTTCATAAGCTTTCACTTGAATACTTCGTTAACAAGGTTTCTCCTTACAACAATGCCAGCAGGCGTGTCCCTGGCGGTGCTCGGCCTGTCTTCTTCGTCTTCTTCCTCCTCCTCCTCCTCCTCATCGGATTCCACAACTGTAAAAAAAAAGTGAATTTGATGTTGGTGCTTATACGGCGTAAGTTTGATCTGCCATTGAAGGGCAACACTGGCTTACGCTATAGATCCAGCAATTTAGTCAGTTTAGTAAAACTGCTTGCATGGCATCTTCAGCGTGCACCACGCAGTAGTGATACATGACCACACCCCAGTACGAGCCGCAACCACAACGAAAGGGGTGGGTATTTGAGCCAAGATTTCTGTGTTCTGCTGCACAAGCTTTCGCTCCACATGCTACGAGCTGGTGTGCACTTAGCCCAATCGGCCCCCAATCATTCACCACCCGCTACTGTTCAGAAAGTCGTAATTTGCACAGCAGCAAAAGGACATCTCAAGATTTGCAAGCATGATTATAATACAACAGTAACTGAATAATAACTGCAGAAAACACATTCTGAAAACAGTCCTAATAAATTATAGGCTTCACAAATTTGTCCAAAGGCTCGAATTAGAGTACACGTGCTGCATTAGCTACTGTTGCTTAATGTGCTGGCTGAGCTCCCCTGGCAGACTTTCCGTCAACATGCCATGAATGGTATTCTATATTCTGCTTCACCCGATCCTCTTATGAGAGGAACTCACAATCTCAATGTATAGATGCTTCAATTTCAGAAGAAAGGCAGGCGACTAAAACAGCCGCTTCCACTTGCTAGCTTCAATGGCTCAACAACAACATTGTACCCACCAACAGAAAGGGCAGGTTTACCTCATAAACCAATTCATGTTTACAAACAAACCGGAGCGCCCCTAGCAGACGCCACCGACGCAACACTTGCGCGATGGAGTGTGGCCAAGAAGCTCACCGTCACCCATAAACAAACCATTGAAATGCAATGTTGTCGACGTCGGTGTGAGTCCCCCAGCCCTTTTTCGCGTTCGAATTGTTGATTCTATGTCCTCCTGGCGATGTCTGACTGCTTGAGCGGCCTCAGAGAAATCACCGAGGCTCGTTACACCGTAAAACGTTGCGTGAATAATATGACATGCGGCGATTCATTCTGCGCAGACGCCACAGAATGTACGCCAAGGCCTGATTCGCATGATGAGATTTCACTCGCAATTTTCAGTCACGACGTCGCTCGGGCTGCAAAAGTGTGAACCGTAGCTGAGATGGTCGACATCGATACTGAAAATCGCAAGCAGAATCGGACCAAGTGAATCAGGCGTTAACAAGTCGGTGATGGCCACTGGTAACAATTAATATCTCCTTGTATCTACTGTTTGCATCAAGACTGCTTACCAACCTCCAAACTCGAGTCTTTTGAGGTCTGCACTTACTTCTTATCGCAAGTACCGGACTAATATTTGGTCTACGAGCCGGTGTAGTCTAAAAGAGCAGAAGACAAGCAGAATCGTTTGAAAGAGCAGACGACAATTCGAACGATTAGGCGGCCATTTGAACTTGAAGACGCACTGAACGTAGTTTGCAGGTGGTCCGTACAACATGACGGTTTTCAGGCGTTCATGTTGGAACAAAACAAATAAATCTGATGACCACAAGTATTCGTGAATTCAACCCAAATTGCTACCCGCCCAAGCAATCGTGGTCCGACGGCATCTGGTTTTCCCTTTTCACGGCACATTTCCACGTTCTCGGACGAACCGAGTACATGAAAACTGACCTTTAAACCTTTCTCAACCCTTTTGGTACAACCCCAGTCGCGGCATTTTGATGAGAAGGCAGGTTTTTTTTTGTCTGGTTCCTTTCAAAACAATGCAGGAATACACGTCTGACATGGGGACTTCCGCCCACAGCTTCAGACCGGAAGTGCGCCTGGCGCGCCACCACCACGCCGTGACGTAACAGAGATGAGTTTGCGTATACTAGATCAGGCTCACAATTTAAGAATAATGACTGTTCCATCAGGCTGCACAGACTATTCAAAGAGTTCCAGCTAACAGAAGTATCTCGCAGGCCTACGAGTGTAAAAGCCGGGCTCATTTAGTCGTCTGTACACTGTATGTTTGAAAAATGTGGCCCCATGGCAGCTGAAACGTCCACTGCAAAGTATCTTGCTGGCCTCCGCCTGTGCGGTCTGGCAGCTAGTGACGAAATATGGTCTTGTTCCAACATTGTAATTCACGGACATCCTCTGCAGAGGCATTGAGAATCATTTTCATCCCACTGGAACTGCCCCCAAAGTCTAGAAAATACATTGCTATCCGAGTTCGGCGAGTCTCCAGATGACTGACAATTTTGTCCTGGAAAACATCACTCATATGGGTTAAATGAGCCTTATCCATTTCATATAGAGCAGTGTCAGTTTTGCAAAAAAGCACAGCGTACGCACTACTCCGCAGCTACGGCCGTTTCTTTGGTAACCTGTTAAGCGTCACGTAACAAATCTTATAACGTGGCACTTAATGGGTTACTAAACCTAAAACTATTCTGCCAGTGGAGAGCTTCTAAAAGAGATTATAGTCAAAGCTGTAGTCGGCTCAGCTTAGCTGCCCCTCTGCAATCCTGTGACAAGAAAAGTGGGCGAACCTTCTGCAGAACCCAAGTCCAGAGTTACAGCAAACAATGCTTTCACCAGCCTCATTCATGTGATATGACCAGGTGATTAATGCATAAACTCTTCAGAGAACATGTCTTTCTTACCTGGTGGATCTGTGAGGGAGACATGGTGCCGGATGCAGTAATTGTGGAGGACCACACACGCCACGATAATACGGCAGCACACGCTTGGGGTGTACTGTAGGACCCCTCCGGACCTGTCGAGACACCTGAAGCAGTGGCGTAGTAAGGAATTTTGTTAATTCAGTATTTACTGTTAGTGATGACTATATGAAGTTTATGCAGCCCCCAGAACCCTTTTGCACTCCTGTCTATTTACTGCTCCTCGAAGTCCCTGCTTTTATATGCGTTCCCCCCATTGCCTGCATTTCCGATTTGACTATACCGTAGTTCATACTTTGTGTGATCCCACTTTCAGCGTATATGTTGTGCTGAGGTGCAATCCAAAGGCACCAAAGTAAAGAACAGGTCAGGCTCAGTCATTATGCAACTTTCACTGAACTATCAGACGAAGAGGAGCAATCATAAGTATGGCTGTCTAACATGCTGAAGCAACACTATATGTTCTCGGATTCCAGCTAGTACTGCACGATGCTGGAAACCAAACTTCTCTTCCAAGATAGCCTTTATGGGGAGTCTGCTACAGCCAGGCACATAGCCAGGCGGGTAAAGGAGGGGAAAGGGGAGGTGCCAGCAAAACTGGAGGACTTTGAAGAGGACCCAGATCAGGCTACCTGGGCCTTCTCCCTGGATATGTGCCTAGCTCCAACTAGTTTTTTGGTCTCCAAGTGGGAACAGTGTTAACTGCACCCTTTTAGCATGAGGGTAGAGAAATAAAATAGGGAGAAAAAAAAAAAAGAACTGTTTTTGTTTTACGCCGCACATGCAGAAAGGAGAGAAGGTAGTTCTGAGGAAATTTCAGAACAAGTTTTAACTCCCAAACTAAGACTCTGCTGACGCTACTGACCGGAAGCGGGACTTCAATATCCCGAATGTCCTCTCTATAACTTGACGCGTCTTGGTGAGGCACATGTTGTAGGCTTCTTCGCCCTCTTCCTCCTTCGGCTTGCGAAATGGCGTCATCAGCCATGGCTGCAGGGGGTAGCCTGCATCCCCTAAAATATTAAAAATAATATGAGATATCACGTAAAACCATGCATAAGTAATACAATAGATATGACTGCTTGGGGTTTGGGCTTGCAAACAAAGCGCTCCAGCAATACCTGAATTGGTAACCAAAGGGTTGCAAGTTCGTCTCCCAAGCTCTGCCGGTTTCGACATGAAAGGGCATTCTGTTTGCGTGGATTTGTAGATCACTACTACGAGGGGCACCCTACAACTTCCAGGACGGCAGACCTGCAGCGCTCGCCCGAAATTCCCCACTACAGCTGTAGTACATTTCCAGACTTGAACACATGGAAGCTCACTACAGTAGATAACGAGAAGAGATTCATGGAAGAAAGCTGCATCGGTTTAAGCTTAATTCCTTCCTAACTTGTTAGTGGACACGCAAGTAGCACAAAGGAAATGACTGGCTCCCTTTGTCCTGGTTTAACTTATTATATATTTAACTAATAATTATCTAGGAGTTACACTAAAATGTGCAAGCTGGCTCAAACCTTTGCCAAGATCCAAATGCAAAAAAGGCTGGATACCAAGAGGCTACGAAGCATATGGTCGTTCAGCCTGTCAACTATTAAATATATGAAATCCAAATTAAAATATACCTACCCAGCAACCAGCCATCGGGCATGACCCCAGCCTCGAACTTCTCCGACAAGTCGCAGTTGCGCCACATAAAACTGTCATGCGTGCTCCCCGGCCACTTCACTGTGAGCTGTGTGATTTCGTTCGACGCATTGCAGACTGCTTGCACATTCAGGGAGTCGTATCCTTTCCTGTTTCGGTAGATGTTTTGGTCCTTCTTCGCAATCTTGAGGGCGATGTGCGTGCCGTCGATGCACCCCAGCACCTTGGGGAATCCATTGATTTCCGCAAAGCCTACAGATTAAAACAACGAAGTGTTCAACATTCTGTGAAGCAGTGGACATCTTGGATATTTTATTTACCACATTACAATATATACAAAAATTGGTCTATCAAAGAGATGACCTCTAAATACTCATTCATACCTCAATTAAAGCACTATCGCACCCATTTAAACACTATTACCAAAAAAAAAAAGAAGGGTTTTGGGGGGGGGGGGGGGGGGGGGGGGGGGGGCAAAGAGTGCTTTTGTTAGTTGTCATGGGCATTGCATGAACAATGCATTGCTGACTGAGAGTCTCGGCGACCATTCCACACAATGCCGTTGCTCACGTCAATCTATACAACTTCGTTCGCGTCAATGAAAGTTACACTCATTAGGGTCATGCGGGATGCACTCACTTGATCGAATGACGTTTTAGCGAACGCTCACGTTCCCCCCGATTAAAGCTGATCAGGCTGAGTAAACGCGCTAACAATTCGCACTGAAATAAAATAACAGGGGTAACTAACGAGCACGACATTGGGAAAACACTTACCGCGTGCAGTACGCATTGCTGCCTGCGGGGTCACGGGGAACTTGATCCCTTTTTCAGCAAAGTTGCAGAGCGCGCTGCTCACCGAGTTTATAATGCGCGAAGCACTCGTCTGGCTCATATTCCCCACGTCGCCCACGACCGACTGAAAACTGCCGCTCGCATAGAAGCGAAGCGCCAGTAGTACTTGGGCGTCCACGGGGAGCGCACAGTTCCGAGCCGTCGGACGGCGGAGCGCAGGTGCGAGCGCCTCGCAGAGTCTCTCCATGGCAGGCCTCGGGAGACGGTAGTACCTCGCCAGATGGTTATCGGCGATGGTGTCGAGTGTCCGAGGAGTGCGGAACACACGTTGCTGCCGTAGATTCCGCTCCGCGTCGCGCTGCTGCTGAAGTAGGTAGACGACGTACGCGGCAGCCATTTTGGTTGAAAGTCGCCAAAATGTTCGTAAGATCGATCGGACCCCTGTCGTAGGATTTCGTCTTAACTTACGCAAAACTTACGAACATTTTGCTTCGGGAATACTCAAAAGTTCGTAACTTTGTCGTAAGATAAATTTACGAACTTTTTTGTCGTAAGAAAGTTTCGGGAATCTGGCCTTTGGTTCTGGTTTGAAATTGATCTTTTTTTGGAAATAAACCGTTTCAGAAAGATGAGTAAGCATTTTCAACGCCATTTAAATGTATAAAAACATGTTTATAGCCCGTAACTGTGTGTCTAAATAGTGCGAGAAAAATAAAATGTAATATTGGTGGCTGTGTGGGAACACGGGCAGCTTGTGTTGCTGGTGTTGTGATGTCAAGTTGCTAGGAGAAATTGCCTTATCTGAAGTGGGCCTAAAAGATTTTCTGAAATTTTAATGGGAAAATGGCAAATGGACGGCACCCTTGAATATGTGGAGCTGAGTGGTGCCAGTTACCAAGAACAGGCTCAGCCCCTTTGAAATTTGTGGAAAATCACTTGCAACTTTCGAATGAGGTTTCAATTAGTGCAGTAACGTTAGCATCTTGTTTGGACCATTATAGTGCTACATTTTGGTCGAGTATGAGCGTTCGGGAGTGGGTTGTTGATTTTTGTGGTGAAAGAAACACTGTAAATATTTTTTTGAGGAAACGCCATATATAAGTAGGGGTGTCGCGAACCGGCCGCGGTTCGAGTTCGACCAGGTTCGACGAACCTTCTACTGAGGTTCGACTCGTGTGCGCATGCGCGACAGGCTTGCCAGTTGGCTTCGGATTGGATGATAATGGCTAAGAGATTAATTAAGTGCACCGCTGATTGGCTATCTCAGTTAATACAGTACCAAAAATTAAGTTATTAACTTCTACATTGATTAGAATTAGTCCCTTTTAATTGCAGCTGTTCACAATATAAAATAACCCTTTGCATAAAAAAGTTTTTCCAAACCTAGATATACTTCTATCAAGGTCTGGCCACGCTGTCCACAAAGTCGAACCGGTCGAATCTGGTGAAAAGTTCGAAGGTTCGTCGAACCGGTTCGACCCAGTCGAACCCCGAAAGTTCGAACGAAAAATCTGGTTCGACAAAAGTTTGCGACACCCCTATATATAAGTGACACTGATGGTTAATGATATTTAACTTTTCATGTCTCCATCAAAGTTCTCCACAGTTGCCGACGATTTAAAAGTGCACTGACACCCCAAAGGCATATTTTTTTGTTGTCTTAAACAATAAAAATTGTAGTCTTACAAAAAAAAAAATGCAAAAAAAAAATTCTAGGCATGCATTTTTTTTATTTTTGGCACCTTTCTCTCTGTTCTCGCCTCCGCGCTTCTCTTTATTTCTGATGTAATCGATTATGAAATTGAGAAACTTTGTAAGTGACATTTTTGTAATGTTTAATAACGGCAATTGTAAAACAAGTTTTTTAACGCAATTGCGAACGCAAAGACAAAGATACAAAGATGACAAAGATCATAAAACAAGGGGCGTACTGCGAACGCAGTACGCCCCTTGTTTTGAAATATAAAAAATCGAAGTGCGGAAATTATGTCGTCTCCATGGCTTTTTATCCTACATCAGAAAACATGGTGGCGCTTGCGACACGCAGCACGGAGGATAATTGGGGAGTGGTTGAATCAGACAAAGTTCTCTTTCCGGTGCCTGACTACCTCTTAGACATGAAAAGGAAATCGTCAAACGGTCAAAACAACTGGGTTTGGTGCAGTGTAGTTAAGGTTATGACTCCGCTGGGGCAGCCTTTCACGCAGCACTGGCACCAGATGGCCCCTTATGTTGCTCACAAAAATTCACTCCGCGTCCTCTTTAACCTCAGATCATTTCAAAGAGTTTGAGATCGCTGAAAGGGCCCTAAAAGAACTTTGAACTCGAACACTTCCGGTCGGGATGTTTCGGAGGCAAGAGAAAGACTTGAGTTAAGGAATTGATTCAATCTTTGACGTCGCTGCACTGGCACGGATCGTGCAAGAACTTCAAACTCAGCTTTTGAAATTTTTTTTTTTTTTTTTGTACTTTACACATACTAAGTTCACAAGCTTCGAGTTTCAAGGGCATCGTCCAGGCATCGTTTTCAGTCATTTCGGATAATGAAATAAAATATGATTTTGACCTGTCACTGCACTTTTAAGAAACAAGGGGTGTGGAGAGTCACATACATCTTCTTATCGCTTCGCAGCTAATGAGATTGTGGCATTAGCCGATAAGAATGCCAGAGAATAAATTGCGAAGCAAGAGAAGTGAAGATATTAAAGGTGCGGTGCGACGATTTCCAGACTTTGGCCAATTAACTGCAATAATTAATCTGCGTCTTCAGAGCCCCCAGCCACGTTGTTTACGATTGTCGACTTGTCAACGATTAGCATCGTCGGAGGTCAAGTCGAGCGATCGAGACAAAAGACGGTTCGCCACGGGGCTGACGGCAGTGTAGTAGCAGAGGGAGTGAACAAAGCCTGGGGACAGGCTTTGTTCACTTCCGCGTGTACTGCAGTGACGTGCCACCATAGTTCCCATAACCGCCACACGCGGCTGCGGATTATTAACGAGTTCATTCTTTTCTTTGCGGTTACGCAGCGAAATAGCAGTCTTTCAGGGGAAGGTGGCACGTTTTTACTCACTCGTGTCTAGATGAACAATAAAAAAAATACAAACTGCAAATTCTTTCAGTGTTGTTAGAATCGTTGCACTGCCCCTTTAAGCTATGCCCTGCATCTCTCGAGCTGTCATTCACTGTAGGTCTACACATCTCTCACAACTCCGGCTGGTGTACGGCTCGACTGTGACTGCAAAGTGTTGACGGGTGGGGTGAGCTGACCTACTGAGCGTTCTTCGGTCGTAAAATGATTAGTATGAATAAACCTATGAACCGAGGGCATTGAAGCTTTTTATGGAAATGTCTAGAGGTGGTACGTTTATCATACGCATAATTCGTGAGTGTGGGCTTCGGGCAAAAAGTTTAAGCCTACAGAATCCTGTTTTTGCATATATGCACAAAAAGGAAAACGGCCAAAAGCCTGTCTGCTTGACGCTGCTACTCATAGACGATACCACGCATGCTCGGATCTTCTTGATCTGCTTTTTGGTGTCTCATCTCAAAGAAGCTAGCTCAAACTTTTTTGCTTTATGTTGTGCCATCTGTGAGGGGCAGTATCAAGCAGAGAGTCTTTACCCATTTTCCTCCCTGAGCATAAGAAAAAAATAGAATTTTTTAAAGCTAAATTGTTTTTTTTCTCTTAAATATCTTTTCTTGTGAAATTTTAGTGTGATAAATGTACCACCTAAGGACAGATTCGTGAAAAGTTTCATTGCACTCAGTTCGTTGGTTTGTTTTTGTAAAATTTTTTGTTACGTCCAAGCGGCACTCGCAAACACCCTGTATATAACTAGTGGCAGTGACGGTTCATTATTTTTAACTTTCCACATCTCTATCAAAGTTTTGTATTGCCTACACTTCTAGTGACTAGTATTTGGCTCGAACACAATTGCAAAGTGCCAACAAATGCGTCAAGCTGCGTTAGTAGTTTGTATGCCGTTTCAACGACTCTCGCAACAATCTTGCTATCCCTCTTTCGTAGCAAGAAATACTGCCTTCGGATTTGAAGATCCAGGACAGCCTGGTGGTGGCAACCACGGTCCTGGCCGTGGTCGTGTTTGCAAACTTCCTCGGGTCGGGAATCTGCGACGCTGTCTTTTGGAGGTCCTCCTCGTCCAGCCGAAAGGTACGTAGCCGCGGATGGTCCATGGCCTTGCCCGTGCGATCCCTCCAGAGGAGACTAGGAACCGAACCGACGGCGGGCGTCGGTTTGGTGCCTGGAACGTGTCTCCGACCTGCATGTCATTTTCACTCGAGAACATTACAATCGTGTCACGCTGCTGCCTGCCGAAATACTGGCAGTGGCGCTACGGCGGAGGACATTAACTTTACGAGCGGAGGTAGGTGCGTGAAGTACCCGTTCTGCTGTAGGTTGCTCTCCAGCAGCTTGACAGTTTACCGAAACTTCAGCAGCCAGAAGTTGGGATGCTGCAACGACGGCAACACTTGTGTTTGCTCTTGTTTGTCGTTGGAAGCCCAGGTGAAAATCAGTCCACTGCCAGCTGAATTATGGAACTGGAAATGAGGCAGTCCAGCTGGATTCTAGCTGGACCCAGCTGGACCCAGCTGGACCCAGTCAGAATCCAGCTGGACTGCCTCATTTCCAGCTCCATAATCCAGCTTGAAGTGGACTGATTTTTGCCTTGGAGTCCTACCACCAATCGCTGGCATCACAATGTCCAAAAGCATGCTACGCCGGCAACTGCGACGTCGTTTGTTGGCACTCGGCGACTGGTTTCGATGCACGGGCGCCACGGGACGCCAGACATGCCGGTCGGAGACGTGTTTCGGGCGCCGTCTTTTGTCGCTGAAAAGAGCCTGAATGTCTGCCGTCTCGTTTGAAACAGGCCAAGGAACAACTTGACGAAGACGACTTCTCCGTCTTCGGGAAGACGTTTTGTGTGGCTTTGTATCCGTAAGTACCTGAGAGACATTTCTAATTTGGGTAAGGGGTTAAGGGTCCCATTTGTACACTACCAGATCTCTGGGATAAAGTAAATTTACAAAAAAAATATGTATGAATACTTGTGTATTCTTCACCAATGCCACGTGAAGAACCTTTTGGTCGTCACGACGAACGAACACGCTGAAACGTTTATCGGGTAGCCTTGGAATACTTGCAGTTTCCATATATTTTCTGTTTTCTTTCATGCATCACTCTCTTTCTTGGATAGAAAAATCCTTTTGACAGTGTTATAGACGATCCTTTCTCATAAATAATACATACCTTTGACCTCACAAGTACTGCAAAACCTTCCTTTTAGTGAAATGCAGTTCTATGGTTCGGACCACGCGCCGTTTTCTAATTGTAAGAGATTGCAAGAACTTCGTCGTATGCAAACACGAGCGTGGGAACATAACTTAATTCTCACCGCATTGCTCAGCGGTGGAAGGCTTGGGAGGTCTTAAAACTAACTCACGTTTCCTAAACATGACCAAATTCCCTTAGGAAGCCTTTACCCATGTTCCAGGGGCAGGAAATATTTGTTTGGCGTAAAATGTTTTTCGAAGCGGTCTCGGAAGATTTTGGGAAATTTCAGTTCGCCAGACGTAGTTCGACGAGATGAGTTGGTTGGTGCTTGAATGTTGGATACCGGTTCACAAACAACAAAACTGTGGACATGCAACCAAAATGTCAAGTGTGAAGAATGCACGGTTGCACGTAAACCAGTGGTGTTGGTACGTCACGATACGGCTTGCAGGCAATGACATAGCACTTCTGTTTCAGATTGTCTTCGCATCAGTTTCATAGATATACACCCCTTATGTTGCGACCTAAGAGGCTTTCACAAAAGAAAAGAAAAGAAAATCCATTTACTACACCAGTACTTTTGCTTATGCATAACTATGCGAGTGTCTTATACGAGCAAAGGCGTCACAAACAACAAAAACCAAATATTTTTTTTTCTTTTTAATGGGTTTTTATAGTAATATATATAGCACCCCAAAGTCGTTCAGACGATTACTGCAGAATTAAACTTTGTCTGAAACTAAACTTTGTTCGAAACTTGCCTCAGGCTTCTGAAGGCAGCGATGAAGCCGTCGACGAAAATGGATGACGTCTTACCTGCTCTGCGGAGAAGCTTGTGCTGCAGGGACCTCGTGAAGAAGCTGTACGACATTCTCAAGGAAAAGTAGTGAGGCCATTCTTCGTTCACATTCCACTATTATGTTTACATTTTTACGGTGCCTGGCATCTTGCAGTGATAAAATTTTAACCAGTTATACCGTGTTGTGAAAGCTACGGCAGTGTGGTTTGTGCAAGTGAGTTATACGGCCAGGGGGCATAATACAGGCTTATAATTGTCACGATTAGTTGAATAATGAAATAATATTTGTTAATTAACTTTTTTGTATATTGAAGATAAAGATATCTGGTTCCAATCAGAAACTGGCTGAGCGTCGTGGAAACCCGATAGATGCCTTAAAGAATTTTAGAAACATTTAGGAAACCTGGGGAGTGCTGTGGTATCAAGGACGTTTAAACAGACAGGACCCGTCATGACGTCAGCCTGAGTGAAGCCGGAAGAGGCATTTTATCCCAGACTGCCTTGCGCACCTGTTCCGAGGCCGTGGGGTAGCGCACCGGCGGTTCATCTGCTTTCTAATCTGCTCCGGCGTGTGCTTCACGAGGCTAGCTTTCGATGCGGTCGGCGTCCGCCATGGGCGTCCACGATGCAAATGCTTTGCAGCCTGAGTGTTTATACTTAGTTCCCTATTATGTGCGAGCGAAGTCAGAACTGGAAGCGCGAGCCCGTTGTTCTGTGCGCTCCTGGCTTGCATGCGCGCTCGTGCGATCTGCTGCTGCTGTTTATTGAAAAAATGCGTTGCGCACCGCCAAGTCTTTCACGGTGCGTCGTCTAGAGCGTCTCAATTCTAGTCACTTACTTTCTGCTGGGCAACCAGGCGTTCGTTTATGTTAATCTTATCCAATTCCGACCATACCGGTTTGAAAGTCTCCCGTTAAGCGCTGTTTCAAATAACAGTGGGTGCCGCCATTACTTTCGGTGCACACAGTCGCGTTGCCACGGACATGTCATGGCAACGCGGTTGTTTGCACCGAAATTAATGGCGGCGCCCACTCACTAGGCTTCCCATTGGTCAAGAAATGCTCGTTGCGGCTCGTGACCATGCCTACTTCCATTACACTTCACTCCATGCATTGGGGATAGGGACGCCACTTCCTGCCCATTATAACCTCCTTGAGTGGTATGCTAAAGTTACCACTCGCGCAGCGAATGTAAGGCTAGTGGGGCGAGAATTTTCGTGCACTATTTTTTTGTCTCTTATTGTCAGTGTTTTCGCACAGCCAGTGTTGTGACCGTTTTTATTGCACCAATGCACTCTCCACATGCCCCAAATCTTTCTAAAAGCCCACTTATCTGGTGGCTTTCAACGACACTCGGCAAGTTTCTAATTTAAGCCATATGTTTATTTTCACGAATTAAAAAGTTAATGAACAAATTTTATTTAATTAACCGACTTATCGTGATCCCTATTTCCCAATATTACGTCCCACCGGCTGTACAACTCGCTTGCACAGACCGCATTAGTGTAGCCTTCATGGCTTTCTTAAAACATATGCGACTAAATAAAAAACGCTGTATAAGTAGAGTAGTGCTCAAGCACTGTCTCTTCGGGCCAACTAATATAGGAGTAGGTCAGCACTTAAACTTGAACGTACCGACCATTGCACGCTTTCCCAGCTTTTTTGACGTTTGGCTTCCTCAATGGATGCGTTGCTGACGTTTTGGTCGCCGTGCCCAGTCTTTCTAAGATTGGCGAGACAAACTCCTTTACAAAGCCCTCCGCTCTTTACACTTTAGTAGAGCGAACGCTGAAGGCAAGGCGGGTGGGGAGGGGGAACCACCAATCGTGGCTAGCATAGAGCTTTGTAAGAGGAGCCCTATCAGCCATTCAAAACCAGGCAAGAGAGCGTCGCTATAGGATAAGATGCGAGTACGGCCATGCCACATCTACGAGCAATGAAACAACGAGCGTGCAATGGATTTGTTTTTGATAACGAAGGAGGTCTGTGGCTCACCACATGCAACGACGTGCAATGATCAACTCTCTGACTGCAGCAAGACGTCGGAACGACGGCGTCACTTTGTGGGTGCCATGCTTCGCGTGCTCTGGCTGGACGTTTTCTGGGTTGGAATCACCTTCATCTCTTACTACGCCTCGCTCATTGCCAGGATTCCCATACTCGAGTAAGTTACATCCCTCCAGCCTTAATTGCGCAGCATGAATCGGTGAAGCACGTGTGAGGGTGATGATGTGGTAGAAATCTTGTCGATTGGGTTGTATTTTTGTGTCTTGATTGGTTCTTTCCTATGCTCCCTGTGTTTATTTTTCTGGTTCGCTTGAAAATTAAACTTTAGTTGATAGTCAGCGCTTTGTCCGTGCACTTTTTTCACTCGTCCTTTGTCAAATTTTTGCGCTGTTTTCACGTTTGAAGATGAATCGGTGCTCATATTTACTACTAAACATTAAAACCAATCTTTGATTCGATCGATGAAATTGTCGTACGCGGAATCGCAACGTACGAGAAAGGGTGGGCTTTTGTGACACTTTCTTACGATTAGCACGTTCCAATTAATCGTGTGACTCCACTAGGCTTGACATTCCTCGACATGGTCACTTGACGTACGACACAACACTGTCGTGGGAGAAGCTGATGTCATGCGATGCGACGTGACATCACGTAACAGCACGACTTAATACCCGACGTCACTGGATTCAATAACATTGCTGACACTGCGACTCGTCAGCAATAATCGCATAACCTGATCCTGACGTCATGTGACTTGCCAATCACGAACACGAAATCTGAACTACCGCCATTAGAACGCAATTCCGAATGCATGAACCTGGGTTTTTAAGTGCCTATTGTGTGTAGTGTGATTTGACACAAACATTTTTTAAGTTAACGCCATGACGACGACTCTGCGCATTAGCTTGTCCCAGACTTATAACATAAGCTGTTGCAATTTTGCGTCCAACACTTTCTTTTTCACTCTTTTTTTCCTTTCTTGTTTGTTTACATTTTGATACTGTTTCTTAATATTTGAGACTCGACATTTCATACAAATATCACTTTCCTTTCAAGGAGCCTGGTGAATGGTGGCAACCGGACGGAGATTGGGAACTTGGTCTTCCTCTTTACGGTTACCTGCTTGGCAGAGTTCCTGCTGTCCTGTTACTCGATGCAGCAGACCCTCGTGTTTGGGAGCCGTATTCGCTCCATGCTTCAGGGTGCCATCTTCAAGAAGGTAAGCGTAGCGTCTCCGTCTCGTTAGGGGCGTCTTTCTTTGAGGGGTGTACATCTGATTAACACACACTTGCCCTTGGTTAGGACCAAGTTTTTGCGATCTCTTGTGACGAGAGAACGCTGGAGAGCCTGGATTACACGGAGTTTTCGACTGTTCGGTCGGGGTCGCACTGTTAATTAATGGGCCGCGTCTGCAATACGAGCCGTGAGAAGGAATTGAAAGGGTGAATCGTCTGTAAGCGTCTCTGCCTTTCCGCCTGATTTCATTCTCACCACGTGACGACTGGTTTCCACAGGAGGTGCCTGCCGTTAAATTTCAAATGCTCCCCATGGTTTGAAATGGGCCCTCTTCAATCTAGACTCTCTAGAAAACACACTGGCACTGTGGCGCCGTGTATGAGATGACCCCGGCACTGCATTCTGCTAAAACGAAGGTTTTGCGGTATTCGCGAGATCGAATGTGCATACTATCTATAAGAAATGATCGTTCATAGCATTGTCAAGTTTTTTCGAGCCAAATTAAAAAAGAATGATGTTAAAAAAAAAAAGAAATGTGCAGAAACTCTGAAAGGAATGTTTATTAATGGGACGCTGCAGCCCCTAGCTGCATAGATATATTTTTAAATGTTTTTAAACATTTTGTTAGCAATCATCTACAGATGCTGACAGATGCTTGTATTTGAACGCGGCACGTGCAAAATCAAACGTTACAGCGCCGCGTGGATGGTGCAGCCAGCACAATGTGGTTGCTTCTCTGGTGCACTTGCACTCCCTGCCCCAGAGCAACAGGTCTATTACGGTACTTTTGGGTCTTATATTTGATGTATAAAAATAGTGAGTGCTAGTTATGAATGGAAAATTAGTCAAATAATCATTTGAAGACCTCCAGGCTACCCAGAACAGCATGAATTTAAGGCATTTTTCTCCACGTGGTTTTTCAAGTTGTGACGTCACCTGCCATCACGTTTATGTTGATGAGTAGGCTTAGCCGTCTCCTCTTCATTGCAGTCTTCTCCAGCTTCAATTTCTCATGGAGCTTTATTAACAATATGTTATTTTCCTTACCCCGAAAGAGTATAGCTAGACATCTATGGTAACATTTGAATGTGTTTTTTTTTTTTTATGCAATTTTGGGGCATCTTTGCGGTTTATGCACGAGAATTTCTGTTCTTAATATTGTCGTATCACAACGAAATTTGGCATGCATATACTTTAGAATATGTAGAGTGCGACTATCCAGGTTTGGTTAGAATGTATATTTTTTTTTTATAGTTAGGAAAAATTAAATAAACACTTGTTAGCCCCCTTGCAATGGCATTTTTGCTATTTTTAATATTTTAAAATGAAAGAAGCGTCCAACACATTATTTTTGTTGTTCGTTGCACTCGGTGGTTTAAAAGGAGTGAATTAGCTTATTTTACTGCTTTTTCTTTTTAAGTGTGTTGCCATGCCTCACATGTGTGCAAGAACATTTTTTTTTCCTGCATGTACATTGCATCGTGAACCCAAGAAACAAGCTATATCAAATCTTACACCTGATTTTTAAAGAGAAAATTAAGCACCATAAACCGGTAACAATTTTATTTCGATATCGTAAATAATAAAAAAAATGTTTTCCTTTGGCGCATGTCCCCTTAATACAAGGTTAACTTTTATTGATTGAGTTAGCATTGCATCTTTTCCCGCATACGCTTGACCTTCTTGGCCAATGTCTCTTGGTACATTGAGCCTGTTTAAGGGTGTCTTACCTAGATTATCTATCTGAGGTCCTTTTGAAAAGGTGTTGCGTCACAAATAAGTAACGAGAATTTCAAGATTATTTGCGAAGAAACACCCGGTTCCTTTGAAAGGTGGATACGACCTGTCACTGTATTATACGTCTTAATAAGACGCGAAGGGACGAATACGACTCTGCTCTCAGGTGACCCGGCTCTCCCCGACGGCGCTGTCCCACACCTCGCCGGGGCAGGTGGCGTCCATGCTGGCCGTGGACTGCTTCCAGATCTCCATGAGCATGTTTCTGTTCCCCACGCCCCTGGCGGGGATCCTCTGCATGCCCGTGCTCCTCTGGCAACTCTCCGTCAGGGTCGGCACCGTTCCCACACTCTGGTGCGCCGCGTGGTTCGTGCTGGTCTTCCTGCTGCCCTTCCCCGCATCGAGGCTCCAGAAGGCCCTCTGGGTGAGCAGCGCCCCTCTCGCAACGGCGGTGCGGTTACGGCGTCTCTGGAACGCGTCTCGGGTTCGCTTGGTTTTTTCGTTAAGGCTTCGTACAACGATTGCCAGGGTGGCAGCGTCCGAACGACGTGGCGGCTTTCGGGAAGTCGTTTGTAACTGCTTTGGAACCACTTTTGATGTGCAGGCGGGAAAAAACACCGAACACGCCACTCAAAAACATGTTCTGGGTACCGTAGCTTCGACTGATTGACCGAATGCGGAACTGCCGCTAAGCAGTCGTTCTTGGGGCAACCCCGACTCTCGGATACGCTTCGGTCGTGCATAGACACGTTTGCGAGTTCGACCTCAGGGCGCCGCCATCTTCCACACTTCGGGTGCACTTGGGTGCGGCCATAGTCCGATTACGACGCCTTAGCAAGGCTTCGTAATCGGATTATGATGTGTCCAAGCGCACCCCAACCAAGCAAGATGGCGGCACACCGAGGCCGGACTTGCAAATGTGTTTTGTACCACAGCGCCTCTACAGAAGGTACTTGTTTTCAATGTGAACATACCGTGCAATTCAAATGGGTCGTCGGCCTTCTGAAAGTACCACATAAATCGAGTCCTTAACACATTACGCCAAGATCTTTTACCGAGGAAGTCTAAGAGGGTGGATTTCATGCATTAAAAGTTTTGAGAGTGAACATTCTTGAATAAAAAGTGAAAAATTAATAACCTTATTTTGCTACCTACGACGCCCATCTGCTAATAATTTGATTTTTCTCATGTGAGTTGAAACGTGGTGGCGCCAGTGTGCAAATAGCCCCCACCACTTCTGGTTCTGAACTGGACTGTGGGTTTTGCAGTAATTGCGAAATTGAATATACTACGCGCCATCTTCTGTAAATGACCGCTTATAGCACTGGCAAACTTAATTCACTCTTACGATAAAAGAAGGATGAGTAAAAAATTAGGAAATATATATGAACTGGAAGTGTGCCGGGGCTACCCAGTGGCTAGCGCCACCGTGTTTGCTGCCCAACAAAAAAGGGTGAATAGGCGTTTGATTGGTGCAACAGCCGACGAGCGAAGGCGCAGACTCTGATCTTCGATAGCAGACAACGTTTTTGAGTCAAGTCTGGCGGGGTTTTTTTTTGTGCAATGCATTATCTTTCTTATTTTTAACACATTGAATGAACGCAATACCAATCAAAAATATTTTTTGTCGGTCTATTTTGGCTACATGTCAATAACTGCCACCATCTGTCGGCTGTTACATTACCCAGATAATATCTTTCATTTGCAAATGGCTGACATAGGTAGTGAATTCACGCTTTTAATATTTTACTCCTGGCTCAGGTGACCGAATTTCTTTTAAAAATAGTGAATGAACTATCTTCAGCCGCCTCTTTACGAAATCTTACGAAATCACTTCAAAGGTCCAAGATTCCCTTTGATTCACACGGTAGAAGTGGATTCACCATGGATGCGGAGGCACTTAATTGGTCGAGTAATACACCAAAGGATCCGTGTTTTGACGGCCGACGTTGGTCCGCTCGCGCGCTTGCAGATCCGCAACGTGAGGGCACGTGACGAGCGGCTAAAGCGCATGGGGGATCTGCTCTCCTCCATCCGCCTGGTCAAGATGTACGCCTGGGAAAAGCCCCACCGGGAGAGGGTGGAGGAGGCCAGGGGCGACGAGATGACCGCCATGTTCTTCATAAACCTGCTCGACGGAATCATCGACTCTCTCTACAGCGCCATCAGCTCCGTGGTATGCTGTAGCATTGCTTTAAGTCTGCCCCGCCGAAAATTTCTCGTCGTCATGTCGAAATGCACGTGTTTCGACGTGTGGGACGCACAGAATTCGAATTAATCCGCAAATAGAGAGCCCTTGCATGACATACCTCGTTGTCCGACGTCTAAAAAAAGTAAAAGATACGAAGGAGCCATTCTAATGTGTTTGGTGTTGCAGTTGATCATCATCGTGTTTGGCACGTTGAGCATCGTGGACCCCACGCGCACGCTCACTCCCGGAATGTCCTTCACCTGCGTCTACATCCTCTCCGTGACGGACATCATCAACACTGCGGCGGCCCTCTTTCTCAGGAACAGGAGCCAGGTGATCGCGTTTTTCGTCCATGGCTGTAGCAGATCGTGCATAGGTTTGCCGTTTGATTTCAGGACTGAAAGCAATGTAGAGTGACAAATTTTAGGTTTCTCGCGCTAAAAGGAGGACTTAAATTCACCTTGAAAAGATTTGACTGCCACGTGAAAGTGTGATTGTGCTGTTTTTTGCAACATGTAGGAACCAGTAATCTATAGTAGACCTAAGTTTTTTTTTTTATGTATATACCTTGTGTTTAAATTTCTGCCTTCTATTTCGTTTAGAACACACTCCACTGATTGTTGGGCTGAGGGAATTAAGCTTCTATAATATTTTGTGAAGTGCTTTTTCACAAAGTTTTTAAACATTAACACAAAAAAAGGCACCTCGTTTCTCTGCCCCATCTTTCTTTCCATCAACAACTAAAAACATCCAATTGTTCCTCACCAAGTGCAGTAATTTAGCCAAAGATCTGAAGTTCTTGCAGGCACGCTGTAAAGGAAATTTCGTTTCAGCTGTGTTCAGTTCCCCTATATTTTATTCCCAGGTTTCCTTGGGTCTCCGGAGAATCGTTGATTTCTGTACTGAAGAAGAGCAAGGTGAAAGGCCTGTCGTCAGAAAGGACCATCCAAACAGAGGTGAGGTTGCAGGTCCCTCAACTTCAACTCACAGCGACTCGCTTTGTAAGCGTCTACTGGTTGGTCAAACTATAAAGAAAGCTTGTATTTTTCATAAAAAATAAACATTTATGTGGTTAGGTCACTTTTTTTGGGAAGAAGAGGCGTGAATCGTTGCCAAATCGTGTATATATTAAATTAAACTCTAATTGGTAAAAAAAATAAATATCCAAGTTCATTCTCTCAGTTTTCATAAAATTAAGTTTTTGAGGCAGTTACTTACCCCTATATTACATTATAACTTACAGTGCGACTGGGACAAAGACAGACAGAGGAGAAAACACAGGACAAGCGCTGAACTAGCAACTGATTCTATTGAAAAGAAAATACATATGATGCTGCTGCTGCTCGTGCAGGCATGTCCCTCCGTGGCCCTGCCGCTTCTTCTTTCACTCAACACGATACCGGCCAAGTTATTCGAGATCCAAAAAGTCTACCTCGCTCTTCATCAAAGCCACCGCGGGCTGGCTCATACACAAGGATCCGTTTTGTGTTATGTGGTACGTCTCCCTCATTTCATGTACAAGATTTCATTTTTCTGCGGGCGTGCCTACATAGGACAAACTGGACGTTGCCTCAACATAAGACCACGAGAAAACCACAGTTCTATGAAAGGAACCGCTCACACACATCTCGCGATGCATTGCCGTGTTTGCGGATGCCAACCCCTTTTTAACGAAACGACAGCGATGTTCCGACACAAACAAAAACTACCCCGAGAAACTACGGAGACGTACCACATAACACAATACGGAACCTTGTGTGTGAGCCAGCCCACAGTGGCTTTGATGAAGAGCGAGATCGACTTTTTGGATCTCGGATAACTTGGCCGGTATCGTGTTGAGTCAAAGAAGAAGCTCCAGGGCCACGGAGGGTCATGCCTGCACAGCAGCAGCAGCATCATATGTATTTTCTTTTCAATAGAATCAGTTGCTAGTTCAGCGCTTGTCCTGTGTTTTCTCCTCTGTCTGTCTTTGTCCTAGTCACGTTGTAAGTTATAATGAACTCTTACCAACTTGCCCAATTGTCCATTCTGTAACCTCTTATTTAGGTAAGGCCATAATTTAGATGCTTTCATCAGACGAATTCAATGTCTAGTCACACCTCTGCAGTAAGCATCAATGTCACAGTTTGTAAACTCAATTTTTGTGACCCCTGTTGAGGCGTCGTCGGTTTATTTGCGGCTATTCCAGCCCAATTAAATTGGCTGTACCTTACAAAACTGTCTTATGCAGCTCATTTGAAGTGTTTTGTGTCGTTAATTCAAGTTCATTAATGAGTTCATAGCTGTTACAATAATGTCCTTTGATAACTCTAGTGAGTAACTATGGCTAACGATTGCCACTGCATCATTATGCCACAAGCAGGGCTCGCCTGGGACTTGTTTTTCGGTGTTTGAGCATGTCGTCAACATTTTAAGTCTGCTTTTTGGTGACAACATCTTGGAGCCACACTCTTGCTATTCAAGTAGCACTAAACTTACAAAAAAGAAATATTTTAAGTCCTTAAATAGGACACGAAGATCACAATAAAATGTCCCCCCTTCCAAAAAAAGATTTCAAAAACGTTTCATTGTGACATTTATTTAAGCGATTCCAAAGCACGCCTCTATTTTAGAGTCGACGTCTCGAAATAGGAACACGATTCGGAAACGGTCTCCTTACCCGAAATGTGTCTTGCAATGTTTATTTTAGGCTAAAACATTCTGTTTTGCCGTCGCATTTTCATGTTAGGTTCGGGTCACAAAACAAGCTTTCGCCATTTAAAGGTGACCCCTTTTATATATTTCATTGCAGGCACTGTCGCGCTGACAAACTGTTCCTTTGCCTGGACAACCAAGGGAGACGGAATGGCGAGCGCTGTGCTCAAAGACGTGAGCCTCATCGTGGAGCCTGGATCTCTTGTCGGCGTCGTCGGTTTCGTGGGCACCGGAAAGTCGTCCCTCATAGCCGCCATCTTGGGGGACATGCACTGCCTCAAGGGTGCTTCAAACGTCGTGGTGCGTACAGTCGCTGCATACGCCCTGCCCGGCTGAGCAGAGTGTCGCAACAGTCTAAACGTTTTGCCTCGAAGTATTGCGGGAGATGCGAGGGGCGCGACGGCACGAGGCGGCGATTCACCGCACGTGCGCCGTCGGTTGTCACGTCACGTGCTTGTGCACGGCCGCCTTGAAACGGTGCCTGCGTTGTGGAAGGAATACAATTACATGTGTCTAAGTGCTACACACAATGTCCGAAGGCTCAGGTAGCTTCCTGCTCGTAGTGTAAAATCCACATTTCATGGATGCAGAGAACAAAAATTGTGCGAGTTCGATCATGCTGAGAAAGGCAGGTGAACGCAGAATGTGTGACAGGCCTTACACTTATCGGCGCTCGTCTTATGGATCCCTGGTCAAGGCTCCTCCTGCTGCTTCTGCCATTTTTTATCTTCTCCATAAGCTTGCCCCTCTCTTCTTTCACCGTGCAGCCATGGCCACACTGGAAGGCGAGAGAGGCATCTCAATGGCACCGCCTCGCTACAAAGCGAGTGTGTCAAAGATTCACTCCCGTTTCTGAAAGACACCGTGAAATGGCGCAGCATTACGTGCCCAGACACTTTCAAGGCAGCCGGCGCGCGGCATTTGATTGCTGCGCGAGAGTGTCTCTCTTTGCGTCGTTGTTCCTTGCTAGCTCTATTGGTAAAGTATGTTGCTCACAATCTCGAAGTGGTGAGTTCAAATCCTGCCGGGGGCCTGAAGTTTGTTCGTATGGTTCCCTACAGGCATAATGCTTTCGGCGTCGGTTTTTCGTTGCAGCCAAACGTTGCACCCAAAACGTTACAGATCTTTGTGGAAACCGTCGGATAAAATGCGTTTTGCGTTAGAATGTGTCCCGCTCCCAACCTGGTGTTTGGTGCTGTTGTCAAATTTGGCACATCTGACTCCTTCTCCACCAATGAGGAGTTGGCGGCGAAAGGATCCCAGGGGAGAGCACTCCTGCTAATGGTACCTGAAACGCGTCTCCACTGGTCCATCTACTGCGTCTGCGCCCTCCATTTCTGCCCAATGACGTGGGAGTGTTGTGCTGTTGCTGGCTGTGATTCTGGAGACGACAGAACAGCAGAGGTGTGTGTGGCTGATGCCTGTTCCGCTACGGAGCTTGACAGTTCACGGAGGCCTTGAAAACCACGAGCTGGGACGTAGTGATATTCTCTCGTACCTTTTGGACAAAACTTCTTCGACCAACTGCCAAAATCGCTACGTTCGATAAACGTGACACGCTGACTCCTGTGTTGCCATTTGTTACCTTCTTGGGACCACTTTTAATGTGCGGGAGGCACGGGACGCTAAACGCGCCAGTCAAGGACGCATTTCAGGCACGGTAGTTTCCCTACTGACCCGGTTTTAGAACCCATGCTTTGGGTAATTCATGTTGCTGCAGCTGAAATCTGTTCCGAGTCTCTTAACCACGCCACTGCCGGTTTTAAGTTTGCATTTGATGTTGTGCAGGGTCGCGTGGGGTATGTGTCCCAGATGCCGAGCGTGCACAACATGACCATCCGTGACAACATCCTGTACGGGGAGAAGATGGACAAAGACCGCTACGAGCACGTGCTGGCCGCCTGCCAACTGACGGACGACCTGAATCGTCTGCCAGCCGGAGACCTTACCGAGGTCGGGGAGAAGGTGAGCCCGCCCCAGCTTTTGGGCATGGTTACCCCGCCATGCCGTCAGCTCGAAATCCTGCGTCTCGGTCGTATGCCACCTAGGGTTAAGCATATTTTTACGGTGAGATTTGTTATTGGCAAAGTTTCGCAGCAAATGCCCGGTGTATTTCGTGTAGGGATGTCGTCACACGTGACGTCGCAACGTCACGTGAGGGGACAGCGTGGTGTAACGTCACGTAATGCTGACGTCATGTGCCACCATGGTGTCACAAGATACCTGAATTGCGTGATACCATATGACGTATCAGTGACATCTGATATCATAGAGTCACGGGACGTCAAGGTATCAAGTGATGCGACACGGCAACGTTTAGTGGAGAAATTTTTCTGTTTTATTTAGCGAGGAAATTTCTTGCTGAATTTAGTGGGAAAATGCCTGCCCGTGTGCAGTGTGATGTGACTCTGAGTATGTCTGTCTGCCACAGAGTTTGCAGTGAACCTCGGCTGCCGCCATGGTTCACTTACAGGAAGCGGGAATTTTTTCCCGGATGCTTTGCAATTGTTGCTTAATTTGAGTGAAAATCAGGACAGCTTGATTTTGTTGGGGGAAAGAAGCATCAAATCCTGCGATTTTTTTCTTTAAGGGTGGCAATCCAATCGACAAGTGACCCTAGGAAAGTCTAGACAGTTTTGTACGTTTCGTTTTCTGCATAAAATTGAGCTGGCAAATGACACAGTTCTAACTGCAATTTGAATATCAATATTATCGTTTGGACATGAATAAAATTAGAATATATTTTAGAATGCAAATATTTTACATTAAATGTGAATTGAGTTTGGATACCTTAAAATATCATGAATGGAAATTTTGTTCAAGAAAGCATACCTATGAAAGGGAACTGTTTTATTAGATGAAAAACAATTTAACATATTTGTATTTAAAAAAAAAGTGTCGATAAGATGAGTTGGGTCAAACATTATTTAACATGGCAAGCAAAGCAGTGACCACCTTATTTATTTGTATAAAGCTTAAGCTTTTCTTTTCTGGCACAGTCCTTTAAAAGCAGGGGTTCGGGATATTGTTATAGCCAAAGAAGGCTGCCCCACAATAGTGAGCAAAATTCACCAGAGCACCAAGCCAACATGTGAGCTGTTTCTCTCAGAATGCCGTTGCAAAGCAGCGAAGCTTGACACGCGTGTGCCGGTGCAAAGGGGTGAAGCTCAATGCCAGAGCGCTTGGGCAAAGCAGCTAAGCTTGATACGAGAAACCAGGGATTCAGAATCTTGTAAATATTTCGATAACTCGAATACCTCGAATGGTAAAAGTGTTCCTCAAATCAACTAGCAGAATAGTATTTGCGAGTTGCAAGCCTGTTATAATTAACCACACCCTGCGTTTCTTGAACACTGGTTCACACACTTGTGGCTGCTTACGACCGGATGCCTCAAAACCTCTTGGGATCTCCTACGACGAGATCAGAGCCATATATTGGGAGAGTCTGGCCACTAGGCATTGCGATGAAGGTGCTGGAGAGGAGGAAAGTGAAGGAAAGGGGGAGAAAGGAAGGAGGGAGCAAAGAGGAAACGACCGCCACTTCGACACAACACGCTTTCGGCGCAGAGCACTGTTGAGGCTACGCATCGTCTGCTACGGGCCGACTTCTTTTTCGCTCGAATAAAAGTTCGCTGTCAAACGTCGAGAGAACTTCATTCGTTAGCTTTTTAACCCACTGAGGAATGACACTGCCGTGAAATTCCGAGAGATGCGTCGCCCCCGAAAGCTAGCCCGCCCCCTATTTATGGCTTTATTTGCTATATCTTTTTAAACACCGAAAGGTAGCCCTTTGCTAGTAACAGTAATGTTGGGATTAATGATGGCCTCGGCGTAAATGTCGCTAGTTCGCTATGGCGGGATATAAGCAAACGTTGCTGACTGGGAAGTACAATCATCTTTGCTTTGTTGACCCTCGCCACTATAACAAGCTTGGAAAACTTCCCTTGATTGTACACCAAAAGTTAGCCCATTTCATATTTTCAGCCAGTTTGCTCTTTATGTTAGGTGGGCTATCTCTTGGGATTTGACGATATATCGTTTTCTTGCCAGAGCCATCGAAATGAAATGAAAGAGGCGAAATTTGGATGTCGATCCCATGCATTCCACCAGACGAATGACTGAAAATGGCAGCCCTCCCCACACAGCTGGAAGCAGCCGGGAGTTCACGCGCATGCGCTCGTGCCTCTCACTCTGTGCCTCGGGCCGTTTGGCTCATTCGGGTGGGGTGCGAAACGGTGGCGAGATCATAAACTGGCCAAACTCTCACAATATACGGCTCTGGACAAGATAACATGCTAGCGCCCACCATCGGGTAGCCGCGGAACACTCAAGATTTTCATATTTCTTTTTTTTTTATCTTTCTTTGCGCATCAATTTTTTCTTTTTTGCCTCAAAAAACTTTTGACAACATCATAAATGACGATATCTCATAAAGAGTATGTACTTTTGATCTTCCGAATATTGCAAAACCTTCACTTTAGTGAAATGCAGTTCCAGGGTCACCTCATAGATGGTGCCTGCATGGTGTGTTTTCTCGTCGTAAGAGATCGCAAGAACTCAGTCGTAAGCGAACTAAAGTGCGTACACCAGCCTTAAGTCGTCGGTGACTACTATATTTGGTGGCCTTTACCGTCGACTGGCCCGTGGTCATTGTCAAACTCGCAGGGTGAAACTCTGAGCGGCGGTCAGAAGCAGAGGCTCGCCCTGGCACGTGCCGCCTACAACCAGTGCGACATCTACTTGCTGGACGACCCCCTGAGTGCCCTGGATCCCAACGTTGGCAGGAAGGTCTTCCAGAAAGTCGTGAGCAACGACGGCGTCCTTCGAAACAAGGTTTGCCCGAAAAACGTCCCGGAATCTTTCGGAAACGTTCGCGAGAGTGAGGATTGTTATTTTCTGTACCGTTCCGGCGATGTCTTATTGTTATTCCGTGATGGGGAGGTCTTGCTTGTTTGAGAATAAGGGCAAAAAGTTGATGGGATATGCCGTGCTGTACGGCGTGCGTTGTAAGGCTGAGAAACGAGGAAAGGCTGGAGGTAATTGTCAAAGACACACTCAAAACGCAGCCAACTACAACATTCAGGGTTGCCAAGCATCTGCTAGCCTTGCATGCTCTCTGGTTCAGAGCTCGTAGCGTTATAACGGAAACTAGCAAAAACAGAAATTAAACCAACTTTCCTCCCATGGTACTTGATTACTCGGTGTAAAAAATATTTAGGCATTTATCATAGTGAGAGATTGGGATGATGCATTGATGCATTAACATGTGCCCATCACTTCTTAGTATATGCATTACTACTCATTACCTGTTCATTTGCCTTTCTTTTTTGTGTGTGTTTGGTACCCCCCGCTGTAATGCCGACAGGCGCTGCTTGTATTGAATATTTGAATATATAAAATTTGTCGGCTCCTACACTGCTTTATCGCATCAATGCCAGGTCTGATAGGAATTCCTCGGCTTTGAACTAAGAGAGATAGGCGCACCTTGAAACTGAAAAGCTCGAGAATTGATGCACGAGATAGATAACTACACATTACAGTATATAACTTGTAGAACCTATACACTAAATTTGCACGAGCTAGAAAATTAATTTCATGGCTTATGTCGATACAGTAAAGAATATCTCGAGAATAGAGCATGCTGGAAATATTGCAATGCAGTTGATGCAATTGCCCTTTGAGTTCTAGATGATGTGAGCAAGATTTATTATTACAGCGAAGTTGTTTATGGCTAGGGTTCCGTGGATTTTTTATGTGCATCAACAAAAACTCAGGGAGGGCTCGCACCACCCTCTCTCTGTCGTTGTTCCAAGTGCCTGCATGCCTAGTTTTTTTTCCTTCCACCGGGTGGCAGTCCCGTTGCGTGTGTCTAGTTTCCTCCAACTCGGAGAAGGCTTGCACCGCCCTCTCTTCGTTGTCGTTCCAAGCGTTTGCATGTCTAGTTTCCTTTCCTTCCGCCGGGTGGCGGTCCCGTTGCGCTTCTAGTTTCCTCCAGCTCCTCAGGGTGGCAATAGTCCTCGACATGTGTGTGCGTACCTTTCGTCACGATGACCACCGATCGAGACAACAAATGTATTTGTACCTTTGTTCAAAATTTTGTGTCATGTCTGTGTTGTGTGCTAAACAGCTTTGCTGGTCATCCACCTTCAAAGAGTGGAATGGCTCGTGATTTCTCTGTATAAATGCCTTCTTTGATTAATTCGTTGCCCTGATCTCGCGTCATCCATTCATGTTCATGTTCCAAGGCAAGTTTTGCAAGTTTCTCCTAGAACACCCTCAGTGCAGTGATCATGGACATTTCTAACTAAAACTTTCTAGCGGTTTAGTGGTTTCTGACTACTAGTTAGTTTATGATCTCATTGTGCATCATTACCAAGGCATCAGCTGTTTATGAGTACAGTAAACAAACAAATGAACGAATGAATCAATTGCGTGTGTCAGGTGAAGTCTCAGTGTTTGAAATGCCACAAGCGACACTCTTTGGATCATTGACGGTTCTTTGAATCTCTTGTGGTTGCAGACGCGCATCCTCGTGACCAATCAGGGGGACCTCTTGTGCCACATGGACCAGCTGCTTCTTGTCCACGACAACAGGGTGTCCGTCTACTTCAGCGTCGTAGACCTTCTCGATGACCCCAGGGTCCCCGAAACCATCCGACTCGCCTTTTCTGCTTCGGTGCACGAGGCCGCCGCTGAGAAAAGGTTCCAAAAAATTTTCAGCAATAATTTCGGGACAACCTATAATGCTATTTGGGAACAAATCTTACACTGTAACTAAAGCAAGGCACCTCAGCTTCAATTTACTTTTAAATTTTTATTTTATGCTTTTTTTTGTTCTAAACAGCCAGAGTGAAACGAGAGAAACGCAGGATGAATCCAAGGGTAAACTGACGCAACAGGAACAAGGTTACACTACAAGGGTACACATAAATTTTCTGATAACTGAACTGTTGAGACCGTTTTCCGAACACAAAAAGAAACATTCTGCCGATTTTGTTGGAATGACACTGTCGCAAGGCGAGGTATGTCGTCGACTGGAGCATGCGATACGTAGCGAGCAGGTGCAGCACTCTGTCTGTGAGTTGAAAAAATCACTATCAGTTCTTTTGTGGAGCATGAAATTATGAAAAGTATTCTCAAATATTGTAAACTTTTTTTTTTATGCACCCTTGCACACTTGAGGGCATTAAATAAGATCTCACAAATGTTTTGAGGGTAATTTGAAACTGGGTTGTGTTATAATCTTGCATAGGCACTTGCATGTCAGTAACACAAGCTAGTAATCCCATAGCCACTTCTGTATTACACTACCGCAAAATCTCAAAAGGGTGCCCACACCCGATTAATGGCCCATTCCCCTTTGTTGCCCAAATATCTATTTCAGTCACTCTGCCAATACATCGCCCACGCTCCAGAAATAGCGATTCCCAAAAGTAAAAAATGCAGAAGTAGACTATTTTCTTTTAAAGCTTCCGATTCTTTTTACTAAGGAAAAAGGTCACATTTTTGAGGACTACGAGTGGTAAGGAGGCAGAACCCGACAAAGGTTCAAGGTTGCTCTTTTTTTGTGCCCCCGCGTCCGATTGTCCAAATTGATAACCGGGAAGGAAAACTAGGTCAGTCTGACCTAGCCATCTCATTCCTCAATCTGCCAGTGAACTGTGAAGACATTTCTTCTGCGGTCCCAGTATGAGGTCCAGCTACACCATCCAGAAGAAGGTGTAAATCATTAGGTGGCACCACAAGAACGAAACCAACGTGAGCAAGACTGCGCACAACTTCGAGGTTGACAGAAAGCGTGTACGGGAATGGAACAAAAAATAGCAAGTGCTCGTACAGCAGTGCCATGAAAAGACCAAGCTAAAGAGAACGATGGGTACTGGACGACCCGTTTTCAGCGAAGAAATTGACGACGCATTGATGGACGTCCTGGAGACTGAGAGATCAGCCAGTCAAGCCGTCGGCAGTCGGCTTGTCCAAGAGCACGCACGACAGCTAGCGGCACAGATGGGTCTGGGCAACTTTCAAGCATCGTGCCAGTATATCGCTCGCTGGAAAAAGCACTACGATGTGTCCATGCGGGTTGGGACAAACGAAAGTCAAAAGCTGCCTGCTAACTCTGCTGAAGCGATTGCAGTCTTCAGAAAGGCTGTTTCGACTCTTTGCCGGGGGCATGATTATATGGATTACAACATCACCAACATGGACCAGACAATGGTGCGAATGGACAGTCCAGCAACAAGAACGAACAACGCCAGTGGTGACTCAAGTATCCGAATTACCAACGCCGGCTGTGCCTGGCGAAGAATGACCGTGGCTTTGTGTGCAGTGGCAGCGGGAGTCAAGCTTCCAGCATTGATTGCGCTTAAAGAACCAACAGGCCGGATACCTCTGAGGGCACCATTTGCGCTCAAGATTCCAGGTATGTTTTTTTAAACTTCCTCCGACATAGACTGAGGTAACTACACGCTTAGAACTATGCAAGACAGAAACAGAAACTATAAAACCACCCCACCATAAACTGCCCTTCCGAACTTGGGAAAAAATAAAAGTCAGACTGTGGCGTTATCGGTTACTCTAGAGCCACACCATTTTCGTCTTGCTTCGCCATTGTCTCAAAAGATGGCGCAGCCACCGCCCAAAATCAATGGTCAGGTGGCTATACTTCGTTTCACCTTATGTCCGAGCACGGACGATGTTATGAGCCGAAGGGCCAATCAAACAGCGCAAAAAGCGCAACGTCATGGCGTGCTCCTTGCACTTGATAGGACTAGCCGGCAGAGGAGCACGCAAAGAGGGACGGCGAATACCAGCTATTCCTATCAACTGCAGAGAGCACACCATCACGTTGTGCCTTTTTCGCTGTTTGATTGGCCCTTCGGCTCATAACATCGGCCGCGCTCGGGCCTAGGCTGAAACGAAGTATAGGTAAGCTCAGTGGGTAGGCCGCATTTATCCGCTGGTCGTGTATGAGGCCTGTTGCCTTAGTGCTTTATTACGGCATGCACTCTAGTAAGTCAGTCAGTTCGAAGTTGTCAATTTTGTACTGGTATTGTTTCCAGGAAATGTGTAGGTCACATCAGGAGCGGCTGGATGACCTCTCCCATCGTGGATACGCAGGGTCTGGGAATCGAACGTTGACGACGTGAGAAGGCTCGTGCTGAATCGGGTGCCGATTGATAAAACTGAGGCTGCCCGAGAAGCTTTCTTCACCAGGGACACAGACACAGCCTTGATACCAGGCCAATGTGTCGTGGATGAAACCGTTCAAGGATGCGTTGCGCGAGTGTTGGGCTGTGTTCTTCCGGGAGGGAGAACTGACCCCCAACGGAAATCCAGAGGCCATCTAGGCAGAACGTTGTAGACTTTGTGGCGGAGGCGTGGGCCTCCTTCTCCGGGGACACGGTACGGCGGTCCTTCAAGAGGTGCGGCATTTCAATGAAATGGAGGACGGTAGACTCACTGACTGCTTGGCGTCGGTGGACGATGCGGCACAGGCAGGACTCTGGGAACACGAGAGCTTGGTGAACGAGGCCTTGGACTTGATTTTTGATAGCGGCAGTGATGTTTCCTTCAACGGACATAGCGACGAGGATTAGCGAGAATAATGGCACAAAGAAATCTGTTGTATTTTTTATGGTTTTTGGAGTTGACTACCGAAACATGGCCCACCCCACTTTTTGCTACAATTATTTCTGGCAAAAGGGTGGGCACCCTTTTGAGATTATACGGTAGGTGTCGTGTGCATTTTGTCTACCATAATGAAGTAACTTACTAGAATGTTCCAGTGAGTTCCTGAAATCAAAATGCAAAACTTCAGACTTATTTTTCTTTAAAATAGAAGTTTTATTAAGTCCGCTTTTCTTCGGTGCAGCACTCTTGTGCCAAAGCGAGAATGATGGCTAATAGGTCATGATTTATGGTTCATTTTATGTCCCGTGTGTGTCATGATTTAGTCATCAGTTCTATTGAGCAACCGGAATGACAGTAAGTGGTATAATAACATGATTAGATAAAAAGTCTACTCTTAATATACCAAGCAAGAATCCATTAAAATTAAGAGATAATATGAAAAACTGGAGTATGGGCATTTGTTACGTCTAAGAGCAAAAATACAGAAGGGGCACATCATGAGTGTGGGTTTCGTCGCTTTGCGCCAATGCACTCGTGTCTTGCTTCACTGCCTTGCACTGCTGCACGTGCATCAAGCTTCACTGCCTTGCACTGGTGCGTGTTTCAAGCTTATCGGCACATATGCATCGAGCTTCCCTGCCTTGCACTGCCTCACTTCTGTCATGCTTCACTGCTTTACACTGGTATGCTCACATCGAGCTTCACTGCCTTGCAGCGGTGCACACGTCGAGCTTCACCGTTCTGAACCATCATGCGCAGAGAAGCAGTTGATGCGGGGGAGGATCGCGGTTCACTGTGCTCCGTTTCACATTATGTCCGGCTGCATCGGATGCTACAAGCCATCGGAGATAACCCAATGCTGTGTGAGCGTTAGGTGACCTTGGAGAGGGGATGCAGTGGTGCACTGAGAGTGCATCACGTGCTACGTTCACAGGGCTCGATTGGTTGGGATGCCTCGTAGCATCTGCTGCAGTCAGATGTAAGGTGGAACGGAGTATAGGTTGGCTCGGAGGTCGGGGGCGAGCGCGTAATATTGCACGCGGCATAAGGAGCCTGGCGTGGCCTTGCCAAATGAGGCTCTTGTCCTAACCAGCTGTCACGCCGACACCTCAACGCTCACTGCTGCTTTCTCGGCGCCTATTCTTTTGTTTCGGGCGCGAGTTCACCGATGAAACCTTCATTTTCGGTTTTATGCTTGTCGATTCGTTCCCGTCCGTGACAATATGTCCTTTGTTATTTCTCGAACATTTCCAAAAATGGCTCTCATTGTGACATGGGCAGTCGATTTGCTTTTCGGGTCTCTGGCCGCGGCTGTTCGACAAGCGTCTTTGCAACAGGGTGGCATACGACTCACATGGGCGCTGGCCAAGCTGTCGGGGTTCTGGGCTTACCTGGCACTCCTGGCTTTTGTCGGGAGTGGCGCAATGTACGCCTGGCAGCTGATCTGGATCAAGGAGTGGATGGACGCCTTGCCCGGCGCCAACCTGTCAGAGCACACGGTCTGGGTCAGGGGGCTCCTGGCAATCTCCCTAGCAGACGGTATGGTAGACACTTTTCAACATTTGTCTAGTAAATAACATAATTTACAGTAGGCGAGAGTCATACGAGTTCCTGTCTAAAAGTGCCGGGCTTTACAATAGGAAACCATCTGACTGCATTGTAAAATTTTTCTCGGTATTTGTCTAAAGAACTGATTCATCGCGAGACTCTAAAGAAATTGTAGTAGCACTTGTCCTGCACCTAATGATGATGCTCTTAAATCATCATCGGAGCTAATACAAGCAAATTTGATGTGCAGTACAACTGTTAGCCTGGGGTCATTAAAGTGCACTACACAATAGTGATACTCCCGCATGTGTTGGAATGATACTCATTCATGATCGTACCGCACTGATTGGTACGATCAATGATCGTACCAATCAGTAGAGCCCAGACATCTTGATACAATTAGTTTGTGCAGTCCAGCACCTAAAATGTTAGATCCAGGGATGCATCTTTATAGAGCGTCTAATGCTCTATCAGTGCAAGCTTCGATATAAATGCAGGGTTGCCGAAAATACAGCTCACACTTTTGGTTTTTTTTTTTTCTTTCTAAGTAACTTTTAGCGACCTTTATAAATATTGCAGTATGCTGTATGGCTTGGAAAGCAAACTAAGCGTTTGTGTTTAGACGGTGCAAGGCCTGCTGTCTTTGAGCTGTGGCAGCGCTGCAGGTTTACGCAGCACATGAGAAAGTCGGCCAGCAAAGCATGACCGCTAGCCCGGGGTCTGCAACGCACATCGTGCAGGAGTGATTACACGACTGCACGTCAGTACGACGCTCACCTGCATCGAGAAGCGTAGGGTGGGGATCAGTAAGGTTAGTATGCAATACGTTTCAACGAGCCACCGAACACGCAACGCTTTGGAGTAACCACACTTGAGCCATCTCTGTGCGTAAAACCATCGTTGCTAGTTATCCGAAGCTTTTCCCAACGTCGCAGTTGCGCCCGCTCTGCACTGGACACCAAAATGGCGGCGCCCATGAGACAATCTGATACTATAGCTTATTCAGTTGCTCTAGGGTCACCAACAGAACTAGAATCGCGGGGAGGTCCTCCAGTTGTCCCACCTTTGGCACGAGCTTTAATGACGCTTCGGCATCTCGTAAGTTTCAAGCGTGCACGCGCAGCCAAAACACGACAGAAGGCAACGACCTCGTGCTGGAGGCCGGGCATGCGACAGAAATGCCCCGACGTCCTCGTTCTGTCGGCGCCCATAGTTGGAGCTATCCCATCACGATGTGGTCTTCTTTCTCGCGTCCAGTCGTCTTGCGGGCCATAGGCAGCAGCATGATGGCGGCGAGCGCGCGGCAACTCTCCCAGTCGCTGCACAGCGGGATGCTGAGTTGCGTGCTGTCCAGCCCGGTGTCGTTCTTCGACGCGACGCCGCGCGGCCGCATCCTGAACCGCTTCTCGATGGACCTGGACGCCATCGACAGCCGGATGTACCTGAGCGGGAAGCAGTGCATCCAGAACAGCCTGCTCATGCTCGCCAAGCTCGTCATCATCGGCATGCAGGCGCCCACCGTCTTGATCGTGGGCGTTGTGGCGGCCGTCGTCCTGGTCATTTCTACGGTGAGACGCTTGCCTCGGTCGGGGGCGTTGCAATCTTTGGTCGAACGTCGGGGTTCGGCTGGTACAACGAGCCTTCAAACCTTTGGCGAGGTTTCACGAAGTTTGTCCTTAACGCAGATATTTCGAATTTTGTTAATATGAATAATTTGTAAGCTATAGTTTCATTTATATATGTTATGAAATGATTGCCAATGTTTACGCAGTATAAAAGCAGATATGTGTACTTTTAATGCCTTTTGATGCCTAATGACTTTTAATGCACGAGATTTGCGAAAAATATTTTCTTCTCCGCTTGCTTACCAGGAGGCGTATTTGCACGCCATATAAATTGGTGTTGAGGACAAAGCTGGAGTCCACGAAATCAATCACATCGATTAGAGCCATTACTGTGGGAGACAGGATTAAAAAAGATGCTCTACTGTCAGTGTAGACATTTGAAGGCAATGTCTTGCGAGATCATGAGGAATTGAGCGCAGAGCAGCAGTTATACACACAAAAAATGTCTATGCAGCGCAACCGAAACCATCTTGCAAACAAATAGTATTAGCAATGAGCTCTATCGTGAATTTAGATTTTAATTGTGTTGCAATATCTTGAAAAATTGATGCTAGAGGAACAGTTTTATTTTCCGAATATATTTATGTCGCAAAATCTAGAACCTGACAGGTCGCGGCCACATTCGCACGCGGACAGCTCGATTCTATTTCACGCGGCGACAGGACATCGTTTGTCTGCAGTCCGAGGGTTGGTTCAACCAACCGCACAACAAAAATCCCCTTAAATTCACAAATATCTCGTCTGACAAAGCAACAAGGGTAAACAAATAAAAACGAAAAGTTGCAATACATACAGCAGTCGGGAGGCACCCCGACGCGGCTCTTTACCTGATGGTATGTCAGAGCTTTAATCCCTTCAAGTGATTTCCTCAAAAAATTTCAATGGGCGAGTGGGGCTCTTTCTCGGTAACTGACGCCATTCAGCTCCATGTATTTGAGGACTTCGTCGGATGCCATTTTCCTACCACTTAATTATATCTTTTGAATAAAATATGGTTAGTTTTGAAAGCTCGGCATCTAGTTAAGACTGGCAGCACTACATTTGTGCAGAAAATGAGCGTTCAGCAATCTGTAGTTTATTTTTGCAATAAACAACGTAAAAAACCCGTAAACATTTTTTGCGACACCCTGTAGAATTTTTGTCGAACTTCGTGTTAGGATTTAGAATAACTCGGACCTGGCCGAGCTCGATGCCTGGCAGTTTTGAGATATCCCTAGTCTTGGCACGCTTGGAAGGCCCTCTCTTGTAATGAAGCCATAATAGAGCCTTTTCAAGCGTGCATGTCATCTACTACCTGCTGCATCATTTATCCGATACAGCCATAGTTTGGCAACATACTTTGAGCATCTTTCGGACACGATGGCTGCGCTCAGTGAGGGCTCGGTTCCAATCGCATACTTCATGCCCAAGAAATTGGTGACCGCCAATGTTGCTGGATAAGTGGGGTGACCAGACGTCACGTTTTGGTCGAAACAGTCCCGTTTTAGAGGCCCATTTCTGCCGTCCCGTCCTTTTGTCTGAATGTAGACAAATGCCCCGTTTTCGTGGGAACGAGTAGAAGAAAACAAAAAATAAGCACTTATGAGTTGTGAATGCGAAAGCATGCACGCCGCTCTTCGCTCCCTTCTTTAACCTGCGGCGTACAACGTGCTGACCTTGGGCGTGAACGGTGGAGCCGCTGCCTCGCGGACACGCAGCGCCATCGGGTGAGCGATCGTTCCAACTGTCGTGTGCCTTGCGGCGCGAAGAAGGAACAGACAGCAACGTAGTTCCCAGCATAACGAACCCCTTCCATGCGCCGTAGATATTGCCACGTGCCGTACAGCCGATAAGAGGCGAGCGAATGCGGTGATCAGTGATAACACAACAGTGTGATAACACAGTCAGGATAACGCCACACAAACTGACGCGCAGCGGCCAAAGAGAACCTCGTCAATGCGCGCCAGCCGATGGGATTGAAGTGTAAAAAGTGCCGTTGGCTAGCTCTGCGCGTGGTTTCATTAAGGTGCCGTTTTGCATGGTTTCAAAGCTGATGACGTCGGCTCGCTCCATGAGACAGTTAATGCTTTCGCATTAAAAATGATTGCTCGTGACTGTGTATTAGAAGAAACAGTATAAAAATGTTACCTCCAATAGAGTATGACTTTTGGTTTTTTCTGTGACTCCACTCGCTACTAATAAGTTTTGTTCATGGTGTGGCGCACTTGTCGATAGTACTTCATTTCACATGCTTAGGTTTTGGCAGAATAGGTAAGAAGGTGCTTGTGTACTCAACTACTCAACGAAAAGCCCCAGAAAAGTGTGCATTTTCACAGTGAACCGAATTGTAGCGATGGAACTACGCTCCGGCTTTTGCGACATCACTTGTTGACACTTTGGGACTGCTTTCGACGCGTGGGCAGAACGGGACCCTAAACACACTGCTCGGGGATGCTTTACAGGCACCGTGCCGAAACCCCGCGGCTTTTCTCGACGTGTTTCCTAACCCCGATACGATTTTTCCCGGCCCCGTTTTTCCCAGCGGGTCGCGGTCCACGCCTCCCACGGCGCTCGCTTCTGCGAGAGCGTGCGAACCTCCCGCGTCCTGCAGCACCTGACGGAGACCATGGACTGCCTGAGCACCATCCGGGCGTTCGGGGTGGTTGACCGCTTCTGCGACCACTTCTGCCACCTGGTGGACCGCAACATGTGCGCCTACTCGGCCTTCACAGGCTGCTTCCGCTTCGTCCGGCTCGTCTCCTCGGCCGCCGTGCTCGTCATCGTGCTGGCGACGGTAGCGCTTGCCGTCCTGGCGACCACTTTCACCGACGGAGACCACTCTCCAAGCGCGGTGGGCCTGACCTTGAGCGCCGCTTTGGCGGTAAGCACCAGCTTTGCTTTTTTGGGGCCGATTTGTCATCCTTGCTTCAATGTGAAAGCCCGTTCGCACACTTGCGTTTGCTTAGGAATGAGCTCTTGTGATCTCTTTTGACGAGAGAAAAGGTTCCCCTAGAACTGCATTTCACTAGAGCGAAGATTTTGCGGTATTTGCGACATCAAATGTGCATCTTTTATCGAGGAGAAATAGTCGTTTATAACATTGTCGAAAGCTTTTCGAGCCAAGAAAGAAAGAAAGAGGGATGCGCGACAGGAATAGGAAATACACGTAAAAAGGCTAAGTGTGTTCTCTCGTCATAAAAAATGTTTAAGAGGATTTAAGGCACTCAGTCAAAAGCAGCTGCAAGTACTTGAACCAGCCTTTAGAAGAACTGAGATAGACTTCGTCGTAAACGGTCTATCTCAGTTCAGACCGTTTACAACTCAGAATAGACTTTGTTGTAAACGGTCATGACAGTGGGTGCATTATTCTCCAGGTGGGGTTTCTCGGCCATTTAGTTGGATTTCAATCAGACCGTCTTCACGTCTTTGCGATCTGTCTCAAAACGGTGACGTTCCTTGCGCGAAACTTTTTTGCGCGCCTCTTGATTCTATACGTGTCGTTGCATCCAGATCCCGATCAGCATGATGACCCTGTGCATCATGCTCTTCTCGTACCTTCAAACGGTGGTGTCCTTTGAGCGAACCCTCGAGTACACTGAACTGTCCGGCGAGGTGAGTGTGCCATCTCTCCCAACGCCGTTTCACACATTGATGTTTTTTGTTGCAACTGTCAAATCTCGCAACTCCGGATAAATGGCATCTTTGGGCAAAAAGGGAAACTCGTTTTTTCACAGGTGGACGTGGAACCCGAGCCGGAGAGCGTGAGCTTTCGACTTTTTAGGAGGTCCAATAGGAGCGTCCTCACGAGCCCGGACGGTCCGTGGCCCTCTGACGGGCGCATCCAGTTCGTGAACTATTCGGCGTCTTACCGGCCCGGAGTGCTGCCGGACGTCCTCAAGAACATCTCTTTCACCATTGAGGCGGAGGAAAAGGTCTGGATTGAGCTTTGTTCGACAGCTACGGGCCCTTTTTTATTATTAAGCACCATGTGGGGACTAAAGCAGTTTGACTTTTGGAAAACTAACGGTGGCTTCTAAACCGTGTTTAACTGCGCACCGTCACTTTCCCATGTCGATGGAAGGTGATAATTGGTGCTTCCATTACCTCATAATTTCTTTTTGGCTTGACTCAGTTTCGATATAAACTTAACGGTATAAAATGGAGACCCATAAGACTTTCGATTAAGTTTCTGCCATCAAAAGGCTCTTCAGAGCCAAACTTTTGACGAAAGATTGGTTGGACCACACTTTGAAATAAATGCTTATACAGCCGTCATATCTACTTTGCTCATATTGAATGGGTTAAAACAGCGCAACAAAGACGAAGGACCAGTAAAAGAAAACACACAGACACAGCGCTGACTTACAACTGAAATATTTACTGCTGCGCCATTCAGCAAGTAAACTTGAAGGGAGACAAACATAAAAGCAATCGGCCCGAAAACACGTCATCCTCCACTCAAGCCGACACGTGGCTACACGTATTTTCCCGCCTTTCTGATAAAATTCATTTCATCACTAACTAGAGCAATTGATGGAACACTAATACACTTACTTGCCTGCGTCATGGTTGGCAATAAAAAAAGCTTCGTCAATCTCCCGAGCATACTTATTTTTATGTTGGGCTAAAATCTTAATTTCATTTAGGGATGTCGCGAACCACCTTAGGTTCGATTTTGAAAGGTTTCGATATTTGCGAAACGAACTGAGGTTCGATTTCGAAAAATTTCGATATTTTCGTACCGATTGAGGTTCGATTTCGAAACATTCGCAACTTTTGACCACAGCGGTGTTTCGAATTCGAAAATTTCGAAGCTTTCACGGTTTCTAAAATTTCGAATTTGAATATTTCGAATATTTTTTTACTTCAGGTTCGATAAATTTGAAGATTTCGAAATTCTTTGTAAAAAAAATTCGAAAACTTCGAACGCTTCGAATTTTTATAGACATGAAGTTCGAACAATTCGAAGATTTCGAATTTCTTTTTGCATAAAGTTTGAAAAGTTCGAAGGCTTCGATTCTTTTTTAACGTTAAATTCAAAAAAAAAAAAAAAACTTTGAAGATTTTGAATTTCTCTCTAATCCAAGTTTTCAAAGGTCGAAGTTCGATTTTCAAGTTTTTCCACAGTTTCAGTTTCAAATAACGTTTTCACGACTCACTGGTTTTCACAAAATCAAGTTTAGAAAAGTTAGGGTGTGATATCTAGATTCTGCGAAGTTGGTCAGGCAATTAAATGAGGCGACGAGTGTCCCGGAAGTGCTAGAATATTTGCCAGTGCAGAATTGTGACCGCCAGCCCTGGGTGGGGGGGGTCTTCAACCTGCATCACGCAGTAGTGATTGCACGAACACACTGTTTTACGAGACTCAGCCAGTTGGAAACGGCCAGGGGCGAGCAGGAGGTTGAGGCTCAGAAAAACCTTGATGCGACCTGGCAAACTAGCTCGCCACCCCTTGCACGCTGGTAGTAATCCGATCTGGTGAAGTTTATAATTGTCCTGGAGGTTTATTTTCTGGGACGGAGGAATCGCCTCGCAAAAAGCACGAAAGCCGACACAACTCGAGGTCGAGGAGCGTTCTACCATACAAGTGGCGTCGAAAGAGGAAAAACGGGGGAAAGAGGGTAGCGAAGGGGGAGGGGGGGGGGGGGGGTGCTTCAGCCTCCTTCCCCTTGCAGGTATTTCGGACTGTTAAAGAAAACAATACGGGGAAAGAGGGCGTGGTCGAGCTTATTTTAATCTGAAATTATTTATGCATATGTATAGCTACTGTCGCTCTTCACTGCATATAAGGTTGCGTAGATGGTCATTGTTAGAAACTCGTTGTCAGAAGGCACTGCTCGTCACATGCTTAGTGGTTCGGAAGTTCAAAGCTGTATTTTCGATCTAAACACCTGTGCCGATAGTAACAAAAAAAAAAAAAAATAATAAAAAAAATAAATGCGAGAATAAAAAGCAGGAAACAAAAAAAAAAACTATCAAGAATTCGTCGGAAGTGTTCTATTCTTGCATATTCAGAGGTTCGGAACTTCGAAACAAGTTTCTTTTACCAAAATGTGTACCGGCTAAAAGAAACACGTCCCAGGAACGTGAAGCGAAAAAAAAAAAAAAGTTTTCTTTTAATGACGTGCTGAACTTGAACACTACTAGAAATATTCTCCCATGAGTTAATTTATTCATCAACGTGAAAAAACAATGAATATATTATTTTGTATTCTGCAGATGGCAATGATATGTACTGTCTGTGGTGTTAATTTAAATGCGGTACCTCAAACAACTTAGACGAAAATAAATATCAAGTTTAGGTCATAATTGCATGCAGATACATGTTTGGACATTTCTTCGAAACTCACGTTGAATAACAATAATCACATCTTAAGACGGCACTTACCTAGGCTATACATAGATCATTCTTAAAAAAGTATAACATATCTACCATAAATAGCTCCGGCTGCAGCGTGCTTCAAATCTGGCACAAACGATAATCGTCAAAAACCCGTCGTCCTTCCTCGCCCCTTCGGGGATTTATTTCTTTAAACCTAAGCATGCCAGAACATTGAAATAAACGACATTGTCTTTCATAAGGAACGCAGCACCGCGTGTAAAAGTTCGAGAAAAAAAAATTACGAATGTACACCACTACCTGAAATCAAATGAAACCGTCCGCCGGTCTTTCGAAGTTCAACGAACGTCGAACTTTTACCCTAAAAGTTCGAAGTTCGTCGAACTTCTGACTTTTCAGAATTCGAAAGTTCGAAACTTTTCGAATTCTCTTGATAAATAAGTTCGAAAGTTCGAAATTCATCGAATTTTTTGGTCAGTCAAGTTCGAAAGTTTGACAAGCATCGAACCTTGCAGCGCCATAAGTTCGAAAAAGATCGAATTTTTTAGCGTAATAAGTTCGACGGTTCGAAAAGCGTCGAACTTCTTAGCTTAACAAGTTCGAAAATTCGATCTCCGTCGAATTTTACGATATAGAAAATTCGAAAAATCGAAATCTTTCGAACCTTTCGAACCGCTTGATTCGATCATCGAAACTTCGATTCGAAAAAAGTTTGCGGCATCCCTAATTTCATTAAACATTGGAGATGTTTAATGAAATTTTGTTTAATGAAATTAATGTTTAATGAAATTAAGATTTTAGCCCGACATAAAAATAAGTATGCTCGGGAGATTGACAAAGCTTTTTTATTGCCAACCATGACGCAGGCAAGTGTATTAGTGTTCCATCACTTGCTCTAGTTAGTGATGAAATGAATTTTATCAGAAAGGCGGGGAAATACGTGTAGCCACGTGTCGGCTTGAGTGGAGGATGACGTGTTTTCGGGCCGATTGCTTTTATGTTTGTCTCCCTTCAAGTTTACTTGCTGAATGGCGCAGCAGTAAATATTTCAGTTGTAAGTCAGCGCTGTGTCTGTGTGTTTTCTTTTACTGGTTTTTCGTCTTTTTTGCGCTGTTTTAACCCATTCAATATGACCATCAGCCAACTTGCCCAACTTTCCACCTTGCTACTTCGCTCATTATGGTGTACTGATGTCTAGAATGTATAGGCCTCGTATGTCCTTTGCTTGACAGAATCTCAAACTTCTTCCTTCATCAGCCTCAAGAAAGTCGCCATTAGTTTGGCAGAGATGCCCTATACTGAGAGGATAGGGTAGTGGTCAAATTTGCCATAATGAATTAGGAAAATGGTCTATTGGTGGGGCAATACACTACACGGGCAAAGCGTGCTGTACGTGTTAGGCACATCAATGTAAGGATATAAAAGGTGTTTTTAGATTACCGTAAAACATCGAGCATGTGGTTGCGTTGCATTAAGTGGCCGACTACTACTTTTGAGATGTTTGAAAAGTAAGCAACAAGCGTATCAGTTGCCCAGCCCAGACTTCTGAGCGCAATTAGCTATCCTAGGCACTCCTCGGCGTTAGCCGCTTTTCCAAGCACGCTGATGCAATGCAAGGAAGCTTAACACCTGTGCTCTAGCGCTAAGCGGGGAAGCCCGCCGCACTTGGTGCCCTTCTGTATGTTTTTTTTTCTCTCCGATCTAGCAAGTACCCGTCCCCCAGTGTTTCAGCGCTATCTTCAACTTTTCCGTGGGTGCTTGCTTGGTATTTCGCTATAATTGTAACATTTCAATGTTCAGCTTTGGTTGTAAATGTGGTGAAATGAATATTCTTCATTCCACCGTAACTTGACAAGGAGCGAGCGACAACAGCTTCTCCGAGCCAATTGGAGCGACGGAAGCGAAGCGTGTGACAGCCCTTACTAAGGGTATAGGGGGAAGAGCGTAATCCAATCAGTTGAAGGAGAAAGAAAGGGGAAACTCCCCTCCTAACCAAAACCCTCTTATGTGGGTCGCACACTTCACTAGAGCCCCGCATATTGGCGGATTACCCGCGGATCACCCGCAGATATCCGCAGTAAGCTGGCAGATGCGGATAAAAATTAATCAGGTTTGGCGGATTGCGGATCGGATTCGGATGCCAGGGGCTGCGGATGCGGATCGGTTGCGGATATCCGTGGGTTTGTATCTACAGTTTTGCCGGGGCGGCCCATAAACGTATGCGACTGCACAGTGTAGAGAGAATAAGTGAGTGACACTATGAAGTAGATCATCGAATGTATTTCGGGAGCAAACTGCTCCCTTAGATAAAAAGTGCCGATTGAGGAGAAAATTGTTCTTTACATTTGATTCTCACCGAAGATAGCTTTAGAACATTCTATCTCGCCAAAAATGCTGTCCACAGAAAAAGCAAACAATGCAGGAGCATCAGTCGTCCCGGGAAAGTGTGTTCTTGTTTGGTAAGGAAAGAGTGTACAGTGAAAACCGTTTAGAACAAACCCACATACAGCGAATTATTGTTGATATCAAACTCACGGAAAATTTAAATAAAAATGGATGTAAAAAGTATGTTTTATAACGAACATATTAACTATATCGAACTTTTTCCCCCGGGAAGGCTTTTAAAAACGGGCAAACAATCGTCTTCTAGCCTGTCCCTTCCCCAAGAAAAGAAGTAGGAAAGAAAGAATATTCAAAAACCTCAAATTGCCAACAAAGTTGAGTGAAGAGAAGCGGTCCAGAAAAGGGAGGGAGAGGGAGGGGGGGGGGGGGGGGGGGGAAGAAAGCTAAAAAACACACTCTGCACACGCAAAAAAAGAAAAAAAATCTTCATCTCAAAGTGTTTGCCCACGAGGAGAAGCGATTCAGAGGGAGAGATAAGCTAAGAAAATAAACTGCACACAAAAAAAAGTATTTTTAGCGCGTTGTTACAAGGCAGAAGTGAAGAGATGAGAAAGAAAGAGAGGCTCTCGCTGTTGTAAATGTTTTTTTGCTATATCAAACTACTTGCTATATCGAACTGATTGTAGCATTTCATGCTGTTCGTTATAAACGGGTTTGACTGTAAACCCAAGACGTACAAGCCACAAGGAAGTAGAAGAAGCCTGCAAGCGACTTCTTTGTCTGCAAGTAGATAGAGGAGATTGAATTCAATCCTCTGGAGTTATGGAACTTGCGCCAGCACGAGTTTCCACACTTATTCTAGTGACGCAATTCGTGCATGCCACCCCAGCATCAAGTGCACCAACGGAGATAGACTTATCATGAGTGAGTATTAATTTGAGAGAGGCGAACCAGTCCGAATCTTTCCAAGTTGACGATATTGTTTCTTCTACACAGCAACCTCGACGAGTGAAATGCTGCGTATGTGTGCGTTTTCTTTTTATTGACAGTTGGCTCCGAGTTGCTTTTAAGTATACCGTTCTGAGCATGCTGTTGAGGGTTCGTTCAAAACTTAAATTGATAGGAGGTGTTGCCATTATTGAATATTGTTATATTTTCCCAGTGGTGTATTTGTGCCTTTCCACATATACACGAGTGTACTTTGCTGTGGTGAGTGCGTTTTCTCTTCCACTTTTTATTTTTTGGCCTAAATTAAATGATGCAATGTTATTTGTCTGTCCTTCGTTAATTTTCATGTTTATAAAATATGCACCTGCTTGAAGTGGGTTTTACAAAGCTGTTACGTTGTGGTCTATTTATGTATTATTTACAAGAGAGGACTGTAAGAGATTAGTGGTGAGCTACGAGCCCGGCGAAAATGCCGCTAGCTCAATGAGGAACAGTGCGTGGGCCATGGCCCGAGCCGAGGTCGCGCGTCTTGGCACCTGCTGAATGAAGACAACGCAGTCCCATTATAACAAAAGCAAAAAGGAAAATAAATGTTAAAATTTCTTTTCTTTTGAGCGCATCTTATGGACAGAAGGTAAGTGTCACGGACTCTCAAGACGATCTCGTAATTGCAATCATTTTTACAGCGATGTGAAGTGTCCCTTGAAGGATGATCACTTATTTTATTAAAACAATGAAACAGGATATTATAACATGACTTTTACTGCGTTCTGATTCAGAGTTCTTTGTACAAAGGTAAGCAGACGGTTTATAGGACAGCATCCAGATGGTTTCCTTTAATTTTTATTTATGCTTGATCTCATGATGCAAAATGAATGTGTGGATTGAGGATCGGATGCGGTTCCGAATTTCATCGGATGCGGTTTGAATGCGGATACAATAATTTAAGAACATTGCGGATGCGGTTCAGATGCAGATACTAGGTCTGCCGACGCGGATCGGATGCTGATGATCAAACGATTATCCGTGCAGGGTTCTTGACGTCACTATTCTGCCCCTTGAAGATCAGCGCATCACCCCAAAATTCTTACAAAAGCGGCTTTCCTCCCTTTTCTGCCCGTGACTTCGACAGCACTGCCCAAACTAGCGGGATAAGGTATAGACACGTGTCTCTCCAACGTGCTGAATGGCTCGAAGAGGTCGTGGCAATCGCTCTATGCCAAGTTATGGTGAAATAAGGTATAGCTCACTGCTCCTCATACCTCGGCTTTTAACTCTTCACTCGATGCTCCAAAATGCTATTGGGAGCTAAACATGTTTTGTTTACAAAGCTGCATGTTAAGGCTTTGCGTTGTAAGCAAGCTTGCGTTTGTTTATGACCGAGTTTTTGCAATCTCTTGCGACGAGAAAACACATTGGAATGTTGGCGCCGTCTACGAAGTGACCGTGGAGCTGTGTTTCACCAGAGCGAAGGTTTTTTTGTGCTCTTTGCAAGATCAAACATACCTACCATTTATGAGAAATGATTTTAAGGCACACGGTCGTAAGCAGTCGAAAGTGTGTGAACCAGCCTTTATTTGTCTTGTGCTGCACATAATGCATGCATTTAGAAATGAAGAACAGGGTGGCACATCTGGGCCCAATACAACTGTCGCCTTTTTTCTCGCCCTTCAAGGTGGGGGTGGTTGGCCGCACGGGAGCTGGAAAGTCCTCGCTGGTTTTGGCATTGCTCCGCGTAATCAACAGTTCGGGGGGCAAGATACGAATCGACGGCGTGGACATTGCCCGCATTCCTCTTCACAAGCTCCGGTCTGCGGTCACGGTCATTCCTCAGGTGAGAGGTGCACGGACAAAGTCGGTAGACCAGACTTTCGTGGAGTCTGCCGGCAGTGTTGTTTTTGAATGAATGACTAGCGGCGGGAATCTCTACTGTCAAGGCTCGAGGCTGGCAGTCAAGTCTCCTGCCCAAGTGGCCTTTGCACAGCGGAGGCAGGATGTCATTCGAAGGTAGAGTGACTCCTTGCCGCGTGAACTTCCACTCAAATGTTGCATATCGAGAATGTGATCATTTATAAAAAGTAAGGTATGACAAATGCAGCCTAGGTCATCTTCCTCGAAAGTCGCAAATCACTTAATTTGTTCAGTAATTTATGCCATATTTATGGTAAGAACTAACTTAATATACTAAATTTTGAGCACTTGACACCACCTCTACTACAATAGGAGGTGATGCATGAGTGTCCAACTCGTAGCATTTTTTCCCTTCCCCTTTGTGTTTCAAGTGTAGTACAAGCCCCATTGGGACATGAGGGTATGTGTATCATAAGATACTGATCAAGCACTCGTGTCCCAAAAAGTGGCATCCCACACTTTTTGAACGTGAAAAATAATCAAGGGGCATATCAAGGACTCTCCAGAGAATTTCTGAGATGACTTAGCTGAGATGCTAGTCCGCACCAGCCGCTTCTTTATGTACACCGATGCAAAGCGGGGAAGCTTGACACGTGCGCGGGTGCAAAGCGGCGAAGCTTAACCGACGTGCACGGATGAAAAGCTGCGAAGCTTGATGCACGTGCACCGGTGTACAGCAGCGAAGCTTGATGTGTGTTCACTGGTGCAAGGCAGTGAAGCCCACCCTACAGTCTGCCCCTTCTGCATTTTTGCTGTCTGACCTAACAAGCATCAATCTCCCAGTTTTTCTAGATTACCTCCAAAATTTCGGCCAAACACTTGCTCTGCATTTTGTGGTAGTGCAGCCACTTGCACGTAAGCAGGTGCTCCCAAGTGCCACGAAGGATGGATGAATGGTATTGTCTATACTCTTTTTGTCGGGCGGTGCCTTGCACCACCTGTTCTAGGAGCCCCCCCCCTTCCCGCCCCCCCTTTAAATTTATCTCTCGGTATAGTTTTTGACCCGGGTTGCCAGCAGATCTGCCGTAATGTCCTTTCAGGACCCCAGCCTGATTCGGGGCAGCCTCCGCGACAACCTGGACCCCTGTGTGATTTACACGGACGACGAGATCTGGGAGGCCGTGCGGCAGGCGCACCTCGACGAAGTTGTGCACAAGGACCCTGCGGGACTGCTGCTGGAGACCGGGGACGGGGGATGCAACCTCAGGTGCACACTGCAGCGGACGCTGTGGCAGGCTGTCTGCTGCGGCTGAAAAAATGATGTTTTTCTATTATCCCAGTGCTTTGAAATTAGTCGTTTGAACTGCACGTGTTCAGTAACCAGTAAGGGGAGGTACCGGGTGTTTTTCAGAAACAATGAGAGTGTTTTTCGGTTTGCGTAAATAAGCCATGGATTGCTGAAAGCTGAAACTCTGTGGGAGAATACTTTTTAAAATTTACTTTACCAAACAATGTCAGTACTAAGCCTTAACTTGTTTCATTATTAGGAGGCTATTGAGATATTTCGGCAGTGAATGACTAAATGCTTGTATCAAATCCCTAAGCTTTATTTCTGTAACAACTGCAGCCCTCGAAGGGAGGCATTCCCCTTTAATAACGCTCCCCTAAGGTTTATAATTTTGAAAAATGTTTGCAAAAGCTACTAATGTATTTAGATAAAGCCCCCATTGAGGCTGTATTGTCACGAATGACAAATGATGAGGTGGCGAATAACTGGAGAAACTAAACGTTTAATGGGGCAAACTCGTGCCCAAAACAAAATAGAAGGTTAGCGTCGCTGGCGTCGATGTCGGCGAAACAGCAAGATTGAGCGCTGGGGCGAGACTGACTCCGGCTCACCACACGGAGCTCCTTATGTACAACCGTGGGCTTCTGGAACAGTCGGCGTAGAAGGTTTGGCGTGTAGAACATTCGGACCTTGAAGAAGCAACGGGGTTCTTGAATGTACTAGAACACAACATTTCCAGAAACAACAAAAAGGTGCATCCGCAGCCAGGCTTCGAACTTCGGCCTTTTGCATGGGAACCAAGCACGGTGACCATGCAGCCACGAGCGTGCTTGCTAGCAGACGCGCTTGACAATACTTGGTTGGTTTGCAGCGCCGGCCAGCGGCAGCTGGCGTGCCTCGCCAGGGCGATGCTGCGTAAGCCGCGCGTGTTGGTGCTGGACGAGGCCACCTCAAAGATGGACGGCGACACCGACCGCCTGATCCAGGGGGCACTCCGCACGGCCTTTCGGAGGTGCACTGTCCTGACCATCGCTCACCGCATCAACACAGTCCTTGACTACGACAAGTGAGTTGCTCGTATCTGGTTCTGCGTGCAAGTTGCTGAATTTAGTTCCGAAACTACATTTTCTAACCTTAGCTTTGTGTATTAGGATCCCTCCACTGTGACTAATCAGCTGTTAAATGAAAAAAGTCCTGTTTTATTGAAGATGTTCCTTATTTTTATAATCTAACAAATCTATTAGTTGTAGAACTACTGCAATGCCCCGATTTATCATGCACCCCCCTGCCGCCTGAAATTCATAAAAAAAAAGTGAGGTGGGTCATGTCTCGGTGAGTAAGCACAAAAAGTTAAAAAAAAAAGCCATCAAAACGCCCATTTTCCTGTACATATATAGCGCGGCTACACAAGAATACATAAAACTCAAAACTCGAATTAGTTTTATTTTTTTATGCAAGAATTGCTCATGAAAGAATGTTCTACCAAATTTTTTGTTGCTTGCATACGCGCAATGAACGTCGCCGATCGGCATGCAGTGCAAACATTTGTTTCGTGAAAGCACATTTCTAACACAGCTATGTTCTCTTCATGAGGAAAAAAAAAAAAATGAGTCAACAAGGAAATAGAAAAACCGAGTAGGCGCAACGAGCGAGTGGGGAGCGAGTGGGCGAAAGAAGCAACGAAGAGCGATGTTGGGGAAGTCGGGAAGCCGGCGATTCCGTTGGCAAACACTTTGGCATCGGGCCAGGTTGGGCACCTTGTCAGTCACAAGGAGCAGGCTCTTGTGCAACTTTCTTGTTTGGTGCATACATGCGTTCGTCCGTGCACAGCACGTATATAACTCGCGTTAATAGCGTGCACAGTTAACGCAGCGTTAACGTAAGTTGAAGCGGCGTTGCTGCATGGCATGAACGGCCCTACGAACATGGAGCTCGAAGTGAGATGCTCTACAAACATTCCAGCAAATCTTTATTTACCCGTTGGCTTTGACTTAAACATTGCGCAATCTTACCAACCAAGGTTGCGACGTTCCGGCGGACTTTGCTCTTACATCTTCGTCCTCACACTCCGCCGTTACATTCCAGGACCTTGCGATCCCTGAGTGGGTTATTGCGTGCATTATCTTTCTGACTTTGTTTTTCTTTTTTTTTTTATCCGAGAGGTCGTCCCAGGCGTCGTCTTAGACGTCCTCCTCTAGGCATCATCCTAGACGTGGTAGAAATAACAGCTTCGCTTCCCATCCTCGTCGCCAGTGTCAGGATCTTTCTAGAACGTGGACGAAGGGGCCGAAGCACCTGCCGAGAAGAGACGACACGCAGCCTGGTTGTAAGGGTGGACGATGACTGACCGGAGCGCGTGCGCTCAACGGCGTTTATTAGCGCGGTGAACAATGTTGCCCGCCGAACCAGGCGGCCGCAGGTGGGCGGACTGGAGGGGGGCGCCACTAACTTGTCACACTCCATCTTCACGTAAAGTGGAAGGGCTCTACAGTTTTATTTTTGTAATTCGATATTCGCCCAAGACGTGGGGAGGGCAATGGTTTGGGGATGAGTGATGACTCAGGGACTGAAAATATTACAGTAAATGAGGCATATTTTTATCGACCATGTGCGAATATTGTATATAAATGATATACTGTTAATATGCTTACTCGTGTATGCTTCGATTTATTTTTGTATTTGCTTAAAAGGATCCATCACTAGCCATTGGCTATTTCTTTTTTTTTTTCGTGATTCTTTTCTGATGGAAAAGTAAGTTAGAAGTAACGCCATCACTGTAGCTGTAACGCGAATTACTTTTTGCAAGTAACTTACCCAAGACTACAATTTGTGCGTTTCTCTGGCGTGCTACTTGGAACGTGTGTATTAGCGCCGAAAAGCTCAGAAATGCCTGGCGCGGCTTCGCTCAACCGCAAGTTTTTTCGTTTTCTTTCCAGGATTCTAGTGATGGGCGAGGGCCGCGTGCTCGAATTCGGGCCAGTGAGCGAACTGCTTGCCAACCCACACTCCGTGTTCCGAAGCCTTGCCCAAGACGCTGGAGTCCTGAGATCGACGCAGGATGGCGACGACAGCTGCACCACCCAGCTGTAGAACACCGCAAGAGTGGCGGTCCTTTTTTTTTAATTTTTAATAAAAGATATGCTATTTTTCTTTTTTTTAAAGAAGATGATTGGAAACAAGTGTATTCAGAGTTTTTTTTTTCTTTTTTTAATTCTGGGTCAGAGTCATTGGAGCCAAGAAAAAAAAAGTTATGCAATAAAAAAAAGTTATGCAATGTAGAACACCAAAAGTCTGAAATCGATCGTAGGCGAGTAAGTATATCGAGCCTAAAACATGACTTAACTATGTAAACAGTGTCCCCCAAAAACTTTATAGAGTATTTTTGTTTTGTTTTTATTACAAAAAGAAACTATGCATCGCAGAACACTCATTCACCACTCAACGTAGCGCTAGCTGTCCGAACCAAGTGCCAAAGTCTCGGCACTAACCATTATTTTAATTAAGTGTTACGGGTGATTTTTTAAAGATTTTCAATAGGAAAATGGAGGCCGACAGTGCTTTTTAATACATGGAGCTCTATGGGCACCAGTTATCGAAACGGGGCGAAAATGGGCCCCATTTTGCTATCGAAATTTTCAGAAAATCACTTATAACTTTTGAATAATATGAAGGTTAGGGCTGAAACTTTGGCGTCTGTTTCGTACCGCTAGCGTTACATGTGGGCGGAGAATGAGCGTTCGGCGATGTGTAGTTTACTTTTTGTAAAACAACTTTTTTTTTTTTTTTTTTTTTTTTTTTGCGGGGGGGTACACGTTGTAGTCAGATTTAAGACCAAGATTTTACCAAACACCTCCATTATTAAGTGAGCAACTCATTATATCAGAGATCATTATAGTTTTCTCACCAATTTTTAAAACAGTAAAAACAAATAATTTGCTGCATAGTTTTCGTAGGGGGGATAAAAGCTGCAGCACGAAAATGCTTTGCGCAATGGCGATACCCGCAGGCAAGCTTCTCTCCCTCTCTCCTCCCCCCCCCCCCCCCCCCCCCCCCCCCCCCCCCCCCCCAACAGAGTGCTTTGTGGTAAAGCAAAGAGCTCGAAAAAGCTGGATAGAGGATTTCTGACTAAACTTCGTTTCAACAGCGTGCTTTGTGGTAAAGCAAAGAGCTCGAAAAAGCTGGATAGAGGATTTCTGACTAAACTTCGTTTCAGCTTAAGTCCAGGCTCATCCAGCTAAAGTAAGGGTATCAATCAAGCGGCATCAAAAGTGCAAGTCACTGGGTCTTTTCAGTTTATGATTGATTCAGCAATGATTGATTGATTGGTCCCATCAGCTCGTAGCGTCAGTTCCATCTGGACAGAGCCGAACAACGGAAAAGCGCTAGACCAAGCAACCTGCAAGCGCGCTTCTCCCCACGCATATGTGCGTTGCGCAAAAGCGTGAAACTTGTAAGCGCGCTTCACTGGCTTCACCCCACCCTAAAAGTACATGCACTGTTGGAAAGCAACCTGTGCAGAAATCCTGCACGCAGATTTTGCCTTGGATTGAGCGCCTCTGCCGTTATTATGCGTTGTGCCAATGTATTGTGCGAGTGCTGGTCTCTTGCTAGTTCTAAGCTAATTCCTTTATGAATTTTGTAAACCAGTAAACAAAACATTTTTTCAAAATATCTGGCAGGAAGAAGCGGTGGCTGGCTTCTGGAGTCATTTCAACGGGATCCCTGCTTATTCACCGGGTCGATGCGAAACATGCGAGAGCCCCTTGCAATCGAAGTCTTAAATCTAGTAAGTCGGTGACGCTTCAGTGTCCCAAAAAGTGAGGAATACATATGCGGACCCAAATGTGCATAATGGTGATATTAAATTTGTATACAATTCTTAGTAAAAATAGGATAGAACAAATTAATCAATCGCCTGAATTCGCCGGGCCATTGCTGACAATTTAAAAATTTATAAAAATTTCAGCTTTTTTTTTTTTTGTCACGTTTCGTAATGACGAGAAAAAAAACGTACCTTCCCCCCTTCTTCTGTCGCCTGGACACTAGAGTAAAACGCTGCTCCAAAGGCACATACGCTTCGCGCACATTGCACTTGCAAAACACATCCACACGGCGTCGATTCTTGATCGGTATTCAAGCGTACGAATGCACTGAGATGCAGCACTTCAGCGTGCCAAAAAAGCGTTGATCACGCCGAGAGATTGGCAAGCTTGCCTTTTTCTGCGAAAATGTACTTTAGAAAAAATTTTCGCGTGTTTTCAACTGCAAGTCTCACGGCTTACACTGTATTTTAAAGCACGCCTTTGGTGAATGACAACGAACGAGTAGAAAACGTGTCTTCAGTACGCTGCCGCCAGCCTTCGCAATGCTTTGCAACGCTAGCAAAAACGCTCTTTCACCACTTGCAAGATGGCCATCCGTTGGCCGCACTCGTTGCATCCGTTGCATCGTTCAACTTTCAAGCAGCGACAGCAGCTGGCACACGCGACTTTTGTAATGATTTTGATTTCGTACAAATTATTCTAAAAAAAATAAAGAAACTACACATTGATGATTAAACTTTTACTGTACTCCAACTATAAAAAAAAAAAAAAAAATATTTGACGAATTTATGTTTGAGGGGGAAAAGCCGGAAAAGCTCCATCCAGTTGGGTAACCCTGATTTGGCGCCAAAACACTTTTCCGGGTTCTGCGGGCGGTACTCCCTGCGGTGCTATCGCTGCGTTTTGGAGCTTGTTCCGACTTTACGGGGATAAGTGTGAACCTAGTTTGCCCATTTTCGTCACGTAGACCCGTTCTCCACATGCTCTGATTCAAGTAGCTTCAGATCCTTCTGAAGTTTTCGAGTCAAAGGTCGTAAGCTCCCCCAGTCTTCGGGACAATGCAGGCGATGAGCTGCAAGAAACCAAAAAATGAGCGGGTCGGGTAAGTGAACTTTCTATCACTTGTCGCCTAACATTTTGTCGACTCTAGTTTCGTCGAAACGCTTCGTGGGACAGTGCCAGCGAGACGTCGGCGAGCGTCCGTGGACGCATTCTGAATTGTGACGTTATCGAATACGCGATAAAATGGTCAGCGAAGCTGCCCTGCCAACACCCATTGGCAGGGTGATCCCAATTGCAAATAAAGACAAATTTTATGAATGAAGCAGTCTCGTAGCATGTCAGAATGTCCTATGGCGTCTCCTACAGCCATCGGTTCCTTCCGTACGCAGAAGGAATTCACTCTAAACACGGAAACGCCGCAAAACGGCAGATGCGTGCGAGCGTCGGCGCTCGCATGAAGATGCAAGACGGTGCAAGCCTTGTCTTTTAAACGGTATCGACCTTGCTCGCAAGGATTGAGTTCCATGTATTAGCGCGACAGTGTTCTTCCCTTTAAAAGCAGCGTCTCTTTTGTTCCCGATTTTTCTTCCAGGCAGTTCGGCGATTACTGGGACTTGAGGATGAAACTGCAGAAGTCTGAGTCCGAGCGGCCCCAACGGGGCTCGGGGCGAGAGGGGTCCGTATTGTAAACACTTTTTATGAACACGTATTTCGTCGGCACTGCAATGTTTTTATAACCAGGTATTTCGTCGACACTGCAATGTTTTGTGGACACATGCCATTGCAACGTTCCAGTGCCAACATATAGTTGATTTTTTTACTACTAAGTGGATTGGATTGCTGGATGCGTACAGGAACTAAAGCGTACTCACTTAGGCAGTTCTAATATGGCAAAAACAAATTTGCAAGCCCTAATCCTGGGCTTTGGAAACAGTCCGTGCTATGTGTCGACACTCCTTGCTCCGCAGTTTTAATATGATCTCGGACCTAAGCTTGCACCAAACCTTATTAGAACCGCCAAAGGTTCGGCATGCCAAGCTACCATCCGTATGCCGGCAAACGCGATCTGCGCGGAAAGACACTTTCGTCGAAACATCGCACGGTGTGTCTATGACACGATCGCGGTGTCGACGAAACGATCTGCCGGTGAAACGCCGTTGAACTGATTGCCGAAAGGAGCGAGTGTCAACGCGAGTTCTTTCCTGCTGATCTTCAAGCACTTCTTTGGTTGGACAGATGGATAGATGAATGCTAGTGGTTGTACCCTTTATATCGGGCAGTAGCTCATGCTATCTGACTGTGAAACATTTAACTGCCCCTTCTTTTAAAATTTCAACCCAAAGTTCTGTCGAGCCGTCTGACCCATTAATTTTGCGCGCAATTTCACAGCCACCTAGGTGTATTCCACCAATATTTTAATCTTCTCGCCTCCTTTTCTTCCACTGCCAGTGCTCCCCCGAGCTGTCCACGGGAAAGCACAGTCTGTAGAACTAGATGCAGGCAAGCGCGAGCACTATACAGTTAACATCCTTACAGCCCACTGGACTATTCAATCTTGCGCGCTTTCAGAGACGATAAAGGCAACGGGCAAGGCAATACTTCACTTCATCTTAACTCGGCAAAGAGCTGACGCTGCAGCCCCTTCGAGCCAATCGGAGCAGCAGAGGCGGAGCACATGACAGCCCTTACCAAAGGTACAGGGGCAAGAGCATAACCCAAGTGGTTGGAGAAGAGGTAGAAAAGGAACACCCCTCTTACTTTTACCCTTTTCTTTGTCCCCCTAGAAGACTAGTTTGTCACTTAAAATTCATGCATAAGTGGCTTTCTGCTCTCCCACCCGTGGCCTTGACAGCACTGTACTCAACTAGTCGGATAGAGTAGACTTGCGTGTCTCCCTTCGACGTGCCGATTCCGATTGGTCCCCGGGACCGTAGCCTTCGCCACTTGGCAAGTTACGGCGAGATGTAGCATAGAAGTGCACACCAGGCATCAAAGGCTGGCCTTAACTCTGCTGCTCGTAGTATGCACCACGGATTCCTCTTCGTCCGTTCCTTTTGTGCTGCCCCCGTAATCAACGACGCTGTATTGATTAGATTAGCCCTATTGTCAGTGCCAGTCAACCTTGACTGTCTACGCCGTGCGTCGTTCCAGGGTGGCGCCACGGCCACGTAGGCCAGTAGCGGGAACGGAGACTGACCCGGAGGTTCTGGCCCGACGACTCAAGCAGCTCGAGTATGGCAAGAGCACTGAGGGTTACAAGCGGTACTGCGACGCGGTGCCAAAGTGAGTGGCTGCGCCGCGCCTGGCTCGAGGCTGGTTCACACACTGGCGTTACCTTTCGACCCGCGTATGTATTGCTAGAATCGTCATACGCATCGCTTCTTTATTGCGGGCTCAAAATAATTCGGACCACCTCGTAGGCGACCACGTCTCGTAGATGGTGCATTGATGTGATCTCGCAGGCACTGCAGAACCTTCCGTCTAGTTTTACGTAGATGAGAAGAGTTCCCAGGCTACAAGAGGACAGACTGCGCCAGCGCCTTCTCTCGTCGTAAGCCGTCGAAAGCAATGGCAAACACAAATGTGCAAACCCGCCTTAACGGTGCTGTTCGGGGCAATTCCAAGACAATTCTTCAGGGTTTGTGGTCGCCATCTTTTTAGGAAATCGGCGTCGGGAATCGGCGAAGCGTCTACATAACGACCGGAACATGTCTCAGACTGGTGTGTTTTAGCATTCTTCCCACGCCTACGTCAAAGGTGGTCGTGAAGTGGCAACAGACGACGCCATGGAGAAATCGAGGGACCACATTTTCGGGTGCGGTGAACACACCAGTCGGAGACGCCTTCTACAGTGTAGGTGCACGCCCTTATCAATTGACCGGCTTTAGCAATGGTTCGTGGTCCTAGATGCTATTGGTTGCAAAATGCACAAAAATGATAAGTTGACACTTCCATCAAGTAACACCTCCCCGCTTTGTTTCCTTCTGCTATAGACTAAAAATCAAAAAGGCTTAAGTAAGTATTTCCAAAGCTGCCTCTGTGGGTTCGAGGCAAAGCGTTGGCCTACGGGACCCCAAAGGGCATGTTCAAAGCCCAGCCAAGGTGCTCGCAGAGAAGGCGGTGATTTCAGATGCACGTCAAAAGATCCCGACATAGTTTAAAGAAACCTCAGTCCTCTGCCAAACCAACAAGGCACGCCCCATGCCTCGTTGATTTGGCACCCAAAATTCTCAAATTTGACTTTATATATTTTTAATGCGAAAGATTTAACAAGATTTTCTTTTCCGCACACTGACCTCAAAATTTCCAGTAGGTCAAAGATCATTTTCAGTCTCTTCCTTTTTTTTTTTTACCTTTTGGTTACAACGCAAATTGTGGTCCCACGCATCAAAAGTATAGCACGCTTTATGAAGTATATTTTTCAAAGACACACTGATCTATGCGTTCAAAGTTAGTAAAATGTCTGCATGCCTCCTACATGAATATTTTTCTCGAATTACAGCTTTCAAAACATCATTATGCAAAGTGGCACCCCAGTCTCTTTTTGAGTGGCCTTAAAGGGTCCCTGCAACAACTTTTTGATGGTTTTTAATTTGCACCGAACCTGAGCGCAGTGAACGTAGTAACTTGGTGAAACTTTTATTTTCTCAAATTTTGTTTTATTTTAAAAGTTATAGGCAAATTAGAATTACAAAAACAAGCAAAAAATAACCTCCTTCATGATGTCGTAGGTCCTGGCTTGAGTGGCCGTGAACTAGAGGAGGAGTAGTGAGCTCATCGAGCGCTCACGGCTGCCGCACTCCGTGTCGATGGCTCGAGAGGGCGCCACTAAAGCACGTGTTGGATAGGCTATATGAAGCGGGCGGCCAGGGCGGCTCGCATTGCATTTGCTGCGCGATTAAAGGCTAATTCGGCATAACACTTCATTGGCCACAAACGACAGCAAACACGGGTTAAAGATCAGTTCAGAACAGGAGCCACTTCGCGCAGCCATACCGCCAAATGGCCAAATCGCCAGCCAAGCCCGCGCCGAAAGCCTTCGGAACGCTTGAAACCGGTCGGATCCTCGAGTCGATATACGACCGCAGCGCCGCCACGTACGCCGCCACATACGCCCGCTGTTCGTCGGAGCCTCTTCCCACTTACCCTTTCTAGTATGCGCCGTTCTTTCCGCCGCTTGGTGGCGGGTTTGTCGACGGGTCATTTCTTGTTTCCATACTTTATAAACTGCATTTGTTTCCTTTCTGATCTCAAATACTGAACAAAAACTACTTTCATACATAATTGAAACAGTTCGCAACACTTATGTTTTGTATCTCGACTAAAAAAAAAAAAGAAGCTTTTAGCGGCTTTGATCAATAGTAAGCCCCAGGACCAAAGACGTCACATATTGCGCGCTTTCGGCAATGCGGGTCGCCCTTGTAGGTGGAGGAGGTTTCCGCGTCGTCCAGTTAAAATATGACGCACTGATATTTAGTTACTCTCTCTGTGCCCGCTGGCTTGCCGGAACCCCAAGAGATGTGGAAACCGCGAAAAAGGTAGACGCGTAAATATGATTGCAGGGCCCCTTTAAACAACCTTTTTTTTTTATTCGGAGCTGGGATTTTTGTATTTAGTTTGTTAGCGAATGACACGGATTCGGCTTTCTGGAACGACCAAGGGGCAAACAGAGGCAGAAGTCCCCCAAACAAAATGCTCCACGTGCCGTCAACAGGCGTCATTACGAGACAAAACATTACTCTATACAAAAACATGAAACCAGATGTGCATGCTTGGGCGCGGCACTCGAAGGATTAGTAAAAAGGTTAGTGTAATTGGGCCGCTCACATTCGTCTGCTGCGCAGGGACAAGCGGGAGCAACTGCACCCCCGAACCCCCGACCGGTTCGTCCAGTACAGCCGGCGTTCCTGGGATGCGCAGGTCCGCATCTGGCGCCGACAGCTCCACCTCTGGGACCCGCCCGAAACCAGGTACGGGGGGCGTCGCATTCCCCAAAATTGTGCCGTTTCGTCGTAACCCACGTTTCAAGGGGCAATCTCCCGTTCGGAACGCGGAGCGCGGGTTTGTCTGCTTCGTGCGCAGGTGTCGCGGCGACTGGGGAACGCCAAGCTAACATTGAGGTCTACCTGCTGTCCTTCTAATCCGAGCCGATCGGAGCTCGGCGTTTCGACGTCGCTGCGGCCCCCCGTGCAAGTAGCAGACGAATCTGTCCTCTGCGTAACGCGCATGCTACTCGTCTGGTTCATACACTTGTAACTGCTTGCAACCTTGTGTCTTAAAACCTCTTCAAAACTCTTGCGACGGGAGAATACACTGGCGTCATTTCTTTGGTAGCCGTGGAACACTTGGCATTTCCATATATCTCCTGCTTTTCTCCGTGCATTATTCTTTCTTGGTTCGAAAGGACTTTAGACAACGCTATAAACGACCGTTTCTCACAGATAGTACATATAAGGTGTGGCCGTAAGGACCAACACATTTGGCTTGCCTTGCATAATTCATATTCCAAACGCACATACCTAAAGCTGGGCACACAAACATAGTTTTGTAAGAAGTTTTATCCTTTTTTTTTTAGAGCTCGAGTCAGAGCTGGCAAAAAATATCAAAAATAGACCAAAAACAGCATCCGTGCATTTTCTGTGCCCTATACCGGATGTTCGTCGTTTCACACCGATTTGTGATCTTGCACCCAGGGGGTTACTGTTCCTATAATTCGTTAAAAATATTAATTATCGCTTTTATAATGATGGTTGCCAGCCTTTGCTATTGGTTCTTAGCATTTCTGCGTTCAGCAAGCCATCTGGGAGCGAGCTCATAAACCAGTGTGCAGATGACAAACAGGCTGGTATATGACTCAGAAAATATGCGGCCACCGATTTTTCTTGATTTTTAAAATTTCACTACCTCCGAGCTGAGGTCTGAAAAAAATAGGCATAAAACTTCTTGCAAAACTATGTTCTGGTGCCCAATATCAGGTACATACATTTGGAATTGGAATTTTTAAACGGGTTTTCATTCCCCGGAACCATGGCACATGGGGTAGTCCAAAAGTTTGGCGACTCTCCCGCCTTTTTCCAGCGAGTGGTCGACCGTGACGGACGACGACGACGACTTCCCCGGCGACCAGGAGATGCCCGAGGAGGGTGCGGACAAATCAGACGCGCAGAAGCGCTCTTGGGACGAGCAGCCGGATGCGCAGAAGCGCTCTTGGGATTCCTGGGACGAGCAGTCGGACGCGCCAAAGCGCTCCTGGGACGAGCAGCCGGACGCGCAGAAGCGCTCCTGGGACAGCATCGAATAAACCTTGCCTTCGTCGTGCTCACAGTTCTTCGCGCGAGACGCTCAATCAGCACCGCATAGGAGACAAAAGGCCTGCGTAAGTCCACTAGTGACATTGGGTGGGGGGAGGTGTAGGTCCTGTCTTCTAGGTGGTACTGGCCCAGCACGGTCCACTTTGCAAGTTTGAGTTCGAAATTTTATCCAAATGTAGTAATACTGATGCAAAGCAGACGAGGGAAATGAGATTGAGTAAATTCCCTCCAAATGCAGCGATGCAGATGCGGACGACGAAGCGAGTGATGTTTAACCCCTATTTATGCTTTTTTTTCTTTTTGCTAACGCCGGGTGTTTGTATGAATGTGAATAGATTATCTGGAGAGAGTGACTTACCTGTTGTACATTCTAGGTTTTCCCTTCCCTCTTTTGTTGTAAAACTATCACTATTGTCATTACTCTCTTCCTTTTACGAGTGCCTTCCCCTTTGAGCAGTTACATCCAATAAACCAGCACATATTCCATCACCGACTTGAGTTCCATTTCTGCTTGCATTGTGGCTGCCACCTGGCATGGTGTGTGTGCAGTTAATTAGAAACTCGTTCCATATACAGGACCTCGGGCTGGCTGTTGACTTGCTTCTCTGCTGCGGCAGACAGGAGTAAGTCTGCGTAGAGGGAACACTTCGGAAGAATGGGAAAGTTGTGGAGCTTTGCACACTACAGAACCACCTGCGAAATTCTATTTTGTGCTACAGGGACGCGTTTCTAAGCAACGAACCTGCGCTCGCAACTTTTTACAGCGGAGCTGTTAACGACTAGGTTTTCCAGGATCGTGTCGGGTACCAAAGAACTGTCGACACACCTACACAAACCTCTGGACAGCTACCGCCATCTATAAGCGACGGCGGCAACCAGTCTGGTTGCTGCCGTCGCTCATAGATGGCGGCAACCTTTTCAGCTATTATAGAAGAATGGATAGTTGGGCAAGTTGGTGGGAACTCATCCTGGGAAAAAGTGTGAAAAACAGATGAGGACGAAGAAACGCACGTGACGAGCACAGCGCACGTCTCGTCTGTCTCTTCGTCCCCGTTTATATTGCACGCTGTTTCCTGCGCTCTTATCAGTTTCGGTTTGGACTCGCGATGGGTCGGCCGCGTGCCCTTTCTTTGGGGAAAGAAGACTGGGTGCGGAAGGAGCGGCGACATATGCAGCAGCGCGAATGGGTCCGCAACCGCTGCATGCGTTGAGCGCTTCGATGCTTTTGCGAAAGAAGAGCAGAAATCGCTCGCCTGCAAAGCCTCTGCGGAGAACAGAAGCTACAGCTCCGCTGCTCTTCCTTCTTCACCAGAGTGGAAAGGCTGAAAGTTTTCTACCTTCGCAATTGTAAAACCTTCCATTGTTATTGCGGGGAAAGAGATGAAAATATAGGTTAACTCATCTGGTCATTCGTACAAAAACTGGCACATACTACATTGTCCAATTGCAGCGTTGTATGCCCGCAAACTGTTTTACACTGCAAGGCTCGGTCGGTACCAACGTGTCGTTGGTGCTCTTATATTTTGCTACGAGCACACAACTCTTAAGCGCCATTCCCACTCTTGTGACCGAGAGACCAGACCGGTTTTTAAGCCTTTTGCGACCTCTTAGGACCGGATGCGATGCAGCAGAGCTGGTCCTAAAAGATCGCAAGAGGCTTAAAACCTGGTCTGGTCTCTCTGGGTCTTACTCGATCGCAAGAGTGTGAACGGGCCTTTAGCACATTAGTTCCAAGCTCCAAATGAGCACTCCATCGCTTTATGACAGGTTAACACCAGTTAAGACTAGTAGAGCGACTGCTGGAGAGCAGACGACCTCCTCTGCCAAAGTGGAAAGAGGCAGGAGGAGGTTCCCGTGTACTCTTAACCAACTATAGGGTTGGCTTGCTAGAAAGATTCTTAGCCAAGACTGTATGAAAGAAAGCAATGCTGAAATTTCCATAAGGGTAAAAGCGTCAAATGAAGGCTACACTCTGCATCACTAGTACTGGTTCTGTGCAGTGCAGGCGAAGAGAGAAAGGGCAAGCACTAGGAGGGGAGAAAGGGGGACCACTAAGAACGTTGGAGAGAAGAGGAGGCTTTACTCCTCCCCAGCCTTCCTAGTGCTTGCCCTTTCTCCCCTCAACTGGCATTGCCTTCGCCTGTATTGTGCGCAACTAGCTACGCCGACTAGTTTCGAGCGCTCGTTTCTAGCAAGCATGGTAGAAACAGCGCCTCGATTCTGGCAGCAACTCGATCTGTTGTGGCAAACAAAAAAAATTTGATGTCCTGCACTAATCCACAGTGCACTTGCAGCGGCAAGTTACAGCAAAGTTGTCGGCGCATTCGTCCTCTGTGGGGTGCGAGAATAAAAGTGTTCGGAACAAAATAGACATTCAACCATTTTGTTCCGAACACTTGTTTTTTGTTTGTTCCGGAGCGCATAAAAGCACCTGAAAGACGGTGCTGCAACAGCATTTTGTTATCTGCTACTTTTTTTTTTCTTTTCCAGAGAGCGCGGGCAGTGGGCGTCTGGTACTAAAAAAGACCCCAAGCTTAGAGTGGGTCAGTAACGGTGCGGCGTAGCTGTCGTAACGCCTCTGCTTAGCACGTGGCGGACCCAGGTTTGATTCGCATGGGCAGCGGGCCATCTTTTTCGAGGATTTGGCAACGCCGACGATGGACGCCCTACTTCACCAACTACAACATCAACAACAGAAGTCATTTCCAGTGGTGGGAAGATTCCACAACAGCTATCTCTGTAAAACACTGCCGTCAGTTCGTGCCAACAGTGTCGTTCAGCACATCTAATCTCGCAAGCTGTGCTCGGCTAGCGGCAAAGTACACGGAAACATTCATTTTTATACGTCGTTTATTTACAGCACCAATAGTGGTGTCTCAGTAGTAGCGTATATACATATGTAAACGCGTTTGCATTGCTGTGCGCTTGATTAAAGCGTGCATCCGGGAACGTCGTCGATGCAAAAAGGCCTGCAAGGCATGGATCGAGGCAATGTGAAAGACGATCTGCTTATACTGACAAAATGGTGAAATTTGGTACCTTTCTAGAGGAACGGTATTCAGCTTCCGACGTGATACAAAACAGGAAACAGGCTTACTTTTATTAAATTTTCTATCATTCCTTCTCAGGAAACTAGGTCACAGGCAATTGCAGCAACACAATGCATGCAAAGCTCTTTATGCACTAGATACATATAGCTAGGCATCGATTTTGTGGGCTTTAATGACGGCGGTGGTGTTCGGCTAGTTCTCAAGGATGTGACGAAGTGTGAGAGACGAATTGCCTGCAAAGAATTAAAGTGGGCCGTGCTCAATGCTCTGGTTTACACACAAACTTGAATCAACTTAAGTTTTTAGAATGCCCGACCACGAAGAACGTCTCAAATGCACAAGCCACGGAGGAACCTGAACAGAAATGTTTGCTAAACTGACGTCGCATGCTTGAGCTAAATTAGTTTGGAAGAATGCAGCTTGTTGCACTGACAACGTAATGCTTTGTCGGACTAGGAGTTCGGCCACTTTAATACTGTGCCCGTGACGTAGAGCAACTTCGGAACGGATTGGGATCCATCACTAGTGTTCACATGTGCCACATACAACACTCCCCTACATCAGCAGTGCAAACCTAAAAGACTATCCCAAAACTGAAGAGCCCCAATCTGTAAAGTCACAACTGTTTCCTTTAACAAAGGATTCCTCTAAATGCGACTGCTCAGACTTGCTCAAAACCTAAAAAACGTGGCGAGCGACGTAGGTATGTTCGGTCTTGTTTTTTCACTAAACGCCTAGACACCAAATCCTACGCAGGTTTCGTTTGCCAATAAACGTTTGGAACCTACACGCTTTTTACGTCCATAAGTAGTAGTCGTCGGGAAATCAAACAAAAACAAACCAAGTCGACAGCCAAAAGATGGCGCTGCTAGTTGCAAAAGGTGCATCTCCCCTCACAGTCTCAAATGGCTACAGTCGAGCGAGACGACGGCTAATTTCATTTTTATGTAAATAAAACGTTCCAACACCATCCCCCCCCCCCCCCCCCCCTTCCCCGTCGCCTTTCCCTGTCTTGCCAGACAATTCAAAACAAGAGGCAATAACATAAGCACTTCATCTTTCCTATAAACATATTTACTACTACCTAGTCAAAGAACACAATTAAAGTTTTTAATTACACTAGGTAGTAGGACGGGAATGCTCATCGCCTACGTTTAGTAGAGGCATAGTATACTACCTATTCGCTCTGTCTACTTTCTCGTCTTTGCTTTAGAACAAGCAGCGCCACCTTTTGCCAGCCGGGCCAGTTTGGGTTCTTGCGTCCGGAGGTACCAGTTGCTGCCGCGCGACGGGATATTGCCCTCCTTTAGCGAGTTTCGACAGGCAGAGAGGGAGACGACGTTCCAGACGACGATACTGTTTCGTGTAATCTCAAAAGAGTCGCAACCGCCTCCTCCAACAAAGAATTCCTTCAATCTAATAAAAATGACTGCTCAGACTCGTTCAAAATCCAAAAACACAGCAAGTCTTGTAAACTCCTACGCAGGTGTTGCTTGTTGGATAGAGGGGGAGCGATAAAGAAAAAAGGTAACTGCCTTTGTACGTCGAAAATCGACAATTCCTTTTCTCGCGAACTCAAAAAGCAAGCGGATACCTCGAAAGTTAAGATCGGGCAACGCCACTGAATGTCGCTCTCGAACCCCCAAAAACGACAAACCCTGGGTGACGCAAAGGCAAATTGTTACCTCCGACGTTGCGGCGTACCAAAGCAGACGCACGGTTCGCACGGGCACGCACAAAGGGAGATACTTGTGCAGCCTGGACTGCACCGTGCCTGCGCAAAATTGTGTCTGCTTTTGTGCGCCGTAACGCCGGATGTACGAACAACCAACTCGGCCAAACTACAATGCGTGGAACGGGTCTCCGACCGGTGTGTTTAGCATCCCATTTCGAAAGTGGTCTCAAAACGGCAACAAATAATGTCGCAAATACCAGAGCGCTACCCTGCCGGACATCGCAATCGCGGCCATGATGACTCTACGGCATAGTCAAACGGAAATGGAAAGATGACACCAGTCGGAGACGCGTTCTAGGCACTGTACCCAAACCGCAGTCCTAACGAATCGTCACGCCCCCCGATGCAACTGATGAAGCTCCTCCTTGTCGTCGTCGTCGCCGCCGCCGCCGCCGCTGCGTCCGCGTCAGTCCGGAGAGTCCATGTCGACTGACGCGTCATCCGGTGTCGCGACGCCGTAGTGGCACCGGTTGTTGTTCGCGTCGTTCTGTGCCGAAAACTCCTGGTCCAACAGGTTCTCCCGGTCCTTGAGGAGCTTCTGCGAAGGCGCGGTCGCGGCTTTCGGCCGCCACATTGACGCGCCACATGACGAGAGTTCGAATGGCGTATTCCTGCGCCGGTAGAAGAGCATGTACGCAGCAGACGTTGCCACGCGCACGTCTGAGACGGCGTTAACGCGGCTGTCGTCGAACAGCCGCCAGCCGACCTCACTGAGGCGGGTGTCCGTCGCGTCGGTGCACCGGCCGAAAGCGGTGTAGTGTCCTCCCAGCATGCCGCCGTGGTGGTTGATCACTGCGAATAGGTCGTACACCGGCTGGGGTCCACCAGACTCGCACGCAGGACCACAGTAGTAGGGGCTGACGTCCAGGCCGCTGCGACAGATCAGAGAAGAGGGAAACCAAACTTCAATGATGGCATGGCTTAAGTTGAACGCTTTAATTGTGGTTTTGGGTGCACTACAGCACGACGACTGCGTTAAAGGGGTACTCCAGCGTTTTTTCTAGCTACCCCAACTACCGTATTTACTTGCATATTGGTCGATACGTCGTATAGGTCGACCCCCTAACTTCGGGACCCCCGAAAAAAAAAAAAAGTTGAAAAATATAATACCGGGATTTGCGTATTGGTCGACCCCCCAGTTTTGATGAGGCGATTTTTGAAAAACAGGTCGACCTATACGCGAGTAAATACGGTAACTATATTTTCAGAATCGCCGACCTTTAGCCTTTCCCGTATGAAACTTAGTATCACAAAATGCAGAACAGTTATTGTGAAATTGGAAAGTAAAGATGATGCCAAAACTATCATTCAAATATATCCACACTTTTCAGTGGCATGACGTCGGGGGAAGGCAGGCTTGCAGGTCCACCGGGCAGTCTAAAAATGGAATGTGCCGAACATTTGTCTCATGCTGCTGCGCTTCCAAAGCATTCATTTGACACCATGAAACTGCTTGTAATCAGTTGACAACAAAGTTTACAGTCCAAAGAGTGAACCCCTGCCTTCCCGTGACGTCACTCACCTTGAAAAATACGGTGAGAAATTTTTGGCCCAATATTTGGGGGATTATTTCAGCAATGTTTGTTGGTCCGTTTAGCTAATTTTCAGGCAAATCCGGAACTATTTACACACACTATTACTCTTTAAGGCCCGTTCACACAATTGCGTTTGCTTAGTCCCGAGTTCTTGCTCGGGACGAGAGAGCACGCTGGCGCCACCTGTGAGGTGACCCTGGAACTGCATTTCACTAGGTCCGCGGACTATACACGTTTAACATTTAAAACTTTACTCGGTGCGGATTATACAAGTTTTTGCATTTTTCGAGATCGTTCACTGTGACAAGACGTGACGAATTTCATGAATAACGGAGTATATTAAAGGTGGTTTATGTATGATACAAGTTCCTTTGTGAGGTTATACTGCGGGCATTTGTCAAGACAGGCTTTGTATGATCATTTTTACATTCAGATTAGGCACTAAGTGCGAACTATGCACCAAATACAAACTAAAGTAAATCCTTTTTTTTTTTTTTTTTTCAGCGGAAATCGGCCTCTGCGGACTATAGTCCGGAAAATATGGTACATACTATCTGTGAGATATGGTCATTCGTAACATTGTTAAAAGTTTTCCCGAGCCAAAAAGGAAGAATGATGCGTGAAAAAATAGGAAATATGCGGATATGCCAAATGATTCACGACTACCCGATGTATGGCACCAGTCTGCCCTCTCATTGTAAGTGATCCCGAGGGGTTTTAAGGCACAGTACGGAAACCAGCCCACTATAACTTCACTTAGCGATGTCTCCCACATTAATGTGGACACTTTCGATTCTCCCAATAAATCGTTCGTAATGCGAGACCGTGTGCACTGCAACGAAACGGCACCCCGAGGAAGCGAGCTATGCGGGTTTTGCTTCTTTGCAGTGCACCGGTGCTCGGTAAAAAGTGAACCCAACGTGGCCGCAAGGATGAAAAAGTATCAGTTACATAAAAATGCCGTTCCAGTTAAGCGGCTTATAAACACATTACAAAAAAAGCCGGGACACAGAATTTTAAAAATTTGCTTGAAAACGGTTTTTGTTGCTGGTACGGGCAGATGGCAATCCTAGTGCCAATGGTAGCACTGCTATCATGGACGACGGAGAGGAACCAATTCTCGAAAAAAGCTCTTTTTGCACAAATCTTTTTTCCCAAACTTTATGTTCGACATGAAAACTGCAATAGAGTCACTTTCCACCGCAGGCAATGTGCATCGAACGTTGCACCGGTTTTGTCGCTCCTGTTCATAGGGCGTTCTACAAAGGTTGTTGAGTGATCTTACTCTAGTAACGTTGCTTTCAAGCTAGCCCCCCAAGCGGCCTCAAAGGTGCAAATCCGGAAGCAGCCAAGCCGAGACTGGCGGCACGACTCACTTGATGGGGAAGTCCACCATCTTGTCAATCTTGTCCCTGAAGATGGAGCGTGTGAAGGAGAAGCGCTTGAGCTGGATGATGAGCACGGGGGGCAGGCGCCACAGGGACAGCTCCTTGGTGGCCTGACGGTGCTCCTTGCAGCCCGGGCAGTACCAGGCCTCCTGCGGACTCAGCACTTCGGGCTCCGTGAACAACGTCAGGCACTGGTCCAGGCTGATGCCATCTTCCTCTGCAAACGACGTCTTGCCATCAGCCGCCATCAACACAAGGTCTCGGCTTCCGAACAAGTGATGCGGTGTGTGTCTCTACTTCCATTTGTTGATGAGCACAGATTTCGGTCGAGTTTTCCCTTAGGAAAAGACAGCTCGTTCCTAAGAACAAAGTCAAAAAGACACGGACTGTTTTTCCTGGTAAATTTGGCGGGATGGTGGTCGCATGATGTCAGCGTGTCATGTGGCCAAAGTCGAATATGGGTAGATGGAACAGCGCGGAACATAGGACAGAAAGAGCAGGACAACACGAGCGCTGACTTACAACTGACTGTTTAATGAGAAGCGAAGGAAGAAGAAGAAATAGGAAGCGAAGGAAGAAGAAGAAATAAACTGAAAATAAGGATTAAAACAAAATACAGTTTATTTCTTCTTCTTCCTTCGCTTCCTATTTCTTCTTCCTTCGCTTCTCATTAAACAGTCAGTTGTAAGTCAGCGCTCGTGTTGTCCTGTTCTTTCTGTCCTATGTTCTGCGCTGTTCCATCTAGTCATGAACCAACTAGCCCATCAAAGCACACTGCTCGAATATGGGATTTTTACCGTATTTACTCGGCATAATGAACCCACTTTTTTTCCCGAAAAATTTACACTTATTTGGGGGGTGCGTTCATTGTGTGGGGTAAAATTTTGCATTGACACACTTTACACAAATGTAATTTTAGCTGCCAATATAACGCGGCAGGGTATTGTGGCACGTCTTCTCCGACGGAGGCGCACGAATGGCTGGTCGTGGGCACGCCACAGTAGCCGTGCTCTATAAATTGCTAACCTTTTTCGGGGCGCTTCCGGCGTGCCTTTTGCCGAAAGAGAAGGGCCCTACGAAGCTCACTCAGTGTGGAGAGCAACGCGACAGTTCTCAGGCCTAACCACTTTCACGATTTCACCGTAAGAAAGCGGACCACAGACGACGACATGTTTATCGACATCAATGCAGCCTGTGGGCGAAATATGTCCGGGGCAAGGCAATTTCTCGACCCCAGCTTTGTTACGTGCGCACCGCTCAGTTTTGCTGTTCATCACTTCCACGACTACGCACTTGCAGCAATTCCGTGTACATGTTCTGCTTGGCATGGCATGGCTTGGCCTGGCAGCTTGGCAGCAAAAGAAAATTGGCTTGGTGGCTGGCCAAGTTGGACGCAGTTCGTAACTCGCGCAGCCAGAAATTGGAGGTCATTATGCAAGGGGAAAAAAAAGTCGGAATATGATGCCCGTTGTGGGGGTGCGCATTCATTATGTGAGTGCATTCATTATACAAGTAAATACAGTATGTGCCAAACCAACAAAGGCATCCAGCACGCTTCAGCGGAGAATCAATTTCGACCACGGAATATCTTTCGACATGCAACTGAAAGCTCGGCTACACGACACCTCGGCCATGACATCATGTGACAGCTGGCGTGTCGCATGACGTCCCGTGACACTGCGTCATGCGATAACATATCGTAAAAGCCACAGTCGATACAAGATCGCAACTTACAAAAAAAGTGATGCAATGCATATAGACTTTCGTTTGTTGAAAAGAACATATTTCAATAGGGCTTTCTCCCGATAAAAACAACTTGGTCCTACATACAAAGTTGAAAACACGAAGATTGCTCTCGCCGCTAAATTTAGTGGATGGCGGTCATGCAACGTCAATAGCATGTCACGTGATGTCGCGCGACATCAGTGTCATGGGCCAGTGTTGCAGGACACCACAATGTACCCAAGTGATGTCGCACCACACTGCGACTGACAGCTCTATAACATGACCGGGCAACATGATTGCGAACTCTAGTGGATCCTGAGACACCCATAGTGGTCACTTGATTATGTAACTCGATCAAGTAATCAAAGCAGCCGTGACGACATTCATCCAAGTTGCACCGGATTAGATTACTGAACCCGGCACCTCCCACGGATTGAACCGGGTTCAATTCCAGGTGACCGACAAATTCTTTTTCGTAGACACACCTGGCCATGTTATTGCGTTTTTGTAAAAAAGCTCTTGGCAACACTCTAGGCTTGCTTGCAAACCAGCCCTGAAAAGGATTCTGCCAAGAACTCCTTATGTTCTGTATTTTGGGGTGTGAGTTGGGCTCGGTGTCGCGCTCACCGGAAAAAGGCAGGTTGCAGTCGTCGTCCATGGTTGCATAATCCTGCAAAAGAGGAAGCTTTGACTTAGTCCCAGAGTCGAACAGAATCCCCCAATAGAAGTTTGTTTCACTTCGGAAGTGAAATGGCTGCATTCCCAATAGCTTGCACCGTATAGAAACCTCGCTGAGCATTCACAGCCCCATACATAGGAGATGAATAGAATGGCAAAATATAAAATGTTTCGGTTAATGTTGCAATCATTTAGTTTTGGGGCAAGTAACTATGTCGTAATCTTAAAGTTTGGAGAGGAAAAATAAACCTATTTGCCTTTTTCAAAAAAGCAGAGTTTAACAAAAAAATTTATTTATTAAATTTTGACGAAATTTACGCCCCTCCCAGCCCTCTGCTCCGAGCGCTTGCTAAAGGAGTCGGGCAGACTCGACGTCTCATACGAGCGGAACGCGGGCTGCTTTAAAAGAGAAAAGGAGCCCACCACTTCTTTGGATTCGACGAGAACGTAGCTTCCCTGGCGCTGGTTGTTCCTCCAGTCCATTGCCAGGTAGTACACTCGAGACAGATCCAGAGGCTCGTTGCCTGAAAACAAGAGGTTCATGACTGGAGTACCAAGTTTCTAGGGCTTCTTTTTCTTCAAATTTAAGGATGTACGTTCGTTTTCTTAATTTTATTAATATTTTTGGCTCTGGATTTTTTACGCCAATAGTGCCCTGCTTCAGGTTACGCCTCCGCTTGCGTTCGGCCTTTTTCTATTAGCTTGAAGATCGCTGCTTTCTTTTCTATGCTTAGTAGAAGAGCGTGTTGGTTTAAGTCATGGATGAAGAAAGAAGAGCGTGTTGGTTTTGTCCCTGTTTTAATTGTTTATTCTTTCTTCATCCATTTCTTTTCTAGCGTTACCGTCAAGTACTTTCCGTGCTTCTAGCGACACTTTGCGCCGGTGGGCGCTAAGTGTTTATTAAAGGGGCACTGACACATCAAAATCATATTTTTTTTTATTATCCGAAACGGTTGAAAACGATGCCGGGACATTACCCTCAAAATTTGAAATTTGGGAATTCAGTATTTGTGAAGTAAAAAAACAATTTCCAAATGCCGAATTCGAAGTTCCCGCGCGATCGGCGCCTTGACGTCAAAAATTGCGGAGACCTGAGAGTCCCCTTTCCTGTCACCACTCCCTGCTGTTGCCATGGCGACCCAAAGCGAGGAGGATAGGAGCGAGCGCCGGCTAGCGCCGGCGTTGCGGCGGGCCGGTTTTGAGCGGTGTCGCCTGTTTTCCGTTGGAGGATACAAATCCAGGAGACGGCACCACAACGAACTCCCGATTTTTGGTATTTCAAAAAGAAGGGCCGTAGTGCGTTCGCAATTGCGTTAAAAAACATGTTTTAGGATTGCCGTCATTAAATGTTATAAAGATGTCGCCTACAAAGCTTCTAAATTTCCTGATTTTTGACGTCACCGATCAAAAAAAGCGAGGAGGCGAGAGGCGGGAAAATCAAACGCCAAAAATAAAAAGGCGCGCATGCGCGCAAGAAAATTTTTTTTCGCGATGCGGTTTTTTTTGCGTGTCTATGGCTGCAACTTGCATCGTTTTAGACAATAAAAATAAATACGACCTTTGGGGTGTCAGTGCCCCTTTAACGAGCTTCGACTCTTGTTTCGAACAATATGCAATTCGATATCCGCTTCGAAGTGAACTGTGATATTCATATTTTTCAAAGTGTTGATCACTGTGGATTAGTTCCATTGAGAGCACCTCTTACTGAGCACTGCTGTGCTGCAGAGAAGCGACACCCACAGGTCTCGCTTCTGCTGGTGTTGCTTTTCCGCAGTGCACCAGTGCTCAGTAAAGGTCCGTTCACACTCTTGCAACCGAGTACGACCGAGAGAGACGAGATCTGTTAAACCTCTTAAAATTTCTTAGGAGGAGAGAACACACTGGAACTCTGGCGCCATCTATGCGGTGACCCTGGAACTGCATTTCACAAGGGCAAAGGTTTTCCGGGATTTCCGAGGTCAAATGTGCGTAATTCCTATAAGAAAGGCTCGTTTGTAACGTTGACAAAAGTTTTTCGAGCCAAGAGAGAAAGGATAATGCTCGAGAGAAATAGAAAATATGCCGGACCGCCAAGTTTACACTGCTACCGAATAGATGGCACCAGTGTATCCTCTCGTTGTAAGAGGTTTTAAGGAACCTAGATTTAAAAGGTCGCAAGAGTGTGAACGGGCTTTAAGAAATGTGCTCAGTGGGACTAACTTGCAGGGATCAACACTTGGAAAAGTACAAACGTTGCAGTAGCATACTTAGGAGGAAAGTTACTATGAATGGCATTACCTATACATTAAAATTTTCAAAACTGTGGCTACTATGCAAGAGTACCTACCTATATGTTAGGCAGAGAAGTCCCGAAAACCCGAATATTGTCTTTTTTTTTTTTTTTTTTGTCTCATGATTGTCTTTTTTTTTTTTTTTTTGAGATTTAAGAAAGGATATTTGCATGTAGCAAGAGGATTTATAAATCAATTCGATTTGTTATAGCTGAGCATGTCTATAGGTTTAATCGTACGTCAAATCTGTTGTTTGCTCGTCATACCAACGTAGGCTTTGCACTTTCCGAGTCTGCAGTACACAAAAAATTGACAAGTGGAAGTTTGTGAACAACCTTCACGAGTTTAGCTGGGTTTTTGTTTAGGCACGCTGCAGTATCGAAAGGCTTGACAAACTATTAAATTAGAAAATATTCGGCCAGATTAACTATTCGATTTGACTTCGCTTCAAACTCAAAATCCACAATTCGCTCATGCCTCAAAACAACGGACGAGATTTTACGTCGTCTTGTTCGTTCTTTTATTTCTCCATGTCTCGGGGCACGTTTCCTAACCAGTTCACCTGCATACTTTTGCTTCTTGACAAAGTCAAAAGTGTATGCTTTTAGTGTTCGTTCTCTCGGTGCCAGCGTCTCATTCGTTAGGACTAGGTTTCCTGACACTAGAAGAGTCCGTAGGACGCAGCGACGATTCAAAAGCCAAAAAGCACCGACGCAACACTGGCACAGAACGACCGCTCCTCACCAAAACCTCGTACAAGGTACTGGTTCTCCACGATTATGAACCACGTGCCGCAAAACGGTGTCTTCGAACGACTCTCACCTCTGTCCTCGAACACAAAGTCGACCTTGCTGGGACAGCTCTCGGCGTAAGGAACCACGCTCGTGACGCCAAACATTGGACCCCCCTCGTTGCTGCCGGGATCCAAACCTTCGGCCTGGAGGAAAACAAACGGTAAGGGAACAACTCCCGCGAACTACAAACCCGCAAGCTTCAACTCGTCGAGTGCCTCGGAGGGTTTTCAAGGCCGACAGCCAAATAGGAGTCTACCGATCAGGATGTTGTGCCGGTTATTATTCCCGTTCAGGTTTAGTAGGCTTGTATTTTGCTCCGGTTCGGTTCGGGTTCGGTAGTTACGAATTTTGCTCCGGTTTGGCAGCTTTGTATTTTGCTCCGGTTTTATTCCCGTTCGACGATGCATTTTAAGTAACAGCAAGAGTGAAGGAGAGCTGGTGATAATAAATCGTAATGGAACACCTGAGACTGTGGTGCAGGAGAATGAAGTAACTTTTAAGTTAAAGGAAGAGAAAACAGTATAGGAGCATGATGCATCTGAAATGTCAGTTCGGTTACCGATTCCACCAAGCGCGAACGTGTCCAAACCGGTTAACTCTACCTTAGGCTGCTGCCGCCCGCACACTTTCTGGACTGTTTTCACCAGCAAAGAAGCAACGTGCTGGAGAACCTTCGATTAGGACCGAGCGACCGTAATGCCTGGTTCGCAAACTTGCGACTGCTTACGACCGTGTGCCTTAAAACCCCAATCTCTGACAAAGAGAGAACACTTCTTTTTCACACACCATTCTTTCTTTCTTGGCTCGAAAACCTTTCGACAATGCTATAAGCAACAGTTTCTCGTAAATAGCACGTACATTTGATGTCGTAAATACCGCAAAATCTTTGCTCTAGTGAAATGCAGTTCCAGGGTCAATTCGTAGATGGTGCCAGCATGTCCTCTTGTCGTAAGAGACCGCAAGAATCGGAGTAGTGAGCAAACGCAAGTGTGCGAATGGGCCTCGACTCTCTAGCTACACCGATGCCTGCGTCGAGCTCCGACTGCACTGAACTAGTACGACGCTCGGACAACATCTTAGTTGTAACAAACCTCGTCCAGCTCGGCCTCCAAAGGCTCGACGCTTCCAGGCGGGGTTCCGGCGGCTGCATCCAGGGCACACTTGTTCGACTTCACCGGCGGTTGGAACACGTTGACAGAGTGCCTGCATGCACGGGAAGCGGTGATGCAAGACGTCGCTCCGAGACGACGGAAAGGAGCAAACCCCAGCTTGCAGAGCTACAAGCAACCTCTGAACTCCACACCCTCCCACCTTTTAGGTATTTACCTGTTACATGGACACTACAGCTCACATAATCGAGCTATATCAGGTTAGTTTCCAGCAGAAACTATAGCATTCAACAGATGTTGCTCGTGGCAGAATAGACAGATTTCACCAACTGCTCTGCACACGCCTGTTGCCACTATAACTTGAGTCTATGCAAACCTAGGGCGGGGTTACTGCGTATGTGAAAAGACTATAACTTCGCAGCAGCGGCGGCAGAACAAAACTGGTTGGTAAAATCTGCCTATTGATTTCACCAACATAGCCATTGAGCAGAGAAAGGGTCACAGTTTCCTTTGCTCAGGAATTCCAGTTGTTAACTTTTAGAGGAAACAAAAAAACTTTCAGCCTTTCCACTCTGGTGAAGGAAGACCAGCAAAGTTGTGCTATGATGGGACGACCTCAAGGACGACACCTAGAGGACGACCTCAAGGACGACGTCTAGGGGACCTCGAGGACGACCTCAGGGACGACCTCAGGGACGACCTCAGGGACGACCTCAAGGACGACCTCAAGGACGACGTCTAGGGGACCTCGAGGACGACCTCAGGAACGACCTCAGGGACGACCTCAAGGACGACCTCGAGGACGACTTCTAGGATGACGCCTAGAGAAATTCAGTCTTTCCACTCTGGTGAAAACCAGAGTGAAAATGCTGGAAAGGTTGCCGCCACCTATGAGCGAGGCCGGCAAGCAGGTCGTCTGGTTGCTGCCGTCGCTCATAGATGGTGGTAGCTGTCCAGAGTTTTGTGTCGACATTTTTGGTACCGGACACGATCCTCGGGAGTCTAGCCCTTGCAGCTCCACTGTAAAATATTTGAGTGCATCAAGCTCATCTCTGCACTGCTTCATAGCCCTCGTGTGATCGTGTGCAGAACCAGTCGACGACACTTCTATATATAAACATCTATGGATAAGTTAGAACAATCAAACAAGTCCACAGTTGGGAAGGGAGACCTCAAGAACTGCCCATAGCATGAAACCGATTCAGCTAGTGCTAAACGAAATAGCCATCAGGAGCTATGCACAACATCTCTACAAGAAAATGAGAAAGAGGGAATGAATCTTGCCTAGAGTAAGCCTCCATGAGCCTGCAGAGGTTGGCATAGGTGGCCTGAGACTGGGGCAAGCTCAGCACAAACGGGAGCCCGATCAGCTCGGGCACAAACTTGCAGACGCTCTTGTGCTGATGCCAGTGGTTCGTCTGGCACGTCCTGCGACAAAGTTTGCCCACAACTACATTACCCTTCCGCACTCCCGGGTCGATTGAAATCAAAACGAAAGAACTCGTGCTCGACACAACTATGGTGCCTGAAACGACGACTAGAAGCCACAAAAAGGAATGGGCTGGGACCGCTGCTTACCGGTTGCAGTAGCCGACGCGGAGACACCGCGTGCAGCGCTTGAGCGCTTCCAACTTTGCCACGCCACACGACGCGCACGTGGTTGCCGCGTGAGGCATGAGTAGCCGCTGGAAATCGAGTCAAATAGATTCTTACGAGATGTTGGGGGTAGGGGCAAGACGCCACCAAAATGCGGCTCAACGGAGATACCCCTCTCACGTCGCCAGTGCAAATTCAGTGTGCTCTGGCCCGCCGACTGAAATTCAAGTCCCTTTAAAGAGTGCTCCTGTCCCTAAACCAAGCACCGTCGTGGTTTCGAAAGGCGGCAAACGTTTGCGTAAATTGAACTCACCTGCACGACTGCGACCTCGATGACCTTCTCGCGAGCTTTGTCCCTGTCCAAAATTTCAAACCTAAAAGGACACAAACAAAACAATTGAGCAGTCCTGTGTTAATCCAGCGATAGCTGCGACACAACAAGGTGAAGCCCTTGGCATTGACAGTGCTACGACGGCATTGTGTTATAGGCTATTTTTTTCCAGAAAGTGCGTGCAGTGGGAAATAGCTAACACAAAAACCCTAGAGCGAGTTAATAACGCTGTGGCGTAGCTCAGTGGCAACGCATACGCTTCACAAGCAGCAGACCCAAGTTCAATTCCCACGGGCGGCAGGCAATCTTTTTCGAGGATTTGGCAGCATCGACGACCGACGCCCTACATCACCAACTACTACAACTACAACATCAACAATGGACATCATTTCTGGTGGTGGACAGAGCCCATGACAGCTTTCACTGTAAAAACTTGGCTACGGTAACAATTATCAACATCTCCTTGTATTTACTGTTTACACCAAGCCTAAAAAACAAATTGGGTTGTGTGCATGTTTATACAGCCCAGAACTTGGTCTGCCTCACAAGGCGACGAGTCTTCCAGCTGTAGATGAGAAATGTAGCCAGTGCAGTACAACCGCTAGCCTGGGATCTTTAACGTGCACCACGCAGTAGTGATACATGACCGCACGCCGGTACGATGCTCATACAGATCGAAACGGGCAGGGGTGGGGCTCGAACCCAGGATCCCTGGGTTCTGCAGCGCGAGCTTTCGCTCCACGTGCTCCGAGCTGGTGTGCGCTAGACCACTCGGCCACCGATCCCCCTACGCCAAGCCTACTTACCCCAACCAACCGTCAAACTGAAGTCTTTGGAGGCCTGCACTTCCTTCTTATCACAATTATCGGCTCAACGTTTGGTCTATGGGCCACTGTCGTTTGAACGAGTACATGACAAGGAAAGATGTTTGAAAGAGCAGACGACAGTTCAAACGATCAGGCAACCTTTTGAATTTGAAGATGCACTGCAGGTGGTCCGCACAACTTGGAGGTTTTCCCGCGTTCATGTTAGAAAAAAAACAAATGAATGACAACCACAAGTATCCGTGAATTCAACTCAAAGTACTTTCCCAAAAGCAATCATAGACCGACAGTATCTGGTTTTCCTTTTTCACGGCCCATAACCATGTTCTCGGACTAACCGAGCAGGCAGAAAACACATGAAAACATGCCTTCAAACCATTCCAGACTCTTTTGGTACAGCCCCAGTCGCAGCGATTTGATGAGAAGGCAGGTTTTCGTACAGTTTCTTCCAAAACAACACGGAAATGCACGTTCCGCATGGTGACTTCCGCCCACAGCCCCAGACTGGAAGTGCGCCCGACGTACCACCACCGCGCCGTGACGTAACAAAGCTGAGTTCATGTATAGGGTGGGTTCGGGTGGTGCCTAAGGCAGGATTGTTTATGGAAACAGAATGTCACACAATTGCCTCTTTGTGATGCAGCACACGCTTCCCTTCATTATTACCCAGATACAAAGCCTATGCACTGAATTTTCTGGGCCACCAAGGGAGGGGAAGCGCGCTTTCCTGCCCTTTCCACTTCTCATTTTGCGCGCTCTTTCGACACCACCCGTTTCTGCTCCTCTTTCTTGCTCTTTCCACCCGTCTCCTCTCCGCACACTTTCTCACACCACCTGCTTTGCTCCCCCCGTTCCTGCAAGCTGGGTCTGTAGCTTAGTCAGCAAAACAATCGGCTTCCAGACCACTAACCGGGGTTCAATCCCTGGCCCTAAAAGCTACTGCTTTAAAATAAAAAAAGAGCAAAGGCTCACTTTAATGAAACACTAACACCCAAACCCGCCCCCCCCCCCCCCCCCCCCCCGACTTTTTTTTTTTTTTTGCCAGGCGATTTATTATGGTGTCAGAAGATTACCCAATCAATATTTTGCCACAGCATCGCATATATTTTTAATAAAGTAAAAGAAATGCAGCTGCTCGAAACTAAAACCGGATTGGGGAGGAAGATGAAATGTAGAAAAGGAGAGAGTTGCCAGAAGACATGTGGCTACACCTGACCGTGTTTGCTTTCTCTTTTTTTCCTTCACTGTTCGAGGCAGATGAAAAATTTGCACGTTGCAACGAAAAATATTGAAGTCAAAAACTTCGAGCTCGACGTTTTCACATTTTTCAAGCTCTTACCAATTCATGTTCAAGCTCTCACCAATTCATGTAAGACAAGTGATTTTTTCAGCCAAGAGAAGAGAAGACGACTCGGCGACGTCTTCGTGCCAATCAGCTGGGTAGTCGGGCGTGCCGTATGGAATATATCTTACTTGCTTTGATCGGTGTATGATTACTTTTTTCAAAGCTAACAGATTCTCCGATACTGCGGACAACAGTTCTGAAGTAGAGGTCCCACGCCCGTCGTCCGCCGCACTCGCTTAGTCCACTTCGTTCAGCTGTTCAGCCGTCCAGCCCGCAACTCCCGCAATACGATGCCATGTTAAGAATTATGCAGAGAATGCACAGAGTGCCTCCAGTTTTCTGCACAACTTTGTTTTTTTCAGTCAACATACTTGCAGCTTTTTAGAAGCCACAAAAATGGGTATCATATTTCTTTTTATTTTGAATACTGAATGTGTGCCTTTGATGACCCACAACTTTGATTATGTTCGGTGTGTCTGTATAAACCATAGAGAACTGCACAGGACCACAGAGAAGAGAGTGAGCGCAACTCAAACCAGGTTGTTCTCGAGCGACGAGTTTTGGGCGGAAAGAAAGAGAATTTTGAGCCACAAATTGTGTTCTGGGTAGTTGGGCTCTCATATGTCGTGCACAAATAGAAACCTTGGCGAGCATAAATACCCTGTTGGTGTCCCTTCAAAAAATTTAGGCCTATGGCTGCCACATCCAAAGCATTTTTAATGCGCGTTTTTCTCGGTAGAAGAAGCTGTTGCAAATTTTGCTAAAGTCTTCCACGTTGTAACATGTGTAATTAAGCATTGCCTGCTAGTGTATTGGCTATGTATGCTTTATGTTGCCTTGTCCTATGTGTGAAGGCTTGTCACTGTGCTCATGCATAATGCTTTTCAGATATAATCTAGTCCATAAACACAATCTGTGTAAAAAAACACAAAAATACAGAAATCAACCTTGCTTTGCTCATGCAAAAACATTAAAACACGGCGCTCAACTCACGCAAAAATGAGATCCTTGGGCGTGATGTCCATCAGGCTGTCGTCGTCTCTGTTGAACACCTTGTAGATTTTCCGGTTGTAAACTTCGAGCACCCTTAGCTGGCGTAGTAAAGAAATAAAAATAATACGTAACGGAACAAAGGTTGCTTGCAGGAGAGAAATAGTCACATGTAGAGAAATAAGGACCACGTGTAAGGGGGTAATTATTATATGTAGGGCAGGGTTCTCCCCATGGTGGGCGGCAGTGGCCTTGCCGCCCACCGCTCCGACTGACCGCCCACCATTCAACTATGCCACAGGATGACGATGCGGTTTTGCCTGTGCACATGGCTGCAGACTGTTGCACTCAGCAGGCCTGAACATTATCACGTTATAGCGTGTTATCGAATCGCCGACAGCCGGCACTCTTTCAAACAAGGAAAACAGAGCCGCAGAGCCCCGCCGGCAGTGGGTGCTCGGCCGAGAAGAAACACAGAAAACAGACGCGACGAACGTGCACCGTGCAGCAGTTCTCTCTGCAGGCGGCGAGTGGCAGAGAGCGGAAAGCCGAGAGGGCTTTTCTTTCACTGCTCAACGCTTTCTCGCACCGTGGCTTACTTTATCTTCACCTCTTCGCTCGCTCCCCGACTTTCCATCTACTTTTTTTTTCACGGCATTTTGGTTTTTGCTTTATCCCCTTGGCGTGCCACCACTCACAGGGTCGCAAAGTTAGAGAGCCTATACAATGTGCGTTCTGTCGGCAAGCCAGATCGTACCGCACTGCCAAACTACATCCCCCCGCCGCTCGCATGGTGGTTATGTCCACCCCTCGAAAATTCCTGGGGAGAACCCTGGTATAGGAATACAAGTCGCACTAGGGAGCTACGATCATATGTAAGAGGCATATGTAATCTGTGTAAGGAAACAAAGGTCATGTGTCAGGCGACAATCTGTGCGTGTCAGGGGACAATAGCTGTGTGTCAGGGGGCAAGTGTTGTGTGTCAGGGGACAGGCATCGAGATTCACGGGCCAAATTTCACAAAATAGTGCATTTCCCCCATGGGGATAATGCAGGAATAAATCATTTAAACTTACATTCTTGGGTAAGACATGAGTCTTCTTAAAGATCTCGTCCTTCAGATCCTCCACTCTGGCATCTTGGTTTAGCCTCAGGCAAAGCTACAATGAGGAGAAGCATTTTAAAAAAGCAAGCCCTAGTTTTCACCTAAATGCAAGTCATGCTTAGTTACTGGGTAAGCGCTAAAATTATAACTGCAGATTTTCACAAACTTTAACTTTAAATTTGAAAGCACATTGTGCTTTGAATACATTATAGAAGTATGTTTCACCAATGCATCTTTTTTTAATTATGCAAAGAACCTAAGTAACAGTTGCTCTATACTCTACTTCAAGTACCCTTTCGGGATACTTTAGGCAACACTAGCACCAGTGCAAGCCTCGCGAATTCAAAGTAACGTTCCGAAAAGAAGCGAGCGCTCGGAGTGTGTGCACACCTTGATGGGAACTTGGTCGGGATCCCAGCGGTAAAAGTGCACCACAAAGATTTTCTGCTTCTTTGGGAGGGGCACCGACAGGTAGAGGAACGGGTCAAAGTTGATGGACACCTGAAATTCACGCAAAACAATTGTATAGTGGCAGCAATTCCACAATTCCAACTGATTCCTGCCAAATTTGGCTAGAATCGAGAAGGTCGAGCCAGCGGCTTTGGTTCAGCAATGTAGCAGTTGTAAAAAAGCCAAAAGTTTGGACGCTGCATAACAAACTGAACGAGTTCCGATCCTAACAGATAGGATCCTAACAGGTAGGATCTTCACTTTGCCTCTTCCTCAAAGTATGCTGAACAACAAGACCAGCCCGAATACTTCAGTCAGCCGTTTACTTCCATAATTCGCTCCATGAGCGGGCTTTTCACAGCTGCCGTTCCAGATGTGATTGAAGTGCTCAGCACACCCTTCAATCACTGGAAGAACCGGACAGTTACTGCTTGTAAGTGGTGCAATGGATTCATGTAAAGCATTAATTTTTTTCGTGTACCTTCCAGACATACCGCAATATAGAGGGGAGGGGTGTGACAAAGACAAATGTAAAATGAACATAACAACATCATAGCCAACATTTAATAAATTATATAGACAGGGGAACAGCAGACATCAGACGTAAACAAAATAAATTTAAAAAAAAAACATTGCAAATTTATGCGACTGTGTGACATGGGCGAGAACGGGACACATTATACAACCTTGAAAACTGCATCACGAAAGCGATCACCGTCATTAATGCCAACTAGAGGCAGGCAGGCAGTTCCATCCAAGGCACGATTTTGGAGTGAAAGAGTACAAATACAAGGGTGGACAGTTGGGCCAGTTGGTATAAATACACTATGAAAAACAGGGCAATAATAGAAGGACACAGAGGACAGAATACACAGGATAAGGCACTGACTATCAAGACGTGCAAGAAATGAACCATCAATGTAGAAAAATTATTCTGCAACTACAATCAAAACCATTTTTACAGCAAGTTGTCACATTTAGGGAGATTTCTAGGGATCCGTCCAGAGAACAGTAAACAAACACCACTGCAACGATAAAGTGCCGACGAAAGACAAGACGGCTCCCACCTTTTGGCACTCGGGGCAGATGACCGTTGACTTGTACTGTCCCTGGAACAGGTCTACCACTATGGAGTCGTTGCGTAGCTTGTAGCGACTCCACGATTCTTCGGCAACCACCTGCAACGCGTGTTTGCGGGCACCTTCGAGTAACAGGACACGACTGGCACTAGGCCAAATGGAGGACCCAACTAAAAATGGCCGCTCAACAAAAAAGTTTAGTAAAAAAAGAAAACGTACCTCGTCCGGTCGGTTGGCAGAGTCCACGCTTTCCACGTAAGGCTTGTTGTGAATCCGGTTCAGATCCTAATAAAAAAAATTTTAAACAAAAACCAATTAGCAGCACCATTTATCAGAACCCTCTTTCGAAACATACAACTGCTGGACACACCCATTCACCGACATTTGTTTGCAAGCAAGCTCGCTACCACCCGCTATCGGCAGACCCTTCCTCTTATTTCTACTACTTTCTACAACTCCGTGCAGGTTCTTACAAACGTGTTACAGGTACTTCTCCGAAGGAAAGTCTAACCCAACAATTGTGCATTGCTGAAGAACAAATAAATACACTAACGGAAGTCTACTGGGACACCAATACTGTTTCACCCTCGTGGTACCAACTCCCACCGAATGCATTGAATACGGTGCAAAAACAAGGTTATGGTGAGGACAAGTTGAGGCATACATTATAATATACGTTTTGGCATGTTTTTATCTTACGAAAACCACACGTAAGCGATGGCTAATGTAGCGACAGAAAAATCCAGTGTAACAAGACATGTTATCTGGCACAGCAAACAAACACAGTGATGTAACTGACCTAAGCCATTTTGGAGCACCTCTCGGAGCAGCCAAAACAGTGTTTTGGAGCAGCAAATGTGGCCTTTGGAGCTACCAAAACCATGTTTTGGAGCAGCAAAAATGGCTTTTGGAGCAGCCAAGACAATGTTTCCGAGCAGCAAACGTGGCTTTAAAAAAAGATATTCTTAAAAAAAATATATATTTTTTTTAAGTGCTGTACAAACAAATGGCACTTTGTGTTGTGTTGTGTTCTGATGCGACGGGTTGCGAGAGAACTCGCTGCTTGCGTTTTTACTGCTGAGACATCCCACAAGTGTGCAGTGCTGTAGGCATTGCCGAGCAATTCTGAAAAACCGCTTGCCACCGTTTTACTGGTTCCCGACGTGCCAGAATTTCATCAGAAGTAAGCAAACGTAAAGCGATGGATTGCAAGCGTTCAAGCTGGTGCCTCTGTCGTGCAATCATGTTCGTGTGCATGCGAGGGAATCTTTGGCAGGCTTGCAGTTGCGTGTGCTTCGCCGCGCGAGCGGAGAAAATGGCTGTTACCCCCCCATTCACACTGGAAGCGGATCCGCGTTCGCGAAGCGGTTGCGAACGCGGTTGTATGAAGATCCAGTGCAATTGCACGCGCATTTGATGTCATCAAATGTGCGTGCAATTGTACTGAATCCTTATACAACCGCGTTCGCAACCGCTTTGCGAACGCGGATCCGCTTCCAGTGTGAATGAGCCCTTAGATTGAGAATGAAAACATGCCATTCCGCTCCGTCGCCAACTGATTTCCAAAATTGTACGATGTAACTGCCGAACATACGACAAAAATCCACTGTGCGTGCATTCTGCTATGTGTCCTTCATAGTTTTAGAGACTGTACACCCAGGACACAATACATTGGCTAGGGCCGATCGCTTTACGGGCTATCCAGCACCGCACCTCGTGCAAGCCGTCCAGCAAGAAGGCCATGAACTCTTGCGCGTCGTGTTGGGCAAAGCCGGTGAACTGCGGAGCCTTGACGCTGATGAGGCTCTTGAGGCGTGAGGGGGCGTAAGACCGCTGCGCCCCGGACCACAGCCAGCGAAGCAGCACCGCAAAGGCCACCGCCAGCTCCCCGCGCATGCCCAGCGGGTTTTCCGTGTTGATCTCCCCTTGAAAGACGCCACCTGCGGCCCGCAACAAACACCAATTACGACGTCTGCTGTGGCACTCCACGAGCTGTCGTTTCTCTTGTCTGCCACCTAAATCCCCGAGCACTTGCATCAAACTGGCAAGGTTTCCTGCACTAATGTTCGCCAATAATGTCGCAAAACATTTTCTTAATGCAAGTACGGTAGTTGCAAATTTAATCTACCTACAACTCCTTAAATGAAGTTTAAGAAAACTACTTCCTTGCACATCGTCAGGTTCCTGCACTCCATCTTACTAGTTGCGCATGGCATTATCTTCGGTAACGCCGCACACGATGCCAGTGTAACGTCAGAAGTTGGGAGAGGAGAAGCAGGAAGAACTCCCCTCTTACTCTGACCCTCTTTTGTGTACTTCCATTTTGCTTTTCTGCCGCTTAAAAATTAGCCCAGGTTAGACCGACACTCAAAATTCGCACAAAAGGCAGCTTTCCTCTCTCCCCCCGCCTGTGGCTTCCACAGAACCCCGCGCAACTAGCGAGAGAATATAAAGAGAAGTTCCCGTCACAATTTAGAATCGGCCCAAAAGTGACCAAAAGTGGAGTTCCCGGAGAGATTGCAAACTCCAGCCACGTTGGACGAGAGGCCGAGTGCCAACGGCGGCGTGACGCACGGACCTTGCCTTCTAGGTGGTTTTGAAAGTATACGCACCGAGGAAGTAGTCCCGGAACTCTCTGGTGTTGGCAAGGCACTGAAGCACACTGTTCATGAAGCAGGTGTTGCCCAGGTTGTCCAGGCCTGTGTAGCCCAGCGCCACCTCGGGCTCCAGGACCGCCGGCGACCTCTCGGCACCCCCGTCCGGAGGTGTCCTCTGGGTTGGCACCACATAGGTCTTCTTCTGTTCGAACGAACGGTTTGAAACGAGACGTTGGAATAGTGCTTGGGGCAGCCTCAGATCGGTGTAGATGCGCAGCAGGCGCGAGGCTGGCGATGCAAAAACACGAACGATACTCTTATCGTCCGCATTTTCGTTTTGCCAGCCTTGTGCCAGCCGCTCGAGCGGTAAACTTGGCGCACTCTCAAGCTTTGCGTGTGCTTCGAATCCTAAAATTGACAGATTGAGGAGTTTTCGATGACGCTCTGCATGTATCTAGTGGGAACCATATAGTTATTTTCACTAATTAAATGCTAGTTATTTATTAAACTAATTACCGTATTTCTTTTGGAATCCCCGACATCACTGTGGCTGGCAGTTTGTTCCCAAAAAAGAGTTTCTTCTTTTCTCGACTACCATACTAGTAGGAATTTTTTAAAGTCCTCGCCGGAACGTCTCCTGCAAGAAGACCTCACGCACGACCCCGGTCCATGAAACAACAAAGGGCCCACGGACCTTAGCCTCCTCTTGCTTCAACGTCGGCGCGTGCAGCGAGCTTGCGTCCCCAGCACTGGAGTCCAACGTAGGGGGCTCGGAGCAGCCAGCCCTCTCAGGAGCTGCCGCCAGCGGAATCGGAGTCGACGCCTCCGGCGGCGGAGCGGCAAGCGACGCACTCCGCGACACCGGCATCCAGGTGTTGCTTGGAGCGGCCATGGGCTCTGTTGAGATGGAGAGATCACCAAAGGTTGGCCTTTCGAGTCCCACGCCTGAGTATACTCGAACAAGCTACCATGCAGGTTTTAGTTTCGATTTGCTCCCCACCTCTCCCGACTGGGCTGTCGATTTTATTTTTGTGTGCAGAGCAATGTTTTGTCTCGTAATGACGCTTGCTGACGGCATGTAGAATCTTTTATTTCGGGGACTTCTGTTTCGGTTTGCCCCTTCGTTGTTACGGAAAGGCAAATCAGTCGTTTTTGGCAGACGCCGAGATATAAAGATTACTAATAAACTAATTTAGTAATAAACTAAATACGAAGGTCCCAGTTTTGAATAAAAAATGTTGGTTAAGGCCACTCGATAAGAGTGTCCTCAGGGCACGAGACCGGGGTGCCACTTTGGATAGTACCCCGTTTCAGAAAGTATAATTCGAGTCCATAGATCTGCGTGTCTTTGATAAATGAATATACTTCATAAATTATGCCAACGCTTTTGTGCATGGGACCAAACTTTGCGCTTGACGTGCGGGCGAAAAATCCCGGCACTCGGAGGGTTAAAAGAACTGAAAAACAAAAGCTCACGGGCTGGAAATAAGCAATCCTCTGTCCCAGGAGTGTGCTTTTTGAACGCATAGCATTTATAGCTCTTAAAGCTTTCGTGCCCCTGTTGGAGTGTGGCATTGAAAAATTAAATAATTTCCGTAATTTCTTTTCACAGCTGCACGACACAGATGTTATGGTGTATGTTTCACGAAAATAACTGGCCATTATCGTTACCTTTTCTAAACAATAGTTTTCCTCGGGGGTGCAGCGTTTATTTGATGGACTTTTATGCAACTCTTCGAAGGATAAATTGATGAACTTAAAACTTTGCATGTCATTCTCTCTCCCAGCTACGAATGTGCCCTGAAATTTTCATACAAACAAGATTAAAAAGTTCAGCTTCCTGAGTAGTGTCCTCACTCAAAGCGCGGACTTTCCTCAGTGTGAGCTTGGCAGAGAAGCGCACTACGTGTACTACGAAATCTTTTTTTCGGGCTTTGTCTACCACCAAAGCGACGAAAAAGCAAAAACGACAGGTGCAATTTCCTCCCTCCCTCCCTCCCTCCCCCTCACACTTCACTGTGCACAACGCACCATGAGCTCAAACCAACAGCTGCACTCCGTTCCTGACACTCTCTCCAATGGCCCTTGCTATGATGCGACCAACCAACACCTCCAAGAGAAGAAGGCCAGAGCGCTCTGAGACGTTACGTCACAATGGCGGAGGAAGGAAGTCCATGGCGCAACTACGTGAGAATACGCTATCGACGTGAAAACAATGTCCCTTGACAAGCGGCGCGGTGGTGTTCGTTCATGCGCGTTTATCCGACATTAATATACGTTTTAAAGGCGCAGTCTTGTACAATTTATTATATATATAATATAAACGTATTATATAACGCGCTACCAAGGTTGAGAGTACCAAAATTATATTTATGAGTATTTTCGTAACCGCGGGACTACTTGCAGTTCCGCAGCACGCCACACTTTTCGAAAGGACCGGCTGCGATGCTGCCGATGCCACATGGCTCCGATTCTGGTAAATTTACGTTGTGTGTGAGCTGCTGACTGTCTGAAAAGGAACGCTGAGACATCTCAGAAGGGAAGCAAACCGAAAAGAAATCCAGTCGTTGTCGCAGGGAGTGCACACCAGCAAGAGATGGGTCGACAATGTTAAGCCTTTCGTCGCCGCTGCTCTCGTGTGTGGTACTTTTGAGACTTGTTTCCCGTCGTATTTCTGTCATCACCGTAGTCTCGGGTAGTTTTTTTTTTTTTTTTGTGTTCGCTTGATACTACGGCATTTACGTGCATTCGTGAAACAAGTCCTGCTACGGTTTGAGTGACGTGTGACAACTAGCCAACGAAGGATCTGGTCGACTAATCGATAGACCTCTCTCTCGACAAAGAGAGGCTTCTTGGAGTTCGTGTTCAAATGTGTTCGTCACGGATATTGTGGGACGTATGGATACGATCGACAGGTGAGAAACAACTTATTTACGGGCTTTCTTGTTCATGTAGGACGCAAGTAAGATGCTGCAATCGTTTTTTTTTTAATCGCATGATAAATTGCAATTTTGTTCCTTGTCATTATTCGTATGCAGTTGCGTCGACATTTGTAAATATGCGCGCTAATCTAGTTTTCACTGGAAGATGAAAATCAAGTTTGTGTGATTATTGAAAGTGAGTTGTTTGTGGTTCTGTGTTTATTTATACTAAAGTTATTTTATTGCCTTTTCCGCGTTTATACTAGAATCTTAACTGTATTAAGGTGATAGTATTATTATATACAAAATAAGTTATGTTTTGTTCTAAGGCAGCTCGAGCCCATAGGGAGAAGTAAATTAGTAGACTAAGTAGTAAGTTTAGTACCCCTGCCACATGGAAACGTTAATATATTTTCATTCAGTGATAGAGGATTTAATCAGCTCGCGGTCTTGAGTGATTATACGAGCGCCGCAAGCGGATTTGTCGACCCTATAATGTCATTCGATCGAAATTACATTAATTTTGCCATGTGGCCGGGGTATGATGCAAGAATTCAGTGACTGCACGCAATAACGTCGTTTACATGATCGTAAGAAACGCTTGTCTTGCCTTGTCCGCGTTGACTATGTCTACCTGATTTTTAACTGTTCTGTTTTGCTGTTTCAAAATCACTTCGTGTCTCGCCATTTTGTCAAAGTATTTCTGTATAAAATATGCATTCCTATAACAATAATTGCATGACTCAATGTTTTCGACTTAAAACAATCACATTTTTCGATAGACGTCTTGTACGCATACCTCGTGCCATTTCGTACCGATTATTTAGCGGTGTAATATTTTGCTCGTGTAATAAAATGTTTTCTAGACCCGTTGCTATCTGCAGCTTTCATTTTAGCTAATAAGACCCGCGTATGTGACTAAAAACGCGTTACGACAGTCGATCTACGCGCGTTGCATTCGCTTTGACGCGCGCCCCCGATGGCCTTCCTTTGCGACGTCACGAGAAGAGCACTACGGCCTTGTCTTCTAGGAGGTGTTGGACCAACGCCAACACGAGCAAGCGAGGTCAGCTCGGGCTAACCGTACAAAGCTGTCACTTCAAAATTCACCTTTCTTGACGGGAAGCTCGAGACATGACCATTTCGCCGGAACCACCTTCTTGAGTATCAGCTCCAGCTTGCACGGGCTCAGTCGGTGACGACACTCCGCTGCTCTGATTGGCTCCCTGGTGGCCAGTAAGGATGAGAGTTCAGGCGACCTCATGGTGACGTCTTTCGGCACCGATAATCGCTCGAGACCTCTGGAGATGCAGAGCAGTAACGCCCGGCTAGAAAGATACTCACTTTACGTTGACGCGCCACACGAAGGTTGTCTCTTCCGTCGCTTTGTGCAGCTCCAGAAACTCGGAGTTGGTGTTCCTGGTTGAAACGAGCACGGGCTTCGCTTATTACCAACATCGTGGTACGAAACCCGCAACAAAATTTTAAAAAGCCAAGCTGCCAGCCTCAGCTCTATGAAAAGCGAAGGATTTTTTACCAGCTATATGATCGGACAGTTATTATAGCATCAGTTTGAGTAGCCATATAAACCTTCCATGAAGGTCTCCCAGAATTAACTATCAGTTTGGCATCAGGCGGTACATTCCAGATATGTCGATACCTCTAAGTAGTCTCTTCTGGTAAGACCAAGAGGGGCATGAAATAGTTTGGATTGCACCCTTTTTATAGGGATTGAGAGAAATTTTAAAACATGCTATTTGATTTGTATTCGAAGACACGCTAGTTCTCTCGAGATGGCACTGGTGGGATGACTCTGTGGATGTCCATGTCTAACCAGGAAGAGGATGATTATTGTATCTATGGTAATGGTTGCAACAGCAGGAAAGAATAAACACACAACGGATGAGAAACACATTCTTGAAACAGCCAAATAGGGCTATCAGTGTTGCAAACAAATAGGTACACTCACAACACAAATGTATAAGCCTTCCAAGGTTACTGTTCCGTACGTTAACGAGGCTTCATTAATTGACTAACCCAACTAAGCCAGCAACACATCCACGAAGAAAGGCATGAGCCGAACGTGGGATCTCACTCACTTGGTACGGAACCGCACGGAGAACCCTGCATCGTGGAACTCGACATTGAGCGTTTCCTTGGAAATGCTCTTGACGAACAAGGTCACCGTAACCGTGTCACCGTTTGCCTGCATCCGAATGCAACCGTGTTCACCCACAGTCCATGCAGGGTAGGGCCAAAGACGTGGAGTTAAGACGGTGTTGACAACAAAACCACTGTGTGCAAAACCACTGAGCGGGAAGACAACTATGTGAGAAACCACTATGTAAAAAAAAAAACATGCGAAAAGGAAAGCAAATGTGAGAAAACCACTATGTAGAAAAAAAAACATGTGAAAAGAAAGGAAAATGTGAGAAAACCACATGGGAAAACCACCATGCGAGATGCCCACTATGTCAGAAATAGAATCCGTTCTAATATTTACGAGCACAGGCTTCTAGTGACGTACAAAGTCACTTCTTGTACGTTTAACTAAGCGTGCTCCTTCTATCAGTTTGTTTTATCTTCCATCCAAAAGAAAACGACTTGTTTCACAATTACTAGCTACATTTTAACCGCACATTAAAGCACCAACCAACTGCCTTACATGATTTATTCATCAAGGACATGAACCTTTTAATAATTGAAGAGACACATGCATTTTTTTAAATTCTCTTTTACATTTAGGAGGCAAAATATTCGTCCGTATAACACTTGTATTATTGTGTCCGTTTTTTTTTTGCTTCGTTCAACATATGTATATTTTGTTTTCTGTCCAGTTCGACATGCCATTTTTTTCCATTATGCTAATTGTTTGTTGTAAGGGGGCCTAGATCTCTGTCAAGCTGCCAAAGCAGCTATTTTTCCTTGTCCGTTCATTTCAAGGTATAAAAAAAATTAAGATTATTATATTTATAATAGTATTATTATATTAAGAAGCAAACAGTTCAAACTCACCCCACTCTCGTAGTAGTCATACTTTGGGTTCGTGAGCTCCGTTGTCGGATTCTCCTCCTTGTCATCTTGGGTGGGTACGTCTGGCCGCAAAGGCTCGTCCGACTTCTGCAAGTACAAGGGAATTAACCAGTTGACTCGAAGTGGTAATGAACGGTTGTTTCGGATCGTCGAGTCTGAAACATAGCCGAGACAAGTTAATTTCCACCTGCACCAAAGATCTAAATGCAATAGACCCTTTCTGAAATCGAGTGCCACCTGGCGGCTCAAACTAGAGTAAGTTTTGCTGTACTAATGGCGGTAATAGACGTGTAGTCTTTCATCGGGCAGTGTTATGAGTCAATGGCAGACAAGAAGGTGTTTTTCACTGTGCAGTTTTTCTCAATGCGATTCAGTTTTGATAGAGACATGAAGATCTCATTGGTGGAGACAAATCGCAAGGAATCCCTAGACACCTAGGAGCCCAGCTTGAAAACCCATGCATTGGGGATCTGTCGCTGTCTGGAGGGCCGAAAAATAAGTAAGTGAATATAAACGAGGAAAAACTAAATAAATAATCCTATAGACAAGCATTTAAAAACAAAACTGAAAGTTAGAGTATTAAAAAAAAAAGAAGAATATAAGGGAGATGAATATGTCTACAAAAGGTTAGAGCGCAAACGAGCTGGTGGTAGTGTAACATAGTAAAAACACCCCGAGACTGGGAAAAAGAAAGGACGGACAAACACAGAGGTCTCAACGGTGTAAACCGTAGAGACTTCTGTGTTTGTCCGTCCTTTCTTTTTCCCAGTCTCGGGGTATTTCTACCATAAATATATCTATTTTGTTTATAAATTCAATAATCAACTAATTTTGGCATTGCACAATAATTAAGACCCAGAAAACCCAACAGGGCAGAAGACTAAAGAGAATGACAGAACTGCTGCGTAGATTATTCGGTGAAAGCCGGCACTGGTGGCACCTACCTCAAGCTGGCACCAGTTGATGGAGGGATCCTTCTTCACCATCTTCACCACCACCTTCTTGGGCTTGTGGATCAGGCTGGTGTACTCGCCCACCACCGGCGCAAAGAGTTCACAGTCCCAGTGGCGGCCATCTTGAAAAGCCCAGGAGCGAGGAATTCTATGCACGCTCGGTAACGACGACGTCGACGTATGGGACGACATCTATCCTGGGGCTCGCCGTAAAACGACCCGACAAACTCGGCGTTGGACGCGAAGAGCGAGGGGGTTTCACAACAAAAAATTTCGAGGCAATCTCGATTTATTTCATCTGCGCGTTTTAACTTCTGTCTAAAATCAAACGTGCACAGAGAGGTTGATGTCAAACCAGAAGCAATAATAACCAATGTGGTGTTGAGAACATGGAGTGCCGTCAGCTTTTAATGACCTGTATGAGGTGTGTTAGCATTCATACTTTCAAGCCTCTAACTTTTGCAGGAGAGGAGTTATGCCTCGAAATTTCACGAAGTAAAACCCACCCCTCAAATACGTCTTCGACATGAATTTGAGCTCGTTATGTCCTGGTGCAGAGTTTACCCAGCTCGTTTTATGGACAGCCTCAGAAATGATGCCGCCCCGTATATTTCACTGTACCATATTTTTCTGGACTATAATCTGCACTGTGTGTATATATAGCCTGCAAAAACAATATTCAGCTAAAATTAAAATTTTCCTTTTTTTTTTTTTGATAGTTTGCCTAGAGTGCATTGAACGCACTTGGTGCATATTCCGCATGCAAAAAATATTTCATAAACGGCATGACTTGAAAAAGGCCTGCATTATTAGTACACAAACTAGCTTGTATCATACAAAAATCATAATGAAATTATCATAACGAAGAAGATACAAAAATCAAATCTTTGTATGGACCTTTCCCACAATTATCGCTCGGGCAAAGAATGCAGAGTCACTGAGTTGTGGACGCATGCGTGTCGTCTGATATTCTGCAGAAGGGAGCTACTGTGCATGCTCAGAAGGCATTCCACAGCCCAGCAGACAAAAATGGCAGCGACCAGAAGGCAATTACTGGAATTGTCTAGGGATGTTTTTCGTTTCCTTTTGTCCCTAGTCACACAAGTTCTGTATCTCGTATGCAAGATGAAAGAATAATAAAACATTTCAAACTGGAATATGCGAGAAAATATAGGTGAAGCAAAACAAGAAAGTGTGACAATCGCGGATTTTTCGTCGACACCTTTCAGCGGCGTGGAGACATTAAAACAATGTTTTAACACGTACCAGAAGTGACGACACTCAAAATGGCTGCGCCCTCGTAAAAAAGGTGTATATAGCCTGTGTTTGCACGCATCCCATGAAATTTGAACTTTTAATGAGGAGTTCTGGCAAAATTTTGATAGTAGGTGATTGGCCTCGAAATTGGTTGAACGCATCAATAGGTACATTTGAACTATAACCCAAACTGCTGGTCACAATAATTTTTCTTTTTACAGAGTCATTGAAGTTAATTTAATTTAAGAGCCAGAGAGGCTCTACTGGCAACACTGAAAATGTGACGTCAGATATTGAAAGAGGGGGCCATTGGAGCCAGTTCCCAAAGGGTTCAAAATAAGTTTGACGGTGTGCAATAAATGCTAGTTAAACTCACAACAGCAAAACAAAAAAAACAAAAAAAATATACGTAAAAATATTGTGTTTTTTAGGCTTGCTGCTTGATTTGCAAATCATATAACACATAATGTTCCTTCACCGAAGAGCACGGGAAACTTTGAGTGTCGGTTTTGGCGTCGCCTTCGTCTGCCATTTTCTCATTGCTAATTTGAGTTTAGAGATAATAAGCAGCAGGTCAGCAAAAGCCTAGGTATTCCAAAAATGGGTTCAGTTTCGATAGTTCTGAAGACTGCCGGAGCTCCCCCTTTACCGCACACTATAGAGCGAAAAATATGGTATATCTACGTCCCGCCACAACATCCAGCAGGTCCCTCACCTGGCAGGGTGATTGAGCATTCCGCGTCGGTGCACTTGAGGGTCACCTGGTTGGAGTCGACAGGAAAACCGACGTCCAGGGTGGCACTGACTTCCGAACGCGTCTGGCTCCACTCGTGCCTCAGCACCCCTGCAGACGACACAATGCGGCAGCGGCCTTGAGAAGCCGCCTCCAGAAATGGGGGTGCTTTGAGCCACCCTAACACAAACTAGGGAGCCTTCTAGCAACGCTTGTTTTAGGGTGGTGTCAAACCATTGGAAAGGTATGATGTGATGCCTTCCGTTAAGATGGATGGATAAACGGACGTTAATGGACCCTTCCTTTATATCGAAGAAGTAGCTTGCGCCACTTGGCACCCGTTAAACAGTGCCGCTACCAACACTTGTTGCCGTAACTGCCGGAGGTGGCCGCCATTTGGATTCCTGAAGTGTCATCTGGTTATAGTAGTGGAAGACCCCTACCAATGGTAGCAACTGTTTTCCGCGGCTCGCCATTTGCGTTTGTACGACGACGGATCGCGGCACGTATGTCTCGGAAACAAACACGGCGCGACAGTGCCAATTGCTGCGGTAATAGGCGCGGTGGATGCGCTTCAGTTGAGAATCAACACGGCAGTACGCCAAGTCTGACTGGTGCAATGTCGTTGGTTTGACAGATCTGGAGGCTGCTAATGGCGGAAATCTACCCACTATCCTTCCAATCGGAGCCAATCGGAGCTTGCCATTCTGATGTCACTGCAGCCCCTGTACAAGAAGCAAACTTGCACTCTGCATAGATTCCGCAATGTCAACAGCAGAACCTGCCGTAGATGACGGAGCGATTTATAAGTGGTATTCGCAGGACGCCATATTTGAGGTGACTGCTAAGAGCACATGCTCGAGATGGATTCTTATTTATGGACTCCCAAAGAAAACAATCTTGATTGTGTGCAATGGGCCGTGTTGGAAGCGTTGTGGAAGCCTGCCGCCAGTATGTGCTCTGCAGCAGCGAGTTCAGTACGGTCGCCAGTGAATACCATCTATATGAAATGGAGAAAACTATTTTACCACAACGCCGTGAACCTTTTCCGTCCCTTGTGAAAAAAATGTCCACCTAGAGTACTGGGACAGCTGACATCAAAATGTGCTCCAAATTTCAAGTTGTGATGGGCACTGCATACTAAAACAAACTCACTGTTGTTTCCTCCTAAATTCTGTGTATGCTCTCTCATCTGCATCATGGTGTTCAGCGGGTAAACCTGCTGAACACCAAATCATTATACCCTGAATGTGCCTCTCAAGCTGTATGTATTTCGACACAATGTCGGAAGCAACAAAACGCTCGTCGCATACGTAAGAGACGTTTACAACAGGCAATTCGTTTGGTGACCTTAGAGTTGATTGCAGCATAAAATTCTTTCAAACCAGGGCAGGTGAGAATGTTGGGAGGCGAGTGCAAGTCACGCAAAACGAGTAATAACTCTGGGAAGAAAACTTTCCCTTTTTCCGAGAATAATTCCGCTGGTTAGGTAACACTTTGCACTCACTCCTTTTTTCGCCCTTGGATTCGGAGTCCTTGCTGGAGTTCTCCTTTTCCTTGCGTCGCTTGTTCTCATGTCTCTTCGAATCCATGATACATCGGCGCCGTTTGAGTCGTCGGCGCGCCGTTTAATATGTTCGACTACAAGCGCGCGGGTTACCCAAGAAACGCTCAAGGAAACACGTTTACCTTCTGAACTTTCGACCCACCTTTTCACAAAACGCCAGAATTTGTATGCTAGCTAACGTGCTACGATCAAAAGGGGAACAACACAGCGCATACCACGATCCAGAGGATTCCAAAGATATGTTTTCTTTTCTATTGTGTTTTTCCCCCTCAGCGATACGAGAGACCCGCGGCGAACGACGGTCAAACTAAAACCCACGTGATAATATCTACCAATAATATTAGGTGTTTTATAAAGCACGTAATGTCGGCCAATGGGAGTACCTGTTTTACTTCTGCTTTTGACGGTGGCCATGTTTGTTTAATGGTGGCACAAAATGGCTGACGCTGGTATGAAAAGTGGCTTTGGAAGTCGTTGAATATTCGCTTCTTTTTGTCTCTGTTGGTCCCCTTTAGTGAAACTCGAGGGCTCGCGGAAACCAACTCTAAACTAAACATATTCGTATAAAAATTTCGGATACAAGTTTGCCTTACCTTACAACGACACCGACGCTAGGAAGATTCCAACGTTTTCAAGCGATCGTCCGCACCTATCATCAGGACATCTCACAACTTTTCTTCAATTTCTCGAAGTTAAACTAACGGAACGTCCGCGGGATCTAGACCGAACATTCTCGACGCAGCATCTAACATCGAGGATAAAAAATATGATACAGAACATTTAGATCGGAGTTGTCTTAAGCCCAGCAACAATTGATCTTCATGATCGGAGCTTACTTGGATTCATCGCGCGGGTGAGTGATTAAAAAGAGAAAACTGTGTGTTAATTTCGGCAGCTACGGCTAAGAAAACGACGAAGACGAAGGCTCGAGGACGCGGCCGCCGCAGTACCCGCGGTCGCAAGGCAGCCACCTCCGGCAAAAAAGCTGAAGCGGCGGTTGAAGATGATGAAGAGTCGCTGCCCGCCGCCGAAGAAGAGGATGAAGAAAATAAGAAGGGTAAAACGTTTGTCGGATTCGGAACTTTCTTCCTCAACCCCTGGCTTCTTAAACTTATTTCTTAACTATGCTCTTTATGAGGCCACGAAGAATCGCTACAATCGGTTCCAGTAAGCTTGAGAGTGAAGTGCCGTGGTATTTGCACTCGCGTAGCGCGAGCTTTTAGTTGGTTTTTCTCCTGTTGGTTTTTCTCCTTTTTTTTTATTGGTAATGCTTTGTTTATTTATGTTTTAATATCGAACGTTGGTTAGTATCGTCGGTCGTAGGGAATATGCTCCCCACAGTCTTTTTCTAAAGTCGGCAGCGAATGAAAAAGCGGCGTTGCTTCGGTGTCGGCATTCACGGCGTGAGCGTTGAGAAGGTTGAGCGGAAAACAGGGATGTATGGAAAGTTCTGCCGCGGTTTGCAGAGCCACCGAAGATCTGTTCTGCGCAGCCCTACAGGAGGTCAGTTGTACGGCTGGAACAGCAACCTGCACATTAGTATGTGGCTACGACTGTATGATGTATCATTAATTGATAGGTTGCTCTGACATCATTTCGTGTATCATTCCGATGCCTTTCCTTTACATTTATTGTGTGCTCTAAAAATGTCACTGCAGTGCCAGCAGCAGCTGAGGGATATATAGCGGAAACCACATAATAATGTTACATGCAAGTTGTGAATAGAAGTGCGTGCAACAGTCACAGACCTCCGACTTGCTCCACATGTTTGATGCATACACCCTACACTTCGGACGTGACATAGCTCTCTCCCTGGTTAATTTGCCCTAGCCAATGTTTTGTCAGCGTAGAATAATTTCGAGGGGTACAGTGCTAATCACACTTGTCTGTAACGTGCGAGCGTGCGGCTTTCTCCGGGGAGCGCTAGATTGGTGGCATTCGCGAAAACTACGCTAGTCACATGGTGCAACATGGAACGGCCCACTCGAGGGGTGTCCTGCCCGCTCTATCAGCTGGTGGCGAACGCGGAAGGCTGCTCGCACGCTTTTTACAAACATCATTGCTCGAACAATAAACAAACTGAAGCACGAAGGCATATCAACGATGTCGTCATCAAAAAACAAAAATATATCATAAAGCACTTTACTTTTATCGCTTATCAAGCTGATAGAGTGAACAAGACACCCCTCGAGTGGGCCATTTCATGTTGCGCCACGTGACTAGCTTAGCATCCGCGAATGCCACCAGTCTAGCGCTCCTTGGAAAAAGCCGCACGCTCGCGCGTTATAGACAAGTGTGATTAGCACTGTACATAATCTGAAATGTTAAGGCAGCACAAAAAATTACTACACGTTTGGCACGCAACAAAATGTATCACGTTTGCATCTCAAAGCTTGTCCTTTTCGTTTGGGTTTCTTGCTTTTGAAGAGGAGATATTGATTTTTGTTTTTGGGAAGTGAATAGGGTTTTTTGTGTAGGAATTTTGGTTTGCGTTATTCAATTGCGCGCTGTTGTGGACGCTTGTAAAGAGTCTAATCACTGAAAGTTTCCTGGAATTGGCAGAGTATGCCCCACCTAAAACATTTCCAAGGTTACAGCGGGGCACATGTTTGTAGCGACAGTTTTGGCATACTTTCTCATTATCGTCAACGTTTAGCGTGGGTTTTAATTGCGGAAGCATATGATGGCCAGCTTAGCGTAGATGGTCAGCCAAATATATAACACTCATCGGGGTTTCACTCCTTCCTTAAAATTTTACATGACTCCAGGATGGTTTCCCACGACGAGCGCACACCAGACGCCGGTAACGCATGACCACCAACCTCTCAAGTTTGGGAATTTCGATCTTCTCTCCGGGAGATATCAAGGTTTGACTGGGGGGACAAAGCAATTTGGGAAGCACCCGCCAAACCGAGTCCTGTCCTAAGATACCGGACACTAACACATCTCGATGCCGCCTAACAGACGGGCCAACTGAATGTGCGTCTCGACAGCTTTGCAAGGGGAGAGCTCTCCGGTGTCGCGCAATTTAACCTGCATGTGCTTGGAAAGATAAAGGGAAAGGAAATGGACCTTCTTGGTTACGGCTGCTTCAATACCTATTTTCTTATTTTGCTGAATTTTGTTTGTTCTTTTTTTTATGTTATGTTTTTAAGCTTTACTTGTGTCGACCTATGAGGCTTTCAGGTGTTATGAATCTGCCCTGCTTTCTTTGAGGTAGAGAAAAAGCATGGGGCGGTGAGGCAAGGTTTTCGTGACTCCTGTGCTGCCTCTCGCCTAACTGTCGCCGGCGTCGTGTCCTGGGCTTGTCACGTCAGCTCGGGGCTTGCGTGTGCTTTTGCTCTTTTATTTGTTATTGTGTGTGTTGTTCGTTGAGAGTGGTGAAGGTCGTAACGCAAAACTAGAGAATGCTGTGAAGCCAAAGGTTTGAATGGCCTATATGCTGTGATTTTGTTGTACCCTGCCTGCAGTGATCACGATATGTGACCACCTAAATTAGGGTAATGATATTTTTTTCTCGCGAGTTGTCAGGAAAGTTGAGGGTGAGATATAATTAACTATTGGGCTAAATGGCTAGACATAATAAATATACAAAATTGCAAAGGACAAGGCCAAAACATAGAAAAAGAACTGAGAGTGAAGCTGCCAGTGCGAGCTTATAGTTCATTAAGGTATGCTCACTGATCTCTCAAAGGTGAATGAGGTATCCCGTGTGGCCTCTATCAACACCACCTAGACAGAAGGCCTCCGCATGGTTTCTTCTTCCTCTATGAAACGTCATCCCAGTCGGATCGCGCTCGGTCGGCTATTGGACCCGAGCCCGACCTTCGACGCGTTGATCGGCCACGAGCCGCAGCCGAACACTGACGCAGCACTCGTGCCCAACCTCTCGCCTCGATCGATCTGACTATGATGACGCGTGTGGAGGCCTTCTGTCCAGGTGGTGTTGCCTCTATACAGTAAACTCTTAGATTGCAAGGATAAATTGTGATAGCATTGACACTGTTGCACAACGTGCGGTTCAAATAAGGTGTTGATCTACTCAAGATTTTTGCTGGCTAAAACAGCTTGCTGCATAGACGTAACCTAGTCGAGCCAGGTACGTAGTGGTGGTGGCAGGCTCTATAAAATCGCAAAATGTTCTCGGACTTGTGGCTGGTTAATTATTTTTTTTATGTAAAGCAACTTGTTGGCAACTTCTATCAGTTTTATTTATGGCGCTCAAAAAATAAAGTTTTATGTGCGCAATCGGCTTACGAGAGTATATACAGCATTCTGCAAGTAGAAATTGCAAGGCACGTAAGGTTCCGCAGCATTTTGTAACCTCTAAATAAATTTCAGGTCTCTGCCACGAAACCTGAAAAGAAAGAAAAAAATGTTGTTTTTCTTTAAGTCCCTATTTATTAAATATCCCTTTAGTTTAGAAATGGTTCTCGATTGATGTCTGGATCTACTTTTAAAAAAGTTATGTTCATGTTGCTTCAAGCGTGCTCAAACCACTAAATTGCAACAGGACATCTTATTCATACATCTCTGGGTTGGTCAAAGATTAATGTATTGGCAAAAAAAAAAAGAAAAAAGGAGAATTTAGTCTTATGGCTTACCAAGCCCATTGTTTCTCACAGAGTATATTTCTGGGCATAGACCTTTGTTGCGCCGGGAAACTAGACGTGCCTCAGTGTCTCACAGAAAGCTCGCCCTATAGACTGGTTCATGCACTCGCATTTTGAGTGTGGTTGAATGCGTGGTGCCTGAAGGTTTTGCACTATTGGCTGATGGTTTTTCCCCATTGACCAAAGGTTTTACACTATGGGCGACGTCAAATCTATCCGCTATTTACGAAAAATGGTCACTCGTAACATTGCCGGAGTTATTTCACACCCACGGTGAATGAATGATGAATAAAAAAGGACCACCCGACAGATAATGCTAGTGTGTGCTCATCTCGGCGGTTATGAGGCGGTGCAACACACAATCGAGCACACTCGGAACGCACGTGCTAACCAGCCTCGCATTGCGGCACACATGCCTCTTCGGTGTTCTGACCTCTCTCATCAAAGCACAAGACCCACACGGTGCGAGGCTTGCGTTGTCGTCTAGTTGGCATCTTTTCATTTGGTGCTTATCCATCCGTCTGTGTCCTTGTCTTCCGCCGTACTTCGCAGATGCCGAAGAGCGCAAGTCGGAGACCGTGTTGCTGGACCCTCCGTCGTTTTCGCCGTTGACACGGAGCGGGCCCCCGGAGCCGCTCCATCAAAACAAGAAGCTAAAATGGGACCACAAGGTGGGCGGCCATTTCGCAAGTCTCGCGCGCCACCATGGTGCCTGGCACGCGTTTCCGACCACAATGTTTACCGTTTCCCCAAAAGTGGGCCCTCTCTTTCTGCCCGACGACCTCGAAGTGTCGCGCCGTTGTTAGTCGCGATGCCGGCGGTGACACAGTGGCGAAAGTGGGTGCAGCAGACGTCTGTTGCGACGTAGGTCGCTCTGCAACCAGACAGTCTACGTACACCAGGGCGGACGGAAGACGGGGGCGCTGCGACGACGGCAACCCCTTTGGCCACTCGCCTTTTTCGCCGGCGTTGCTACTACCGACCGCCAGGATTGCAACATCCAATGGCTTGACGCGCCGGCTCCTGTGACGTTGTTTCTTGCCACTTTGGGACTCTAAATGCACCAGTCAGGGGCGTGTTGCAGGCACCGTAGTACTACTGCTCTCTTGTAGGGGAAGTGGCCGTTTTTGTTGCATGCAGACAGTTGCTAGGATTTCCGAGCGAACCGCTTCCAAGCACTCGCCGCGGGCGGTATGTGTCGTCTGCTTTCCCGTGTCTTCCGTACTACGCTAGTGCGGTGGCTCCGAGAAGAAAAGCGCAGGTTATAGGTTCCGTAGTAGACTTTGCATGCTGGGGACACTTGAACTGGTCCATCAGCTGAACAGGAAGTGGCATTTCTTAAGCAGAAGGTAGCATTTGGAAACTGGATGACATTTCTGAATTCTTGAAATTATCCTGTCAGGGCAGTACTGGGTACTCGTTTGAAATAGTGTATTATTTTGAGACAGTCTGGAAGAAGGCACTGCCAATGCGTTCGTTTTGCTAAGCAGAGGGGACGGGGGAATGTGTGGTTGAAAAAGTGGAATATTGCGACCCTCATAGATGTACTTCTTACGGAAATCAGCATGTGTAAACAAATTCCCATTCCAGTTTCATGCATTACGGACTTGAAGCACTCGCTCTGACCAGAAGTTAGTTAAGCCAAAGTGAAAGACCAGCCGTGTCGCAATTCCTTCGAAGACCAAAAGTTTTCCGTAGGTGCGGGAAGAGAGACCAGGGGCCTGTTTATGCATACAGCATGGCACTACCTTGGCACTATTAGTCAGCACTGGAAATAGCACTGCCTTTGCAGTATATTCGACTTCAGAGTTGTGCGAATATTAGAATTTTCGAGTAGTAGTTTTGAATAATACGACATTCACTTTGAGATGAACTGCAATATTTGTATTTTTCCAAGTGTTGATCGCTGCAGGTTAGCCCTGTTAAGCGTGCTTCTTACCAAGCACCTATGTACCGCAGAGAAGCAACACCCGTGAAAGCGAGTTCCCCGGGTGTTGCTTTTCCGATTAGGTATAGTTTGGCATCTCTAGGGGTGTAATCTTATATCATATGCATTGTTTACTTGCCATCATAATGTAGGCATTTGACTTTCTGAGGCCCCAGTCCACATATATAGTTAGATTAAAATTAACTTGGCCTAGGAATGGACGAGTGGAAGCTTGGGAGCAACCTTAATTAGTTCAGCTGGGTTCTTGTTTAGTAAGCATGGTGCAGTAGTGAAAGGCTTAGAAAAGCTATTCGATATTCGATTCGAAAATATTCTATCAAAACAACTATTCGCTTCGAACTCAAAATACACTGGTTGCACCTTGTAGTATTAGCGATACAGCACCGTTACAGCGCTTCGTCGCTGTAAAGTTAGGTTAAAGTCAATGCTGCATGGTGCTGTTCTTACTGGTGACTTAGTACTGCATCATATGCATGAATTGGTCTTAGTACATACGCCTGTCATGCGGTAAAGTTTATGGCATTTGAGCGATCGGCCTTTCGGTGCATGCCACTCCTGACGCAGCACACGATTTGCGCGCGACCGCCGTAGTCGGGACCACAAGCTTATTTGCCCATCGCCAAAATGTAATTTTATGGAAACGACATAACTTTCCGGCACGGCAGAGGAGCATAAGACGAGCATTCGAGAACATGTTCGGCCGGGGCCGTTCCCAAACGGGACAGCATGAGGTCGCCACGCCTCACTGGGCCCGTCCCACGCATCGTCTGCTGGCGCAGGTGAACCTGATCGGAGAGAAGCTGATCAACCCAATGATCCACTGCTGCGACAAGTGCAGCCTCCCGATCATCATCTACGGACGCAACGTGAGTATCCCCGTAACTGCCGTCGTGCCTCGAGCAGGAGAGATCGCGTCGTTCGTAGCCTTGCAGCGACCTCCGGGGTGCGCACACTCCGCATCGAGGTTGACTCACACTTGTGTGTTTGAGCGTGCTCGAGTGCGTTCTATTCTTTTGTAACCGCTTACGATGAGAGACCACAGTGGTGCCATCTACCGAGTAACCCTGGAACTGCATGTACCTATAGGTATTTGTGAGGTCAAATCAATGCGCTATTTACATTGCGTCTACGCGACGTAAATAGTGGAGAGGCTCATTTGAGCGATTACGAAACATGCTCCTATTTTGGGGTCGACGTCTGCTAACTCGAAACGAGTTTTGCAACAGAAATGCAATAATCCCTCGTCATAATTAAATCACTTTTTTTTATTTATCGCTTTTATCGAAGTTCAGTGTGTTCCCGACCGAAATGCTCACACTTTTAACTGGATTATTCGAAGTGTATCGGCGGCTGACCACGCTTATTACGAAGGCTGCGGCGCTGAAAGCATGCAAGCCTGCACAGAGGCACACAGGAAACCCTTGCGTTCCCTCCCTCTTCTCCACTAAGGCAAACAGAAAACGGGGAAAATGGAGTAAATTGGTGACAGAGGGCAGAGCACGCAGAGCTGGCACAGCGACGCTTGCGATGCGCCGACGCGGGGACATGGGCAGGGAGCAGCGTCAGCGTTCCGGCGCTACTTACGGCCGCCTCTTGGAATCGGGTCTAGGGAGCGATGAAGCCCGGAGGAGATCATCCCTTCAGGAGCCCCCACACGCGCGCCTGCGGCATATTACACACGCACGTGTCGTACGCACACGCACGCTTCGTAAGTCGCTTGAGGTTGGGAAATGTGGCCAGCCCAAATTCGCAATCGCCGAAGAATTCGACATTCCAGCATTGGCCGTTCGACACCGTCCACCATTTTGCAGAACAAGCAAAGCGTATTGGACGGGTTCGAGAAGTTTCTCGTGCAGAAAAAAGCCCGCCCGCGACCTAAAGGTGAAAGATCGCGCACTTCAGATTTTCTTTCATGAGCACGCTTGCCGAGCTGGCACACGATTTTTATGACTGCAACTATCTCTACAGGAGCGTGAGAAAACGTGTTGGCAAAGTCACCAAAATAAGTGATTCGTTCGTGCTTGTCGATGCGGACGTTCCTGTTGTTGCTCCCACCACGGATGCTGCGGTCGTAGACCTTGCGTGCGGCCAGGGTAAACACGAAGCGACGTCGGATCGGCACCTCGGGAAACGCCTACGACTGCGGAGACACGAAACGTCCAATGGCTGCTTCGAAGCAAAGCGAAGTGCAGCGGTGGTGACAGTGTTCTTGCGATGCCTGGAGCAGTTCGAGAACTGATGCCTGGATGAAATTATCGGCAAACTCTACTTAATTATTTTTTTCACTCGGTAAAGCTGCCACGGGATGTTCATAACCAAGATTTGTTTGATTAAATATATGGTCGGAGTGTTCCGCAGTGTTCCTGTCCATCCTCAAGGCTGCTGGCACTGTTTTTTTGGCTCCATCGCTTTTATCAAATTTTTTTTGTTGCCGCGTTGACTTCATTATAATGGGGGATTACTGTACTGTTGCGCTAAAAAGAAAAATTTTGTTTTCATGGAGTATTTTTTTTTTTTTTTTTTCTTTTGTGACATGTCCTATTGGGACATGCCTTGGGAGTGGCAGACGATGTTCCGCCGAGAAACTTGGCCGTGAAAAGGTTGAGTTAGTGAAACATTGATTACCAATTTGAGAGTTCCGGGAAGTGCCTTCTCTTACTGTAGTCACTGACATAGTGAGAATAGCAGGAGGGAACTTCAATTGTCACTGCTTGTTTTTTTTTTTAAATGTGGACCCCCTTGAAAATTAAAAGACCCTGTATAGCATGAGAGCCATATAGAAAGCATCTGGGTGTGGAGGGGTTTCACGGAGCGTGCGTCGAGCACGTGTAGAGCTGTCACCTTTGTCAACCTCCTTTCCTCGCACAGATCCCCTGCAAGCACGTCTTCTGCTTCGATTGCGCCAAGAAGTCTGACAAGATTTGTTACCGGTGAGTTGGAAAAAAAAGAAAAGAGTGAAAACTGCATGGGGAAACAACACGTGAAAGAAAGAATCCTGTGTCCGACAGCTTCGAGGTGCACCACAGTCGTTGTTTTGTTTTTCTGTGCTCGAAAGATGTAAGAAAAATTCCATTATTGACGGTTTGTTTTCTGAGACTTGAAAGATCTTGGAACAGTTCCATTATTGATGGCTCATTTTCCTGCGCTTAAAAAATGTCGGGGACAGTTCCATTTTGAACCATCACTCGACTCGCTGCAGAGCACGAGGCAGCAACACATAGTGTTCCTCGATCGATCGGTGAGTCGTCATTCAGCCGCAACGCTCGCACATCCTCGTAATATTTTACATATTATCAAATCCCGAGAGATAGCCCAGCTAACATCAAAACCAAATCGGCTGAAAATATCGAGTGGGTTAACTTTCAGAGTAGAATCAAGAAAAGTTTAAAAAAATTGCTATTTTTAGGTCATGTCCCTTCCAAGCTCGTTATGGTGGCGAGGGGCAACGAAGCAAAGATGATTGTACTTCCCAGCCAGCAACGTTCGCTTATATTCTGCCATAGCGAACTAGCCGCATTTACGCCGACGCCATCATTGCTCCCAACACTACTGTTACTAGGACTGGGCTGTCTCTCGGCGTTTAAAAAAAAATATAGCAAATCAAGCCAAAAATGGAGGTGGGCTACTTTTTGGGGGTGGGGCGTCTCGGGGTTTTACGGTAAACCTGCGTGGCTCGAGCGTAGACCGCAGCTGATGCAGGTTCGTCGGATTTACGAAAATCTCAATCGTACGCCCATACGTCGTGTAGCGGACTAACAAAAGAAAAGTTGACTCAAGAACAGCGCACAAATAATTTCCCTCGGTGCAAAATTCCGTAGTTGTCGACGGGAGGGCCGGGAGCAAACCGAAACCACACGGGGATGCGCGCTAGTGTGCTTAGGTGTGGCACCTGACGAGTCGGTGGCTCCGTGGGGGTGCAGGTGCAGCGACAAAGTGCAGCGGCTGGAGCCGAGCACCTTGGGCACCGTGTTCATGTGCACCTTTGGTGAGAGCCGCCAGGGGAAGGACTCGTGTCGGAGGACCTACCTCAGCCAGCGGGACCTGCAGGTGCGTCTGCCTCTCTTCTTCCGACCCCCACAGCTGTGACACGGTGCTCGCGACGCGTCTCCGAGCGGTGCGTTTCGCGTCCCGTTTCATTGATGCATCTACGGCAGTCCCGAACCGGCAACAAACGAGGTTGCAGAAGCTCAAGTGTCATGGCGACCGATGTCGCAATCCCGGCAGTTGTACGTATAAGCCGTGGCAAAAAGAGCGAGAGGTTGTGAGCGTCGTCGCGGTGTTTTGACTGTTGGCTACCAAAGCTTTTGCGGTTTGTCGAGCCAGAGAACGACCTGCGGCAGAACTGTCGTCTGCCGCATCCATCGTCGCTGCGGTGACGCTGTCAGGATCGCGGCTGGCGACGGCATGACACTTGTACGACGGGATCGAGCAGAAATCGAGGGACCACTTCTTTTGGACACCGTAGACACCCCACTCAGAGACGGAGTTTTCGGGCGCCACTCGAAGACCGAAAAAATCAGACAGGAGTGGTATTTGCCGCCGTTCCGGAGTTGCCGACGAGTCGTCTGTCACTACAACACAAATTCCCTGTGCGCCGAGGCGCACGCCGCGAGCGTAATTACATGCGCTGCACATGTCAGCGTCTGCAGCAGTCGCCGTTCTAAAGCAAAAATCCAAAACCACCTGCACTCTGCGCGTGCGCGTGTCAATGCCCTGTCTCAGCGTTTTACTTCTAATCATTTCTAAAAATAAGGTGCAAGTGTGTGCAGTTCATGTATTTATGTTTCCAGCATTCTGTTTGGCGCTTCGGTAATTTGGCAGAAGGTATATTGCTGAAATCAACCCGGATCAAAACCAACTGCTACTCTGGCACGTTTGGGAAGGCAGCGACCGATCGGGGATGTGGTAGTATTTCCGGTACCACGGTCGGGATGATGGTAACCGAGATGGGATTTGACAATGTCCCGTTTTGCTCTGGGTCGTTTTAGCAGGGTACTGGTTTCAGGGTGGGTCATTTAGCATTCGTGTTGTTAAAGATATAAAATCAGATTATTGTTGCCTTTTTTTTTCAATCTAAGTAATTCGAAAAAAAAAAAAAATTTAATGATGGCGGCAACAAAATGTAGTGCATCACCGTCACACTCGCATGCAGACGCCAGAGACCAGAGTTGCAGCTGTTTTGGCGTCGAAATGTCGGGGAAAACGTTGCTTCGTTGGAATCCGATCCGAAAGAGTTGCCCTTCCAGGGCACGGTCTTTTCTCCGGGAAGCGTGTCGCGGGAATTGTTGCAAACTCTCGAAAAAGCCCGATCACACATTAGATTTGTTCAGTAGTTGTCCTCTTCTGTTTCATGCTTTTCGTGCTGCATATTCGAGAGAAAAAGTGCATTTTCGAGAGTGTTTCTGCCCGGCGGGGGGTGCTGGGTGCAAGGAAAAAATCATCGTCGAGCTTGCTTGACTAGCCGCCCGGACAAAAAGGCACTTTGCTTGTACTAGAGTCGTTGCTTCTCACCACAACACATTGCTCCTTCAAAAAAATAGCGGTTTGAAATTCGAGTGTTGCTCTTTTAGAACCAGGAAGAATATAGAATAAAAGCAGACCCGATCGTTTTCAGACTAACTGCATCTCCAATCATTTTGATCAAAAAAATAGTAGCGAGTCAATAACGAGTCTCAATAAAGTTTGTGACCCAAAAATTCAATTTTATTTGTGCGACTCATTAAGCTCGTTATTTCTTCGCAAATTGCATTACTGAACAAGAGGTAAGAGGGGATGTTTGGTCTCGTCATTGAACTTGAAATTGCATCGTTTCTTTCATTAAATCTTTGTCGTTTCCGTTCTCTCGTTTTTCGCGTTTCTCCCAAGTGTTTTGCGGATACTGTCTCGTCACGACTTCGCCATTCGGCAGGGCTTTGACGGGCTCGGCCTTTCGCCTTGGTGGATTTTTCTATGACAATCTCCCACTGTTTACCGATGATCAGGGTAGGCTTGCTAGAAGGCGCGTCTTAGCAAATACTGGGTGAAAGACAGCGCTGCCTGAACCTGAGTTGAGCGGCACTTGGATGACATCTCAATGCGCTCGTGTGCCTCAGCCTTCGCAGCGTCAGAATGAATATACGAGCTGTACACCGTGTGCGCACATTTAAAGTTCGAGATGCCGATGCTGGCTCTGTAACGCCATCGTCTCGCGGAGAGGCAGTTTGTTTGTTTACTTATTGACTTCTAAAGGCACGTAGAGAGGGTGTGGCGTGATGTCATGCGCATTTCCCACAGGCCCACATCACACATCGCCACCTGAAGAACGCGAGCAGCAATGCAACGACTCCGCAGCAGTCTGCGACTGCGGGCCACGGACATCCGCCCCAGCAGCAGCTGGCAACAGCGGCCTCCGCAGCACCGGCGCACCCTCCCCCCCGACACCTGCTGGTCCGTGACCCCCGGCAACACCCACCACCCGTGCCCGTGCCGGTGCCACACCCGCCCCCGTCCGCCATGGACATGCCTCGGGGAGCACCAATGCAGCCCCCGCCACACATGCAACAAACCCCACCGCCGAAGCCCCACCCCCCGGAGTACAGGGACATGCCTCCACCCATGATGATGGCCGCAGCGCAACAGCAGCAGCAGCAGCAGCAACAACAACAACAGATGCCGCCGCCCCCTCGCTCATACCAGCTCCAACCGTCCGGCCCGCCCGCTCAGATCCCGGTGGTCAGCCGATCCAACCTCATCACGGTCCAAATCCACGACGACAGCCACAAGGGAGGGGCAGGAAGTGGAGCAACGTTACCCCCCCAAATGGCGGGACCGCCCCCTCCCCAGTACGCCACGCCCCCGCATGGCGTGATGGCTCCGCCCCCGCCGCAAGGGGCGTACCCGCCGCCTCAGGGGGCGGGGCCCCCCATGAGCTACCCGCCGCCCGCGGCACAGCCCCCGTACACGCAGGCTCCACCCTCTTACACCACTGCTCCACCCCCTCCCCCGCCCCCGGCACGGATCCCGCCCCCGCAGTTCGTGCAGCACCAGCCGCCGCCGCAGTTCGTGCACCCTCCGCAGCCTCCGCCGCCGCGGTTTGCGTCGCCGTACGAGGAGGCGGGGCATCCGCCCACGTTTCATTGGAGCGCGGCGACGAACATGCCGCCCCCACCGCGACCAATGGCGGGGCCTCCGCCCTCGGCGGGTCCGCCCCCGGGTGCAATGATGCAGCGGGAGCCGCAGTTCCGGCCGACTTACTACAACCAGTAGCACATTTCGTCCGCTCCGAGCATTCGAGATGTCGCATCATTTGAACTGTCGGATTGGCGTCTTTTAAATAAAGTAAGCACGAATCAGTCATTCGTCGGAATTGCGCAAGAATTTTGTATTGGTTCATTGGACGCTCTAAGAACAACCCCTTATTCACAGTCTTGGGTAAGTTATATTTTCAAAAAGTAATTCATAACAGTTAGTTATTTTCAAGTAAAAGTAATGAAGTTACCATTGCAGTGACTGCAATGAAAAAGTAATTTTTTACAGCTAGTTCCTTCTAAAAATTAATTGCAGTACCGTAAATCCCCCCTACCCAAGTTTATTTCAGAAAGTGCATGTAAAGTAGGCACAAGGCAAACATGAAACTCAAAATGTCTGTGAACACATTTAAAAAGTGCAAGGAATGGCTATATTGCACTTGCTCAATGATATCTTAATGCTCAAGAAACTGAAAAGTAAAGACAAAAGTAATGTTCCTCTCCTCGTTACTTCTTAAGTAACGATGAGAAAGCTAGCGTGTTGCAGTTAAGCTATTAACAAAATAATGAAGTTGCAGTAATGCGTTGCTATCCAAGAGTGATTATTTGTTTCGGAGCATTTTTAGGACTGCACGTACGTTCATAGGTTGGTAAGTCAAGTGCCCTAATGGATTATGCACGTGTGATAAATAAACAATGCATTGGTCAGTGCTCCCAGGTGCACGTATAGGCAGTACTGTAACTTATAAGAAGCCTTTATAGCTAGTGTTCATTTTAGTTTTTCTCGGTATGTTTCTGAGGCATGCTACAATGTTGTCGTAAGGTTTTTAATTATGATAGTGCACCAGCTTGCCTACGTTTTGACTTTTATTTCAGTACTACAATGCCTCTCTCATGCGTGAAAATGAAACCCACAAGTTTTTTCGTGTTTCTGTTCATAAAGAGGCTTATGCTTTCTATTCCATATATGAAATAATGTAAAAAAAACCTTGCTTCTGCGAGGCTGAAGATCATGTTTCTTCCTTTCCCAAATTGTGATGGTGGGAAAAGACACAACCTTTTTGTGCTTCACTCTCAGGGTTGGCTTAGTTTCCACAGTGCTTCAGCCCAACGCTACTGAGCAAACATCTCATTTGTCTCCTCTTCCATCTTATTTATGTGCTTGTGCAAGCAGCTTTGATAGTATGGTGGAGGCTATGCTGGCACAAAACGTTGATGCCTAGCATAGTTCCCTTTGAAAAGCTACAAAAATTTCTACAGGATTTTTTTTTTCTTTAGGTTTTACTATTTGTTTTAAAAAATCTGTAAAGGCTACGCTAATGCAGTCTGTGCAGGTGACTTACATGGCCAGGGGGACATAGTATAGGGAGATAATCCACAATAAGGTGGCAAATTACTAAACTTGTTAAATTTATATGGTTTCAGTTAATAACTTGCCTAGCATCATCAAGAACCACTAAAGTAACTTTTTGAATGCGGCACGTGGGAAGTGTGGTGGTGGATAATTAATAACAAGTTACCAATTAGTATGTAATGGTGGCGGTGTCAAAACAGGTGGCGAGACGCGCAAAAACTGCACAGGCACGTTTTCGAACCGCTAGCCTTGCACCTGTTCCACGTGCGGGAAGTTTAGCGCACCGCTGCACTTCTTATGCACTCAAAGACTTTTTAAAATTTACTCATTTATTGGTCTTCCATGATGCTCGGCAAGTTTCCAATTGAAACCATATATCTATCTTCACTCATTAAAAACTTAATTACAAATATTAGTTAACAAACCGACTTAGCACGACGATATGTCCCTTTAGCCGTATAACTCACCTGCACAGACCGCATTAGCACAGCTTTTACGGCTATCTGAAATCAAAAGCCTTGGAACACCCTGTATATGTCTACACACAGATATTCCTCAGAAAATCGGGCACCATTCGCATCGCCTTCACATTCGTTGTGCGAGCGTGCCTTGCACGGTCTGCTCGGTAGCGTGTCTGGCTTGCAGCAGAAGGGTCGTGGGTTTGAATCTCGCCTAAAATTCTTCAAATTTTCTCTATAAGGCAAATGAATCACTTTATAAAGTGAAATAATTTGAGACATGCGATGACCTTAATTTGCATTACATGTTATGTTTTAATCACTTTCATTCCAAGCGTGACCTCACTTTTCACGTGAGCATTGTGGGTTGTTTGAAATTCCCACGCGAGGCCATGCTGCTATGACGTCGTGGCCTTATCGATCAATCGGGATTTTCTTGTCGCAATGCCGCCGATGCCGGTTTTCTGCAAGACAAGTTACACTATCGCGTTAATATTGATGAGAAGGCCGCACGTCTCCGACGGCATTGAGGCAATTTTGTGTCCCACCCGTTGTTCATGTCGACGTGAGACTTCGCGCAGACTCTTCGTGGTTCCACACAAAAACTAAACACCCAAAAAGATTGGCATGTCTTCTCCTTTTATTGACAAAAAAATTGTTCGTACAAGGGTGAGAAAAAGGAAAAAGAAGTCGACTAGCACGCTTTCGCAAAAGTGAGCGCCCGTTGGGGATCGGAATGTGTCCTACCAAGATTGAGGGTGTACCACTCGAGATCTGTGATTGTAAGAGTGGCTCGACATTTGCAAGTACAGAGTAAGTAAGGTACGGCGTACAGGGTCAAAAATGCAGTTGGGGTGGCAGGTATGTGGATATCGAAAGGAATGCCCTCCGAAGCATCGTCGAGCTGTTACAATGAGGCGGCATTGGTTCCTCGGCGGTTGGATGGATGCTCATTGGCTAGCATGCCCGTTTACGAGTGCAATAGGCGCGCATCCCTCTATTCTTGCACCACGCTTGCTTCTTTGAATCCATGTCTAGATCATATCTTAAACTTGTCACTTTTTTTATGAAACCCAGCCCCATAACACATGGTGCATCAAAAGGCGACAAATTGCAACCGACGAAACTTAATACTTTAAGAAGCAAGGAACGGTGCGACGTTGTTTGCACAAAAACGTCCGTCACCATTGCAGGGTATGCTGGTGAAATGCTCTGCTCGTCTGTTTCCAAAAGCAGAGCAACGCCATGTTAGATTGAGCTTTAAGGTGGCAATTTGGGCCAGTTGGTTCATGATCGAAGATAGGCGCCGAAAAAACAAGGACAAGAAGAGACGTAAACACTGGCGCTAGCCTCGACCTGCACTGTGCTATGCAACAAGTTTGACCATTATTTCTTTTGATGTTCGACGTAGCCTCGGTATGTCTATGTCGAGACCACGAAAACTGCCAATAGATTCCCCTTTTGTGCCTATTGCACATTATCCTGTCTCTAGAAGTTTGTATAGAACAAGCTTTTTTCCTTCCCATAGACAAATGCCAAAGGGGCATGGAAAGTGTCTCATAGATCAACCTGTTGTACAGGAATTTCTACCGAGTACCACTGCCGGCCATCCAATAATCTCCAACACGCAACTTGAAAGCCGACATCTGTATTCTCAATGACTCGCACACCTGCCATAAACGCCCAGATAAGTGCCACTTCCTTCAGAGAAACCAAAATGGCAGTCAAGAATCCTGGGGTGAAACCTCTCCAGCTAGCTGTAGTGCTTGCGCTCGAATCGAAGGCATGAAAACTACCCTAAGCCTGAAGACTTGTGGGTCGGTACTTTTTGCTTCGGTAAAAAGCGCAAGGGGTACAATTGTTGTCCAAAGCTCGCACAGGGTTTTCGTGGATTCAGTTACAAGACAGATCTTAAAAACTTGCATTGGCTAACTGAAATGGGCCGTACGCGCCTTGTGGCACCGTCTGGTGGTGTACGACTCGGATGCGAATTGCCCCTGCAGAGACGGAAGAACTCGCCACACTAGCATCACGGGGCGCTGCATGTTTTGTACAGATACAGTGTGCTTTTCTGCTGTGCACTAAGGCAAACAGTTGTGCTCTCTGGTGAACCAGTAGCTGCATTTCAGTAAGGGTCGAACGGCGCGAGTGCAACAAAATCTGTGCTGCTCCAACACTTGCTCATGAGTTGCAAGACACTTGACACCAGGTGGCTCTCAGATTCACAGATAGCTATGCTCGGCGTCGACTACTTCGTGTTACGCGGCTACGCTGTCGAGGCTAGCATAGCTCCTGCAGTGCCTCAATGCTGTCGGTCACTCACGCGAGCATCTGGCCGGCTTCGTTCGACATCTCTTCCAGTCCAAGCCACATGCTCTGGTAGCAATGCGGGACTGCAGCATTGTAAAAGTTATGCTAGCCTCGACAATGCAGCATGAAATAGGCGACACTGAGTAGAAACCCATTCAAGTGACTCTACCAGGGACCTAGCTTAGCCGAACTGTTATTGCGTCGACCGGCGTACAAAGCTACCAAAAACACTCTTTGTATATAAACGAAAACGGTAAAGCACAACTTTGGGCTCAGTGTCCAGAGTGGTACAAAATCTTGTTACCTTTGAGAGATGCCTCGGTACTAACGAGTTAAAAAAAAAAAAGGAAGTGACAATTATTGCACCATGAAAAAGACTACTAGTCGAAATCATCATGACTCGCTATACGGTTTGTGCAGTCGTTAAGTATCACAGTCGGGTAAGAACACTGCAACACCTGCAATCACATTCGAGGGACTGTGCAGGACAGGCATTTAAGGTGAAGCGCTACAACTTGACTCTCATGAATTTCTTCCAGAGTTAATTCACTTTGTGAACATTCTGTGACAAGTATATGAGCACCGTCTAACCAAAAGCTGAGGGAGCTCCAGAACACCATGGGAAAGGTGACACAGGAGATTCGGTCTACCTGCTAATGATGCAGGCGAGCATGCACACAGAACTAGCGAGGAGTCTTCTAAATGTATTTTTAGCTTCGTGGAGTGTGGTTTTTCCCCCGGCCACGAGTGCACTGTGGAAAAGTGGCACACCTGGCAACTGCTCTGTCATTAGTTTTCCCTAGTGAGTGAGAGTGTGGTGGAAAGATCAGAATATGAATAATATTTATTTGGTCACTTATTCCCAATCATGTTTGCATGTGGATATTTTTCCAAAAGAAAAAAAGTTGTAGCATCATTCTTTTTTTATTACAAAAGATCTATTTCGCTGTTTGAAAGTAACACTAGGAATGGGACTTATTATTCGAGTATGGCAGAGGTGCTCGGTTGGTGACATGTCGGAAGTGAAGGAATGGTTACTTGTATTTGCCAAGTCTCGAAAATTGAAAACATTTACATAATGTGATTTGAATATCACAACTGTAAACTGATTTTTTTGCTTTTATTGTAAGCTCCTAATCTATAAAAAAATATTAGAATCGTAATAGAGAGGACTTGTGACCTCATGTGTGCGTTTAAAAGGCATGACTTGGTATTATCAGAACTTGTGAAAACACATTTTGTTCGGTGACTTGTCCTGAATAGATCTTATTTGATATTGCGAAAACCGCTGAAGGGCACCATTTCAATTAGAAAAGCTCATGCTGGAAACCACTGCAAACGGCAAATCCTTTAAAAAGTTGGTTCACACAGTCCAGTCTCCTTCTTTTTCTCTTATGTTACGTATAAGTCACCGAAACATTTGTGTGTCAAATGTTGTGCGCCAGGCTATGTCCTTGAATTGGTAGCCACACTGAATCAAAGCACAGATGTCCCAGTGACTTGTACGCAAGTTTTAGTAATTTAGCGTAAGAAAACGGGGTTGCGTGAACCAGCCTTAATAAACCTCATAATTTTCATAAAAGTTATTCGATTTGGTATTTTAAATATTTTGTGTTCTATTCAAAAGTACCTGAATGGGACACTCAACCAAGACAAATAACACCGTTTGCATATTTTGTTGCACAACATCTGATCTATGGCAACTAGAACCGTAAGTTTAAAGGAAAGCTGCATCCTCCAAATAGCTACCTTTCTTGGGTGCAAGTCCACGCCAGTTATCGCAAATCCTATAGCGTTTCTCTCGTATCTCCGATGGTCACGCCCCATGGTGTCAAGGCATAGGAAAAGTTAGACCAAGGTATTGAAGCTGTGCAGCGTAATATGCTACAACAAAGCACTCTGAGCTTATCACACTTGCAAGCTCCCAAGATCATGTGAGAGTCCAGACAAAGCCTCGCGACGGCGGGTGCATCGTAAAAAGGCACTCGAGAGTGTGACTGACTTCGATAAACATATCACAGGCATTTGCGGAATGAGAGAGTACAGCATAAAAGAAGCAATTCAGCAAAAAAACGCATTAGTACATTGCCGGGAGTGTATAGAGAGGAGAGCTTGGATTCAGCAAAAGAGTAGACGTTGCTGACATCGAGCGTGTAGTAACTTTCCGAGATTCATAACAGGAGAGAAAAAAGTCGGAGGTTCCTTCCGTACAAAATTGAGGCTCATTGTCCACATGAGCAATTATATCGAGTTGTCGCACATTTGCGAACGGCCCGTATTTACAAAATATTTACGAAGACAGGTGTCAATTTTCGACCAAACCTTGCCAGCTCCCGAGAAAAACTGTCGTTATTTTTTATCAAAATCTAAGTGTGCTCCAAAAAAAATTTTTAAAAACGTGTAAAATTGGATTACATATGTTGCGGGTTACGTCCCCACCCACTGCGAGGTGGGTGACTCGGTTGATATAAACGTCTGTACATATAACCGTGGTACAAGTGATGAAGCGTTAGGCTTGAAACAGTATCCTGACTATGCATATCTACAAAAATTTTCGTGAAATGGATCACAACTGTTTTCTATGGAATCGAGGCATTTAGAGTTCCACACATTCAGTTTCGTAAGGGAATTAACACTTTGCATTCAAACTCGACGGGAAATGAAGGATTATGCATTTCCCAGAACTAATTGCATTCTGTCTTCCATGTCAATTCTGCCTGCACCATATTATGACTTGGTTTGTGACTGTGGGTCTGTTAATTGTGGTAAGGAAAGGGGCATTCGTGAAGTAGTTCGCCAAAAATTAATCTACCGTTTTCATGGCATTGGTCGACATGCAAGAACAGTCTAAAAAATGAATTCCTCACAAACAACAATTAAAAGCCAGAACAACCTCTGACATTTCTTCTAATCATCGAACTTATGTAAGGAAAGAAAAGGAAAAATACATTGACACTGTGATGGGGTGATTGACTAGTACACTTGCTGACTTCTTGGCTACAGGTTTTCTTTCAAAATCTCAAACATACGCCATGCACCTACTAAATGTGCTCTTTATCGTCCGTGTATCCAAGTGCTAAATTGTCACCCAACAGACTACAACCACAATAGCTAACCAAGACAACTGAATGAGCTGCCATCAGATAAACGGGTAACTTTCAGAATTCTGGCAACTGCTCTGTAAGTTCCCCTTTTGTGCAAAAAAAACAACTAGCGTAGTCAGCGGCAACCAGGAATAGCGGGACACAACCATTCTTGGGTCCACTCATACAATAACCAATCCAATTGCAGCTTTCGCTGCAGGAAGACACAACAAGCCAATCGAAATCGAGGACAGAAAAGGTTGGCCACACCCACCAATTACAGGTCACCCACAGCACGACCAACACAGTCAGACGAATCCCTCAAAACTGTCTAAATTTCGTGACCTTTCCTTGCACCTATTAGCAAGACTTCCTGACAAACCTGCCTGCAATATACTGCACCAAGTTCAGACGTGCAACGAAGATGCAACACTTTCTCTTCTCTATAGTGTGTTTCAACGTAAGAACTGTAGCAAAAATTCCGCGCTTAAAAAAAAAAGAAAAAATGCTTAGTTTAACATAAATGTACTAAGACGATCTGAGGCATTCGGCACAGCCTTATTTGCGGACACCTCTAAAAACAAAAAAAAAAACAGAGGGATGTCCTGTTTTTTTTGTGCGCTCGAAAAATAACACATTTTTCGAGAACTTGAAGGCAGAGCCTCTCTTCTGGCTCTTATGTTGGAACAGACTTGCTATACTGGAATTTGCATGTTTTGCAGCAATTGTCACAACTCCAAGAATGAAAACAACAAAGAGGCGTGACCTATTGCCGCGTCAAAAGTCGCAGGATCACGTGACGCGGTCCGCGCAACTTCGCTCCGCCCCCTCCACCTGGGGGCTGGAAGGCGGCGTGCAGTAGTCCGTCGATCCACACGTGCTCACACTAGACTGCGATTGGACCCACGTCGGCGTCGCCACCTCGGACGGCCGCGGAGGCACTTCGGGGGGTGGAGTCTCGGACGCCTTGGAGGGTGGGCTCGTTGAGTTCGTGGGTGGGGTCTCCATCCTCCGGGGCGGAGTCACTGAGGCCTTGGAAGGCGGGCTCGTGGAGTTGGTGGGCGGGGTCGTCGAGTGCGGGGGTGGGGTCCCGGCCCGGAGAGGAGGTGTTTCGACCTCGGGGCAGGGGGTTTCGGCCTGCGGTGGGGAGGAGGAGAACTCGGGGGGCGGGGACGATGAAGAGGCGCAGCCTGCGGGTGGGTGCAGCAGCTCGGACGAGGTCGGCAGGGGTGGGTGAGGCTTCGTGAGGGTCAGGGTGCCCTTGGAGGAGGGCCCCGCCCCGCCACGCCTCTTGGAGCGCACCCCACGGGGCAGGAGCTCTCTGGGAACGTGCGACAGCAAGGAACTCAAATGAAACGCGCAAGATTAGACAAAAGTTAACTATAGACACTGACAGAATGAGAAGGGAAGACTTGTCAATCAAATTGACTGATTAGTTTGTCAAAAACTCAATTTATGATCCGTCTAAGGTCCCTCTGGAGAAGCATACACAAGAATGACACCAAGCAAAGCTCTAAGGCCCGCTAGGTGATGGTTCACAGCATCAATAAAGTCGAAACAAAACGCGAACAGTTGAAGACAGCAGGCAGGAGTTCCAGCAAAGTCTAGAGTCACAGCCGATATTTCGCTAAGCGACCAATCAAGCTTCTTTGGATCACCGAAGCATGTATAAGGTTTCCCAAGTCACCAGGCTCGATCTAAAATGGACCGTAAAAATCGACGCCCACTTGTAGAAATCTAAACTTTTCGTCAAAGGTGTATTTCACAGATCGGCTTTTTCTTGTAAAATTAGAAAGCATACCTCCCTTTTTGTAAAAAAATAAAGGCCAAGAAATTTGCCAGGGTCAATGGCGGGCGACGACGCAGATGACCAAGTTGAGTTGCGGGGCACGCTTGGCGCTCATATTGATAGATGGCGCTACCTCCTTATCGAGATGATGGCTCATAACCACCATGGTTTATTAAAATGAACATAATCTTTTCGTAATGTACCTTTGGTTAAAAAATAAATGCAGATAATAAGATAATACCTAAGTAAAAAAAAAGCGCATCTGCATAGCGACGACGCTTTTGCCGCCAACAAATTTCGTCTGCATGTCGTCTGCTTCCTTTCGTTGGTCGGCCGCACCTTGCGACGCGGCTCTCGACGCCGTCTATCGATATGCGCGCCAAACGCTCCCCGCAACTCAACTTGGTCGTCTACGTCGCCGCCCGCCCTTGGCTCTGGCAAGTTTCTTGGCCGTATTTTTTACAGAAAGGGAGCTACACTTCCTAATTTTACAAGAAAAAGACGACCTAGGAAATACACCTTTGACGAAAAGTTTAGATGTCTACAGGCAGGCGTTGATTTTTACGGTCCATTTTAGATAGAGCCTGGTGACTTGGGACAGCCTATATAGTTCAACTTCTCAATGAAACTTTGACTGTTCCCACTGTGAGGCTTCCTTCACAAGTGCAAACTGAAACCAAAGACCTAACCACGAGGCGGGAATCCTAAAATAGTTAGCGGCACCGCTCACGCTTTTTCGCTGTCAGAAGACTCGCCGCCGTCGCACGAGGACACCGAGATTGACCTAGATGTCTTGAGCTTCCTGCGAGGACAAAGAGAGTACCCGAAGCCTGATTCACGCACTCGCAACTGCTTATGATCGCATGCGTTAAAACCCCTTGTGATCTCTTCTGACGAGAAAAGACACCGGCGCGGTAGCGTGGCGATTTTTGTATGTTATAAACAACTGTTTCTCATACAGAATATACTATGTACATTTGATGTTTCAAATACTGCAAAACCTTTGCTCTAGTGAGAGGCAGTTCCAGGGTCACCTCGTAGATGGCGCAAGCATGCTCTCTCATCATAAGAGATCACAAGAACTCGGTTGTAGGCAGAAACAAGCACGTGAACGAGCCTTTGAAAGCGGGCCGAAAACGGTCAACATCGGGGGTGGCATACACGGGTAGCCGTTTCTTTTTTTTGTTTTTGGGGGGGGGGGGGGGGGGGGGTGGAGCTCACCCCTTGTTTCTGTAAAACCTCTGGACGTCCCTCAGTAAGTGCTTGGCTGTCGAGCTCAGAGAGGTCTTGAGGATGGGCTGAAAGCAGAAACAAATCGCTGGAGAAAGAGTCTTGAGCCTCCAATGAGGCAACTCCCTCGAGAAACTTTGCACTCGAAAGGTGACCAGCTTGAGTGAGTGTATTGAACCACCCCAAAATTTAAGCCTGCCGAATTAAGAGTTCCAAAAACGGTTCTGATATTTACGAACGGGGCAATTTCCCCACAGTCACTTCTCTGTAGTGCGACAGTGTGTATAGGTAAAAACTGACCACTGGTGCAGATAATGCACACATTGGTACTATTTAACTTATAGACCAACACGCAAACCTGGTTTTTGCACATGCGCAGTGCCCACACCCGTTGCAAGGAAACATGGGCTTGTTTGTAAACAGTGTTTAGGCCCATATATTTTACTGCTACAATTTCGTTCCTCACAAGCAGCAAAAAATGTATTTAGTCATTCACAAAAGCTCAATAAACAAAGAAAGCTTGAGTAGGACTTCTAACATCTGCCGGTAAAAACACATCCGAGCATGCAACATCCCAACATGGTACTTACATATATGCGAAGCGATTAAAAAAAAAGAAGCTATGGTTGGTTATTAACTTTGCTGAAAAGTTTCTGGCTGTCTCCATGTAAAAGAACTGTAGATAAGATACAACTGTGCAACAGCTTTATAAATTTTTACGAAATATATTTTTGACACATTCTACAAGTATACAGCAGTGAGCTGTGGTGCATTGCATATCGTGTTTATCTATAAACATTGTAAATTTGTGGCACACATGTATGACAAGCTTTCGTATTGCGGCGGACATTTAGACATTCATGCTCCACCAATATTTATGAGGGTGATTAAAAAGTTATTCACGCTCCAGTTACCTTAAAACTTGGCAGCACTGTCTTCGCAGTGCTTTTTGTATGAAGTCACTGTCTCCAGTCAATGCTGTGCAGGTTTGAACATGTTAGATCAGTTAAGTTTTCCACAATTTGTAGAAAAAAGGAGCAGCAATTCGTTTCTTGTAGCCTGACGCTGTGCCTGGTGCCGAAATTTTGTGCACAGTACGAAGAAAGTGTTTTGTTGAATGGATACAGAAGTAGAAGGGAGGACGCAGCAAGTGTCAGCCATGAAGGGAGGGCCGGATGCCTGTCCCCGTCCAGGACTGATGACAACATTCCATGTACAAGTGAACTGACTCTGTCCGATACACAAGTGACAGTGGATGATGTGGCAAACCATTTTCAACACAGCTGAGGCTCTGCCTATACAATATTCCACGACAGGCTTGGATTTTGAAAAGATTGTGCAAGAAGGGTGCCGAAACGTCTGTGCAGATAATGTTTTTATCTCATTCATATATAAGCACTAAGATATACAAGAAAATTGATATTGCAGAAAGGGAGAAAACTTACGGGGACGGTGTGTGTGGTAAGCTCACGAAGATCGATGTTGCGGAAGAAGTCCAAGCTCGCCACCTGCGACATCGGGGAGAAGTTGTTACGTGACAAACGTGCCGTGTCACATGAGCACGAGCCAAGAGATTACCTCTTCTAGTGTCGGAGTATGGTTGCCCTCGTTCTCAAAGATGAACCTCAAGACCTGGAATAGATATAGAGATACTGCAGCTTCTAAAAGGACTAAATTATAGGCATGTGCGAATAGTGGATGTTGAGTTGAAAGTGAACTTGAAACGAATAGTGGTCTGCTTGCTATATGCAATTTTTTTCCAATTTCATATTTAACAACAAAACAAAAAAACAAAAATGATGATTGTCAAGACATCGCTGCGTAACATGTACTTTTGCATAATCGTGGTGAGATAACCCCGTTGAGTGCGCTTCTCATCGAGCAACCTGTGCACTGCGGGGAAGCAATACCTACAAAGCCGCGAGCTTCGCCGGTATTGCTTCCCTGCGGTGCACAGGTGCTCGTTGAGAAGCACACTCAACGGGGCTCACCCACCAGGGTCAACACTTCGAAAACTATAAATATCGCAGTTTGTCTCGAAGCGAATATCGAATAGTGTATTTCACACAAGGCAACTAAACTATCACCCTAATAGTTTACTGCTTAGTTGATTCATTGCTCGGTTAGTGTCAACTACCTGATCAAACTGACTCACTATGCTGATTTTCTTTATTTTCGTTTTTGTTACATGAGTAAGTGCAAAAAACTGAGGTAAGATAAAGCCTTTCTTCATGCAAGTGTTGGAGCTAAACAGATTTGGTTGTTCTTTTAGACCATTGAACAGCAAAGCACCAGGAATCGAAGATAGGTTAACATAAATCGCTTTATTCATTTCATTTTGGAATAACGCACAAGGTAGCAAATAGTGGTTGACAGCAGTGATTTTAAAGTAAGCTAGCTTTGCCATGAGGTGATTTTTTTTCCTTTTATGTTACTAAAGACTGCAATCTGAACTCGTTTCAGCTACAGGAGGGGTCTCCAAGCTTTTTGACTAAGGGGCCAGATTGAGGACCTGTTGCAGTATTGAGGGCTGTAAATTAGATGATAAGACAATATAAATGATGAAACAGTAAAATATGAGCCTAAATTATCATAAATACGTGCATTTATTTGAGAGCAAAGATTAAAAAAAAAAAGTAAGGTATACAAATATGTATAACTTATTTTTAAGTGCAATATTTTACTATTTATTAAATTACAAAATAATTGTGACCCCAAGAACTCACCAGACACCATCAAAGAGCATTTGACCGTTGAAACATTCACACAGGGCAGAATACTAATGAAAATAATAGATCAGATCAAATCACTATGAACAATATACACGAGAACGCAAAGTAATATTTTTGTTACGCAGACATGAAGCAGGAACTACGAAGTAGTAATTCTGGTGATGACAATGTACAATAAACAATATGCAAGAGAGCCGGCATTTGGATGCAGTCTAGTCATATGCGAATAGTGGATTTTAAGTTTGAAGCAAATTCAAAGTGAATAGTGGTTTTGACTGAATATTTTAGAATCGATTATCGGATAACTTCTCCAAGCTTCTCACTACTGCCCCATGCCTAAACGAAAACCCATCTGAACTCATAAAGGTTGTTCCCAAGCTTTCACTTGGCCCTATCTAAGCTAAGTTAATTTTAAACTAGCTATATTTATGGACTGTAACTTCAGAAAGTCCATTGCCTACATGGAAATGGCAAGTAAAAAATGCATTTGACATAAAATGAAACCTATAGAGATGCGCAGTTATATGCAATCGAGGGGATTCATAAATATTCTTGCTATATGACAATAATATTTATTATCAATCTAGAGTTCGAGAAAATAAAATAAAAAAAACAATCATGAACGGTAAACGTAGGTTGTCAGCACATCTCTGTCTAACAGCTACTCTTGCATAATAGCCACAGTTTAATTTCCATAATAGCCACAGTGTAGATATCGACATTCACAAAGACTTTTTTTTTTTTTACAGAAACAACATCTGCATGTGTGGACCGTCCCACTTTGAAAGTGGGCTTTCCTCTTTAAAAAAAACAACTGGAACAGTTCTGTATTGCAGAAAAAGAAAAAAACACTTCAATCGTCTTTATTTAACCTCCAGGGTCACGAATATCAAAATTATATTTCAAGCTGATGTGCTAAGTAGCCGCAACAGCGCTTTCAAAAGAGCACTGAAGCCCCCCCCCCCCTTTCCCGACATGTTTGGTGAGAGAAGAGAATTGTGACGTATTATGCAGAAATCTCAACATTCCCTCGCCTTTTGCCAGGGGGGTAAAGGTGGGTGAGGAAGAGTGGCAAATCCCGCACGCCGACATCCTGGGTCCCGAGTGAACGATCGCGAAAGAGAGCGACAGAACACGAGAGAAAGAAACCAATGTTGCCAGCTGAAGGACGACAGTCGCAATGGTAATCGCAAAGACTGAAAACTCTCAGCAATATAAACAGTGATAATTTATTGTTGAAAACTAAATTATGAGCTATTCTAAGGTTTATAAAAAGCAGCATACTCATTACGCTGCATTAACTTCCCTTGTGTTGAAATCTCGAAAATCTGGTAGTTGCGCGGTTTCATATTTCCGGGCGCGGCCACCCGCGCCCGGAAATACGAAACTAAACCAGATAACCGAAGCCGGTTATCTGGTTAAGTTTAGTGTTGATGGGAGGCCGTACATCTGCGTGCTATGCTAAAAGAAAGCTGCGAAAGGGACACGAATATCTTTCCACCGGTAGGTTCGTGGATTGTTGGAGTTCATGACACTGCTCTGATGATATATTTGTGAAATCGAAGGCAGTTGGTAACCATGTGGGACCCCGAGGGTCTGCCTGCATACTTCGCCGCTTGCGGCAGCCACAATGCATGGGAAAATGGCGGACCTTTTCCTCTAGAGTTAGTATGTATGATCTCTATGCCTTTTGCAGACCTTACCCGGGACGTGAAAAGTGCTGCACGCGTTTCCTTTCAAAGGGCACTTGCGAGGCTGTTGAAACCTCTGGGTATGTCACACCCAGCGGTTAGTTTTTCGGCTTTACTCACGTCTAGTGATACGTTCCGGTCAAGTGCTTGTGATATTCAAATTCACAGGAAAAAAAGTAAGCAAGAATTCATTTCTAACTCCTTTTTCAAGAACCTCTAGTTTCTCTTGACTGCTACATTTGTACTTTTCGAAGTGTTGAACGCGGCAGGTTAGCCCCCTTCAGCGTGCTTCTTACCGAGCACCAGTGCACTGCGGAAAAGCTTGCTTCCTCCGGTGTTGCTTCTCTGCAGTGCACCGGTGCTCGGTAGGAAGCGCGGTCACAGGGGCTAACCCGCCGCGGTCAACACTTCGAAACATACTAACAGAGTTCATCTCGAAGCGAATATCAAATAGCATATAATTCGAAACTAATATTCAAAAACTTTAATATTTGCACAACACTACAGTTTTCTCTCAACCTTTCTGGTGTCTTCATTTGCACTTTTGAAGCGTCTCATGGCACCAATCGTTTTACGAGCGCTTATTTTCTGCGTTGGTAGCAGCGGGCCGCAAGCCGAGCGTCACTGGAAAGACAGCGGCCATCCGCGGGCCTGCCGGAACGCCTCTGCAGGCCGGATATAGCCCGCGGGCCGGGGTTTAGAGACCCCTGGCCTAAACGTGCAAATGCATTATTTTTTAGCCAGCTTTTTCATATGTGTATAGGTACCCACTTGCACACTGCACTGTGTCAAATCATGTTCCCAGCCCTTCACTGGCGAAAGAAAGCCGCTCCCGAATTTGTTGCAAGCATCGATTGCTCAAGCAGGAAATACTTTGAAAGGCGTCTGCAAACCAACCTGGTAGACTTCGGGACAATGCTCCACGTCGGCAAAGTTTTTGTCCGTTGGTTTCGTCGTCGACATTTCATAGCCAGCGGCCATTTCGAACAATGCGTGACCTGCGCCGAACGACAATCAGACGAGCATCGGTTAGACTTTAAAAGACATCGCCGAGATCGAAAATTAAGGAATGAAATGATACGTGACTACAAATACAGCGTCTGGACTTCGTCACTGCGCTGTTGGCGTAGGCTTACAGCTAATTTCTTTACCGTCGCTATGTATACACCGTTTTACCTGACAATAAACTGCAGCAGAGGCTATGAGCCACTGAAACCAATCCGATGAAGTGCGAATGTCACGCGATCTTCGGAAGGGGTGCAGCGATACGCAGAGTGCAGTCACACATTACGTATACAAAAAAAAAAAGAGATGTCGTGTTGTTTTTTTGTTTTTTTTTAAAATCGGATTTATATGATTTCCACCAAACTTACATGATTTAAATCACTTTAAGCTAAAAAAAGCCACTTTTTTATCACTACCAGATTTTGTTTTCATGATTGCCAGATAGAAATTTTTTCTGCTTCATCATTATTTGCTTTAAATACAAAATAAATGCACACGGAAAGCAAACACTGGTAGACAAAGGGCAAATAGAAAATACCTTCAGTATTGTTTGGGGGAAAAGTATATGACTCAAATCATCCTCGTTAAATCGGTGCGATTTAAATCATTTTGACTTAAAACAATTTAAATTAGCTTGACTTTTATTCTTCACCCTGCTCGTGCCGTCCGCTGTGGTCCTTCAAAAAGGCCCGTTCACACACTTGCGCTTGGCTACAACCGACTGAGACAAGACCGCTTTTTAATCCGGTTGTACGACTTACGACCGGCTCCGCAGCAGCATCCGGTAGCAGGCCGTTGCAAAAGGCTTAAAAACTGGTTTGGTCTCAGTGGGTCGTACTCGGTGCGAGCGCGTGAATGGGCCTTAAGATGACACGGAGTATATAGTATTCTGACTTAAAGATATGCCTCATTCCCAGAACATATATAATTGGGGCTTAACTTACAAACACAAAAAAACACTATCTTAATATAGAAACACCCATACTGCTTGTTTCTGCAAAGCATGACCCACTGATAACTATTGAAACCGAACTCTCACTACGACAAAAATGTAGAGAAAAACAATCAGATTTGCAGTGTGACTCGTATTAATTCAAGTGTCCTCAATACCACATTGCACACAAACACTGTGCACAACCTTAGATTGTCGCTATGGGGCCGGCAACAACTACAGCCCGCTCTGAAGTGCACACTCTATGTATGCCATATGCAAGTGACGGAAAATGTGCTGACCAAAGCAGACGGCGTCGACGATCTCCCGGTCGTCGCAGATGCGCTTGCGGATGAATGCGGAGACGCGTGGCACGTAACCCAGCAGCACGTTCTCCAGGCCCGTTAGCCTGCGGCAGAAGCAAATCGGTTTGACTCACGTCATCGTCACCAGTCCTCCAAAGAAGTAATGCATTCCAAGTCACTAAACACACTTTTAAAGTACGTCGAAATCATTTTTCCCACTTGTTTCCACGCACTGGTTTTTGCAAGGACAGTCCACATTCCTTTTCGTCTTTAACTACCCATTTTTTTTCCCGCTCCAACGGTCTGCCCCTTAATGATTCAAGCAAGAAAATGATAAAGCTTGGTGTAACAAGTATGTAGCGCCCCCCTCCAGTCCGCCCGTCTGCGGCCGCCAGGCTCGGCGGGCAACATTGATCACCTCGCCCAATAAACACCGTAGAGCGCACGCCGCTCCGGCCAGTCATCGTTCACCCTCACAACCAGGATGCGTGTCATCTCTCCTCGGCGGGTGCTTCGGCCCCCTTCGTCCACGTTCTAGAAGAATCGTGACACTTGGAGACGAAAAATTTGCTTAGCTGGGCTTGCCACAGCTTGAACCCAAAGGCCAAAAGGTCCAAAGCCCTATTGCCTGCTTTTATTTCTCAGTATACTAAGCTCCCAAAAAGCTTTTTTTTCTTAAGTGCCCCACCCGCAAAATAAGCCCTCACAAAATGAACCTTCCCTGAAAAAAAAAAATTTCAGCGGATTATTCATGTTGAGGGGCTCCAACTGAGTAATGCCAAAAAACGCATCTATTCGGTGGTCCACATCTCGAAATAAAAGCATGTTTTCAAATCGCTCCTAACTTAAAATGAGTCTCGCAATGTATATAATATCCTCGGCATGTGCAAATAGTGGATTCTGAGTTCAAAGCAAATACGAAACAAAAAGCGGTTGTGGCTGAATAGTTTCGAATTCAACATTGAATAGTTTCTCCAAGCCTTTCACCACTGCACCACTTGAACAAGAACACAGCCGATCTCATGAAGATTGTTCCCAAGCTTCCACTTATCCATTTTTAGAAAGTCCAATGCCTATATTGGGATGGCAAATAAATGACACATTTGACATGAAATTAATCTTGTAGAGAAGCCCAGACGCAAAGTCCCGAGCAAGCACCCACTCAAAATTTGGAGATGCTCATGTAAAACTGGGGAATGGGCATTCCTTAGGTCAACAATATCTGAAGATATGTCCTTCATGTACTTTCCGAATGTCACAAAATTGAGGGGTTGGCGCTTATAGTCGAATGGGCAGATGCTCGGCACTTTACAATATCTTCTTGCTATATGCAACTAACTACCCTTTCTTTAACCTAGAATTTGAGAACAAAGACAATCATGAATGATGAATGCAGGTTGTCAGGACATCTCTGCCTAACATATATATATACAAGGTGCAATCAAAATGTTCAAAAACTGATCTTGTAGCACAAAAAAAAGGGCAGCATGGTGATGTGGGCACAGCAGTTCACCTTCGTGCCTCATAATGCCAAAGGGCGTCGTCCTGTGAACATTTGGAGCTGCACTACACGACTTTTGTGGACACGTGCAAGAGAACAATAGCGATTTCACCATAGGCTGCAAACCAGAGCGAGAACAAACGTCAATTCTGCATCAACCTTGGGAAATCTAAAACAGAGACCTGCAAAATGATTCAGCAGGCTCATATCAAAAAGCAATGATTTACGAAGAGTGTTTTGAGCGGCACTCACCCTTCAAGAATGGCCGAACATCGCTGGAAAACAGAGAGAGGTTGGATAGGGTGCCCCACATTTATTCGTCTGCCCGCAATGTTTTGTCATTCTTGAAGCACAAGACCCACTCACAACACTTTGCACAATTCACTACTTCTTGACATATAACCCTGCTGAATCATTTAAAAAATCTCTGTTTTAGGTTTGTCAAGTTTGACACAGAACTTATGTTCGCTTTCACGCTAGTTTAGAGTCCACAGTAAAATCGCCATTGTGGTCATGCATGCGGCCACAAAAACTCGCGTAGCGCAGCTCCAAGTGTTCACAAAGTGATGCCCTTTGGCATAATGAGGCACAAAGGTCTGTGCCCTCGACTGCTTCGCACGCGCATCAGCATGGCACCGTCTCGTTTTAGACTACAAAATCAATCTAGTTTTGAAAATTTTACTGTAGTGTGGGTATCGACATTCACAACGATTTCATTCCTTTTAGAATACACGAGGCACATGTGTGCACTTTAAAGGTGTGTTTTCCTCCTAAACACGCAACAGCTAGGTCCATGTTTTAAGAAAAATGTTGACCGCGGCGGATTAACCCCATTGAGCGCGTTTGTTACCGAGCACAGGTGCACTGCAGAGAAGCAACACCGGTGGCGCCGCTTCTGTAGGTGTTGCTTCTCCAAGGTGCAACGGTGATTGGTAAGAAGCATGCTCCACAGGACTAACCTGCCGCGATCATCGCTTCGAAACGTACAAATATTGCAGTTGCGTGCTCAGGAAAGGGCACACCTTCAAAGCGGGATGGTGTAATCACGTGCCTGGTGTATTTAGAAAGAAATGAAAACTTTGTGAATGTTGATACTGTATTTACATTGCAGTAAAAACTTCAAAATTAAACTGTGGCTATTTTACGTAAGGGTATATGTCAGGCAGAGATGCCCTGACAACTCATTCGTGATTGTATATTTTTTTTTTAGAATCGAGATTGAAGAAACTGTATTTGGATATAACAAGATTTATAAATCCTCTCAATTAGCTATAGGTGAGCATTTCTACGGGTTTAACTTTGTGTCACATCCATCATTTAGTTGCCATCCCAACGTTGGCATCTGACTTCTCGAGGCCACAGTCCATATATATATTTTGATTAAAATAAGCTTACCGTAGAATACCGCGCATCCGGCCATACCACACTAAGCGCCCATACCCAAATTTGTAAGATCTGAGAAAATATGCACAGTACGTTGATATGTAAAATTGATGACCAGACAAGCGCCCATCCCCCCTTTCTTCACGATTATCTCTAAATTTTGAGTGGGCGCTTGCCCGGTATTTTACGGAAGCTGGATACATTAACTGGACAAGTGGAAGCCTAGGAACAATTCCTTTACGAGTTCAGCTGGGTTTTTGTTTAAGCATGGTGCAACAGTTGTGAAGGGCTTGTATATATATTTATATTCGATTTGAACATATTCTGCCAAAATCCCTATATTTGCTTCGAATTTGCTTCGAGCTCAAAATCCACTATTTTCACATGCCTAGACTAGACCTAATTTATTATGAGTGCCGTCTCTTGGCGGCCTCGCAAAATATCGAGCCTTCACGGCATCTTTGAAGCTTCCCTACCGTCCCCGCTCTGCCTTAATAGAGTTCTTCACACTAGTTCTTACGAGGTTGCTTTCCTGGGATGTGGTGGAGGCATTCGGTACATCGAAATGAATTATATTAGTAAGCCTGGTTCAGAAAGTTGAGTTGGTTTTATTCAGAACAACCGAAACGACACCAGAAATATATAATAGTCACCGGAAAAACTGTTTGCCACACGCAGTGTGACAAGCAATGCAACACGTAGCTCGCGAAAGAATCACGAGCCGCAGTTGTCCTGGTGTCTTCACTGCCTCAATCGGTTTGGTTGCCGTGGAACGCAACCAGCACAAATGTGTGAAGCATGCCTTAACTAGATATTAATATAGTAATGAGGAGCTTCATATATCGAGAGAATTTGACAAAGCCTGCGGTAGGAGCAGGCGGCACGGGCCCTGCCATTTTGCCACTCGGATAGTCCCAGTAAAACGCTACGATTATTCCAAGATTCGCCGTAAAAACTTCAGACTGAAAATAAAAACAAACGAAATGCATACATTTACTCTGGTTGGCTGCTTATTTCCCATTGATGGCGCGGCGAGAGACAGCAGTAGTGCGGCATCACTTTTTCATAGCAGCGCTTTGCCCGTAACCTCAAACATATAGGCCACCTGGCTACGAAAGAAGGTTGGTGCAACGTCCGACAGATGGCGCACGAATCTGAATAAGGTCTCTTTAGCGTCCCTTTCAGCACAGCTGTGCTGCACGCCGATACCAGTCAACATCCTAACGTCCTCGCTTCCCACCCCTGAGTCTAGTGCACATGCCACTGTTGATGAACCGAGCGAAAATCCTGTCATCGCGACAAAGTCGCAGCGGCTGACCTGGCGACGCCGTTCTGCAGGATGACGTTGCCCAGGTGCAGGTTGTAGAAGGCCGGGAAGTCCTTCTCACGGAGGAAAAGCAGGCCTTCGACCATCTGCCGGGCGAGCCGCTGAACCTGCTCCGTGGGCAGCCCCGTGCCCTGGCGGCGGTACTTTTCTTGCCAGTCCTCGTTGTACTTGCTCTGCCAAAGAAATGTGACATAACCCGGTTGTACTTGCTCCGCGAGGAGGAAGCGACACGACCCGGATGTACTTGCTCCGCAAGGAAGCAACACTGCCCAAGTATATAGGGTGACTCTAAAAAATCTTACGCAGCAAAATCGAGCCGGAAAAAGCGATGCCTGCACGTACAAGGCTCAAACTTTCATCCAATGTGCTTTAAGGCAGTACCTTTTAGCTGATGAGATTCTAAGGCATAGCTCCCTTTCCGTTAAAGAATAATACCAACAAACTTGTCAGGGTCAATGTCGGATGGGTTTGCAGACGACCAAGTGAGCGAGCAACGCATGGCGTAACCTCCAGATAGACACAGCGAGCAGACGACGGAGTGCGTCGTCTGCTCGCCGTGCCCATCGGTTTCAAGAAATGCCTTTTCCCTTCTGGTAAGCTGCATTCAGCCACATTGACAATTTGGCGTTCCGCACTTTCACCATTTGCTTGCATGCGGAAGCTCAGTAGGTATTTTGCATCGCTTTTGGTGTTGATGAAACGCCGAAGCGTAGCGAGCGGCTACGTCAACGACAGAACTCGGTAAGTACGATCGGGGATCTAGGTTGCATGAATCCAAGCTTATTCAGATTTGTTTCCTTTCGGTGTTGCCCACGGGGCATCTACTGAGAGCTTTATAGCCACCGATGAATCGACTTCTCGATCACCAGCTCGTCATTAAGTCAGAATAAAGACAAGCGTGTATTATGTATAAATATCGGGTACCAAATGATGCCCGTGACGTAAAAGTGCGCTATACGTTTTTCGCTTTCTGTGGTTGAAGGCTGTCGAGGAGCTTACGTGGTAGATGAGGTCCTTGAGGGAGCCCACGTCATTGAGCGGCGACACCACCACCACATGAGGCCGCTCGGCGAGCACCTTGATGTCGATGTCGAGCACGGGGTGAACGTACGGGTGTTGCAGGTCTAGAAAGATCTCTTGCAGGCCGGGTCGCACCTGCGCAGTCATCCCCGCGGCTTGTCTTGCACCCTGCCCGACGTAACAGTGCCTGGCACATGTCTCCCACCGGTGCAGTTACTGCATCCCGAAACGCGGTCCCTTGGTTCCCGCCAATACGTCCCGGAGGTTAGTTGTCACCGACTGCAAACCTGGCATTGTCGCAGAAGCGGGGGTAGACATGGCAGACATCCGTTCTGCCGCGGGTCCCTCTTAGCTCGACAGTCCACGGAAGCTTGGGCGGCAAGGAGTTGGGGAGCGGCGACAACAGCAACACTTGCGCTCCCTCGTGATTTTTTCCCGAACTTTATGCACAGCAGCCGGGAACGCGACGTCCGTTAACACCGTGGCTTTTGAAACGTCGTTCGTTGCGTGGTCGGAATGGGACACTAAACGCAATGGTCAGAGACACGCTCCAGGCAGCGTAGTGAAAAGGAGCATGTTGTTTAATGATTCTTGCATTTACTGTATTTTCCAATGTATAGGTAACAATTTTTCGATTTGTTTTTAAACAAAATTTGCGTTGGACAGTTTGATACAATGGTGCAACTCATATGGATTTTTTTTTCCTTCTATTTACTGCCACGTCTTGGTGTTGAGAAATGTCCGTAGGTTTGATTGGACGTCCTGTTCTCATCGCCAGAGTAGTAATCTGGTGAGGCAGTCACAATTTAACTGTTTAGTACGCTATAGCAGGCCGAAGTGACATAGCCCATTTCTAGCTAACCGACTCGCAGAAGAACGAATGGGCTTCGAGCTTAGTTCATTAGCTCGAGCTCTGGGAACCTGCGGCGGGAATGTCCACGGGACATCGCGATCTGATCACTACTGTCGCTATAATAAGGATCGTTATTATTATTATTTTTGAGGTAAGGTCGACGGGTGGGTTACCTGGCAGGGCGAGTGGCGCAGTGGACAGGCATCTGGAAGCGCCGTCACCGTGAGCAGACGCTCTGTCCGCGTGGCTCCGTCCCGCACCACAAACCAGTGTCGGTCCATGCGGCTCCCTGGCAAAAAGATGCGACCTCCGGCATTTTGTTTTCCCAAACATTCCAGAACTCGGAGGTGAGCGAGCTTATGTACATGCTTCACGCGTGTGAAACTGTGTTGTATTCTCCTCGATTTACCGGTTAAACACGCCTTACTGATTCACACGCTAGCCTTTACCCAGCCCCCAGGTATGCCTGCCCCATAAGCGTAAACAAATCTGGGAGCTGGCTAAAGTTTAATTAAGCGTACCCAGGAAAAGCAGTAGAAATTGGTAGCCGCGTGTAATAATTTATTTGCCCTCAAGGTCACGTGGCATTGCAGAGGGGAGTGGACAATAAAACTGAGAACATAACGGCAAAAGGAACAACTATCATGGTTCCACAGAAAACAAGAAGTTAGAAAAGGGTATTTTACAAAAGCAGTTGAGTCATGAATGGCTGCAATTTGGTGGGGGAGAGAGCTGGTTTCATTCTACAGAAGTGCAAGAAATGAACGAGCAAAAGAAATTCACTTGTTCGACGTAGAAAATCGCCGACCTTGTTTTGGTGATATATAAGCGACTTGAAATCATCAGTCGCAAAGCTGTTTAGTTTGGTGAATTTGACAAGTAACAAATTTCTGTTTTCTAGAATTGTCGATTCCCCTGCAACTGAGCAAAAACAGCATTTCAAAGTATGAAAAGTGCACAACGTACAGCACACACCGCACACAACCTCCACAACATTCGGGAAAATATTTGAACAAAAATAACAATCATCGCAAGAGCTCTCTAAAGCCGTGGCCACACTGCTAATACACAAGAAGTCAGTCTGCAAGAACTGTCTGAGGCCTTCCTCGTACGACTATCTCGTCGTGTTGGCCATACAAAAACGGTCTGCAGATATGTTCCAAGCATAAATAAACATGCTTCGCTGTCATAGCTGCAGCAAGCACCAAGTCTTTTGTATTAAGTATGAGCAGTGGGATTGTTGCTAAAGGAGACAACGTTTCACAACCATATCATTCGAAACGACTGATAACAATGAGATCCAAAAACTAATGTTTGCACCCACCGATGTTGCAAAGTTGGTAGCGGAGGAAATAGCGGGTCGACCCACGTAGGTAGTACTGGCAGTTGATAAGAGCTTCGTCTGAAATACGGGCAAATCAAGTGTCAAAACCTCGGGGAGACTGCGAGCCAGCATGATATCAGAGCCAAAAATCTGCAATCTTGAGGATTGTTTGTTCCAAAGGTATCGCGTGAGTTAGTTAGACAACTACCCTCGCGACGTATTTGTTTCTGGCGGTCGACGGAATGCTTAAAGGGACACTGACACCCTCCCAAAAAAATTTTTTTATTTTTTGCCAGGCGCTTTATTATGGTGTCGGAGGACTACCCATTTAATAGTTTGCAACAGAGTAGCGTATTTCTTTAATAAAGCCAAAAGACGCAACTGCTCGAAACCGAAACCGAAACCCGACGGAGGTCGGAGAAGTGGAGAGAAGAGAGCGACTGGCGGAAGTCACGTAACTACACCCGACCGTGCGTTTTTTTTTTTTTCTCCTCTCCGGTAGCAGACGACACGACATGCGGCGTGCGATGCGGCATGCGGGAACTGCTTGCCGTGCGATTCTTTTGCAGTTATGTTTGTTCCGCTCGTTGTTCTGTACTCCAAGATGAGTTGTTTTGTACATTGAGGAGTTGGAGATGAGTAGTGAGTGCCCGTGGTGAATTTCCATGATCGGCTCCGAAAAGAATAAACCCAAGATGTTGCGTGAAGAGCTGGCTCACATGTCTTGCATCCGAAAAAAAGTGGCATTGTGCGACAGAGTTTCCGAAAGATCAACGGTATCGGGACCAATGGCTGGCTGCGATTCCTGTAGAACATTTACGGGCACCTCGGAAAGCGGACGCTACCTGATTCATATGCTCCTTGCATTTTGTGGAAAGTGATTACATTGAGTTCGCAGGTGTCAAAACGGAAATCCCATACCGTTTAATTCAGCGAAGTATCGTCCGCAACATTTGTTTGTTATTTTTTTGTTTGTTTCTTCAGTGATGATTGTAAAAAAAAAGAAAAAGATATGTAAACATCAAAAAATGTTTGAAAAAAAAAATAAGTTCACGGGGGATCGAACCCGGCCCTACCGCGTGTGACGCGGACGTCTTTCCCACTGAGCTACTGGGGCAACTCGATTCTGGTGGATCTCTTTCCTTAGTAATAATTCAGCCGGTAAACTGTAAGTTGGAAAGTTTGTTGTCGATTTTTCTCTAGCAAAAGCACTCCCGGGTCGAAGTCGGGAAGCACCACGCTTTGGGGACATTCGCACCTAGTAAAGAAATCGTACGCGTACATATTCAACTCGAAGTAGACACGTCGTGCTTGACGTTTGCGCGAGCGTTGTCTTCAGCCACGGGAAGGGAGCGGCGGCTCGGCGACGTCTTCGTGCAAATCGGCTTGGTGGCCGGGCGTGTCGTACGGGATGAATACCAATTCTTTTGATCAGTCCCAAATTTCTCTTTTAACGGTAGACAGAATTCGCCGGTACCGCGAACGACAGTTCTAAAATAGAGGTCCCACGCCCGTCGTCCGCTGCCATCGCCGTCCCCGCGAGTCCCACGATACGCGAAACGACGAACGCACAGAATGCTTCCGGTTGTCTGTGGAACTTTTTTTTTCAATCAACGTATTTACAGCTTTTTAGAAGCCACAAAAAATGGGTTTCATATTTTTTCCTATTTTTAATATTGAGTGTGTGCCTTCAGTGACCCACGACTTTGATTAAATTTGGTGGTCGCATCGATACCTTAGAAAACGGCCCGTGACCGCGAAAAAGAGAGTGAGCGAGACTCGAACCGGCCAATTCTTGATCGGCGGTTTTCGGGCGGAAAGAAACCGAATTTCGAGCCGCAAATTCTGTTCTGGGTAGTTGAGCTCTCATATGTCACCTACAACTAAAAACCTCGGCGAGCATAAATACCCTGTCAGTGTCCCTTTAAGGGCTGAGACGTCGACGTTTCTGCGAGGCAAAGAATCTTTGGGCTCTTCTCCCAAAGTGCGATACAAAGGGGAAAGGAAAGGCTGAGAGAGGAGGGTGTTATTCTCTGTCCTCCACAATCTGACGAGAAAGAAGGGACAAGATGGGGTCTTCGAAGACCTCCTGGGCTGTAGTACTAGAATCCTTGTGTCACTTACCGAAGGCCAGTGCGAGAGACTGGACACGAATGATGCTTCAGCATTCAGCTGTGTTCTCGCTGAAGCACGATTACCAGCCGAGTGCTGATGCAGCACTCGTGGTCAATCTGCATCACTGTTGGATCTTCTCTCCCTTTGTGAGAAGGAGAGGATGTGAGAAAGGATTTGAGAGAAAGAAAGAGAAAATCGAAAGCACAAAATGTATGTCGGTCTTTGTGGCATTTTGTGCCGTCCGAATCCTTGCCCATTCTTCTTGCGTGGGTGCAAGAAAATTGTCATTTGTCAGCTATACCTTGTTTCACCGTAAAATGGCAAAGAGTGAACTACGGCTCTTTTGAGCCAATTGGAGCAACGGAGGCGAAGCATGTGACAGCTCTTAACAAAGGTACAGGGTCGAGAGTGCAAGCCAAGAACTCTGACTGGCTTGCCGGGAACACAGAGTTCGCCTTTTGCCAAGTCACGGGACAACAGAGTATAGTTTCTGTCCCATTTTCACCCGTTCCTTTCCACACTTTTTCTGAATTTTTTTTTTTTTTTATCACGTTTCGAGCGACTTTGGAAGACTGTCGACTCACTACGGTCAATGTCACCGTGGAACTTGCGACTCAGTTCAAGCCGATCCGAGATGAAGCTACTTTCGTTGTCCAGGGCGGCGTATTCGTATTGCGGGTACCTGAAACAATAGCAACAGAAAAGAAAATACTCTGCTTCAGTATTCTGCCAACCATCATAGAAACACCTAGTTAAATAAAGTCACTGAACTGACAACTATTTATCTATTATATGTAGAATTATGAGAATATTCAAACTTTTGAAGACATAGCAGTTTAGACATGTATGCTACTCGATGATTGCTTCGAGGTGAATTGCAATATTTGTATTTTCCTAAGTGTTGATAGATGCAGGAGTCTCAAGTTGTTTTTCCCATGAAGCGAACAAGAACAAAAAAGGCGAACTCACTTGCATCTGAGTATAGCCCACACAGCAATGGCAGCCAGTGCAAGCAAGGCAAAGATGGCGAGCAGAATCACCTAGATTGAGTAAGAACATTGTGATTTGAGTGTATAGTATCGGGTGCTCAAGATGTTTGAAGTGTGTTGAGCAACAACGTTTCTGAACGAAAGCACGAGCAGACGGAAAAAGGGGCCTTAACCTAACCTGACCTAACTCTCACTTTAGCACGAATAAAAAATTACAAAAAAAAAATTGAAAAAGAAAAAAAAATTAGCATACTACATATAAGATACTTTAACGTTCTTGATGAAGTCACTGGTCGGCTGTCCCTATTCGCACTCCGAGTGCGGATAGTGGTAGATTCTTATCCGCACTCCGAGTGCGGATAATTTTGGATTCTTATCCGCACTCCGAGTGCGGATTGCGTTGGATTCTTATCCGCACTCCGAGTGCGTGGGGCGAAGAACTTGGCGTGTGGCGTGGCGCGACTTGGACGCGGGAAACTTTGAACATAGTGACTTATGATGTTCGTGGTGTGACATTGGCATGTTGGCAGCACCGATTTCATAGAAATATTAGTGGTTGTGCGGTGTTTGATTGGGAGGAGACCTGTGTTTCAGAATGAATTCAATTTCAAACAAATGCATAATCGTAAACATATAATTAAAACAGCGCGAACGAACACAAGGACAAGTAGAAAAAGAGGCACAGCCACAGCGCTGACTCGCGATTTACTCTCTTCTTTGTCTTCTTAAAACACATCAACATAAGAAGACGCGAGTCAGCGCTGTGTTTGTGTCCCTTCTTCTACTTGTCCTTGTGTTCGTTTTCGCTGTTTTGATTATATGTTCACTATGCACCACCGACTAGCTCACCTCCAAACATCACTGCAAATGCATAATCGCTTTTTTTTTTTTTTTTTTTCGAAATTGATTAGCGCTAGATGGTGTATTTGGGTAGAGACTGAACTGTACTCGCGCCTCGAGGGCTTGAAAAAAAGCATGAACACAGGACGTAAGCAATCCTATTGTTCCTTCAGTATCCTTTTTTTTTTTTTTTTTGTTAAACAAAATATTATTATTTGCAAAAAAAAAAAAAAAAAAAAAACGAAGCTGGTTTTAGATTTGTATTATAACGCGCCTTCGCCACAGTCAGCACATTAACATTGTGTGGTGGATAGGGGCAGTAATGTGGGAACGGTGGGCGGCTAGCAAACAATTTTCAATACACAATTACCCCCCCCCCCCCCCCCCCCCGCCCCAGACCACACACACACACACACGCAGAGATGTTTCAAACTTCCGCTGCCGCCACGCCCAAAACCCGCAAGCTCAGTGTTCGGCACCCTCGGCATATATGTTTAACATCTTCGATCACACAACCACACAAAAACATCTTTTAACAGCCATCACATCTATCGTCGTCTACTTGCAAAAGCGCAAATCATTCTATTAAAAAAAAATTACAGTAACAAATTGGGCTTGTCAGGCATTCCCTCATCTAGTAGTGTTGAAATGTTCAGAAGATTGAGCCGGGGGGGGGGGGGGGACTTCATTTTTTAATAATATTGTTTACTGGAAATGACTGATTTTCCTTACCCCCTCCCCCCCCCCCCCTTTTTTTTTTCCTAAGCCACTGCCCCCATCATCTAAGCACAAGACTATACACGTCACAAATTGCACACTGCTCTAGTTTCTTTCTTTTTTTCTTTCGGCAACAAAAATATTTAACCGTCCAAAAAAAAAAAAAAAGATATCACCAGAATTTTTTTTTTTTTTTTGGGGGGGGGGGGGGGGGGGGGGGCGGGGGATTGTAAAGCTGATGTGTTTGGGAACACCACTGATCTCTATGACAATTGCTGGATCGCGCTTCCCCGCTTGTTCGCTGCAGCGCAAGTGAAGCCACCCGGCTTCACTCGCTTGGGATACGATTTGCCGTTTTTGCTAGCCTTTGCTGCGGTTTTCCAGCGTGCTGACGACACGTTTTCTACTCGTTCGTCGTCATTCGCCGAAGAAGTTTTTTGAAAACTCTGTGTATTGTTGAGACTTTCCGTTGTGAACACGTGGAAAATTTTACGAAAGTGCAGTGTCGCAGGAAAAAGGCACAACGCGTCGAAAGGAAGGGCTGGCGGCGTGTTCAAAGCATCCTTGGCACGCCGAAGTGCCGTGTCTCTGTGCCTTCGCACGCTTGGATACCGACCAAGAACCGACGCCGTGTGTATGTGTTCAGCGAGTGCAATGTGCGTGAAGCTGTTCGTGCCTTTGGATCAGCGTCTTTTCCCCTCGCGGTTTAGGAACGAGCTTAATCCAGCGTCCACTAGCGACGGAGGATGGGGAGAAGGTACGTCTTTTTTTCGTCCTTAGACGATTTACACAATACCGTGCACAACAGCTCCTCATCACTGATCAGTGCTGGCTTATTATCAACCTACGCGACTCGCCTAATTGTAATTGGTCAACAGATTGCACACGACCATATCGGCCGCGCTTCAAAGATTTTCATTCTCGCCGTCTTGTACTTTTGCTTTCGAAAACCCCCCTGGCTCCATGTACAACGTTGCCCTATTCGTGCTCCCACGGAATCTATTAGAGTAGATTTGGGACATAGCCATGGTTAATATAGAACATAAGAATACGTACAGATCTCCCCCTTTTATTGATAGCAACTCACCGGAACAGCTGGACGATCCAGAACTCCGTGGCCGATATATATAAATGATCTAAAGGCATCTACGCGCGACACACGTTCAGAACTTTGGCGCGGCGTCAATTCTTGACCGGTATCCAAGCGTGCGAAGGCACAAAGATGCATCACTCAGCGTGCCAAGGAAGCTTTGATCACGCCGCGACACCGGCGACACGTTTTCGACGAGTTGTACCTTTTGATACGGCTTCACGCACATTGCACTCGCTAAACACATTCACACGGCGTCGGTTCTTGGTCGGTATCCAAGCGCGCGAAGGCACAGAGACACGGCACTTCGGCGTGCCAAGGATGCTTTGAACACGCCGCCAGCCCTTCCTTTCGACGCGTTGTGCCTTTTTCCTGCGACACTGCACTTTCGTAAAATTTTCCACGTGTTCACGACGGAAAGTCTCAACAATACACAGAGTCTTCAAAAAACTTCTTCGGCGAATGACGACGAACGAGTAGAAAACGTGTCGTCAGCACGCTGGAAAACCGCAGCAAAGGCTAGCAAAAACGGCAAATCGTATCCCAAGCGAGTGACGCCCGGTGGCTTCACTTGCGGGAGCGGCAAGCGCGATCCAGCAATTGTCATTGAGATCAGTGGGGAACACAAACACGCACACACACACGCACGCACACACACACGCGCACGCGCACGCTCACGCACACGCTCACGCACACGCACACGCACTTGATCGCCTCTATCCGATCTTCGAGGCGTGAGTACCGTTTAATCTGAAGCGTACCACCCAATGTTATTTATTTTTTATAAAACAAAAAAAAAAAAACATTTCTTTGAAATTATTTTAATTCTGAAACCGGAACCGCCAATATTTCCATACGCTCGTCGAGGCTGCCAACACGCCAATGAATCAACACAAAGTTGAGAACTTCTAAATTACTGTGTTCATAGTTTCCCGCGACATAATCGCGCCACACGCGGAGTGCAGGTAAAGAAAATCCAACGGCTTCGTGCCAACGTCTTCGTACCCCCGCCCGCCCGGTGCCCCCGGTACAGCGTCCGCGCCAGTCCGCGCCTCCGCACGCAATCCGCACTCACGCACTCGGAGGCTCGGAGTGCGGATAAGAAGCCAACATAATCCGCACTCGGAGTGCGGATAAGAATCCAAAATTATTCGCACTCGGAGTGCGGATAAGAATCCACCACTATCCGCACTCGGGGTGCGAATAGGGACAGCCTTCTTGATGAAGTCACTGGTCAGCTCGTCCGTGGAAACTACCAGACTTCAGGCGGCTGCATTTTAAACCAACCAAACGTTACCCGATTTTTTTTTTTCGCTCTTGCAAAGGAAATTTGCATTTAATTGATGAAATAAACCACGTACTAATATTTTGTCCTGGTGCAAAACGCTGTTTATAGCTTACAGTTGTATCGGTTGTGTACACGTTAGCCCCCTCTAGCTCCACAATACCAACAATACTTTAACTCGTTACTAAACTTTGTTATGGTGTTGTTGTTGACTAAAATTTGTTATGGTGTTGTTGTTTTAATGTAAATATAGAGGGCCGCGGCATCAACTCTCCAAACCTTTAGAGTTCGAATGCGAGCCTTCAAATGCTAATAAACGCACGCTGTGTTCTACGAACAATGCCCCCAAGCAGGACGTTGCTTAAAATACCGGAACCACTGCGAAGTTGTGTTGTTTACTTACAGGTAGCGCACGATGGTCAAAACCAACCTACCCCGCACAATGAGGATGCGAGTTACTCACCCAGTAGTACTCTCTTGCAAAAGCGTCCCATTCAAAGGCCATACCGACGATCTTAAACCGGTCTCACATCTTCTCATGGGTTCCTTCGGGCTCGGCGCATTGTGTACCCAAACCGAAACTCATCGTACGAGGAAAGCGAAAACCTAGCCTACATCCATGGTTATCCAATTGTAAAGACAGTCGGTGATAATTTTCGACTTAAGAATTGCCGTTTGCGCGTGATCGGAGTCATCTCTTGCGCGAATGGGGACGGGAAAAGTTACGGTACATGTTTCAAGAGCAGACACTTGTTTTTCCTAGCCGCGTTGCCGTCTCCATGACTACTTCGAGCCCCCTCGCGGTGGACGGGAGCGCTAGGTCATTAAGAACGACACCGAATTTCCGTGTTTGCATCTGGAGCGGCTAAAACGTTCACGTATAACATTAAATAGAGTCAAATTGACGAATTTCAATCAGGTATATGGCACAAAACTGCAGTGGCGACGAGGTATTGGGTAAGCCAGCAAACGCATGTTGTCTGCGCGCGGAAATCAAAAACGGGTTCTGAGCCGCTCTCATCTTAGAACAAAATAACTATAATTGCACTGCTTATCTCTGTGTTCCATGTTTAACTAGATTGTTTAAGATATAATTATTGGCAAGCGACGAGTCAGCAAGCAAGCAAATGTTGCTGTCAGCTGCAGCCACTGAACGAATGAGCTTTTCCAGTTTGGTGAAGGAAAAGCGGGAAAAGCAGCGGAGCTGTACTATGTGCCGCCATCTATGAGCGACGGCGGCAACCGGACAACTGGCAAGCCGATTGTCTGGTTGCCGCCGTTGCTCGTAGATGGCGGCAGTTGTCCAGAGGGTTGTGTCGAGATTTATTTGTCCACGGACATGGAACTGGGGAATCTAGCCCTTAACAACTCTGCTGTAAAAAAAAAAAGACATAATTTACAGTAAATATCTATCTCTTCTTAATCACTCACTGAAGATCTTACCCTCGAAAAACCACTTACTGTCGAAGAGCCACTTTGATTTCACTCAAACATTCTCTGGTCACCGGTTCTGCTGCACACTACCGACCTCCTTACATTTGCCATATTCCCTGACCAGCGCGCCCCCTTTAAGTTCGCTGGAGTCACGAAATAGGTCATTCAAGTATGCCAGAGCCAGACTGCAAAGCTACAAGCTACAAGCGTGAGCTAGTCCGCACTCCTGGCTCTGAGACATTATTTCCCAGGTTATTTGAGCAGAGGACACAGCCATCCACAATGCAGATGATGACACCAACCAAGCTTACTGAACACAGACTTGCTCTTTATTTCAGATAGAAAATAAACTAGCACTCGATTCATGTCATACAGCAAAAGCATGACTACACCATATCATACACTTCAACCATGCTTATATACACGCTATGCTGTGTTCCCTCTCCTCCCCCAGAAAGGAAAGGCATTACGTTTGGGGACAACACCTTGTTCCGGTCCCTGCGGCAGTCATGCTGGGAAAGTAAACCTCCAAAGGTGCGAAGGAAGAAGACAAAAAAAAGGGCAATTTTGAGTGATCTTGGAGACAATTCAAATAATTGCTCGAGACGCCTAAAGGGCTATCCAAACAGAACAAAGCAGATGCCATGCACAGCAAAAAAAAATGTGCGTGCTACTTGAAAAGCGTGAAATTTCTGGCGCGCGCGTCTGTTTGCAGCGAGGACGTTGACCATGCAAACAGCACGGCTTTCCTGCTTGCTGTCGTGCCTTCTCCTTTCTTGTTTTCGAGAGACTGGCGACAGACGACGACGACGGGTGCCTCGACGGCAGCTTGCAGAGCGCGAGTGGCTGTCTGGACCCACAATGAGCATGCAAGCCTCTGTCAGAGGACGTGAGCAAAAAGAAGCTTTCCCACCGACAACAAAAAAAGAAGTGCTAAAGTGGACCGGAGTTGGGAGGAAAACCTCCAATTCTGGTACCACAAATGCTGCGACTGCAGAAATCGTGTCCTGTTTGGACAGCCCTAAAAGAAGTGTCGGAACCACTTCAATCGCTTTCCTTCGCTTCTATGTACATTTTTGGCCACCAAATACTCAACTGCATAAGCGAACCAATCAAAAAGAGATGTCTTCGCGTTCTAAGGACTTTGTGGTACTTCCGAGGCGATTCAACAAGGACAAGTCCTCCTTTTGTTTACTTCTGCCACGATCCAACTCAAGATACTCGTAAGAGTGCTCGACGTCGTAGTATGGCATTTTAACAGCTACTCTTTGCGACTCGAATCCCCGGTACCCTTCACCCCGTCTCGTCTGCCAATTCGTCTGCTTTCTTTTTTTGTTTCTTCGTCGTCTGCAACGCGCGCGTTAAATAACATGTCGCAATGGGCCGGGCTGGAGGAAAGAAACTCGAAAGCAGGTGACGAAACAAAAAGAAAAAGTTAGAAAAGATCCGACATGTACTTCTTCATGGAATGCTGAAATAAGAGACGACCAAAAAGAGAACCCAAAACTGACGATAACTACCATACTTGGTGTCGACTATTATGTGCCATGTCGTCGAGACTGGCGAGCTTCCACAGTGCTGCAGGAGTATATGGCTTTGCTTTGCATCTCGTTCGCTCGTGCCACTATCGCTTTCACAAAGTCTTAGCACTGGAAGCTACGCTAGCTTAGCCAATGCAGCACAAAACAGCTCGACACCTAGTTTAGAGGGCACGCAAAACGGATGATCAAATAAACTAGAGGACAAACTAACTTTTTTTTTTCTTTTTCTAAACAAATGCTGCTATATAATAAAAATAAAAAAAAAATAAGTCAACACATACATTTGCATTGCGCGAGGAAAGGAACTTTTCGTACGGCCCCGCGCCCGGCGTCTCGGTCCGTCGTCGGCTTCGAAAACGCGCAGAAGAATCTCCAGACGACCGGTGGCAGTCAAGTGACCACCATGAAACGAACCGGCTCCCCCAAAAAATGCACCTTTCTGATCGTTTAGTCACAAGTACTTTTGTTGTTGTGGCAGAAAAAAAAAAAAAAAAAAACGAATGAAGGCGGGTGAAGCATGCTTTATCCGACGGCAGAGATGATGACTTGGCAGACGTCGGGCTCCCTGCTGCGCACCGCCAGGTTCATGGTGACCCCCTCCGCGACCCCCGTCGTGGCGAGGCGCGCCCGCACCAGCGTGTCGTGACCGCCGCGGTACACGCCGGCCAGCAGCAGGGTGTGCGAGCTCTTTCCCTCGGGGACCTTGTCCGAACGCTCGCACGCTTGCATCCCCATGAACTGCGTGATCTTCTGGACCGCTTCTGCGTAGGCGACGCAAAAGAAACAAAAGTGGCCGTCACTACCGTGCCTGGGACGAGTCTCCGAGTGGCCGGTGCTACTGCTAGTTGCACCGGCCGAAGCCGCGTTTCTGGCAGCGTAGCGTAGCTTTGTTAGTGGCTCTTGGTCCCGCCAGAAGAGAGCAAGCCCGGGAAACCGAGAATGAAAGGAGCCATTGAAGCTGACCTGGCAGCGTCTTCATGGTGCTCAGGACGTAGGTGTCTTCCACTTCGTTCTCCGGCCCCAGCTCGTCCCACGCCACCGAGAAGTTGGCCTTGAGGACCTTTTGGACATGGTCTGCCACTGCAACCTCCAGGTCCTCCAGCTGAGCACCAAGCACCGTTTGCGTTACTTTTGGTGGCACACAAACACCGCGACCCAGAACCGAAGTTAAACGCTCGTAGCGCGACGCAAATGTAGTTGAATTTATAGTGGAACTGCACGCATGTGGAGTTGGTTTCAGAGCTTTCTCTAGGTGTTACAGGGACATGGCCAAATGTCACAAGTATGTAGTCAAGTGTTGTAATCAAGTAAAGGTTCACAAGCAAATGTCAGATGTGCGAAGTATCGTAAGGGTGTGGCCAAGTGCAGTGACCAAGTACGAGGCTCACGAGGGATTATTTGAGGTGCTTCTAAATGTCATACATGTGTAACTCACAAGCGGGTGTCAGTTGTGTCAAGTGTCACAAGGATGTGCCCAAGTGTGTTGCCAAGGGTTGTGACTAAGAACAAGGCTCACAAGAGAGTATCTGAGGTGCTTCTAAGTGTCATACATGCATGACTCACAAGCAGGAGTTAGATGTGTCTAAATGTCGTAAAGATGTGGCCACTTGTCAAACGTGTTTAATCAAGTGTCGCCACTCACTAAAAGACCCGCAAGAGGATGTCAAGTGCTCCAAACCAACTTACAACATATTCGTCTTCGTAGCCTTCATCTTCGTCTGGCTCCCCTGAATTAGGATCGCAGTCTTTGACGAGATACTTGAGTGTATTGCTGAATGTTCCAGCCACTGACAAAGAATGCAAACAAAAGTGGAATCAGAAAAGAAATGTGATGAAACTACGGTTGCTAGACTTGCTTTTCATAAATTCTTATAGAATTGTAATTACAATACAGATACAATCAAGAAATTAACCTAAAATAGTTTTGCAATGTTGCCAGAATGTTTCAGCCAACCAACGTGTCAAATTAAGTCAGCTTGCTTAGAACTGGCAAAGGTGGAGCAAATAGAGCGAGCATAAAGCTGCTACCACTTCCCAGAGAGCTAATAGTCTCGTTGGTAAGTAATGTGACCCTTCCTAGCAATCTCAGCCCATATTAGAGATGAACATGAGCGAAATAGAAACCAGCTGACATCAAATTGCATTTATTCCCAAAAACCATCACTTTCTAATGTGCTCCGAAATTCAATATCGTTTAGATAATAACTCACCATAGCAAGGCACCAAACACAGTACATTAACGTCTCGCCAATAATTTCAAGCTGGCCACCTAAAGATGCCTATATTAAAAACCCAATGAACATAGTTCCAAGGTTGGCACCGGATAGGCAAAACCGGCCCGGAATACACATAACAATACACAGCTCGAGTTCAAAGACGGCGGGTATTTCGAAAAAGGCTGAAGTAAGACGGGAGTTCCTCCTTCCCCTCCTCTCCAACTGCCTGTCGCGCTCTCGCCCCTCTATTTCTGGCACAGACTGTCACGTGATTCAACTCCGCTGCTCTGATTGGCTTGAAGAGGTCGAGTACGATAAGACGAAGAAATGACGATTTTCGCCAGAAGTTTTTTAGCACTTTTACGGCTTCGTCTTTAAACCACCGGGCACCTTGAATATCTGGTTCGCTCGAGAAGGCTGGCGAGCGAACCAGCCGCCAAAGATTTCTGCTCTAGCCGCTAGGTGCAGTTGACTTCACTGGAGTCGCCAATAGCTACCACACGTTCGGTAATTCAGGCTCGTAGCTTTAACTTGAACAACCAATGAGCCATTTAAGCGACAACATAATAAGCTCCACAGCATCCACCTTGCTGTGATAAAACTCGCCACAAAAAAAAACAGTAACAAATAAAACCTAAAATTACAAAAAAAATGCTTACAAAGATTGGGGCACACAGGAGTTGTGCCTGAGCTGTGCACATGTGTAAATGTCGTGGCGCCGGGTAATGTCAGACATGTAGCCTTGACACGCAATGTCAAGCAACACTACTGTGATGTCATGCAACGTTTTTATGACATCTTGACATTACTATGATGTCATGACATTACCATGATGTCATCACGACGTTGTGACTTTCGTGGTGTCATAATAATGTCATCATTACGTCACCCTGACGTTGCGGTGTCACGTGACATCCCAGTCCTTTGCAACGGTCTTGTCCTAGAATTGGGCAAATAAGACGCATTCCGCGTTAAAAGGCACCTCACCCATCAAGGGATCCTCGAGCTCGAGGAAGAAGCAGACGTAGGCAGTTCCCGGCACGTTGTACACCAGCTTGCGGCAGGGCACCTCGGCCACCAGCTGAAATCCCTCTGCCGGCTCCACCGCCACCCGAACGTGCTCAAGGATTTGGTCGTTGAGCGTGTTGGTGCAGTCAAACTGGGAAGGGACACGCACAACAACCTTTCTTAGACTCCGTTTTACACTCTCTTTACTTCAGCCTTACACTGCTTCCTTAAACTCCCTCTTTACTCATTCCTTCTACTCCTTAACTCCACTCTCATACTCCCTTTTTACTCCCCTATTTATGCTCCTTCCTTAAACTCCCTTTTTACTCTCTCCTTGGACTTCCTCTGTACACCTTCTTTCAACTCCCCCTTTACTCTCTCTCTCTCCTTGGACTCCCTCTATACACCTTCCTAAAACTTCCTTTTTACCCCTTCCTGACGCTCCATCCTTAAACTATTTCCTCCCTACTTGCACTCCTTTCATAAACTCACTTTTTACTCCATTCTGACATTTTTGTCAGAATGGAGTAAAGGACTATGTGCATGGACTATGTGCATTATTCATTACTCTCCTTCCATAAACGTTTCTTGTAAGCTCCTTGCTTACACTCGTTCCTAAGGCCACTTGATCTGCGATGCTTCTAAAATCACCACTGCTCACACCTTGCAAAAAACTACCCTGGTAGGACAGATGTTTGGCGTGATATCTCCGGCCTGCTAAAGCCTCCAATTGCCTCAATCTCAAATCAAAAGTACAATTTCAGCTACGCTTTTCTCAGGTGAAGACAGGGACATTCAGTCACGAGTGAGGAACAGATGGCTTACAGCTGATTGGACCATATATGCATGCAGTCCTAAGCTCACCTGTAAGACAATGTGCCTCGCAAACACGTGCTTGACGCACTTGACCACATATTCTGTCTCGGACTCCGTGAGACTGACGGGAGAGGAGGATTTGAAGAGCGGACCCAGGCTTAGGGCCGCCAGCTCGGGAACCTTGGACAGCTGATCTGTACATTAGGAAAAGAAGTGAAAGTTTAAGCATGCCTCAATCATATCTGATTAATTCGGAGATGCAAAGAGTGGATTGTGAATGAGCTGGGCAGGTGCTCCACATGCGCGACATCATGTGACTGCGATGTCACAGTAATGTCGCCACATGGCACCCCGATATCATGTGACACACTCATGTCACATGACACCATATGACATCATAATGTCACGCGAGTTCCCGTCAAGTTCGGGTGTCATGTGACCCAACAGTGTCAGATGACGTCGCGATATCACACGAGGGAACGTCACTATATCACATTTTGTCAAGGTGTCACATGACGTCATTATAAAATGTTACGTCAGTGTCACGTGACTTCACAATGCCGCTCGACAACTTGTCGGTATTAGTAGATCTAACAGGCAACCTTTGCCCGTTAGATTTACTACACTGCTGCAACTTGCTACAATCCAATAGCCAACAGTTTTTTCGAATTTGACAGAAATAGCGCAGGAGTCTGAATAATCGAGCAATCCAGACAAGTACCGACGGTCCCACGCCAATGTCCGAATAATCAAGCGTGTCCAAATTTTCGGCATCCGAAAATTCGGTCGGCTACTGTATGGAATGCTACTAGAACTATCAAAATATAAAATTCTGGCAGTATAGATGAATAAATAAATAAACAACTCACACTGCAAGAGCTTCCCAATTATTTTGCGACATCACGAAGAATGTACGTTCACACTTTTTCTTCCGGACCCAACGGGGAAACAAACCACCAAACCATCTTCTCCAGGTATTTCCGAGCGAAAAGTGGGGTACCAAACGGAAAAGTAATTAAAATCCGTATTGTCCGTGCATCCAAGTTTTCGTTCCGGGGATCGTTCATTGGCCCAAACGTCTAAGGCACGTTTCGTGGCCACTCGTCATTGTCTTAACACGTTGGCTCTAGGTTTGCACAGAATGGGAGCTGCACTGGTTGGCAACCAGCAACGGAAGATGGGAACGAAATGCAAAAAGAGAACTCGCCTGCATAGAGGTCTTGCCTGGAAGCCGCGACTTTCTCCGTCTTTCCCTTGGGCATGGCCTCTGCGACGTGAAACAAAACAAACTCGTGAAAACGCACAATCGCATGGAACGCGGTGCAGTAGAAATGCTTTCTGTGCTATCTCTCCAAACGACGTAATCTCCCAAGGACAAAGAATACTGCTGTAGATAAAACGTAACTAAGAGGGCAAAAAAATTGGGGTTTCTAGGAGCCGATCCCGAAACGCGTTGAGCCAAACGACAGGACGGAGGCCGTAAAGTACCGTTAGCAATCCAAATTTGAGCTATGATTGAACGCACAAACGCCATGGAACGTTTGGAGTACTAAAGAAAATGCGTCATTCTTCTCTATTCTACACTCCGTTTCACAATAGGGTCGACCGCAGCCGATGTTATGATCCGACGAAGCGGCGCCAAAAGCGCATCGTCATGGTGCTCATTGTCTTTGCACGTTTTCTGTTGCCTGCTAAACCAATTACGCGCAGCAAGAAGCGCAAGTTTGTGGCATAAACACAAAAATACTAGGAGCACCATGACGATGCAATTTTGGCACTGCGGCTCTGTCGGATCGAAGCGTCGGTTGCAGACGGACTTGGAGTGAAACGGAGTATAGAGAAATATTTCGTAGCACCTTGACGTTCGGTCACCAAAACCGGTCCAGCTAAATTGGCAGAACGTGGTAAGCGTAGCGGCAAAACCTCACTACAGCAAAGTCAGACGCTCGGGAAAAAGTCTTCAGGGCACGTATGCTTCGACTTTGATTTTGTCGGCATACCCACATCTTTACTGGTAGTGTATCTGTCTTCACCGTAGGGAGCTTGTGCTCTATTAGAAAAACAGCAGGCCTCGCACAAAACAGTGCACGCAACTCGAAGAAAGATGCAACAACATATGCAAGGAAGAAAGAGGCCTGCCGGCAACAGGCAGATACTTATGGGCGTCAAAACGATGGCCTTGAACGGAACTGAAACACGCAGGAACAGGGGAGGCGTGAGTCACCAGGCTTGCTCTAAAACTCCACTTTTTCGCTAAATGGCAAGTTTGCGCTGGCAACCTAACCGCAGTCGATTACTTTCCAAAGCTACTAGGTGCCAAGGCCAGGATCACACTGCTCGTATATCATACAAAAGGCACGGTACTGCAGACAATATCGCAGAATTACCTGCGGAGGAGCCTCAAGCCCGTACGAAGCATGTGTGCTTCCAACAGTGAATGCTTCTATACTCCTACGCCCTCGCCGGACCAATCAACCACCTCCCTTTCGTCACCTGACCCAGCCCTTGGCCCTTGGATGAGGGCGAGAGCGTGATCATGTGGCAAAGGATCTATGTACGACCGATTCAACATGCTCGAGGCTTCCACCGCAGTCTCAGCTTAGGGGTGAACGGAGTATAACGTGTCTGCACACGGATTCTGTACAACAAATGTTTGCAGAGTCTTTTGTACGATGCATTAGCAGGGCGACCCTGGCCTTAGAATCGGCAGTGGGTAGTCTGCGGCACGATTTAACTAATACTAGAGATGTCCACAAACTGCTGCTTAGGAGGTCCGGCTCATCTCTGGCACTCCGAGCGGTAATGACGAGAAGAATCAAAACGTAAGACAGGCCACCCGTAAGGAAGGCAGAGGCGCAAGGGAACGCCTCAAGATTGGAAACCGACCTTGCGTCTTCTTTTCGACTGGTTGAGTGGCAATGGGGACGGTGGCGATGTCGAACGGCGCGTCGCTCGGTTCCATTGTGTAATTGTGCAGCGCCTTCTCCAGCCCGACAATAGACACCTGAAGACCTGCGCAAAAAAAAAAAAAAAGGAAGTTGACGAATGTCGAGTACAGCTAAGAAACGACTAGCCTGCAAGACACCTTGAGATTTGTATTGTGGGCGACTCCTTGTAAAGTGGTACCCGATTTGCAATCGGACAGCTTTTTACCATATTGTGCGAAGAAGCGATAACAGTAGCTACTATTGTGCTTAGAAGCACCCACTTTTATGCATATCCACTCTTTTAGTATACTCGATTACAGATAGCACAGTCTTGCCGTCACTGATGTGTGCAGGAAAGGGAACACACTGCACACGTGAGTCAAACGGTCTGCCCAGACAAAATCGAAACAGGAACCGTTACAAATGGTGGGTAGCTTCACACCCAGCAGTATACGCAAATCAAGATCTACAACGAGGAATGTGTCGTAGCGTCCCAACCGTAGAAGACACTTCCGCATCGAGAAGGGCCACGTGCGCGTGCTTCGTCCAGCATCACGGAACGGAGCATGCACGAGCACACACGAAAAGCAGTTTTCTGTCTGGCACAAAGCTAAAGCCACGAATGCAGCTGGGAAGTCTCTCCACCAGCCGTCGTGGTAAAAAGTTTCGCAGAAACTCCGGTTTAGATGGACAAGAGGCGGCGGACGCTCACCACACTGTCTCAAACACGTCAAAAAAATAAAAGGACAAGGGCACCCACCGTCGAGGATGTAGCGCGTGCAGAGGGCCTTCTGGCGCTGCTGCAGCACGTGCAGGAAGTAGGCCGCCCGGTCGCGCACTTCATCGTCCGTGTCCAGCAGGGAGCGCTCCAGCAGCACCAGGATGTTGGGAAGTAGTTCCTCACAGTGGGCCCCAAACTTGGCCAGGGAGCTCACGGACGCTAAGCAGAAGGACAAGCGGTCGTCAACGCTACAGCCACTTAAGGGGAGCAGTTTTTTGGAGCTATCCAACCTAAACATGTTGGAATACCCACGCTTTGCTCTTTCTGGCACACTATTCATTTTCTCTAGAATCGGAATGGCCACTGAAATAAATGGCAAATGAAGTTGATGCCAAAATTGACATTCAAAGTGTCCCGCGTTCTCCAGTGGGGGTGACGTCGCACGATGCCTAACTTGCACACAAATCAGGCAGCTTAAGAAACGTAATATTTTGTGCACATATTTTGATTTGTTGGCACGAGTGTAACCAGCATTGATTTTGCACCCTCAATCTTGTTGTAACCCTTCGAAAGGGAGCTATACTGCCCACATATTGCCCCATTTAACAATTCCAGACATTATGTTTCTAGTGTTACCAGTGCAGCCTCTCAGCCTAAACTTAATACTTCAATAATTCGCAAAAGCTCCCTTTAATAAACAAAGCTTAGAGTATCAACCCTCCACTCCCCGACTGCCTTCTGGGTGCTGCTGTCTCTTTGGTGCTCAGTGCAGGACGGCTGCAACGGGCCATTGTTACGATTTGACAATGCGACGCACTTAGCTTTAGACACGGCGTCGGGAAGCATGGACGACACAGTTTCGCCCTGCAGCGGACTGTTTTGACTCTTTCCTGACCACGGAAGAAAGTAGCTATTTTCACGGAAAATAAAAGCAAACGCTTTTATTTTTCTAACTAAGTTGCGTATAGAGCAATATGGTACATCAGAATATGGCGAAAGAGTTGCTTTCAAGAGGAACAAAGGTTAGTATAATGTGGAAAAAAATCTTTTAAAATTCTATTCCTTGATAGTACAATGTATGTGCAGAAGGCGAATAAACGCCGAAACTTCTGCAGCTATGTCAAATTAAACAACAAATAAAATGAAAATTCCGAAGATACAAAATGGGCCCTACACCCACGGCTATCACTTCTGAAAGTTAGTGCACTCTAACTGATGTCTATTTTTCATTCGTTTGAGAGTTAGCCTCCGTAACAAGTGTGCTTTTCAACGAAGAAATGGTTATAATGGCGAAACGCGGATAGCACACCTCACATCCCCAGCAAAATGCTTTCTTCGTGTTCTACCTTGGTATTGTCATAGCCTCGACTACAGTTCCTCCATAGAGTTGCCGACCAATTCTTCGGACGCCGATAATTCGGACTTGTTGGGTATTTCTGACCCAAAAAAGGAACCCTGACCTACCCAACAGAAATAGCGCATAGTGCGTGTGAAAAAAGGAACGATTGAAACGCGTGATCACCGAGCAGAGCCCTGCTGCCAGCCCGCGGCAAAAGAGAAGCTCGAACACTCTCGACCCACTCGTCGTGGCAAAGTGAACGCATCAAAAGTGGCAACTTTCTTTGCTTTTCTGTCGCTCTCTCTTGCCCTTGTTCTCTGGAGAAACCAGAAGAGCGCTCGTTTCACGGAACAGAGCTGCTGTACATCTGGACACGTGATGTCATCCCGCGCATATATGTTAGTGCCGCCTGGCTGGCACTGGTGTTTAATCAGTGAGCAGACGAGTGCTGCGTCGGTGTTCGGCTGGCAGTCGGCTTTATCAACTCCCATCCCGTGCTAAAAAAAAAAGAGAAACAAGGGGGGTGGCCAGAGGAAGCGACTCACCTGCCCTTACGGGGGCATTCTCGAGGATGAGCCGGTTGTACATGAAGCGGATGTACTTGGAAGGCGTAGAGGCCAGGGGACCCTCCCTGCCCAGGAGGCAGAGGATGCGCACAGCCAGGCTCGTGTGCTCGCAGTCCTCTATGAACTCGCACAGGTGCGACAAGCCTGCACGCACGAGCGGCAACAGCGAAAAAGAAATGTTATTTGTGTGCTCTTGACAGACGCTACGTAAAAACTTATCTGCTAAGAAGGGACACTGGCTAGAGATTTAAATTCTGAACTCCTCATGTGATCAAAATGAAATTTGCAGGGGAGTATTAACATCAGATATAAGGTGCATTGTGCAAACTTTCAGCTCTCTAGGACAATTTTATGTACCTAAATAAGAAGATGTGTCACTCTTTGTTAAAAAACCTAAGGTATGTAAATGAATCTATTAAGCACCATTTGGACAGGCTGAATATAAAGTGGGTTCAGTGGTTCGGGGGGGGGGGGGGGGGGGGGGGGGGATGTGTGAATTCTGGCTATCTAGTTTTTATAACTCAAATGTAAAATATTTCAGGAAGAGTTATTACCTCGAAATATGAGATATATATCTGTCCCATGTCAATTTTTAAAAACATATTTTTTTCTCAATGAGTACTTAAAAACTTAAAACAAAATAAAGTAGATAGCCCAATTCCCCAGAACATTTTAGTTCAGAAACATCTTGATTGTGGTATTAGAATACTTTTATCTTTGGGCAAAACATTCCTTCGAATGAAATTTGTAGCAAAAAGTGGAACTGAGAAAAATGCATTCAAACATTGAACTTTTTGACTTTGTTTCTGCATCACAATGTGTTGAAAATATATTATATCAATGTTATGTGGTGTTTGGTTATCAAATTTAGTGTAAGAGTGCATAATTAATTTCTTAAACCAAAAAGCTCAAATTTAAAAAAATATTTTTTTTCAAAACATTTTAAAAAATTAACTATCTTGAACAGGAAGGTTTTGAAGCCACCTTGTGCCTTCTAATGCAGCCAAACGCTCCCAGGGAGTTCTCACCATGTCTCAGTGGCACAAATTTTTTTAAAACTCCTCAATTCCGTAGACGTAAATTGACAAGACAAATCGATTGCCGTTTGAATTTTTTCTTAGAACCACACACGGCAAACGATTTAAGTCCACATACGGCAAAGTTGCGGGCACGCGATGGAAACCTCATCCGGGACGGCTAGGCACGCTGACGTGCGTACGCCGCGGTTTTAACATTCACACTGGCAGATGATGGCACAGCACTCAGGTTCACATTTTCGTTACGTCAACTCCGCGGATTTACTCCCACGTTGTGACCCAAGACGCCTTCGCTCAAAAAAGCCGAGTCTCCCGTCGCGTAGCACCTGCGGCGCGTCTCATGTCTCTGTCTGGTGCGTTGACCATGTTCTCGAAAATGGTCCCTCGATTTTCGCCTGACCATGTCGGGAAAACTGTTACGCCGCTTCTCGTCATGATCCTGGAAATGGCACAACGGCAAAGGTGAAGGCAGAAGACGCCCGCTGCAGACATGGCCCCGACGTCTGCTTGCCCTTTTTGCCAGTATTTCTACGACCATATTCCAGGATCGCAACATCCAACGGCACGACGCGCGGCTCCCGTGAGACAACTCGTAAGGCACGTGCAGAATAGGACGCTAAGCACATCGCTCAGTGATGCCTTTCAGGCACTGTGATCGCGACGCCTCCCCCCCGAACGTCGAGCGCTCACCGGCCTCCTTGGCGTCCGGGTTGTCCTCGATGATGTGGATGACCGTGTCCACGATGGCCTTCTTGTACTCAAAGCCGCCCTCGTCGCGAAGCATCGACGCCAGGAAGTTCATCATCACCGAGTGCTTGCGGGGAAACTTCTGGCAAAGGGACCTGGGTACGAGGGAGACAAAAAAATTCTTGCCTTCGGATGACCGGTACAAAACGGGACGGATATAAGAAAGTGGCTTGCGGAGGATCGATAACGAGAGCTTCCAAACTCAACTTGCACGTCTGACAACGGACTGGTTGTGGTAAGCCTGCTTTTCGGAAGATTTGTGGACAGTAAAACTTTAGGAACTAAATAGAAGAGTCTGTTTTTTCTTTGACTGATGTTTGTTACCGCAGCAGAATGCTACACGTCAGAATGTGCAATGCACAAGCGTGGAAGACATCTAACGCGTACGAGACTTAGGAACACACGAGTATTCGTGACACAGCGACGTACAAGACACGAAAACTTGCAACAAGCAAGCTCGGAAGATGTGCAGCAAGTCAGACGTGCTAACACGCGACATGCAGCAATGCAAAAAACAAGAAAATAGGCAACATGCAAGCACGGAAGACGTGCAACAAGCGACAAACGCAAGAAAGTAGGCAGCGTGCAAGTACGGAAGACGCACAACACGCGATACACCGCGACGAACAAGACATCGCTCACCGTATTGCATGGACCACAACGATCTTGAACTCGTCCGAGATGTCGGACATGAAGGAGGTGATCTGCTTCATGAGGCGCTCGATGCTGCTCTCGCTGCCCGTCTTCAGCAGGGTGGTGATGGCCAGGGTGGCGATGGACCGGTTTACGTCCGTGATCAGGTTCTCCAGGTCCAGGTTGCACGACGTCACCGCCGCGGGGTGCGCCATCGCCACCTGGGAACCGTCCAAAGTTGCGCAAACCGCCGCCCCGGTAGGGTCGAAAGACCGTGACAAAAGAACTCGCTTTTCGAAAACAAAGAAAGGTGCCGACTTTGACAACTAGAACGGTCGACTCTAAGATGGGACGGTTTCGACAAAAACAGTCCTGACCAGAGCAAAAATGTCCCAACATTGCATCACATTGCAGAGAGAGATAGAGGTGGAGGGAGGGGAGGGTGAGCGGCCAACCTTGTTCAGGGTCCGGACTGCAGCAAAACGGAGGGTCGGTTTCGGGGAGCTGCAGAAGAGCTGGAGGATCGAGACCGCCGGCGTGAGTTCGCGGGCCGTGGTTGAACGAAGGTTGACGATGGCATGCGCCGCCTCGTAGGTCACCATCTCGCTCTTGTGCCGCAGGCAGCTCTCGATGAACTCGAACATCGGGCTCTCGGGCCTAAACAGATTAAAAAGAATCCCCATATTTTCCAGTTTACAAGTTGCACCTTTGTATACATTGTGCTCCCCTACCAAATACGGCTCTAAAAAAAGAAAATAAAAAATTGGTGTCCGAGTTGCATTTTTGTATAAGTCGCACTTTAGGCTGGTTCAGGCACTCCAACGACTGGAGGACACGGTAGCGCCATCTATAGGGTAACCCTGAACCGCTTGTCATTTCGGTATATTTTGTATATTTTTCGTGCCTTATTCTCTTTTTTAACTTCCCAGCAACGTTATAAACAGCCATTTCTCCTCGATGATATGTTAATTTGATGTCGCAAATATTGGCAAACCTTCGGTCTAGTGAAATGCAGTTCCAGAGCCAACACCTGGCACAGTAAGGGTCCAAACTTGCAAGAAGAACGCATACAAGTTGCAATTTACCGGACGGGTCGCACCGACGAAAATTCGGGGAAACAAGACTTCAAGTTGTACGCCCAAAAATATGGCACTGTAAAAGACCAAGCATCTGTCCACAGTCCAAACCCTAATTTCCGTTGCAGTGACCGTGCCCACTGCGAACGTCCTCGCGGTAGCAACTCCCAAAATACTCACCCCACACCGTCCTCCTCAATGAGCTTGCTTGCAATCCTAATCTAAAAGAGTAAAAAAAAAAGAAAATGTGTGATCACCAACCAAGTTGACGCAGTTTTAACCAAACACTAATACAACCCCGTTTCTTTTTCAAATGTGCTCTTCCCGTGACACAAAAGGGTCACCTTTCAGCTCCAGCGTCACGGTCAGGTTACGCAATGACGCAATCCCAACGGTGTATTGGTCAGGCTCGTTCCTGGCCTTTGCACCGATTCAGAGCAGAGTCTAAAACGAGGCATGGGTCGACCCCGAGCTCTTACCAGGTTGCAGACGGCGTAGGGTGACCTGAGGGCCGACCTGGCGTACTTGGACACCAGCTTGGAGACGGCCAGCCGGTCTGTCTTGCGGATGTGGTACAGCAGGCCCAGGGCATGGTACTAGAATGCCGGAGATCAACCAGAGCTTGCATTCTTCCTCAGACATTCCTATTCGGTACGCGCAGTATCACGAGGACAGCCAAGACCATGACCGCTTTTGGGTTTCATGGTAATGACTATAATTTGTTTCGCCTTACGACGAAGTGCGAAGCGTTCAGCACAAAAAAACTAATTCATCAACTTTTTTCTTTTATTATGCCTACAGCAAACGCAGACTTGACTTTGTAATGGTAATATTGTCAGGAATGATGAGAGAAAGAACTCTAGATATATTGAGAAGACTAGAGGTTTGATGCGGCAAACTTGTGCCAAAACAAAAACCACAATTATGGGCCTCAAGGTCGGTGAGGCAGCAGGATCGAGCACTTGTGGAAGACTTGACTCAATGCTGCGTGCTGTGGCAGTTTTTATACCCAGTCTGCGTTCCAGAAGGCCCTTACCCGTAAAATATGATAATCATCGAGAATGCACTAGAACTCTCCAGCGGGGCAACAAAAAGTAAAATACAGAAAGGACGGCGGAATTTGAACCTGGTTCATCTGCATGGGAGCCGCGTCCATTCAGCCATGCATGCGGCAATATTAATACGACTCTTTGAGGCTTAATGACACATCTGGGCCTTCGGAGGTATTAAAATATATAAACAAACTACCTGCTAGAGAAGGAACAGTCCTCAAGATCGACGACAACCCCGTCTCTGGGCGACTCATAACGAACGACTGCACGACCCGGTTTTAGGGGACGCCGAGGCCCACCTACCTGAACCATGATGTTATCCGAGTTGACCGCCTCCTGAGCTTCGTTCACCCACCGCTTCACCACGTCGGGGCTGACGGACATCAGGTGCTGCAACGGGACATTGCAACGAGGCAGACGACAGTGGTCACCGTTAAAGGCCCAAGGTCTAAAAGACTTTGGCCTTTCAGCCCAAAGACTATTTCTGCAATACACAGTTTGAAGACAATGAACGTATCGGACAGTTTGGCGAGCAAGCAGATCTGCTACTTTCTTGCACAGCGCACGGAGACAAAGTTACTGCAAGCGGGTCGCCCTGAGCGTGCTATGCGGGGAAATGGACAGACGGCCTTTGTTCCTCCTAGAGGCGGCGGGAAGGTTGGACTCTGCACGACAATTGGTGCGACCGACTCACCAGCGAGGACGCGAGGGCGGCGCTGGAGACGCCGCAGTTCTTGTCTACTATCGCCTGCTTCATGTAGCGCTCGATGGCTTGCAGCATGCTGCTCTGTGGGTAGGGCATAAACATTGTCGCGCGTCAGTGCCCGTAAGCACGTATAGTTCATCTGCTCGTAGAGCGAGTAAAAATATGAAAAGACGCCAGCAAGTGGAAGCATTAGTGACTCAGCTAATATGTCTAATAATCTCATTTACAAAAACTAGAGACAAAACTCACATCAGTGATTTTGCAGAGTGCTCGTATGGCAGCCGCACGGTACAGATCCTCCTGCAGGAACAAAAACCGGTTTGAGTGGATAAAACAATGTCAGTTTTTACGTCTCTCTGGAGTGCATGTTGGGCACTCACCTTCCCAGTCATGTCTTTGGTGAGGCTGCAAGAGACGAGAGAAAGGCGTCAATGGTGACAGAGCGTGGCCAACCAAACTAGCACTCCGGCCATGATGTCAGTCGCCACTAGCTTTTGCTGAAGTGCCTAAACTCTGTCCCGTTCTAATGTGGACTAAAGCAAAGGCTACAAGTGTGAGTGGGTGGTTTTAGCTTTTACTGTTTGCTCCACACGGGGCACTGCTTTATTTCTTGGTACAATAAACAAGTCCCACGAAATCTACCATCATGTAAACCTTGCAAACGTCATAAAGACGAAATGATGAAAAATATAAGAACACAGCATTCATGTGGTCATTGAATGTGACACCTGTCGCATGTTAACACTTGCTCGTCATCAGCGCAAAACAAACAAAAGGTGTCAGTGTCGTCTGCCGGTAAACTATCTGAGGAACGCAATGTAGCGATGTGCATTCGTCCTTTCCGCATTGTTTATACTTTTAAAATGTAACAGATGTAGAGATTTATTACTGTGTGCTTTTTATAACATAGCAGTTTAAATTGCCTACACTGCACTTTCTATATTTTAAGCAATGACAACATGGGACCCAATTCTACGGGCAGAGGGCTTATGCAGTCAAAACGCGATGTCAAAAAGGGTGCTGGGTAAAGCATCCAGTTTTGATTTTAGTTCTTTTTGAGGAAACTACAGTTCTATCAATTAAAGAGTGAGACCGAGCTCAACAAACATTAATGGTGTGTATATCGAGCCACACTTAGTCATCTTTACCTTGTCGACGACCCCAGACAGAACACTCTTTTTTTGTGAAGCCCCTTCTGCTTCTCACCTGCTGGTGACAATGATGACGTCTTCGGCCACCTTGGAGAGCTCCTTGATGCCCAGGTAGACGAGCCTACGCAGCACCGTGTCCCGGCACTGGAACAGCTTCGTCATCGCAAAGAAGGCCTCCGTGGCCTCCGTCGTACCCAGAGCCTCACCCTGCGCAGCGCGTTTTCGCTTGTTGCTACGACTTTGTCTTCTCATGGCTCTAACTTGATCTCCCTCCTTCGCAATAACTTAGAAAACCACAGTCAAAATGAGTGACCAAAGTCTCGGACCATTTCCCTTGTCTGCATTAGGAAGTGGCGGGGGAAAGCAAGTCCGTTGACTCGGGAATATATTAAATTAGAAAGAATTCATCTTTTGTTGAGGCAATCGACAAATGGAATGCATTGTCTTGCGAAACTTTGTGCTTCAAATGCGGAAATGTTTTTTGAATGTCTGTTAGCTCCCTGCAACAATGCGCGACGGCGCTGCAGGTTCAAACGAATAAAGACGACACAATTTCTAATTAAAAGCAAAGTGGAAAGTTGAGCCAGTTGGTTCATGGTTCTTTATATAATTAAAAGTGGAACGACACAGTTGCGAGTGCGCCTTGTGTCGTTCCACTTCCTTGTCCTTGTCTTTTTCGGCGCTTTTAATTGTTTAAAGAATTCTAATTAAAAGGGTTGATCATCGAGATGACAAATCGGCAATATGTCGTTTAAAGAAAAAACAAATTATTGAATAATTCGACGAAATAGCCAAACGAGCGCAGGCAAACGGTAAGCTCGAAATGTGATGTTATGTCTGCTCACTTCTCAGAAATTACTGGCTCCGTCGTCTGCAACCCTGGGGACATACATTACCTGGTTGAGGAGGTAGAGGATCTTTGTGAGAATCTCCGCACATTTCCGTGGATGGACGGGCGTCTCGTTGAAGGTGCGAGCCTGAGAAACGAAAAGCGACGTTTTCTCGTCAGTTTGGGTGCCTTCACTAATGCAAGCACCGTGAAATAAAAAATATATATATAAACCAAAAAAAAAAACGAATTGAGAAATTATTTTATGTCAATATGACAAACAGTGAAGCTGGCTCTTGGCACAGTAGTTGAAGACAATAAATAGCATATCAGGCAGATGTAGGAAGACATAAATCAAAGTCTGTTCACAGGGACATGCACTAGATTTTGTCTTGCTTTGTCCGTTTTATTCGACAATTCAGCGCTGCTATGTTATTTTCTGAAGAAAACAATCTGTGGCGTAAACTCTTTTCCAAAAAGAACTGTCCAAAAGGAAGCTACCCTTAAAAAAAATTCTGTCAGTTTTGGTTGCCACAAGCACTTTTGAAAGCAAGTTCCTACAAGCTAAGCCATCCAACTTTGTTTACTTCCCCTCGTAATTTCAATTAAGTAGTTATTCAATACAACACACTCAAGATTTGCGGCTACCAGCACTTTTACGCCCCCACAGATGCAACAATCAAAATCTTGCTTTTGAATAAAGTGACGCTATACGCACGACGTCGTACACTTCGACCGGAAGTGGCAATACGGCGTGCAAGGTCGTCTCCTCCTTGTGCACCCTATGCTGTTGTTTACCCCCAAACTCGCCCACGTGTTTGTTTCCCTCCCGACCTCAATCCATGACGGCAAGCGCTTGGCTGCATCGTCGTCGCGTGTTTTCTATGCTGCCTTGCCTTTGATTAGCGTGCACCTCCTAGCGTTCCCATGTGCCGAAGACTCATTTTGGAACACTTGCTCGCCATATACACACAACGAGGAGAGCTCACGCAATTTAGTTAATTTAGTGGTGTATTTTGGCTCCCTATCGCCCAGCAACATTTCCTCAAGAACAATTTCTTTCGATAGCTGTAAAAATGATATGTAGTCGATTGCATAGGGCCTTCGTCCAAAACGTTTTATATAAGAGATATTTTTTTTTTACTAAGTGTAAACAAAATCTAGGAGTACCCCCCTCTCCCCCCCCCACTCATAAACCAGGCGACGCCAAAAGTTTTGCTTCTTGTGTACAGCCATTTCCGGTCGCGGTGCACGACGTCGTGCGTATTGTAATAATACAGGGGTTTCCCCAGGAATTGAAATTAGGGGGGTGTCTAAATTTTTTAAGGGAAGCGGGGGGGGGGGGGGGGGGGGCATGCGAATTAAAGGAGTCATGAAACGCTTTTTCAACTTTTTTCTGTTTAGCTTTCCTCCTCAACTCATAAATCGCACATTGTACCAAACAGTTCAAGAAGTCGAAAAGAAGGGAGTCCCCTCTTGCTCGGAATCTCGCTTGTGTAGCCCGGACACAGCCATTGTCCCCCTAGAAGACTAGCCCGTCGCTCAAAATTCCGACTAGTTGCTTTCCCCACCCCGTTCACCCCGAAGCTGACAGTGCTGTGGAAGCTACGTGCTCGGTGGGCCAGCCACACATTTTCCACGTGATCACGCCCTCTCGCGCATGCCGACCCGCAGAGAATGAGGTCAGGTGATGAAAGGGAGGCGGCTGATTGGTCCGGCAAGCGCGTAGCTTCCACTGCAATGTCAGCTTAGGGGTAAAGGGATTAAGTAAGGTCCGGTGTCGTGTGACGTGCGCTTGGGCCCTGGTGACGCGCTGCGGGGGCCCGGTTATGGTGGCTAGTAGCCCGGTGACGCGCTGCGGGGTCCGCGGATGTATCACAGTGAAAAGGCGGAGAGTTTACGAAGGGAAGGAGGTACGAAATAGTCCGCTATGTTTTGCACATTTTTGTGGCAAAAGTCAGGCTTCTGACTTTCTACCTTTGTTCTTTTGGCCCACTAAACGATGTGCTATTAGTAAAATCCCAATATAAATTGATTTACTCCAGCCCAAAATTCGTTTCATGGGTCTTTTAAGGGGGTGCCTTCTGAAAAACAAGGGGGTGTACACCACCCCTAGGGGGTGTGTAGGCAAATCACTGCTCGAATACCCCAATAGGTATCATCAGCTGACATGTGACCTTAAAAGATGCTGCAACTCTCACCCCTACACTATGTTGACACCTTAACTATAATTACAATGCAACAGCCCTAAATCACACTGCTTTCAAACATCAAAAATTATCCTACTATTTCATCATAACAAATAATCAAGGGAAGGATGAGGATAAATAATGAGGGCGGTTGGGAGTCGCGAAGCACACGAACAGATGACAGCAAGCCTAGAGCTCTACAACCAATTTCATCATCACAGGTATCTTGATTTATTAATCGGTGTGTCTATGTAGTTTTCTGTACAAGACTGAACAGACAAAATTGTGCTAGAAGAATCAATCGAAGGTACGTACCTCTTGAAGCACAGATGTTTTCTCGAGGTTGTGAAAAGGATTCGTACCACCTGCGCATACCGAAGGAAAACAAATCCCCGTTTATCTAACCTGTAATGCCTCCTGAACTACCCACAGAAGACACTAATGGTTTAGGCGAGCCAAATCAGCAGGATTAAGAAAGTTTGGGGGGAAAAAAAAGTCAGCAACGTATGACGTGCCATAAATCATGAACAGCAGTACGTGCCCTCAACCCGTTTGCTCCGACGGCGGCCCCCCCAAAACGAGCAAACTAATCTTCTTCAGATTAATGGTAATCGTGGGATTAAACGGGAGATTAATTGGAGGATGAGGAGCGGTGGATTTACAGCTGGTCGCACTGTCAAAGACGCTGGAGCTCCAGAAATGATAGCGGGTCGAGTGCGTCCTGTGGCCAGCGGCGTTGCCGATATCGTGGCAGAGGGCAGTCATGGTTCGAGAGAGGAAATAACAAAATATATCGCTTATTTTGTTTGAGTCCTGCTTCTAAGGAACGTTGGCACAACTGGGTAACTCGGCGATTTCACGTAGGGACACCGGTAAACATAGCTGTTAGGGTTAAAAAAAGCAAGAACACCGCTGTAAAAAGCAGCGGTCAGCGAAGCGTGGTAGGGCAAAAGGATGGATAGACATCGCAGGAACGCCGAAAAGCGACTGACCGTCTTCTTCGTCCTTTTTTTCCCGTTTTAAAACGTACATCTTGAGGCAGGGTGGTCGTAAAAGTTTCGGCCGATCACGGATGCCACACAACTCAAAGCCACGTATAAGACATACCCTCGAAACCTGTCGACTGCTGAATTGGTGACGTAGAGGTCGCCACCTGTCACCGCGCGACCGGCCGCGTCGTCTGCTAAAAGTCGTCTGCTACTTGCGCCCGCTTTCGAACTTGGTTCTACTACTACAACAGGAAAGACCATGACTACCGAGCGAAATTTCAAAGAGATGATCAAAGAATCTGCGGAGAAGATGCGTGACATTTTGTGCTTTATCAATTCAAGCGAAAAAACGACCGATACCGATCTTCGGTTCAATGAAATCAAGATCGGTTTGGCGAAGGCCTTCGGTACCAGTGTCGATCCCGAAAGCAGCGAAGGACTGCTGTCGGTCCTAGAAGACAGCGTTCGGATCATCACAAACGAATATTTTTCGAAGTCTTCAGGGGACGCGCAACGTTTGTTGCTCAACAAATGCGTAGACGTTTTCACGGACATCACTGGCCGCGTCTTGAGAGTTCATGACCCCGACTCTGAACGCTACGTCCGCGCCCTACAGTCCAGAGTCCAAACGCTGGAAGTGATCGTTCAAATTCTTCTCAAGCTTCGATCTTACGCGGAACTCAAAATCTACACCCACTGCCTCGCTGAACTGCTTGAGGCCCTGAAGAACGCAGAGCTCAGCACCGGACTTGAAACCGATAAGCTTAGGGTTCGCCACGCAGAATCTGTTCTGCAGATCTGTCGCCTAGAAAACAGCGCACGTGTTGCGCTCCACTCCGACGCGACGCTTGAGTGCCTTTACGTCGCCAGAAACGTCTGCAGCGACGAGTTTCCCCAACTCCAAAAGTACTTGTCGCTTCGAGCTTTCGCCATGGGCCTCGATTGCTACAAGAACGGACACTCTGAGCACGCGGTCACTTACTTTCGAGAGTCCTTCCGCTTGGGCAAGAAACTGACCAACGTCGACCGCCAGGCAGACACCCTGTACCTCCTCGGATGTGCCTACCTTCGCTGGAACAAGGAGGAACACTGGGAGAAAGCGGTCAATGCCCTCGACATGGCCATGCTGCATCAGCCCGGGATCCTCAAGCACCTCACCAAGAAGCTAGAAGCCCTTTACACAAGCGGCAATGACAAGTCAATCGCCAACACGCTGGATTGCATCCTCAAGCACAAGGAGATGACCGTCAAGAGCGCTCTGGACATCCACAAGTCCCTGAAGGCCAACAGTCTCGCGGAAAAGGCCATAGAGTTCCTTCAGAGAGCGTACATTCGCTTTGGTCAGGACGAGGACTCGCTTCAAGTCCTCCTGGAACTCCTCAAAGCCGAGCTCAAGAGCGAAAACTTGGATCGTGCGTCTGTAACCTTCCAGCGCGTCTTGGTCCAAGGCAGCAAAGCCCAGCTTAAGTGCAGAGACGAGCTGAAGCAGTTGGCGCGGTTTTTGTATCAGTACGGTTGTCAGCAGGCCGAAGCGGGCAATGTCGAAGACGCGGTGGAATGGCTGAAGAACTGCGACATGCTGATGGGGGAATTTGATGAAGCGTTTAGCGCTGATGACCCCGATGATGCCTCCGTGCTGGACATGGCGGACGTTAAGCTAGGTTTTGCCTACTGGAGCGCCAAACTGGGCAAGCTGGATGGTGTCAAGGAGGCTCTTCAGCAGTACAAGGGTCCTGACAACGTGCTCAGGCAGTACCTGATGCTGAAGATTGCTGTTCAGGAGGATAACAGCACAAGTGCTATGGAAGCTGCTCGTTTGCTTCGTAAGGAATTACTTTTTTTTATGTGAGCTTATACCTTACTACTACAAGTTATAACCACTTAACAGTCCTATACATATTTCTGTTCGTTGTAAAATGTAAGTGCGGTGCAAAAAGAAAAAAATTATATTTATATTTTTTGTTTCCCCGCGGTACAAAACGTTTGCAGTTTCTCTTATTTGTTACAAATGCAAATAATTTTCTTTAGCTTGATTAGAAGTTTGGATGCATAGAACATATAACTTCTGATGTGGAGCTAGCTAATTTCAAAATATTTTAGACGATTAACTTTTAGTGATACACAGTTTCCCATTATACATAAAACTAAACACCCGCAAAAAAGAAAGAAACGGAAGCCCTATTTGATACTGACTTTGGGAATATGCAGCCCGCATGAACTCGCCACTTCTCTGCAGTACACCGGTGTGCCAAGGTAAAGCTCATGCACCAGCTTCACTTTCGGCGTTACCTTTTAACACGCGCGTTGCACACAATTTCAGTTATATGGCGTTGCACGCCATATTAACCGAAACAAATGTTACTGGTGCGTGCTGCTCTATGTCACAGGGTCGGAGGGTCCCGCACCATAAATACTGAGCGTGACTCAGCAATTTCACGCTACGACAATAAATATGGTCGATGCACATTCTTCTGATATGAGGTGACCCCACACCGACAGTATTCGTGGTTTCGCAGGTATGTCATGCAAAACACAAGAACGTCCCTGGAATGCCATAGCATACATGAAAGACGGAAGGACGTCTATGGGACATTCAGGGGCATTGTAGTTGACGACATAGGGCAACAACAAAATGGCGGATTGATGCCTTGTGAAAATGCCCAATAAGGTCGTTTGCACATGACGTACGTCAATCCACCATTTTGTTGTTAATGCACCAAGACGACCAGCGTCGCGACGACGCACTTCTGGGCCTGCTCGATTGGCAATCGAATCGTGGCGTCCACCTTGGCTTTTTGCGTTTGCCATTGCAGTGTCCCTCGTGAAGCAGTCCAACGGCCTGGAACGCGAGACGACCTACCGCAAGGTGACCAGCGCCATCGTCCACCTGTGCAGCTACGCGATGCAGACACGCAGGACGGAGTTAGTCGGCCATCTGCTCAGGCAGATCGGAGCACCTCCCGAGACCAACCCATCAATGGCCGCCATTCAGCTCAAGTGTCTGCAGTGCGCTGCAGGGCTGTGCTTCGCCACCTTCGGTATATACGTGCTTGTAACCATATCTAGGCACCGCCTTGGAAAAAAATCTTAGTCTGTTGCAAGATAAGAATAGCGTGACAAGCGCCTCTTACAAAGCTGTCTGCTCGCCATGAGTGTGGGCAGAATTTGACTTTTTTGGGTGGTGCATGATGGATTAGATGTTGGAGGACCTTGACAGTTATGAAAGGGGGGGGGGGGGGGGGGGGGCTCCAGAAAACTCGATACATCATCGCGCCTCTCAACACACCACTGATATGCTGAGAGGTAAATTGTAAAAAGAACTGAGTCATTATAGACATTAACAGATGAACGTTTAGAGGAGAGACAGCAAAATATAGGTTGAGACCCTGACAATTGTACAACTTCATAAAGTGTCTTCTACTTTGTTATACACCCAGAGATAAGGAGTTGGCATAAACATTTTGTTCAAAAAGTGCAATATTAAACTGAAAAAAAAAGAAAAAAAAATATAAGTGGCGTCTGCTGTGACCAGTGTGATAGCTGGGACCAAAAACATGTACGTAGCTGTGTTCACCAGGCGGACCATTTGGTTAGTTTGGACATAATTTAGAATCAGCAAAGGGAGCCAATGATTAGATTTCAGTGAAACAGGCTAGGCTGTCAAGTAGCATCTCTTGTATACTAAAGGGATAGGAGCTTACATAAAACGGTTATTCCTTTGCTGAGCTAATGGAATAACCACAAAAAACTTTTCGTTAAGGTGACAACCAAAACGTCTACGACATCGTCATACAGTGTGCTGAAAGGGCATCCGCCATCTTCAACGTCTGCAACCCTGTAAGATGACCCTTGCTTTTGCCTTCACAACGACCATCCCTATGCATCTAGTCTCATACGGCAGTCTGCACGCCGTGTTCTCCAGGCCCACTTGTACGAGTCCGCAGAACAGAAGGCGTGGTTCGCTTCCGCCTGCTGGAGCCTCGCTCTCCAACCGGAGGTCAGCCTTCAGCAGCAGTTCAGGTTGTTCTCGCACAGCTTTCAGCTGGCGCTGAGTAGTCGGCACCACTTCGCCGCGGGCCAGCTGAAGACGTACGCCACTATGGCACTCCTGTCCAGCGTCAGCGCATCGAGGCAGGCCACGGACATGGAACTCAAGCTCAGCATTCTGAGGTCAGGAACGGATGAGTACAAGAAGCAGCCCTAAAACCACTGTCACACTGCATGCTTACACATCGTACAAAACACATGATGTTCGCTGCAGACATGATGGCAGAATTCTGTGGATGTGCCTCAAGCACGTTCGAAGCATATCCGCTTCATACACGTATGTAGGCTTTGAACGTGTATGTAGACAGTCTTTGTACGACCAACATGACGGGATTGTCACACCAGGGAGAAACACGCCTCGGACAGTGCCTCCAGACATGTCTTTTGTATGAGATATGAGCAGTGTGACCGTGGCCTTGGGCATCTGGTTTCTGACCGTCACACTTTTGTCATCGCAGGAATGTCCGGTCAGTAGCTCAGGAGTACAAGAAAGCCTTCCCAAAGTGGCGAGAGTTTGAGGACTCGGCATTGATGGTTCTCCAGGCTGAATTCGAAGCTGCGGTCAACAGCGGCGCCAAGGACTCCGCGAGAGTGGTGGACGAGGTCCTAGCCTACCCTGGAGCAGACTCCGACTTGCTCGAAGGCTTTGTCACTGTTTGCCAGGTGGGCGGGCAAACTGTGTCGGATAAATACGCCTTTCCTGAAGGCAGTGGTATTTCGGCTTGGCGCGACGTCGGACACGCGAGTTGGGAGTAGCAATGGCTACCGAGTGCTTTTCACAAGTTGTGTGCACCGCCCTCAATAATGCCACGGGTGGGCAAGATTGTTTGCCTGCCTGAACACGTGCAAAAAGCAATTTCTGAAGAAATGCACCCGTGCTTCCCCCAACCCTGAAAAGAATGTTAGACATAGGAGTAAAACGTTGGTAACCAATTTCAAATGACAACTTAAAGAGATTCTTGCCTATAGGTACTTGGATAGAATCGGAGCAGTTCTGTAGGTCATGGCTACACAGTTTCATGAATAGCGAGCACGTGCCTTGATCTAATGTCCCGTTTTCATGAGTGCACATGCAATGGAGACGCCAGATCAAGCCACGCTCTTGTGCCAGTACCCTGGCAGTGTTGCTTGCTGCGTATAAAATGAAGTACAGAAGGGTCAATGTATAAACAAAAAAATATGAGGGTTTCTTTTTTGTCTTTAACACCAAGCACTAGTGCCAGCATCCTGGGAAGTGCACTTCTCAAGTTGCTTACCGGTGCATTGAGGAAAAGCAATCCGTCGCTCGAAGTTACACAAGCAACAAAAGCCACTGTGCGAGCGTAAATGGTACCGAATACTTTGTCTAAGGCAGGTCTGGCAGGTTTGACATTCCCTGTATTTAAGAGATAAGAAAACAAATGACACAAGGTTACATTTATTTAAATTTTTTTTTCACGCAGAGAGCCGGCACCCAGAGCAGTCCTCATGCCTGCCGCTTGCTCCGTCAGTGCCTCAGCCTGAAGATGGCCGAGAATACAGTTAATTTAAACTCCGTCATCAGGCTGTATCACATGCTCTTTCAGGTTAGTACATCATCATTCTGCTGATCGGCATATCTGGAAATGAAACTAGATTGTACCTGAGGAAGCAGGTGACTAAAAGCAGACGGTTCGTAACTAACAGAAGCAAGTGCCCGCTTCAATTGCAAATCGACCAGGTAGGTTCACGATGGGGAAATGGTCGATAAAATGTTTTCACATTGCCATAGAGGTGGAGTTCTATAACACTTTTATACACAAGCATATGCCATTTCTTGTGATCTAAACTCCAACTTTATTGCAGTTTCTCTGTTTTCGGAAACAAATTTTTAATTTATATTTGGACAATGTGGTTTCTGCTCACCTGCTCTATAACCTCGAACGCATTATGGGGAAAAAATAACGCTAGACGAGTGACTTGTCGTGCTGCACCAAAAGCAAAAGCTCGCACGCAGCAGGAGCAACTTCCAATGCTCTAAGAGTTCAGGCTTCCAGCACTCACTGCGGTACATCTTAAATGAAACGGAGTATGGCCTAGTGCGTCTCATTTAAATGCCTCGTATCAAAACTAGAATGAAGAATTTGCCACCAAGAAGCTTCGAGCCAGGTGCCTTTTAAGATGTTCAAAACCACTTCTCGCAAAATCGCTTTCGTCAAAAATAGAAGTCAAGTCGCAAGGCTTGTGCTACTCGAGACTAGGGCATGCTCAAGTACTAGCATGCTGGCACTATTTCTAGATAAACATGACCTACTACTATCTACAGAAGAGTGGAAAGGTAATCATCCATTGAGGTCACCACTGTACGATGCTTCTCAGATACCACGATATGCGGGAATTTTGCATCTAGCCTAGAATTTAGGGTCGCTCCACACATCTGCCGACTCACAATTTGGCGTCGAACAGGCTCTGCTGGATTCGTGCGACGATTCCGGACTGTCGGCCTGCGTCGAAGAGATCCTGAAGCTCGGCCTGATGCACGGAAGTTCCTATCCAGAGGCAGAGGTCTGTACGGTCTCCCTCTTCCATTACGGCGCCTGGAAGGCATCTCCAACTGGTGTGCTTGCTGCGCAATCCGGCAGCACGACACTCTGGATTCTGCGACACCATTGGTTGCCAGCTCGGGGCCACTTTTAATGGACGGGCAATAGAGGACGGTAAACATGCTAGCCAAAGATGCGTTACGGATGGAAGTCGAGGAGCCACGTTTGAGGGCGCGGTAAGCACAGCAGTCGGAGACACGTCCAAGAAGCCGCAGCAGAACTACGCTTCGTTTCGTATTATGACCGACCGCGGCGGATGTTACGAGCCGTCAAGGCCAATTCGAGGTTGCACGAGCGTTGCGCGACCTTTGGAGGAGCGTTTCGCGTGCTATGTCTGCCGCAGTCGGCAGACATAGCACGTCTGCCGCAGTCGGACGCGAGGCGAAACGAAGCATGGCGCCACCTCGCGGGGCGATCGATTCCGTCGACAAGGCATCTGCACGTCGTGTTAAGGGGGAACACTGGTCTTGGAGCTTTGTTTGTTTTCTTTTGGCCATGACCAATGAAACAGCACAGGCTTGTTCAGACTTTTGTGCCAATTTCAGATATGTCATTTTTTTTAATTAGTAGGTTAGTTCTCAGGATAATTGTAATTAACCAGACTGTTTCCAAAAACAAACAAAAAATGTTTTAAAAAGTTTTCGGAAAAAAAAAAGATTTCTTTTAACAGTTTGGTTGGGACACGCGTGTCAAAAGATAAATTTTACGGGAAAAATTTTTTTTAGAGCAATATTGATGGTGCGAGATGCGATTTAGTTGGCAGTCACCTCCTTTCCACTTGTTTCCTCTCGGCATTTCGGGCGCATGGAGGAGAGGTGGAGCGGCTTCACCGTTACGACCAAGATGGTCATTCCGGAATGACCAGCGACGTCATGGACTTTGCACGCAGAATTTAAAATGAATCTCTCGCCGTCAATATTGTTCTAAAAAAATGTTTTCGTAAAAGTTTTTTTTTTGTTTTTTTTTTTGGCACACGTGTCCCAGTTACACAGTTTAAAAACAAGCTTTTTTTTTCTTTTTAGGGGCCCTTTAAACATATGATCGGATACTACAAATTATGAAGAATGCAATGTTGGAAGCACATTTTAGATTTTGAACCATTTAAGTGACTTCACAGCACACTGAAGTTCAGTGGTCAATATGTGGCTACCAAGCAAACAAACAATAGTTGTTAAAAATTTTCCTACACCTATTTTGAAAAATCTGCTTCCAACATTACATGGTTTGCACATTTGGCTACATGCTGCTAAAAAGGTTCCATTCTTTTCTGCCCCAGATGCCGAGATATCCCTAAAAAAAATTTATAAAAAGTTCAAAATTTGTGTTTTGAGAAAGTGTTGCTTTAGCATCAACTTCAGTGCAATTTCAGCCCACATAGATATTAAAATTGATATCATGGCTCAAATATTAATCTTCAAAACAAAACAAAAAAAACTTGGCAGATCAGAAAAAACAAAAAACAGCTGTAGATTTTCACATAACCATTTTCAAAAAAAGTCAGTTTTTTAGGAATTTGTTTTTGGCTCCAAAGACCAGTCTAATTTTAAATGAATGTCCGCGTGTTCCAGCTCGTCTGGATGATGACGACTGCCTGGAACGGGGGATTACGGCGCCTCGTCGAGGGGAACGTGCAGTCGGCGGAGCTGCGTCTCCGCGACGGAGTACGAATTCTCCGCTCACTTCCGACGCTCCGTCCGGCGTACGAGCGCAAACTGCTCGCAGACTTTCGGCGACTGCTTCCGAACGTGAAGCTCGACGAAGACAATTCCCAGTGAGTTGCATTCCGCGGGAGCTGGCCAGTTAAATTCGCCAAGAACGTTAGTTTTGCTTACGCATAAAAGTTTGGTCTTTATTTAACATACGTCAATGAAGCTCATTGACTTTGTTGTTTCTAAACAAGGCTTTGCTGCAGGGACGTAAAGTTGACACGAAAAGTCCTTCTGTTAAAAATTTAAGGGTATAATGTCGGGTAAGACTGCAAGGGAACAACTTAACCACGTTTGTTTCCATTTCGAGACTTGTTAATAAAATATGTGTTCAATATCGACTGCTCTGCGAGTATGGCAAGGTGTTGGATATACTGTGCATATTTTTTTAGCATTTGTGGAGTGTGGCGAAGTGATTGCTATCTGCAACAAGTGATACAACGACAACGGTTATAGCCAATAAAACATTTTTATTCAAAATTTGCATCTTTTGTTTGATTTCAGTACCGAATCACAGGTTCCTAGAACCTCTTCTTTTTGTGATTGCGGCTGCTTTGCTCGCAACGATTCAATGTGGATTGCCAATTAAGGAGACGACGCAAAGTTTAGATCTTAAAAATTTCTGAAAAAACAGTTGACTAAAAACACTTAAAAATATGCTGTAAAATACTATAGTATACTCAATTTGAATTGGCACCCAGACAGGCTAACTGAGAGAGAAAAAAAAAATGGACAATCAAGAATTTGAGAAACAAGTGGTACTCCGGTCAATGAACCGCGCAATTTGTAGACCAATCTTCGTCTGGAAAGATGACCGTAATCGTTTGGGAAACCAGACACTGATTGACTTGGCAGTTGACGACGGACTCGCACAAATACACAGAACAGAATTCGATTTATCGAAAAGTTAAATCCAATCCTAAAAGATTAAAAAAAAAATAATACGAGTCACCTTCTCCGAACCCTCTAGCACAAGACATTGCCAGATGCACATGCGAGATCCACATTCTTAATTCACATGAAACACTCGGTCGCAGGTACCGTTTTCGCCCAGATTTTCGTTGGGACTGGCACGATCTCCTGCGCCTCTCTTTTTTTTGTAGATCTTTTCCTTGTTTTTTTGTTACTTTTTCTTCCACAGATGAACACACACGCAAAAACATTCACGCAGGCACGCACTCGCACACACATACGAGAATTTGTACTTGTCATTGATTTGGAAATGATTTGCGGGGAGCTGGGACGCCAACTCGGTTACTTCGATGGCCAATTGAACTTAATCTTCCTAGAAGCTTCCCCCCTCCCCTCCATATCGGAAAGAAAAAATTAAAACGAAACGTGGCAAAATCTTTTTGTTTCTTTTGGAACGCTCTTTTTTTTTTAATTGCACGGCACACACTGGTAACCGTCGCACATAACGCTTGTGTGACACCAAACACATGACTACACGTAACCGTGACGGGAGGGGCTTAATGTCAGGGAACGTACAAATGTGACCGCGTTGACCCCGGGCGTTCCTTCGATCCCCCTCCCATCCCCCGACACAACCTTAAAAGTCGCGGGAGAAGGGTAAAAGCAGGCTTAACGAACGAGCGAACAAAGGAAGCGAGAACAATATTTGGAACGTCGATTGCGCGACAAGCTCCGTCCCGGTTAGGACGATGAGAAACACGGAAAAAAGAAGAGAAAGGTGATAATCCATCGGCTGCTGAATGAGCCAGCGAATGGAGGCCGATATTGAGGATTACTTTACGGAAGGGACAGCAACTAAAAGCTCCGATGCAGAAAGAAGCCACAGGGGCAACTGAGGGCTTTGGGATCAAAGGACGACGGGACGACGACAATCTATACGAGAATTTGCCCAACCCCGACTTTGAAAGCACAGTTGAACGAGAGACAACGAAAAGGAGGGCATCTTAGTGCCTAAGCACCCAAAGCGAGAAGCAGAAAGACAATTCACGCACGGTAGCGCACCGGGGACGTTGCAGGGGGGCTCGCATCTCGACGCTCAGGCACGATCAAGGGTAAAAAGAAGGGGGAAAAAAAACAAAAACGAGGAACTTATCACTGGTCTCGGAGAGTCAAAGAAAATAACTGCGTGAATCTCAGACTTGACGGGAAGGGGGGCATCAACGGCGATTGGACGACGAGCCGTGTTGCCCCGACTTTCCCCTGAGAGTCTACATGCAATGTAAATAAAATTACAAAAAAATAAAATAAAAACAATGTGGGGACGGTCAGTAAACGTTTTCTAAACAACTTCGGTTAGGAGGCGTCGTTTACGCCTCTAGGTGTTTCTTTTTTTTGTCATTTTCGTTTTCTATCGGAGTAGCAATGTAGCACCTACACTTTGTCAAAAAAAGGAAAAGCACCCTTATTTTACTGCAAGCAAAAAAAAAAAAAAAAAAAAAAAAAAAAATAATAAGAGCGGGGTGCCTAATATGTTGAAAGAGACACGAAAGATGAACAGAAAAGGGGCTATCTCCAATGCATGCCCAGGATATCAAAGCTGAAAAGCATACCTCGTTTTCAAAATCTAGCTTTGATCCCTATCCCCGGAGATGAAGTGCCACGACGCTTTCCATTGAGAGAATGAGCCTGCGCAAGACCTAGCTCTTAACGGACTGCAAGAAAAAATAATGCTCGATTGAGAAAACAGCTTCGGATTTCCTAGATTTTTGTTCCTCTTGTCCTACCGAGATGCTAGAGATAAAGGATGTCTAGGATTGGTGCCAATCGCGCAGACCCATTCTCCCTATAAAAAAAATGTACGACGTCGCATGTCTGACATGCAACCGAAAGGCGTCGCGGCACTTTGCACGTTAAAGCAGAGCCAACACTGAAATGCCAGGTTTGTTGGCGCCGCCGATGACGCTGCGGCGATGGAGAGCCAACAAACGGAGCGATTCTTCATTGAAGGACTGGGTGACGGCTCTACAAAGTCAACCAGTCCCGCTTTCGTGCGCCGACGAAAGATGGACGATCGGCGCCGCACATCAAGATGTGGCCGTCGACGGCGATATCCAGTTGCAGACGACCGCCACCGACGATCAGCAGACAACCGCCACCGACGGTTAGCAGGCGAGCCAGGCAGTGCCGACAAAGTAGGCAGCCGAACCGGCGGATGACGCAGCACAATTCAACGACCGCCGTCGTGCAGGTCGACGCACAGCCGAGCTGAGGTAGTCGGTTCAGTTCCGCAGTGACTCGGCGTTTTCGACGCGGCCGGTCGCTTCACGACGATCGGCGAAGTGGAGACGTCCACTGGTGCACAGTCCTTGCCTTTGGCAAGAGGCGACACCTTGCGTTGAGCGCCACCACACGGAAGGTCTGTCGTCCGCACAACGCAACGCAGTCTCGCAAGGCACTGCGAGTGTTCTGAGCACGCACCGCAAGGTTTGCGGGATTGTTCCGCGACAGACAAAAGAAAAGCTACGGAGGCGCGCCGGGCAACACCACGTTCGGGCCGACGCACATACGTCGCCTGCGCATCAAGATCGTCGCGCCCTACGACCCCCGTTCAAAATTGCTGCGCCAACAAAGGAAAAAAAAAAAAAATTCTAAAACCAGAAACACATTGCACACATGTCACACGCTCGAGTAGAGAAGATGCACAGAATGTCCGTTATGTTAAAAAAGTACCGACGTGGTGAGCGAGAAAACTGAATTTGGTGCGGCATAACACGAGGTCAAAGAACCGCGGAAGAAAGAAGGTGCGTGGAGATGGCGGACTTCAAACAAGAGTGGAGAGAAATGTACAGGGAGGAAAAATGAAGCACGAGTCGCGTTTCGCCAGGACGATGTAACTAATGCTACAGTGTCATTGAAAAAAAAAAAGAAAAGCTCACACTTCGAGGTTTAGTTTAATTAAAATGTAGGAGGGAACAATTTACGACGCAGGCAAAATGCGCACGCGTCGTCGTAGCGTCCAAAGTTTTCAGAGATTTGTTCGTGGGAACGACTACATCGTCCTGGTGCTACGCAGACTCTTTCCGCGCGGCCTCAAAAACGACGAGGCCGACGTCTCTCGCTCACGAGAAATCACACTCGCACATTGTAGAACACGGGCAGTTCGTCGAGTCGGTCGACGAGGCAACGACGCGAGGCGTCGCTCGCCTCCGAAACGTGGAAGCGTGCGACAACGTTTCTCCCAACACCCATTGAGGGTGCTCGGAATGACGTTGAAGCTTCGAATTGGGCCGCCCTAAACTTGCATCTGACCCCAAAAACAGCTTCTTCGGCCAAAGCGCTTTCCCAACGAGTCGCTTACATAGCGGCGCGTGCGGTCCCGACGAGGGCTATTTCTTGGGCTATGGATTGCGCAGCGACACCGTGGCAACGTTCGTTCGTTCCTCAGAACACACTTTTTAAAAATAGCTCTTTTTTAGTTTTCTTGTCAAGGCTTCTTTTCTCGGTTGCATATAAACCACACTTGAAACTTTCCACGCGCACACCTGGGTAAAGGGCCCCGTGTCGTGCCTCGTCGACCGGCTCCAACACCGTAGACGGATGTACACGTACAAACACACATCGACACGCGTTTCTTTGTAACTATGTGCACGTGACAGAGATCGGAGGCGGGGTGTGGGTTTTCCCCGCCTCAAAACAGTCAAGGGCATAAAGATATTTCTGGGTCTTTTCTTTTTCTTTACAACGCCCTCGCGTCGCGGGTGCCTCGCGTTAACGAGAACAAAAGAAAAAAAGGATCCTCTCAAGTTTACACTTTGTACAAAATGGTTCCTTCCTTCGTCGCCGTATTACTTACTCGCGATTTAATGAGCGGAGGGGTGGTTTGTACAGCATAGCACCTTTTCTTCTGTGTCCTCCGTGAAAATCGGACGCGCAAACGAAAATGAAAAGACGGGGTCAGCGTGGTCCCTCCTAAACGTCTGAGACTAGCATCTCCAAAAACACAAAAACAGAAGTGTGTGCGTGTCCTCTGCTTTGCCCCGATCCTTAATTCATCCGACCGAACGTCGGAGATGGAAAAGAAGAGGATCGCAAAAAGCTTAAAAACCGGTCCTCCACCCTCCTATTTCCACCCCCAAAGCTTGCAGGGCGCGTGCGCAAGTTCTGAGGGCGTCGTGGCAATTCAAAAGACGATAAAAAAAAAAAAAGGCTGTCCTTATTTACATGTTATTTACAATGACGCGGGTAGTTTCGAACCCCGCCTCCGAACCGCAAACAACCGTAAAGCCTCTGAAAGAATAATTTTCTCCATTCCACCCCTATACAAGCTCGTCTCTAGTGAACACTCGCAGCCCGAACGATTGGCAATCGTAACGTTCGTCTAGGTTTGCCTCACTACAACGAACCGCCAAAGCGCTTCGCCGCTCAAACGCGGCACCGCAAACGACGATCCATGTCCGGTTTGTCGAGCGCACAAGCTAGGCCAGTCTCTTCTGCCTAATTGCTACACCAATTTGGACCGAGCGGGATATGATCAAATAAAAGCGAACTCCGCTAATCACGACGACGCCTTCAAGAGGCAGATTCTCAGAAAAAGAAATGCGATTCTTCGTCTGCCGTCTCCGGACCATTCTAAAGCCTCAAACGTTAAAGTGCGTTGGAGTTGCGCTAAACGTTCCGACTGCTGGTGTCTGCACAATACAATCCAAACCGGACAGAAACCAGCCCACAATATTAACACCAGATCTAACGCACACAAGACTCGGAGGAACAGCAGATCGTCTATACGCACGAAACCTTTCTCGATCGGTCAAAGTGAACGCAACGGCCCGTCATTCTCCGTGCCTACTGTATATCAGAAAGTCACGGTGCACTTGTAATCAACCTTTGACGCGCCCAAGACTCAAACTGCTGGCAGCGCAGGTCTTTAACATTGACGTCAAACTGCTGGCAGGTCTTTAACACGGGCTACAACGCACAGCTTCGTTAAGTAGCTGCCCACCACCTTACGTTCGCATCTGACAAGAACTGTCTTGCCAGCCTCCTCTCTCTCACCCAGAAGTTACGATTCTCAGCGGTCCGTGCAGAGAGACCGGACAAAAACAGGCTGAGAAAACAAAAGGCGGGAGCCACGGGACCGCAGAGTCGGATCTCAGACACGCGGCGCATCTTTCGCTCAAGCCCGCCCTAAATGTCCCCCAAGTACCGTGAGCAATCAAAGAGCAATATGCCTTTTAACGGCGTACACCATCCAGTGTTGTGCACATTCCAGCGTAGTCCGCCTCCGAGTATTGTATACCGTCGGGTGGTCTACGTACTGGAGTGCCGAACGGCTTCAAGTGCCGTGCGCCACCAGATGATTGCTCTTTATACTAAACCCCTTCGGCGCGCATCTTTCGTTATATTCTGCCTTTCAAGTACACTGTACACATAGATGTCCTACACACCGCCCAGTGTTGCACGCCTTGGAGTGTTATACACCTCTACGTTTCGTACACCTTACATATTTGTAGATCCTTCGAGTGATTTATCATCCCCCCTCCCCACCCCTCCCATTGAAAATGGCTCCCGCCTTCGGTTACCCTGGATCATTACACCACCAGACGGTATCGCGACATCATACATCGACAAGTTTGAACACAAGAAATTGCTAAAACCAAACACGAGTACGGCTCCGTGCCCAGTCCCGGAACAAATATTTACAAACGTAACAAACATGTGTAGGCCCGGGCTCCTGAAACAAAGCCGCGGTCTGGCGAAAGCAGACGACGAAACAACCCGTTGACCCACGGCGACGGGTACCCCAACGCCGACGGCTTCGCGGTGTGGGGTTGGTCTCATTATACTGGGCAAATTCCAGCTTCGAAACAAGGTCAACCCCACACCGAAACCGACGCGCGCAGAGACCAGAGTCTGTGCGAATAAATCCCGAGTATTTCGTTTTTCTGCCCTCGGACCCCAAGCCAACCGTACCCTCCTTCGAACTCGAAACGACGCCCTGAGGCGGGTTCGCACACTTGGGGCTGCTTACGACCGGGGGAGCTAGAAACCGGTTTTTAAGCCAGTTGTGGCCGCTTACGACCGACCACGTTGCTGCGCAGCCGGTGCAAGCCGTCGCGAGAGGCTTAATAAAAATCGGTCGTGGCGCAGCCGGTCGTAGTCAAACGCAAGTGTGCAAACTATTTTTTAGACCGACGTACCGTCGTCGAGAAATCGGGTGCGGGGTAGACCACAGTGCCAAGGTCAAATGAAGGTCGTGCCCAAGGTCGAAGCCCCAGATTGACCGCCGTCGCGCCGAGGTCGAAAGAGCGAAGGTCGATATCACACGGCGACCGCGCAGGTTCGAAGGCCCGAAGCCGGCAGGAGTCTTCGAGGTCACACCTCCCCCACAGTTTCAAAGTCAAACAAAAACCTTGTAAAAAAAAACACAAAAAACAGAACAGCAATCATTTTCCGTGTACGGCGACACCGTTCAACACACGGCAAGGATGACGAGAGGCAGAAACAACGACGACGACGACGCACCCACGACGCGAGAGGGGATAGGAGGACTAAACGACGCCGAAGCAGCGGGGGGACGCCACGGGCAGGGCGCCCTCGCAGTCACCTGCGTGGCGTCACAGGCGCCCAAGCGCGCCGAGGATGCTGTTGACGTCGACGCTGAAGTGCGACTTGAGGCTGCCCAGGTAGGCTTCGTGGATCTTCACCAGGAAGTCGTTGTCCGTCTGCAGACGACCAAAGGAAACGACAAACGACAGAGTGAGGCAACGCGTAGAGAAGTCGTCAAACACCCGATACATTAAGAAGGTCTCGTGCCGAGTAACGAGCACACACGGAAACCTAACCGTCTTCATAACGGAAGCTTTGTTTCCACCAGGTAACCTCTGAAATAAAGGTGCAGCATTTTGCGATCCATCACTTCGAATGGACTCTTCAAGAAGTTCAAAATTGCTACTCCATTTTTTTTTTTTTTTTCAGAATTAAAAAACAAAAAAAGAAACCGGGAAGTGGCACGAAAGACTAGCACGCGTTCCGTATTTTCCGCACACAAAGGTAAACACACCAATCGAAGACAGGTTCTCGGAACCGCAACAAGACTGACCTGCAGCATGAAGATGAGGGCGTCCCGGAACTGCTCCTTGGTCAGAGGCGTCACGGATGAGGAGTTTGGGCGGCGGCCTCCCGAGAGCGCGTGGGGAGGTATCAGGGCTTCCGTCACGTGACCGTTCATGTAGGGGGAGCCACTGGCTGCAAGGGCGGAGACGTCACACGAGGGCGACGCAAACCTTGTCGCGTAAACCACTGGCCCCCGTTGGGCACCACCTGAATGGGCCAGCCTATGCCACACAGCCATCGCACGACACATGCATAAAAAATTTATATTCTGCAAATAGCAGACGCGACGTTTCTAGATAAAACGAACATTCTTCCGATTCTCGTTGACTTAGTTATAGCCAGTTCTGACTGTGCTTTACGTTTCGAGTTTGGATAGTTCCGGATAAAGCCATTTCTGAAGTCAGGGTCTCGGCCCTACGAATTTCCTTTCGCCTCGCAAAATAAGGACAAAAATCGAAGTATATAAGCGAGGTTACGGGTTTCTAGATAAAAACCGAAAAACGCGCGCCACACAAGTTTTTGTCAGTTCTAATATATCTGAAAAAAAAAAAAAAAAAACTGAGACATTTATAATCGCCACTACAAAAAAAAAAAAAAAAAAAAAAAAACAGCTGGGATTTTACATTAGTTTTGGCAGCGTGTGGAATTAGTTCTGAGGTGAAGCCACTTCAGCCTCCTTCCCAACCTCAACCGATCATTGAAGGAAAGGCCAGCGCTCATTAGGGCCAAGAGGTTAGTGTCGCTGTATTTCTGAATCCCGACCACAGTGTAAGATATACGTATGGATAGAAACTGGGGGAGGATGAGACGAAGGCGCACGAGGACGTCGAAGCACCAAGACCCGGTCGAACCAATTAGTGGATGGACGCGAAGCTAGAGCTTGTTGTCTACCCAGGGGCGGACTTACCAATAGGGTAAGTAGGCAGCTGCTCAGGGTAACAGAATTTTGGGGGCAGCCAATTATTTAGTTTCAAATTTAGCTCCTTTGGAAATTCTAACTCTAAATCTAGCTACTTATGAAAATTTTAACTCCACACTTGGCTACTTACTAATAGGCTGAGTATGCAGCTGCCTAAACTCCTTGTCACTAATGTTTGCAGTACAGGTGAAGGCAATGCTAGGTGAGGGGGGAAAGGGCAAGTACTAGGAAGGCTGGGAGGAACGAGAGAAACATATTCTCTTCTATAAGGTTCCAAGTGCTCTGCCTTTCTCCACTCGCCCTTCACTGCCCTCCTCTCCCATACCGCCTCCTTAGTGCTCGTCCTTTCTCTCTTCATCTGGTGTTGCCTTCGCCTGCACTGCACGCAACTAGTGACACGGAGTATAGGGTGGTAGTATTTTGGGGGCAGTCAATTTGTGGCCGCCCCCAAAATAATTGGCTCTTTTTTTTTAAATCTCCCTTCCAATTAAGCTATTTTGGAAATTTTAGCTCCAAATCTAGCTACTTCTGAAAATTTTCACTCCACACTTGGCTACTTACTAATAGGCTGAGTATGCAGCCGCCTGAACTCCTTGTCACTAATGTTTGCGGTACAGGTGAAGGCAATGTTAGGTGAGGGGGGAAAGGGCAAGTACTAGGAAGGCTGGGAGGAACGTGAGAAACATATTCTCTTCTATAACGCTCCTAGTGCTCTCCCTTTCTCCACTCGGCCTTCACTGCCCTCCTCTCCCATACCGCCTCCTTAGTGCTTGTCCTTTCTCTCTTCATCTGGTGTTGCCTTCGCCTGCACTGCACGCAACTAGTGACACAGAGTATAGGGTGGCAGTATTTTGGGGGCAGTCAATTTGTGGCCGCCCCCAAAATAATTGGCTCTTTTTTTTTTTTTAATCTACCTTCCAATTAAGCTATTTTTGAAATTTTAGCTCAAAATCTAGCTACTTCTGAAAATTTTAACTCCCAATGGTCACAGATCATGCCTCACCACTGAAAGAGTTTGAGCTTGGTGGCGACGAAGCGATGAGGCTGGTCGATCGGGTGAAGGCCATAGGCGACAGGAGGGGAATGTCGCACGCCGCAGGCGACTGGAACATCTGCAAAGGCGGCAGTTCCGTCTCAGGCGACTTCGAAACGAGAGGGTTGCCGTGCCCCCTCTCCCTCTCTCACCAAACGGATGCCACCCACCTCTCCCGCGTTCATTTCCCCGCCCGTGGCGGGTGGCGGCGACCGGTTGGGTAGCCCACCGCTCCCCCGCTGCGGCGCGGTGGCGGGCCCTGCGCCGGTTGGCTCCCCCGAGCCGTGGTTGCTCTGCGGTGCCAGGCGGAGCTTCTGGCGGAGGTCGTCCGTCGCCTCCCAGGCGGACAGGGTCGCCACGCACGACGCGGCGCGGTGACGTGGCGAGGCGTCTGCCGGCGGCGACGCCTGTCCCCCGCTGCTGGCTCCTCCTGCGTTGGCCCCAGAAGAGTTCAATGAGCCCTCTTCGTTTGTTCCGCAAGAAGTCCACCCAACAAGTGGGGTCGTACGGTCGCGGACGACACGAAAAAGCCCAAGCGAGCACGCGGATTACGAGGCCTGCCGCAATATCTGTTGGAAGAAAAGTCGACCGCTATCGAGGCTTCGACGGCCACTTGATTTTCGTCGTCGCTCCCCATTCGACCGGCCATAGCCGAGTTAATGCCGGTTTCGCCAAAGATGGAGGCATTCTGCGACAAAGGGCAAAACCGAGTTTGGCCAAATCCACCGGGTCGCCAGGTTAAGGGACAAGTTTTCGGGCGTTTGATAAGTTAGCAGAAAAAATATCATTAAGAATTTTTTTTTAACCAAACACCACTATTGTCGACGCTGACTCGGCAATCGTTTGCCGACCAAGTGAAGAGTAAAGACAAAAAACGACCAATTGCCGAGACGCTGCTCGTTCGCGCGATAGCCTGGACGATAACTCTGCCTTCTTCCGTTGATAGCTTGGGATGTGTTAGGTGCCATGCACTCACCTGGGCTTTTTTATATCATTCACAACTGCTTGTGGTGGGTTGCATATTGTTGCTGGTTAAGGCAGGAGTTGGGTTTTGAGACTAACTTTTTGGAGTACCCGAGTTAAACTAATGAACATCAGCTTTCTTAAGGTAAACTATGGAAGGTTTGAAGCTTTTCTAATCATTAGTTTGAAAGTTTGGTTTGTGCAAGCCCCTCAGACCTAATAACACACTGTATCATTATAGAACTTCAAGTATAATGCCTCAAGACATACCTCCGGAGGGTAAAACTACTGGATTATTTTTTAGTTGCATCAAAGACATTTTTTTTTTATACAAAACGGTTTTGTGATACTTTCATCGTAACCAGAGACAGGGAAAAGTAAAAAAAAACAGTCAAAACAACAACAAGTCTTAAACACTGCTTCCTAGTTTATTTGAACACAACCACTCTTATATATACACCACGACCCTCATCTCCAAAGCCTCCTATCCACTCGGTCACCGACAGCTGAGATTGAATCGAATGACACATGCTGCCTCCCTTCCTTTCACACTAAACCAAAAACTGACCCCGCCGACCTCAATTCAGATAAGACCACCCACACATGATAACAGGAATCTCAAACACAAAACCTGCTAACAATGAAACCCCCCTCCCCACCCCCCCCCCCCCCCCCCCCGAAAAAAAAAAAAACACTTCAGAGACACAGAAAGCGCTTCAGTTCGCTATCAAGTACCAAGGACGGTGTGCTTACGCAGTTGCCACGTGCCTCCCTCACAACTCTCCCACCATTTTCTTTCTCATTATGCAAAACCTGGGTATCCCCCCACTCCAGCTGACAGTCATTACAGTCTACAACATGTTTACCCATTTCTGAATGCTGCGGCTTGTCTTTTACCGCCCTTTTATGTTCCAGCAACCAGTTTGCCCTACATAAGACAACCCACACCGCAACGTAATGTTGTACACCACTCCTACCTGACAAGTTACATCAGGGTTTCGGGTTTTTTTATGGCAACCCTGATGGCCACCTGAAAAGGGGGTTAAACTTTCCAATTTATGTTGAGCTTCCAAAAACTAAATTTACTCCGAACCTCTTGGCCACTGACTTTGAATTACGAGACATTCCATGATAGTAAGGCCTGTCATCATGTGTAACTGGTCGTCAGGGTCAGTTAGTAAAATTGGCTAAGTTCCCCTTCAACTCACTCCTCTCTACAATGCCCTCATAACCCTGAAGGTATTTTAATAAATAAATAAATAAATAAAAATTAAATGTGCTACTGCTCCATCTATGTCACTGCAACCTAGGCAGTATTGGTGCACCTCAATAGACCCTTTTCAAAAGTGCAAGCTACCTAGCAGCTGCTGCGCCAATAATCCGAGTTGAACATTGTTTGGGCACGTTCGCCGAGCATGTATTGGACACGAAGGCTGCGTCAGCGTATGAGGACTCAAATCCAATCGGACGCTTCCCGACCAAGAGTCAGGGACCGCCAATGTCGCTCGACCAATTTTTGAAAAGGGTCTATTGCGAGCCGTACGGAACTCCCGTCTCCGACTTCTCCGCGAGCGACGGCCGTCCTCTCACCCTCGTTTCTCTGCATCCTCTCGACGTGCTCCAGCAGGTTAGCTGGATTCGAGAGCAGTTCCTGAAGCACCTCACGACCGCCTCCACCTCCTCCGCTGCCTCCGTTGCAGACGTCCTTTCCTTCAGCAGGCAGTGGAGACACGCTCGCGCGACCCCCGGACACTGCCGCAAACAACGTCGCCACGGTGAGCGGCGTCGACGGAGACTCCACCACGTTCGGCGGAACCGCTGCCGCCACGACGCCGTTGTTCCGTAGAGGCGTTGGCTTGAACAGCACGTCGTTCTTGGTGTTGAGGCTGCCGTTTGCGGCGACGTTGTTCTTGGCGTTGTTCACCTTGTTGTTGGGGTGGGGGTTGTTCCGCGCAGGGGGCGACGAAGTGGCGCCATTACGCCGGCCGCCGCGAGCACGGCCCCCTCCATTGCTGCCCTTGGGGTTGCCGACGCTGCATCCGTTCTGTACCCCCGCGTTTTTCTGCGAAGGGAAAGGGGAATTCTCCGTGAGTCGGCAGATACAGCAGCGTTGCTGTAAGTAGGTTCTCGAAGCGCACAACACGATAATGGCACCAAGGTGCAGCTCTTGGCAGAAGCACTTCACATAGACACCCCGTGTAGCAGTTGGCCAGTTTCTAATCAATATCAGTTGACTCGAGCAGGGCGCTATACAAATCGTGTGGGGTCACAATTGGAACCAACTTTTAGAGCGCAGCTTTTAGGCGCTTGCTTCCGTGTTCTATGGCATCAGCGTCAGCATAACCGTCACAAATTTAGCGGGAAAATTTGTGTCCTGTGACCTCAACATCAATTCAATTCCCCGCTAAATTGAGCGGGGAAATTCAGCTTCCCCGCTAGATTTGGAGGGGAAATTGATGTCATGTGACCTCAACACCAATTTAATTCCTAGCGGGGAATTGGATTACTGTTGAGGTCACGTGATGTCAATTTTCCCGCTAAATCTAGCGGAGAAGCTGAATTTGTTCATAGGCGACGTGACATTGAGTCATGTGACGCCATTTTCCTCGAGGAGAAGTTGAAAGGAGGAAATGAAGGAGGATAAGAGGGAAGAAAATGAAAAAGAAGGAGAGGAGGAGTAGGAAGGGCATACCCTCCTCTCTGTACCCTCTCCTTCTCCTCCTCAAGAGCTGTGCTCTAATTTCGCATTACGGAGATTTGTAAAGAGCTTTAATTTTTTTGTACAAGACCTGGAAGTTTAGAGCACGGGTAAGGTCCAAGTGCCGACAAAAACAGCCGCAATCGTCTCAATCCCAGTACGTCTGTCTACACAATCCACAAGTGAGCGAAGAGCTGCCTACCCAAAAATAAGAAGATGGTAAGAGCACTTAAAGGGGTGCTGAACCGAAATTTTGATTCCACAAAACACGCGGTAAAAGCGTCCAACGGGATGCTACAAACACCAAAACATCACTCATACAGCGATATCTCGAACGGATGACCAAATTTTTCAAGAAAAGGAGGCGCATTTGACAGAGATGATGCCGTCATGTTTCTCCGAGAAGGAGAGGGAACGGCCTTGAGGGAGCGAAGCGAAGAGAGGAGGAAACTTGGTATATTGACGTCACGCGCCTCGTCGGCCTGGTTCAATCTCGACTTCTTTTTCCTAAAATACGGCCATCCATTCGAGATATCGCCTTACGAGTATTGGTGTAGGGATTGTAGCGTCCCGCCTACATTTCCTGCATTGTTTTTCTGAAATCCATATTTCGGTTCACCATCCCTTTAAGCCTTTAGAAAGTGCAACTCCCACGAGACATGGTAGACATAATCACACGAATGAACCACCGACCAATATTTGTACGACCCTGAAAACATTCAAACCAATACCGGGCACGCAAAAAAATTGGGCAACTCGCCTGCCCAGATTCAATGGTAACAGAAAACACGAAACGGGTAGCCTACCTCCCCATATGTCCCTTTTGGGGAATTGCCCAACCAGAAAATTCCCCAGATCAAAGAATTCCCCGGCAACTCTTCAGTTTTTTCCCCAAAGATGCCCAACGGCACGCGACCCGGCACCTCGGACAGCCCGCCCGCACTCACCATATCGTACTGGTCCTTGGCCTTGGCGAGCAGTGCCACAATGTCCCTCGTGGCCCCGTTCTGACCCCCGGCCGCTGCGTTGCCGTGGTTACGGTGGTTACTGTCGCTCTCCGAAGCGCAGCGCTGCCTGTAGTTCGACTTGGCCGCCATTCCTCTCTTCAGGCTGCAAGGGGTCGCGTGAGGTCACCGCTAGAGAAGAAAAGAACGCTCGTGCGGAGCATCGAAAGTCCAATTGTTGTATGAACTAACCCCCCCCCCCCCCCCCCCCCCTATGGCGACACTGGTTTACGCCATGGATGAGATTTAGCCAGCGCAGTAAAACTGTTAGCTCTGGTCTTTAACATGCATTACGCTAAGTAGTTATACAAGACCACACACGCTGGTACGATGGTCATTCAATCTGATCGAAACGGGCAAGGGTAGGGATTGAACCCAGGATCCCTCGGCTCTGCAGCGCGAGCTTCCGCTCCACGTGCTTGGAGCTGCTGTGAGCTAACATGCTAGGCCACCGACCCCATATCTTGGGAAGGAAGCGTCATGATTGGCAGAGACACACACTCTGTGGAGGCCTTACAGTACACTACATGTCGGAGTTGGTGCGCAAACTCAATCTCAGGTTCCTCCATCTTTGCTCGAGCGTTCTAGCCGGCGCCAAAATTACTGGCTCGTTTGGCGCGTGCAAAGAGTCACCGTCAACATCCGCAATAACTTACGATGAAATATTATGTCCGTCGACCTACACGAGGGCAGAAAACACCGTCTCAAACTAGGCTAAATGAGGTTATCCATATCTCTTAACGCCATTTAGCCGAAGAGACCCGTGTGACGACGCAAGGTGTTGACAAGGTCCGATAGGAATGTATGGGCACTCTTTTGATCGGGAAACGGTCTACTTCGATTGAAAAGATTAGATACCAGAAAAGAAAAAAAAAAAAGCTCCTAGCTAAATATGGTAGCATGCTAATAATCAGTAGAGTGGGTTTGTGTTTCTTACTCTGTCCTCGTCTTTTGTGCGCTTTTAAAACCAAGACTAATAAGCAGGCATTGCATTGCGCAATGTACTAGCTTACTGGGCTAGGAAAGGGTGTAGTCGGCTTGCTTTCCTGGGATGAATAGGCCCTTTCCAAAATTCAGACTAGCCACCTCAATAGCTATCATCACCTAAGTGTATATCATCTGTACATGCTAATGGCTGCTCTTTGATAGTTGGTGAAAGAAGAATATGAAGGAAGCCTGAAAACTCCAGACGCCAGTCCTCTGCATTGTTGTTTGATGTCAATGTGGCGACACCTATAAGCTCCTGTGCGGTTCGCATTTGAGGATGTCACGTGAATCCTCGGAATGCTCAGCTTCGGCATACACGACATAGCTCATGACAGTACAATGTGGTGAATATTATTGAGAAATTTACTCAAGCGAGCTCCTCAAACAGAGCAAGTTTCTTAACACTATTAAAACTGAAATGAATAAAGAAAGAACTGTACAGCAAAGACCGCAACTTTCGTGCGTCTGTCGTCGACGGATAGATAATAGATTTTAACTGCCATTAGCGTAGATTAATTTAAACTGATACTTGGGCCATGAGATGGCACTGAATTTCTGAAAGGTCTATCGCAAAGATCAGGTAAAGAAAACAAAAAAAAATATATATTAGGAATGCAAAATGCACACCTTTTGCAGACGTTTCCAATCCTCTCGCACTCCTTCGTGTCGTAGAACCAGATGCAGGAAATGCCGGCTTCAGTGTCCAAATGAGAAATAAAAAAAAAAGATTGGTTAACGGAAAACACCCTGGATCCAGTTTTCGAGACAATGAAAGCTGAAAACTTTCTCATACTTGTTTTCTCTGTGAAAGGACCAATATCGGTTCCCCCCAATTTCTGTAGTAATTAACGGTTGCCAAAAACATGTTTGTATTTTCTTTTACGTATGAACACTCTTTAAAATACAATGAGTAAATTAAAGGGCATAATTCCAACTTGAGAGAAAACCTTACTTATGAAAGTTGCAAAATCTTAAAAGCCGTTTGACTCAATCATGCTCAAACGGGGATGTTTAAACCAGCCTTTAATGCTGCTAAAAAAATGCAGCAGCACTTAAAAAAAAAAATTGGATTGTTCATGAATGTGATTTATCTGATGGAAATGTGTGAGCATTTCCATCAGATTAAATTTAATGAATGAGTGGCCTCGACTTTCTTCCGTTGTTGCTCTTGGATACGGTCAACCATATCACTCATAGAAAGAACCATATCCATCGCTGGAGCAGTAACTGAGCTGGGGGCATTCCAAAGCAGTGCGGTGCCTGCTCGTCTCTTGCTCCGCGCCAGCTATGCAACACTCTTATTGGCCTTAAGTGCTGACGTCAGAACGCGTTATCCTCTTTCTCTCTCCCTGCTATCGTGGTGAGACATCACAGGATACCTTCTCACCACCCCACCCCCTCGTGACATTGTGCATGACGCTGACAAACAAATGCATGGACTGACACCCACAAATTTTCGTGAAAACTAATTCTAAGGCCCGCTTCAGACGGAGCAATTTCACCCAGCAACTTGACGTCGCAACACCTGCAACACCGGCCGCCCGCGTTCACACGCAGCAACCGAATTGCCATCATCATCATTAAATTTGATTCTTCTTTCACTATTTAGACGCCCAGCTACGCGCTGAAAAACGCGTTCTTATATCTGTGAACGTCGTTGAAAATACTAACTCATTTTTCTGAAACTGTTTCTTTCCGAAAACGATCCATTCCAAACCAGAACTAAGTCTTTAGCTGTCATCAAGTCCACAGGGGTGTCACGTGAAAATATTGCATCTCTGATTGGATGCAGCCGCTTCAACCGTCTTCGGATTGCTCCGAGTTGCTCGCTTGTTCGAGCCGGACCCGATCTCAGCAATTCGCGTTGATCTAGGGAAAGCTAGGGAACAACCCGCCAGCAACCTCAAAATTGCTGGAAAAGTCGCCCCGTCTGAAACAAGCCTAATGCTGACGCATAAAAAAAAAAAAAAAAAAAAATAACGGCACCAAGGTTTGACTTACAGTTGGAGTTTCTGTAAAGGAGGTACGGCGCCTGCACTTGGAACTCAGAGTCTGGCGTGATGACCTCTAGCAGGTTTGTCGTGCTCAGACGGTTCATAACAATGAAGCCATGGCGAGGAGTCTTTGACCTTTGAGCAGAGATAGAAAGAAAACGGAGGGAAGAGTTGGGGATGATAACAAAGGTATGGAGACAGTGCTTCGCCACCGAGAAAATAAAAATAAAATAAAGACACCTCAAGATGATGGGATGATCGAGAGGGAGACAAAATGAAAGAAAGGGACAACTTACCAACTAAATACGAACAACGCTCCTTCAATTTCCGTTTTTTCCTGCAAAAACGAGAAGAAAAAAAAAAAAGAAAAGAAGAAAGAAATTACATCAATGTTGTAGATTAAACATGTTTGCACACGACAAGGCCCTTATGTATCACTGCGAAGGGGACAGCAAAAGCAAACCAGAAACAAAATAAAAGCGTTCCGGTTGCCTAAAGTTTTGATTTTACTGTTATTTTCTACAAGAACGAAGCCGTTTGTGCGTGTTTAGCTCCTTTAAACCCACACCAAGCAGCTAATGTAAGAGTCACAGTTGTTACTAGGGTGTGTAGATGGGCAATCACAACCAACTAACGGTTTTTATTTTATTTTTATTTTTTTCTTTCTCGGCTTTGCACTTTGTTTCCTATGAAACAGCCATCTTTAAGCGCCTTTTCGTCACTAAAAAACCGCAAACACGCACACCACTGGGAACAATGAGCTCAGTAAACTGCTTAGAGAGGGAAAAAAAGAAAACAAACAAAAATGACAAAATACGAGCGCTCCCGATCTCGATTGTAGGCCATCCGACGTTATGCCTACTTCGTCCCGATCGCGAAAGACCCCGAGATCCGTTAGAAGGCTCGAGGCAGTCCCTCGGCGACGAAAAATCGGTTCTCGGACGCGGCTTCACGCGAGCCTAGGCCATTTTCAGCTCGTCCCAGGGCCGTTTCGTGGCCGATCCCGGCGACTACGTCGTTTGGGAGCGACCGCCGCGGTCACAGTGTCATGACGGGGGACGGCTTTTGTTCACGAGGAAACTGCGCCGACGATGAAACGATCCGGCGCTACGCGGTTGCGCAAAGTCCGCACTCACCCAACCGTTGGTCGCTGCCGAAAACTTGTACAGGGCCACTTGGCTCGCGTTGTCCAGAATTTCGGTGACCGCAGAATCTACTCTTTGTAGCGCGGCCAAATTCATGCGGTTGGCAGCTGTGCTGGACATACTCTTCTACTACAACTAACGCCAGCGAGAGACGAGCCTGACGGGTTTTTTTCTTTTTGTGAGGTACTTTTATGCGCTCGCTCGTTCGCTCCTCGCTCGCTACCTGCTGATGCAACAAAAACATAAGTCAGCGCCGCTGCACAGTGTTGCCGGCGTGGCGCACTTGATGTAAACAAAGTCGGTCAGGTGATGAAGAAAAATGTCGTTTGTGAAAAGAAGAAAAAAAAACACATGAAGTCAGTCATGCTATTTTATAAATAAGATTTACACGGATTCATTTATGAACGGCGTGAATTTTGCTGTTCGGGACACCTCTCATCGCGTCCTCAATACCTCTTCTTCCTCCTAAAATGTTTAACTTTACGAATAATTAATTAACGAAAACCTAGACTACGCGGGGGTGTTCTAATAACAAATACGATAACGCAGATTTGTTAAAAAATTCGCCTTATGTTATTTTGAGGTCACGTTCTCGCGCCTCTGCACAGTTGCGGAAGCGCCAGGGCTCCAATTCAATCGTCATAACTCGTCCAACTTTTTCAACATGGCGGAGCTGCTGTTGGATCCCGATATCCGGATATGGGTTTTCCTTCCAATAGTCGTCATCACGTTTCTAATCGGAATAGTCAGACACTACGTCTCAATCCTCATCTCATCGACGAAGAAAGTGGAGCTTCAGCAAGTCCAAGATAGGTGAGCTTATATGAGAACACCCTAGATGCAGCCTCGGCTGAGGAGTAGCCTAGCTTCCTGCAGTCTGTCCCTTTACGCTGAATTTCGGTTTCAAAAACTCTCATTGGTATGGCTATTTCATTTTAATAACGACGCTTCGGCGGAGTGATTCGACGGGGTGAATGTTTCAAATAGCAGAACAGTTTTTTTTTTTTCCCGTGTAGTTTTCGTAATTATGATCAACCCAACCTAACCCTACAAAATACGTCGAAACAAATTTCTAGTAAAACGAGGGAGAAAAAAAAAAAAAAGAAAAAAAACGCAAACGTAATAATTTTGTGCTTGCTGCACAAATAGCACTCTGACACGTGAACACCGTGATAGAAAGTTAACTTGTCATGTACCATGTTAGCTCTCGGCGATAATGCTAAGGAAGTTATCGTGCTGAATTTTACATTTGTTTTGATCTTTGCAACGTTTTACAAAAATTCAAACTCCGATCCATTAGAAAAAAAAGAAAAAAGAAAGGCGTATTTGGGAAGGAAAAAGAAAAAGGGGGGGGGGGGGGGGGCGTGATTTGGGTAGGGTAGGTTGTGAATGTTTTTATATAAAAATCATTGTATCTTTATTATCATGTTTGTGTCTACGTATTTGTAGTTTTTAATAGTGTTTCCCGAATGTGCCGGAAACATTCGAGTGTGCGGCTGAAATTCTGATAGCGACATCGTTAAAATATAAACAAAATCAACAACAAGAGAGGCATATCGTAGCGTAAAATAATGTTGATAAAACTCTGTAACACTAGTTTAGCACTGTCCATCAATTAGCTGCTGGGAATAATACAAAACCCCGTCAAGTACTATCAATGTTCGCCATACCTTGGGCATTTCTAACAATGTGAAGCTTGTTATTAAACCCGTCGCTGCTGACTCGGCACTCGTGCCGCGTACACACACAAAATGTAGCGGCCTCAGTTAACTGACGACGTAGCCACTAGGTGGTGCTCACTTTTGGAAAGGGTTCGTTCACCTCCCAAGCGTCTCGGCCCTAATCCTCGATTGCAACAAGGCCATGTGACCTCAATGGATCATTCAGATGAGCCTGCTTGGGACTTGGAAGGGACGATAAAATGTTGCGCATTGTCGTGTGCGGCTGAGCGTCTGTGCGACAGGCGTACCTGTTCTGGATTGGGGCGGCTTGATTCTGTGCTGTGGATTATAATACATTTCCACTCTTGTTTTCGTTGCAGCCAAGCCTTGATCAGAAGCCGATTCCTCAGGGAAAATGGAAAATACATTCCAAAACAGGTAAATTATTAGTTAATTTATTTAACGGATGATGCGGATCACATAAGTGAGCCACGGCACGCGTGGCTACAATTTGAAATGTAGTTTTTACGAAGAGCTTGTTCTAGAACCGATTGCGTCGCCAAAGCCATAGAGCAACGGAAGGACCACAGTTTCATTTCGGAAGGATTTTCATCCAGTAGTTGTCCAAACTAGTCGAATTGCAATGCAGTAGCCTCTGCAAAATGATAAAAAGTCACTACAGTGAAAACATTATTTGTTAAATAATTTCAGTGTTAAATTGCCCGAGGGAAGGAAGAGTACCTGAAAAGTTAGATTTTGAGCATGTATCGTTTCAACAATATCCAGTGGCTTAACCGTGAGAACCCGGACAATCATCCTGTCTGATGGCTCGTTTGGTCGCCACCCGCAGAGCTTCCTGATGCGTAAGAACTTCTTCAACCACGAGGAGACCGGGTACTTCAAGACCCCCAAGAGGGCGCCAGTGATGCAGAACCCCATGACAGACCCGTCCATGATGACCGACATGCTCAAGGGGAACCTGACGAACGTCCTGCCCATGATCGTCATCGGCGGCTGGATCAACTGGACCTTCTCTGGCTTCGTCACCAGTGAGGATGCTCCGGAGAGACATGCTCCGGTTTCTCGACGTGCAACGTGCTCCCTGAAAGATCCACGAGGCTTTTATCTTCGCCAAACACTCCCTTTCCACCCAAATGTGGCACTAGCGTTCCAAACCAGACGACAAAGTTTCAGAACCATCCGTTACCTTGTTCGAAAGTCGTACCGTAACATCCGTCGCAAGCACCCACTCAAACTTTTGAGATAATTGTGTAAAACCCGAGTTTGACAAATATGTAAAGATATGTCCTTTGTGTATTTTCGGAACGCTACAAAATTGGTGGTGCATGCAAGTGATTTTCTGAAAATTCGAATGGTAAATTGAGGCCCGTTCTTGGTAACCGGTGCCATTCAGCTGCACGTATTTGAGGGCTTTGTCGGTCGGAATTTTCCCATTCAGAATTTCAGATCACTTATAACTTTATAAAAAAAAAATATAACGGTTAGTTGTGGAACTTTGGTGTCTGGTTCGAACCGTTAGCACTTGTCTTTGGCGGAGAATGTGCGTTTGGTGATGTGTAGTTTATTTTGGAGTAAAAAAAGCCATGTAAGTTTTTTGGGGGACTCCTTGTAAACAAGTGAGCGCACCCGATCTGGTGGACCAATTTCCTAAATTTGAGGCTTCGCTTACCTAATGGCGACTGCGGGAAAAACGGTCGCTTCACGCATTGTGAAGGAAGATTGAGGCCGTCAATGCCGTCTGGCTCTTGGACACCGTTTAAAGTGTTGTGTGTGTGTGTTCAGCAAAAGACTGGAATGGCCTAGAGTTTGCCTTTGTTCCTTTTGTTTCTCGTCTCAACAGCAAAGGTTCCCTTCCCACTGACTCTGCGCTTCAAGCCTATGCTTCAGCGTGGGATTGAGTTGATGTCCTTGGATGCCTCGTGGTAAGGCCTGCTTGCTGGTTATTTAAATCCATCCTTTGTTGGTGCTAGATCAGCTGCCTTTTCCATAACCTAGGGGGAATGCTAGGCGTATTTATTGAAAAGTGATGACACAAATATTGAATATGGATAGTCTTTTAAAGTGGCCAGTTTCCCCTGTGACTACTATGTGCCATAAAATCCCAATAGGGCGCCCTTCCCGAAAGATTGCCCATCCTGTTTTCTGGCTAAATGTCTATAACATAAATTCCGAAACATCACCTGCCCCCCATTCTCGGCAGACTTTCTGCGACGTTCGACGGGAATCATGTCAACCGCACAATCTGCGGCACCGGTATGTGTGTTGAGGGAGTTCGTAGCGGGTTAGCGCGTTTTCGTCCGCGATCTGCACACGCGATGTTGGTTCGTGTCGCACGCGAGTCGATCTCGCGTGTTTATTTCATACTGAAATGCAAGTCTGCTGCGTCCGCGATCTGCGGCATTCGTTCCTGTGACATGCGAGTCCGTAGCGGGTTCCCTCGTTTTTTTGTTCTTGATCTGCGCGTGCGACGTGCGATGTCGGTTCCCGTGACATGGGAGTTGTTCCCGCACGCTTGTTCCACCATGAAACGCAAATCTGCTGCATCTGCAATTTACGGCGGTTCCCTCGACATGCGAGTTTGCGGGAGGTTCTTGCATGTCCTTTGCACTGTGTAAAGCGAATCTGCTGCGTCTGGAATCCGCGTTATCTTTTATCATGACACAGGAGTTCATAGCGAATTCCTGCGTGTTTACCGCGTTGTGAAAAGGAAATTTGCTGCGTTTGCGATCGGCGGTATCAGTTTCCGTTTCACGTGGCTTGTAGTGGGGGGCCCAGTGTTTTATCACTTAGTTTTCTTAAAGTTTTGCTGTCGCATTCCTAAAGATAGCCCATACCGTGTTTTTCATCAGGTGTCCTTTCAGCATCCTTTAGGGATTTTACAGTAGTATTCTCAAACTTAATAGATAGTGTAGCCATCACTGAGCTGAACATAATCAGCTTCGAAAGTGCATCGTTATGATTCAGAGCTGGCTCCAACAGGGGCTGCGCCATTCTGGCACACGCTGTTAGGAAAATGTCTGTAATTTCTAAACAAACTGACAAGGTGTTGACATTGCTCTACTACAATCTCCTGTTTAATTGACCTTTTGCTAAATTACTCAAGCACCAAAGAGAATGTTGGGAACTTAGATATGTGCACTGCACAAGTTTGTCTTATGGATACAAAAGATTTTAAGTAAATGACGGAAATCGGGCATTGACGAGCCGCATACAAGGTGCCCTTTCTTTTAGATTTTTGATTTAGAACAGTTAGCGCCGCATGTGCCAGCACAAGAACCACGTGCAACTACAGTGGCAGTACGTGCCTTGGTGTTCAGGCAATTAGCAAAAGGTCTGTGTTTTTTTTATAACCAATGAAAAAAAAGCTATATTACATCTTTCACAAGGTTCATGCTGTCTGTAGTTTACTGACAAGCACAATATTGCTGGTGGTAATAGTAATAACAATGCATCTTTTTTTTTTTTTGCCATTTTACGTTCCCAGGGTGAGCTCGGCGTCATGGTATTTCCTGAACGTCTTTGGACTACGCAGCATCTACGCCCTGGTGCTTGGGGAGAACAACGGTGCGAATATTGGTGGAGGCGGCCACTCTTAGGCCTTGGTGCAGTAGCGAATAGAGAGTTGATTTCTCTTATTTACCTCAAAGGTGTCTTCTGGAGATGCATTACATAATGGAGGAGGGAAAAGAGGAAATGTAATATAATAATAAGAAAAATTTATTTTCCATCAACAATACAGTACATTATAGACGGAGAAGGCCAAGGAAAAAGCTGTTTATAGACAGCTTGACGGGCCCTCGGTCTCCTCATCAAAGACACAAAGAAGTGTTTAAAAAATGTGAAAAAAGCATGTCCTGCAAACAGCATAAACACACTCTATTGTCATATTATAAGCACTCAGCCAAAAGTGCAAACAGCATGAACATGCTCTCTCGTTCTTAAAAAGGCATATGGCAAAGTTCAGGAAATAAAATTGTTTCTATATTTTTTCCCCCATCTAGACATTTCCAAAGGTTAGGAAGCGTGAACTTTAGCATTTGATATCCCTAGTTGATTTTACATCTAGAAACTTTACAGCGGTCTGCATGATGAGTGGATATAATGTGATCGCATAGACATGACTGCGCCATCTGCTCACTAGTGTGACATGCATCATGTGAAAGAAAGTAATCGGGCTAATGCGCATGACTTTGTATCAAAGAATCAATCAATAGCTATGAGAACAGTGTGCATGCTCATGCACACTGTTCTCAGTGCAGTGTCATGCTGCTCTTCTGCAGTGTCATGCTGCTCTTCGTAATTCAGGCGCTATCAGGTCTGACAAGTCGTCCTGTTCCGTGACGCAAAGTGACGGGGGTGAAAATGGAAGAGCATTTATGACGAGAACATTTTATGTGTCTATATTTTTCTTGTTGATAATGCCAATGTTGGCTTTTCTTTTTTTATAAAGAGGGTGGGGTTTGTGTACACGGGCAAGAGCGGTGTTTGTCTCTGTATGCAGCCGCAGACCAGACACGAGTGATGCAGGATCAGATGTCGGGCGCAGCGTTGGCCATGCCTCCGGACCCCAAGCAGGCGTTCAAGGTATTTTCTTTCAAGCAGTGCTAGCAATCGTAACGTAGTTTCGTCCAAGAACGTGGAAGCAAAATAGTATAGAGACTCGCAGGCTGCGGTGCAAGTGGCTGCGTAATAGAGATGTAAACCTCTTCACGTCACAATGTTATGCGACATAGCACACACGAAACGCTCTTCAAGGTCCGCTGCGGGACCTTAATTATCCCATGTAAAGGAAAATTAAGAATGGTTTTTGGTTTCCAGAACGAGTGGGAGGCCCTCGAGATTTGCGAACACCAGTGGGCCATGAAGAACATTGAAGAGGAGCTCATGGGCAATGTCACCTGCACGGACAAGCCAGCAACAACACACAAGAAGTACGACTAAGTCAGAAGAGCAACATTTTTCTCTTTATATTTTATTGTTTGCGGCCCTATACACTTTTGTACATCAAGTGACATTTTCGAGCAACACTGTCATGATTGTGCCCCCGACACATGTTTATAGGCTCGTTTCATAAACTGTTTATTTGCTCATGGCTCGCAGAGGGCTTTTTTCCTTTTTTTTTTCTTGAGATTGAATAAAGGTTGCATTTGTGTGGTGACTTTGCCTGCGTTGTGTTTATTTTGTGGACGAAGTAAGAATCAAGTAAAAATAAATGGAGGAAAAAAGGTTGTCTGATGCTGCTACTCTAGTCAAAAGTCTTCTGCAAATTGAGTTAGGAAACATTTAAAAGCTCTCGTGGGGTTCTTGCTTGTCTAAAGGCTGGTTCACACTAGCAACAGTTTACAACTGAGTCAAACAAAACGGTTTCAAGGAGGTTGGAACCCCGCAAGGAGGTCTTCTAACCTCCTCGAGAGGTTTTAAGTCGCTTAGGACCGCCAATGCTGCTGCGCAGCACAGCCCTCACAGGAGTCCTAAAAAACAGTTTTGTTGAACTTGGCCAACCAGAAGACAAAAAGAATCCCCTAGCGGTGGTAGTGCGAAACAGTTTTAATAATGGTATATGTTTCTAATAAGTGTGTAAGAGTGAAATGTAGGAACCGTTAATGGTTGAAAATAGGTTGCACGTGATGTTTCGATTATGATCGTGCAGAAAGACGTAAGAAACGAATGTGCCGCTCAACTCTCTTTTGCTCGGACAGAGTGTGACTGCTCGGACAGCAGAACCCCGGCGCTCGGCACACGGATTATATTGATCGGTCCTCTAGTCGCACTCTTCCACCATTATTTTTGATGACTGTGATGAAAACATCACGTGCACCATATTTTCAGTCATTGAGAGTTACTCCGACGCACTTATTAAGTTTGTTTCTCACGATCACCGCCAGAGACTGGCTGTACCCTATGTAACGGGCGGTAGCTTGTGCCACCTAGCCTAAAAACAATAACAAAAGCCCGATTTCCCCTTCCCAGCCATTGCGTTTCTGTATCACCAGGGCATGAAGAAACCGAAACTGACGCTTTCCATAAGTTGCAGGATTATTAATTATTTACAATGATTACATTAGATGTGAATATCATAATTAAATACCATATTACAAAACTACAGAATAGTCGTATTTTTGTATGTACCCTTTGGTACCCTCCAGATGTCTGTTCAAATTAAAAACAAGCTTCCATAATCCAAGCCAATCCAAACTGAAAATGGCGATTCTGTGTCGATTTGTTCGTGCTGGGGCGCGTACAAGTTGATCGTCGACACCACTTATTGTGCCTTGTAAACTTGGAGAATTCACGGTATGACTTCACTGTCTGACTATACAAGTGCTCGCTCATTGAATGGCGACTGGAGACATTTATCAAGCAAGTGCTGATCGTAAGTATTGAGGCCCCCAGCATCATCGTGATGGTGACAACGGGCGCAAATATCGGTATGGGCTCTGCTCAGCAAAAATGCGAAAGACAATAAGGACTTTTAACGTAGCGTTACCACAGGCTGCCGTATGTAGTGCTATTGCCACTGAAAGCTTGCGCTGCCATTTCGAAGCATACTCTTCGGAGCGCGCCAGGGGCCGTACCGTACGGGGGCCGCGTTAGCCAGCGTTAACGCTCTGCTGAACACTAATATTTCTCAATACTTCAGCTTGGTCGAGTTGGTGGTTCATGCTTACGCTTCACAGCGCACAAGAACAGACACACCTCAAAAGTCCATTCGCACAAAGAAGGAACACGCACACTGCGCTGACTCTCATCTCTCGTTTGTATTGGGCTCCATCTTCTTAATTACTCTTATATATAAAGAACTAATTCGAGCTACGGCTGATGAAACTAGGTAACTTTTCCTAAATAGTCTAACTCTTTTTTTGACAAAGCTGTCGAAGGCGTGCTAACACGTAAGCTATCTAGCGTGACAATGTTCGCGGTTTCTATGATTTCTCGCGTAAGTTTGTTATTGCTCCTGCTCGGTACAGTGCAGTTGGCCAGAAGTAAAGATCACCCGTTATCTCGGCAGTGCACGCCTAAATGACCTGAGTCGGCCTTGATGGTGTTGTTATTGTGTTCCCAAAGTCGGTCGTTGAGACATAGTAGGGATGTGAAGTGAAAGATAAGTGCCAAAGGAAAGGAAGGGAACGACGTTTCGACCAAACGGTCTCTTCTTCAGGTACGCTAACAGGGGAGATGACAGATCAGAATAATAATACCGTATATACAAAAGGCATAGGTAGCACGTGACAGATGTGAGGTCGGGGAGTCAGAGAGCGAGGAGGAAAAGTCGTCAAGTAAGTTGCAAGAGGTTTGAAGGCAATAAGTTGAGGAATGCGGGTGGGGGTAAGCTTATAGCCCCCACGTGACCAACCAAATTATCAAAAAAAAAGAGGAAGAAGCGGGAGAAAGGGGAATGGTCTAATAGCCGAAAGAAAGTTTCTTGTTTAAACCGTTTTTAAGTTGAAAATTAATCTGTTTTCTTCTTTTTTTCCGTGAGGTGGGTGTATGGAAGCCTGATTTGTGGAGCAGAAGTGTTTGGATACTTCTGTGGAAAGGTCATGTTTGAGTTGGCCCACTCTTTCTAGTGTGACAAGTCTGCGGTGTTCTCTGAAGCGTTCGTGGAGTCGGCGGTCAGTTTCACCGGTATATAATAAGGTTGGACAGAGTGTGCAGGAAATGACGTATATCAGATTAGAAGATTTGCAGGTGTGATTGTCAGGGATTCTCATTAGCAGGTTGGGAGGAGGGCTGGTGTGTTTGCACGTAAGGCACTTTGGGGTACCGCACAGCGTGGTACCGGGGAGTAAAGTCTGTGGTCTTATGGAACGGTTGCTGCATACTAAAAGGGATCGTAAGTTGGGCTGTCGACGATAAGTAAGCGCGGGTGCTTTAGAAAGAACTTTGGAATCTGCGAGGTGGGAAGTGGCGTCCATGATTAGTTTGTTGAGCCTAGGTATCGAGAGATGGAATGTGAAGATGAGGGAGTTGCACAGGGGTTTAGACCTTGATTGGGGAAATAGAGCGTCGTGCCGCGAAATGTTAGGAACGTGACCGCTGGCATTGCGCAGAAGGCCGAGTGGGTAACCACGTTCAATAAAGAAGGTGGTCATCGTCTTAAGCTGATGACGGAAATCAATGTCGTCGCTGCAAATCCTACGGAGGCAGAGAAATTGCTAGGTGGCGCAAGTTACCGCCCATTACGAAGGGTATAGCCATTAACATCTATCCATCCAAGGGAATAGAGTTGATTTGGGATCTAGGATGGCTCGAGTAGTAGAGAAGGTAGCTATGGCTGTCAGTGGGTCTATAATGAACAGAGGTGTGGAACTTGCGACCGTCACTGGTTATTTTTAAGTCTAGGAAGTTGACAGAGGATTTCGATATCAATGAGGTAAACTTGAGGGAGGCGTGGGCGTTACAGAGTGCATTGGTGAAGCAGTCAACTACGAGAGGGGGGCCAAAACCAATAATATTGTCAATATAACGACCATAGAATTGTGGGGGCGGGTGTGGAAAGGACATTGTCCTGTTTGTCCGTTGTAGCGCTTTCCGCATGAAAGGGGAAAGGAATAAATCACTCCCTCTGTGCAAGGAACAAATTTAGTTTGGTGGCTCTTGGTTCAGCATGCAGGTCGAATAGAAGGCCCATTTACTTTCTTACATAACTGGAAAGTTTATGCGGGGCAGAAAAGATGACATCTATATTGACTCGATTGGTTGTTTTCTTGAGCTTGTGGGAAAAGTTGTGAAGATAAGAGCACAATAGCAGGCCTTGTGGTGCGGTCTCTTGGGCTGCGTGTCATGGCTCCTTCATGCTTGACTTCCCTGACTAGTCATTCAGCAACTCCTGTCAAAAAAGACAAAGGGTACCTCGCTGAGACCAACCGAGAGATTTGAATTTCAAAGCTCGTATGTACTATGCTTGCATGATTTCTTAAGGGAGTTTTTTTTTTTAGATCTGTAGCTTTCGGGGAATAGTCGTGCTCCCTGAGCCTGTTCTTTAAGCATCTATCGGTTCTTTCAATATAGACCTCGCCACAAGAGAGAGAGGGGGCTGTATACTGTGTTTTCACATGATGTCAATCTGCCATTTTGTTGTGTGAGTGAGTGAGAAAATGTTTCATTTATAAAAAAAAAACAAAAAAACTAAGGGCGTGATGAAACTTGCAAGTTTTGTGCATTTCTGATTTGGGGGTGTTCCGCGAATCTTCGGAATGCTCGCTTTCAGCATGTACTATCGTGGACACAGTTAGCTATAACACGGCAGCGGCGGCCGTCCCGTACCCCCAGCGCCCCATAGCAGGCGCCGTCCGAAACTCCGCGCATGCGCCGTGTGGCGGACTCGCTCTTCCCACCTGCGAGCACACCCTCGCTTTGTCGTCTGCTGGGCACAGAGCAGACGACGCCACAGCACTCGCCAATTTTTACTGAACACGGTTCAGCGAACCACCGCGTAAGAAGTGCCCACGGTTGATTCCCTGACTCCGCTGGCTAAGGATAATCTTCGCCACTAAATATAACATCACGGTAGATTAAATTCTTTTATGGGACAAACTTGCAGTTATGCTCCGTTTCACTTTAGGTTTAAGCGCAGCGGCTCTACGAGACGATAGGACCAACCAAGCAGCGATAAAAGCACTTTTTGCACCTTATTCGGTCCCCCGGTGATGCACTCCGTGACGTTGCTCCTTTGCCGCTAGTTGATTGGCTCTGTCGTTCTGTAGCGTACGCTGCGGTCGGACTTAAGGTGAAACGGAGTATAACAGTGTATTTCTGTATCACACCTGCTGCGTTCATACTGGTTTGCGAACATATATTGGTAAAAATGCATTGCGCACGCCTGTTCCTAAACCCCCCCCCCCCCCAAAAAAAAAAAAAAAAAGAAACTTTAGTAGGGGTCCTAATGACTCTGTCACCTGCCCCAATAAAAATCGCTGGTAGAAAATGAGTTTGGGACCAGTTCGCTATGGCGAGGGTACCAGACGAGCAGCACTGCGGCATCGCCTGCTCTGTGCCTAGCAGACGACAAAGTGAGGGTGTGCTCGCAGGTGGGAAGGGCGAGTCCGCCACACGGCGCTTGCGCGGAGTTTCGGACGGCGTCTGCTATGGGGCGCTGGGGGTACGGGACGGCCGCCGCTGCCGTGTTATAGCTAACAGTGTCCACGATAGTACCAGACAGCTCATAACAAAATGGTGGACGAATTACGTCAGTGAAAACACCCTGTACAGCACCCGAAGTACAAGGCACAAACGGTTTGGCATACTTTTTGTTACAACTGTTTTTTGGTAGCCCCCCTGCCTTCGAGGTGACCCTCGAACAAATTTGGCTCATTCTCTGGTGGGTGGTATCTCATAATTTTTTAATTATGAGATACCTTGTTCAGGTATGACAACAGTCCTCCTCCTGCCAACCCTTTTCTTTGATGGAGAAACCCCTTTAGCCCTTTTTTCAAGTGTACTGGCAACGTCACTTAACAGGGCCGATGGAAATCCAGTATCTCTCGGTCTACTACACTGCACCTGAAAGCTATCACCGACAGTGTGAAAGCACAACTTTTTTAGGGTCGCTTCCAGACACGAGACTGCTATGTCCCTCTTCATCACCTTATAGTGGGCGGACCTGTAGTCCTAAATAGCCTTTTTGGATCGAGGTTTGTAAGACCAGCACACATGGCTAATGTCGAAGTGCGTAGAGAGGTCTAGAAACTGTAAAACCCCTTCCTTAGGAACCTTCACAAAAATTGCCACCACATTAGACACTGACGCCACTGTACCGTCAAAGCCCTCAAGCAACACCGAAAAATCATCAACGTATCATACCACTTTTTTAACCTTGGTGGTGCCGAGAGACCTCTCAGTGTCCAGGTTGAGTGTGCCTTTTATGTTTTCCTGGTTTCTTCACTTTTCCCTAGATAATTTCCACCAGCACTCCAATCCCCTCTTTGTTGCCTGTACTCTTTTATAATCCACCCTTCCATCTTCTCCAGTGAAACCAAGGGCTACCGGTACGTTTGTCGCTTTTTCGGAAAGGGCAGGGCTAAGCTCCTTACGTTAGACATTATCAACATGCTGCCGATACATTAAAAGGTATGGTTTGCCGTAGAGGTACGCTAAAGGCAGCGAACAAGGTGTCGCACCAGTACCACTTATGGCTGCTGAAATCGTTTGTGTAGAAGCGATCCAAGAGAAACTGCTGGCCTCACTTTGGTTGGCAATGTCCACTTCCTTTTGCAGTTAATTGACACCATATTTGAGCACCCTCGGTGTTTTCCATCTTTTGATTGAACCGTGCTGCAAAAAATGCCAATAATACGACAGAGGGACTAGGAAGATGACACAATGTGCTGTCCTCCTAGTCCCAGTGTCGCTTACTGGTTGTCCTGTCATCATTGTAAGGGCATCACGTCATAGAGTTATTATAACATATGCTAGAGGTTCAACTGGCGTCTAGTGTCTATGCGACTTCTGGGGTGCAAATTGAAGCAGACAACAACTGGTCTTACTTTTGCGGTGCTCCTGTGCATTCTTATGAGAAAACACCTGCCTTTCGTCTCTTCGCCAGAAAATAACATGAATCGCTTTTGTTATTTGGGTCATACCGAAAAGTATGTACATTTATTAACATTCTAAAAGGTAATTCCTTTAGTTACAGCAATTTCAGTCATCCTTGAACAATGCTAAACTTTGCTATACTTCAGGCCCAAATTGTCCCACAGAAGGCATGTAAATAGGAGCGACGAATCCAATCAAAATGCCAGTCTAAACAAATGTAGAGTGTGGGTGATGCTTATATATTTTTAATATGCCAGTCCTGTCACTTATGTGAAAATTGCCCCATTGTGCATCATTATGAATGGTTAAAAACATTCAAAACATAAATAATAATGTATGTGGGCTATGAAAGGTGTCTTTTCACATTATTTCCTAATCTAAACAGCTTTTATCGGGCACTTGTTTTCTGGCCTCCCTATTTTCAAAGATTTCGAGCACGCGAGTGATGTTTTGAACGGAAAACAAGCATCTTCGCACATGTGCACAAGCAGAGAGAATAAAGCAAGACACACTTATTGCAAATCTGACTATATTAACTTGGCCTTCACTTTATTTTGATTGTCTGCATGCACAGGGAGCTACGGATCTAGTGTTACTGCATAGTTCTTGCTGTCTCTCTTAGCTTTCCGCATGTCCTTCTTTCACTTGGCACATTAATCTCCCATTAAAACGCCGATGCCGTGTTTGCTCTAGTGCGGAAAGCGAGTCGTCTGCTTCTTGCGCAGGGGTTGTGGTGACGTCAGAACGACGCTGAGCTCTAATTGACTTTGAATGAAAGGATAGTTGGTAGACCTCAATACTAGATGCCTTGAGGTCTGCCCACTATTTTTTTCAATCGGCCAATAATAGCTCGGCATTCTGACATCATCGCAACCCCTGTGCAAGAAGCAGACGAACTTGCGCTCCGCATAGTGCCCAACATTGCACGTAAGTACATGGATGAAGCTGTTTTAGCACTGTGTTTAATGACATGAATTCGACGGAAAAGCCCCGCAACTGACCAATATTTTAACTTACATGTTCGAGAAATTTTCCAAACTAGTTACTATATATAATTATTCGTTATATTTTCTCGATTAATCATTTGCACAGAAAAAAAACACACCCGCTTTTCTCTGCAGAAATGCACAATTGGAAGTCAATTTTCGACTGGTTGCTGTCTGCTTCAATTTGCAACAGCACACTAGTGCCAGCTGGAGCTTCAGAGTCCATTATAATAACTCTAGGACTGCCTTCCTCCCCCATTGTTGTGTGCAAATGGAGTGCTGCCATGCTTTCAGTTTCGGCTTCTCCTTTGCAGGACATGTGACTGCCACCGTTGCCAACTAAAATCCCAGAAGTGCCTTACCGGGTCAGCAAGTTATGGTGAAGCTCAAATGAGCGAAATACAGAGACCCAAAGTGCATTCTTGTAAGTAGCAATAGAAATGTTTGTTGCAACCTGCTACTCTGCTCCCGACCCCGCGACTGAAGGCGCTCAAGACTTGCCGGCTCAGCCATGCATGTCCGAGGACAGTCCGTGTGCCGTGGGAAGGGAACGAGAGATTGAGAGAGACCCTTTATTGGAGGGAGTGAACGTAGAGACCATCATCGGCAGTGCGCCTCAGTGGCCAGCGGAGTGGCCATCCAATGAACCCGGTCTACCAGTGACCCTGCAGAAACCTCCCAGTGACTCCATAGTGACACCTGAAAGAATGCCGAGTCACTCCGAGGCGAGCCCGTCTTCGGTCTCCGCCGTAGTTCCGGCCAATGGTGCGACCAGATTGACCTTTCTGAAGTGCGTCGACAGTTCCGGCAGGGTGCTACTTCTCCCGACGGCTAGTCCGTCCAACGGCACCAGATTTCTTGCTACCAGCATGGCGTCATGGGCGACGAAGAACGACGCGAACACGTCAACTTCCTGCACGGTCTCCACCGGTCGGCAACTGTCACCTGCACCAGCCTCCTCCGTGGCAACAACTACTGTGCATCCTGCCGTAACTCAGGCGGTGGTACCTACAACGGGTCTCACGGTGGCACATGCAGCGATGCCTATGGCTGCGGTCGGCTCAGCTCCAGTTGGCTCGGCTCCAGTCGGTCACCGTCGGCTCACCGTCGGCTCAAAAACCTACGCTGCTGTTGTCCTCCGCACTTCGAATGGCTCGGATGACCGGATACTGCTCATTCCTTCGAGCTCTCCGAAGCCAAAGGGGCCGGTGGTGGCGTCTGGTTCCAGCTTGACCTCAGACGGTAGCCTGCAAAATGTGTCGGAGGGGACACCAGGAAAGTCACCGCTGGCGACACCACAGTCCGTAGTCAGCGATGAGGGGCAACGCAAGCACCTCTGGGATCCGCCGGACTTTATGCTGGAAACAAAGGCGCTACAAGAGAGGCTGAGCTCGATATGGTAAGGGCGTCGGTATGTCGGCGTTGGCAATGCAGTGGTCACACATTTGTTAGAAACTCTTTTTCCCGACCATCATCAATTCTAGTTTTGGCTGTTGAGCTGTCTGGCTGCGGGCAAGCTTAGAGTTGCATGACCATGACTCAGTAATAGCCAAGACGGCTTTTAATGCTATTCCATCAGTCAAGCTTAAAATGAAATGCAGCAAGCATAAAGGCAGATGAGGAGGCATTGATAGGCTACCTGAACATAGTCGTAATCTGGTTGTCGGTCTTTAAGCTGTCGGTTCAGCGTCGGAGCTTTGACGGACTGTTCTTGAACCCAGGCAGTTTGTGATGTAGAGAATAGTCTCACATTCCCCAAGCTCCTTTCTTCGCGGTTGTTTCTTCCTTGACGGAGTAAGCTGTACGACCTCCGCGAGACGTTGGGGCGACGGCTTTGCATGGGAGCCCTGCACAGACCTTGCTTGCTTGTATTGGTTGCATTGTAGCAAGCCACTTGAGAGAGCGTCAGCAACGGAGCTAAGTTGTCGGTTTGACGTCATAGCCCCTGCCAAAGGCAGCGGAACGTCTCGCGACGTGGTGACGTACCTAATATTTAACATCGCAATGTCTCGGCACGATTCACGTGACGTCGTGATACCCATGATGTCGCGACGTAGTGGTTGACATCACAATGTCGCGTTGTGTTTCACATGAGGTCACGTCGATCATGATATCATGTGAAAAAGGTGTGACATTGTGATGTCAACCACTACGTCACTGCGTTATGTGAATCACGACGTGACACTGTGATGTCAACCATTACATCCTTACGGCAGGGGTTACGATGTCAAACCAACAACTCATATCCCATCACGTCATGATCCACATGACGGTATGGTTTTACTAAACATCAGGTTGTAGCAGGACGTTATGGTGTCGCGTAATGCCAAGGTGCCACATGACGCTATATTCTCACGCGGCGTTACAGGATCACGACGTCATGGTTTGCACGACGTCGTAGTGTTACGTGATGCGGCGTCCCAATTCTCCACTAAACCTAGCGAGGAAATGTCCACTAAGTTTCGATAACAGGTACTGCTCATTAGAAACCCCCATCAAGTGCTATCGCTTCTTTGTTGTATCTAACAGTCTCTAAGCCAGACATCCTTTTTTTTGTTTACCAGGTTAAGAGACTTCCAAGAGCTGGACCAGGCGATTGTTGCAGTCGCATCACTCTTCCCCCTCGTCTGCAGCCACCGAGTCCGGAGTAGGTCCCGTATTGAACATTCCTGATGAGAGCGAAGCCAAGGCTGCGAGCGCATGCTCGTGCCTCGGCCTTTGCCCTACTTAAAGTCGCTGGGCGCTGGGAAAGTAGCACCACTGCCTTCCTTGCCTGCCAACCGGGCACAAACAGATACTAACACACAGAGGAGTCAAATCCCCCATGGCGATTACCTCATTTGTCTCTGTTGCCATGGCAGTCACCATTTGGGCCTCTTCAAATCTGTGAAGCTTCGAAAAGGTTGTTCTGAACCAGTCACACCAGGATCTCTCTGAAGCGTCATCGTGCTGAAAGCGTTCATTGCCAATATAATCGTCCTTGGCACTGTAAATGCAATCGGCTCATCAGACGTGCTGATATCCACGCATCTTTTGCAGTGATAGTATTCTCCTTGCATACTTCGAGACAGGGAGATTATATTTCACTGCCGTCTAGCGCCGACGCCGCATGTGGTGGCGGTGCAAAGAGGTGCGCTTGTTTCGCCGGTGTGTGGATAGCAAAATCTGGGCAATCGAAAAATATCTTCATAAAGGAACCCGTCGCCGGGAATTTGGATTGGCTCACCAAGAATGGAGAGGTCAGGGGAACTGCTCATTCCATGGACCAAAATGGCAACCGTACGGGGAGCTTGGCACTACTTTCCCAGGACTTTAGCCCCACTGGCCTGATACAAAAGCTGGCAGTTGCCAGCCAGCCAAATCTTGGATCCCTCGTGAGGTGGCGTGTCGTTGCCGTTGGTGGAGGTGATGGGGGCTCACTTTGTTTTGTCTTTAAAGCATGGAACGCTTTACGGCTAGGGTGACCGGACGTCTCGTTTTGGCCGGGGCAGTCCTGCTTTGAAGGTGTATTTCTGCCGTCTCGTCGCTTTGTCTCAATGAGGCCTCGTGTCCCATAGTAGTGGGAACGTGCGTGCATAGTTGTGAAATGAGTGCTAAGCGAGTGGAAGAAATCTAAAAGAATACGTAATGCATTTTATAAAAATAAACATACTATAAAAATGTTACCTTCCATAGAGTAAATTTAGAGCTCTTTCTGTGGTTGCATCTATCAATATGTTCTGTTTGCACAGATGTTGATGCATTGGCTTTGTTTAAAAAGAAAGAAGCAAGGTGCATGCAAACTCAACTAAACGAAGAACTTCTAAAAAATGGGCATTTGTACAGTGAACTCAGTAGAAGCAGAGCTTGCTTTTTCTTTCAATCCCGCTCCTTCCCCTCCCATGTCCTGTTTTTAATGCCGGAAAATATTGTCAGCCTATTTTAGCAGAAATTACTCCTAGAAATATGTCCATCGTCCGCCTGCCTGTTCATGCATACCCCATGGCATGGCATATTGGCACCACTGGTTTGGTCATCTATTTATTTATTTATTTATTTATTTATTTAGATACCTTAAGGACCCCCTTGGGGGTATTACATAAGGGGTGGGTACAGAGCGTAAAACAAAAGGGTAGAAAACACGCCAAAAACAACTCGCGTACAAAGAGCAAAAACACACAAATGTGAAAGGCAAACTGTACACATATAGATGGTTCGTACAAACCTAAAGTGGGGAGTCTAGCAAGCGTTTCTTAAATTCTATCGGGTCATGAGTGATGATGACGTTCTCGGGAAGATCGTTCCAATCAATGGCAGTGCGTGAAAAAAATGAATTCTGGAAGGTGACGGTTCTTGCTTTGGGGCGTCTTACGGCGAGGTTATGTCCCGTACGACGAAGCCGGTATTCTGAAGATATGATGTATGATGACCGGAGGCACTGACTGTAGTAAAATTTGTGAAAAAGAGATAGCCTAGCAAGTTTACGACGGACAGAAAGGACAGGGAGGTTTGCACGGATTTTAAGATTAGTTACGCTAGAAAAGGAAGAATAATCTGAGTAGATAAAACGTACTGCACGATTCTGGAGTGATTCGAGGTTATTGATGAGATAGGCCTGATGCGGGTCCCAGATGGCAGATGCGTACTCCAATTTAGGACGGACAAGGGATGAGTAGGCAAGCAGCTTTAGGTGAGGAGGGGCTAGCTTAAGGTTACGTTTTAAGAAGCCTAGTGAGCGATTAGCAGTGGAGATAACGTGACTGATATGAGTAGCCCAGGAAAGATCAGATGAGAGGTGGACTCCGAGATACTTATAGGAAAGGCTTTTCTGCAGAGGTACGTTATTAAGTGAGTAGGAAAACACGGAGGGGCTTACACGACGTGTAAATGACACGAGCTGGCATTTCTGGACGTTAAGAGACATCTGCCATTCTTCGCACCACGCTTGAATTCGTATGAGGTCATCTTGAATGAGTTGGTGGTCCGAAGGGTTAGTTACTTGGTGGTAGATGACGCAATCGTCGGCGAAGAGGCGAATATGCGACGTGATTGATACGGGTAGGTCGTTAATGTATATTAGAAATAGGAGTGGTCCAAGGACCGATCCCTGAGGAACGCCTGAGGTGACTTCGGCAATAGAGGATGATGACTGGTTAACGGTAACGAATTGATGTCTATGCGTAAGAAAGCTAATGATCCAGTTCAAAATCGCGGGGTCTAAGTTAAGTTGATTAAGCTTGTATATGAGACGTCTGTGAGGGACCTTATCAAAAGCTTTAGCAAAGTCTAGAAAGATGGCGTCAGTTTGAATGTTAGAGTCGAGGTTAACATGCAGGTCATGGACGAAAGACGCGAGTTGAGTTTCACAGGAGAAGTTTTTTCGGAAGCCGTGTTGGGCGGAATGGATATAGTTGTTTTCTAACAAGTGATGAATGATTTTGGAGTAGATGATATGTTCCATTATTTTACACGACACGCTTGTTAGGGAGATGGGACGGTAGTTAGAAGGGGAGCACTTGTTTCCGTTTTTGTAGATTGGGACGATCTTCCCAACTTTCCAGTCGTATGGCAAGGAACCAGTAGAAAGTGACTGTGCAAAAAGCTTTGCCAATATTACGCTAGATATATCTTTAGTATTTTTCAACACTTTTACATTTATTTCGTCGATACCGGCTGATGAAGAAATCTTAAGGGTGTCGATGATTTTCACAATGCCAGCCGGTTCAAACGTGATCCCATCCATGGATGTAGGAAAGGCAGGAGGAACCATAGAAAACATATCATTGCACTCTTGTGTGAACACTGAACAAAAAACATCATTGAATTTTTCTGCACATTCGTCATCAGGAACCAAAGAGTCATCGTCGTTTTTAAGATTGATTACTATTTCAGGTTTAGGATTAACGACATTCCAAAACTTTTTTGGGTTGCTCTGCAGCATGCATGGGAGATCAACATTAAAAAACGCTCGTTTTTGTGTTCTGATTGCGCTTCTGAATTGTCTGTCGGAACTATAGAACTTATCCCAGTCCGAGCTGCGCTCCGTGGTTTTGGCTTTACGAAAGAGTCTCTTTTTTTTCGTGCTTAAACGTTTCAGGGTAACATTAAACCATGGAGCAGAAGCGCTTTCGAAAAATGTCACAGTTGGGATAAAGCTTTCAGCTAGTTGTTGCATTTTAGATTTGTACATAGTCCAATTTTCACAGACGGACCGATTGTCAAAGTCTATTAAAAGGACATCTAAGAATTTCCCTAGCTCAGTATTCATTCCTTGATAATTCCCTTTCTCGTATAGTTTTACGGTTTTCTTCCGCTTCGATTTTGACTGAATATTTAAAGAAAATGTGCAGTAAATCACTTTATGGTCACTTATTTCGTGTAGGTAGTTTATCGACTTTAGAGAGTCAGGATCAGAAACAAGGATGAGGTCAAGGATGTTCGAAGAGTGGGTGGTTGATCGTGTGGGTTTAGTTACAAGCTGCGAGAGATCGAAATTGAAGCAAAGGTTAACGAAACCAGTCGCTTCACTCGTATCAAGAGGGACCGAAACGGATAAGGCGGGCCAATCAATAGAGGGGTAATTAAAGTCACCGAAAAGCAGAATACTGGATTTGGGATATTTAAGGTACAATTCATTGAAAGCGTCATTGAGGTTAATTAGAAAAGATGGATCGCTGTGAGGGGGTCGGTAACATACACCGATAAGGAGCGAAGCGTGTTGAACCGTGCAAGAAAGCCATAGCATTTCCAACGGTGAAGACAAGCTTACTAGGTTGCACACAAAACTATCTTTTATCGCAATCAAGACCCCCCCTCCCCGGCCACTTTCCCTATCTTTGCGGAATATATTGAACCCAGAAGTGCCCGTAAAAATTTCTGTATCAGTTACCGATGATGACAGCCATGTTTCAGTAAGCGCAATAATGTCACAATCGGTAGATGCAATTAGGCTACATATCTCGTCTTGTTTAGATATCACGCTTCTTATATTTGTGTAAATAAAGGACAGTGGCTTTGGGGGAGTGGGTTCATGACCGCGGCGAAAAGATCGGGTTAGTTAAGAAGGACACTCTTTTACGGTGTTTGACGCGTCATCAAAATAGTATCGTTTTTGTCCAATGAGGAGCGTTTTGAAACGTAGGGAAAAGGGCATAGCTTGGTTACGCGCGAAAGTTAACAAATTCCTTCTAGCAAGCTGAACCGAAGGAGAGAAATCTTCACTTACAGCGAAGCTAGTGTCCTTGAACTTTTTACCCTGAGAAAAAATTCGTTCTTTGGTTTTATGAAGAGCAAATTTTACAATTATCGGGCGGTTCTGATTGGGACGATATCGACCTAGTCGGTGGGCACGCTCGATGCCGTCTGGCATGATGTTGATATCAAGATGTTGAGAACAAAGGTTTATTATTTTCTGTTCCGACTGTGCCCACGTTTCCCTATCAGAGTCAGGGAGGCCAAAAAAAAGAAGATTCGAGCGCCGCGATCTATTTTCCGAGTCATCTACGCGTTCAGCCAGAGTCGCTAAACTGTCATCGTTAACTGTCTAGTTGTGATGCAATGCAATGTCACGGCAACAATACTGCAACATGACATCACGATTCGACACTGTCGCGTGATGTCGTGGTATTGCGTGACACCGCGACTTGACACTGTTAAGTCATGCGACCGGCTCACATGATGTTAGTTGACACAATGTCGCAATGTTGCAACGTCATGGCTTGACACAGTAATGTATATAGTATCACGCAGTGTCACGAGTTGACACCAACATCATGTCACATGGCCATCTCACATGACGTCAAGTCATGTGGCATCAGGGCTTCACCCGACACCACGACTCGTCACCATGACATCACATAACGATTTACAAATTTGAACGATTTCTCCTTAAATACTCTATGCATTTCACGATGAAGGTCGCTGCCAATTCTTTCTGTTTGGCTACTGCCAAAGCTGTGCGGCTGCATCGCACCGCGTCTTACCTTCTCTGTCTCTTCCAGGATTGGCATGTTTTCCATTTGCTGCCGTGGACAGCGACACCTACCTGAAGTGGCCGACGCCCAAGCAGAGGGCCTCCGAGGTACACCTGGCTTCTCTTGGCTCGGGACTTCGACGTCCATCCTATTTGTATCCAAGTTTAAAGCCAGTGTTCTCGAGCATAGGCAATGTGTTGGAAGGTTAACCAGGAGGTCGGTAGCATTTTAAAGTAACAAACAAGAAAAGAAAAAAAGCCGTAAAATTTATCGGAAGAGAATTTTTGGGCATAAAAACCTTTTTTCTTTTTGTGTAACTTGCTTGCTCGCTTCTGCTGAGGCTAATTGAAAAAAGGTCTCACACACGCTGTGAATCACTTACAGCATTTCTTAGTGACTCAGTCTTGGCTCCATCTGCGAACCTTAAGCATCCACGAAAGACTGGCAGTGCCGATAGTCTGTCCAGACTCGATATGCAGGTCTCACGACTGATGACTTCATTGGGGAGTCATCAGCAGAGATCTGAATACTTGTATAGTGAATACTGTAAAACCCTTAATGTTAGCAAGCCCCTAATTTTCGTGAATTTCGGGACCTTTAATATTCGCAAACTTTAAGGGGGCGCAAATATTTCTATTGTTTTGAGAGGCAAATTTCAGCCTTTACTATTTGTGAAACTTAATGGCCGTAAATATGACCCCCTGCCTGATTCGCAAAAAATCGAGGCCGTAGAGAAAAAGAGTTTTGCAGTTTTTTTTTGTTTTGTTTTTTTGCAAAGAGTGACATTATTAATATGAACATACTCTGCCATACATCAAAAAGCCCCATTCTAGTCAATTCTATCAAAATGTGAAGCAAGTAAATGCTCCGTTGCTTGTAGCATTCTTTTAGTGACTACGCGAGGTCTGCATTACTTGTGAGGCATAACGGTTAAGCTCGGTATGCCTATTTTCGGATGTGCGAGCAGCTACGAACTTGCTTCCACTCATTCTCCATTGTTTGCAGTGGCTGCGGGCGTCTGATGTGAGGAGGGTTCTGAGGAAAAAGATGGGCGAGCAGCGGCCGGTGAGCTGGGCTTGGTCCAAGGAAATGATAACGAGGAAGAAGATCATGCTGCTCTGTCGTAGTCGGGGGCTCGTGCCATCGGCTTCCGGTAATCCACTTCATATGCCGAAACACCGGGCCTTGCAAGAGTCATTGTGAAGGCAATCGTTGGTGTGCCGATTTAACGGACGATTCCTTTCAGTTTAGAACAATTTTGATCATTTTCATAGTTTGGCCGTTACGACTTCACCTTCTTAATTTAATTTGCTCTCTCCTCGCGTACGCTCTGTCGTTCGGTCAGGATTGCATTTAGGAAATACTCCCGCAACATTTCCCCGACGATGAAAAGTGTCGGGAAACGTCTTGCTTAGCGGCGGGCGTTTGGCTTGTACTTTGAGAAAACTGACATCTGAAATCCTTAGTATACGTACTACAAAAACAGTGTTCAAAACGGGAGCAGAATCCTTCAATGCGCCCCTGGTCACGAAACTTCTCCGTGTCGCTGTGGGAGAGCTTGGTACTTGACCATGCGTGGCGCTGTCGTCGACAAGGGGGCCAGGAGCCTCCAATCTAGCCTGCAGTGCTGGGAGTCTGGCAACCCAAAAGTGTGTTGGAATTTTGAACCATTTGAATCAGCCACCTATGAATCCAGATAATATGTCATTGCCCGAACAGCGTTTCTCTTTACGGTGAGCGTCTTTGGCTCTGTACACTTAATCAACTAGCTGTCAACCTTATATACTGTAAACGACTTAATTTTTGTGAGAACCAAATTTTCGTGCATTTCGCGAATCGCCTACAAACCTGAAAAATAGATTTTGCAAACAATTCCTGTAAAATGTAAACGCATTGGAATCTATATTGAGATCCCACCACATCGCAAAAATTAGTACCCGCAAATTATTCCAAAACTTCAGCTTTGACCTGAATTGCGAAATATTAAGCCTGTGAAAAACAAGTTGTTTACTGTATCTGCAACAATCTCCAAAATAATATCATTTTTATTTTTTAAATTTTTTTCTCGAAATGATTTTTCAATACCCTACTCACCGTCATAATTCAGCGCTGCGACTAGTGCCATCTCGTAGAGGCACTGCAAACCAGTACACTCAATTGCCTAGCTCTTTTTCGCTTGTAAAAGCATTGTTTTCTTTGAAAACAACTGTAAACTGGTTATTTGTGAGTTGTTGGTAGAGATCAATAAAGAATGACTGGGGTGCATGGATACATTATGTAATCATATACAAGCATACCAAAGTTTGTGTAGGAGAAATTGTTTCTGAAAACTACTTGTAATTACAAATTTTGGGTGGCTTACTGACAGTGGGGCAGCCAAAGGAAAAGGCCACCCTCCAAGACAAACGCACCCCTAGTGGCAGCTATCGACCCTGCACCAAACTTTGGCTGAAGTTTCGTGACCGGTAGGGTATTGAAGGACTCGGATGGAAGCTTGGGCTTGTTGGTAAGGCATGATGACTAAAACATACAGCGCACATGACAGGACGGAAGAGAAAGGACACACAATCGCTGAACTTGCAGCTGAAGTTTAATCATCAAGGCACAACCTTATGTCCGACAACCAACCCAGAAAAAACACCCCCCCATTGACTTACCAGTAGATTCCAGCACCCTTACCACGGCCGTTGTCGTCGTACAAGAGATCGTAAGTCTTTACCAGATAGCAAAACAGGTGGGCCGCTTACACAGGCACTTGCCTTGTGTAACAGGCCTTGTAAGAGTTGTTGCCAGACCTTGCAAGAGTTGTTGCAGGCACTTCATTAAAGAAAATTAAAGTAGAATGCGGTGTAAATATGGTAGACATTCCCAAAGAAAGAAAAAAATTTTGTTGTTCCATATTTACATAGAATTTCTTATGGCTTGAAGAAAATATGATAGAGGGTAGGTTGTTCTGTTGCCTTCTCTGCCCCTAACAAGTTGTCTAAGCTTTGTAGTAACGTCAATCATACAGCTGGGGGTTTTCTGGGATGTGCTAAGAAGCATCAATATCAGTTTGTTGAATGCACAGGAAAAGTTGTATATATTCCATCCTGCTTTCCCATAGTAAACAGTAATACAGTACAGGGTAAACTGGCAGATGTTTGAACATTAGGTTAAGGGAACACTTGCAATGTAAACATGGTGGTATCGGGACACTTGAGGATTCACTGTCGTGATTGTGGGAGTGCTGCTGATTTTGGAAAATGCATTGGAAGAAGCAGCAATGCCCTGACCAGTGAAATCGTTGAAGCAGAGATGACTGCGCACCTAAAGGAAGACTATGTAAGCACCCCATCTGCTTTGTTATTCGGTAAAGAGTTACAATTTCTTGCACGACGACCTCAATGAGGGTGCTTGAATCTACTGGTGTGTCATTGGGTATGTGTTTTTTTTTGGTTGGTCGTTGAATATAAGGCTTCACCTTGACGATTAAACTTTAGTTGTAAGTTCAGCGATTGTGTGCGCTCTTTTCTCTGTTCTGTCTTTGTGTGCTGTATATTTCAATCATAGAAACACCACTGCAGGGTTTGTGCGCCAATTCAATGGCCGTATGCACCGAGAAAAAGAGCACATAGTTGAGTAAAAATGTGCGCCAACTGCCTGCTTGGCCACTAAACATTCAGCTTTACAGCAAAAAGGTTGCACTTTACTTACGCACTTGTGGAGTGCTTGGTCACATGGCATGAAACTGTGTGCTGATTGATTTAGCCGGCACATGACTTGTGCCCCGTTCGTCTTTGGGTTTTATAGTGCTACATGTCTTAGATCTGTCCCCTCTTTTGATTGTCTTAAAAAGCAACTCCACTTCATATTTGTTTTTGAAAAATACAATGCAGTCGTCTTCAGCACCACCTAGGAAGGCCACACTTTAAATATTACGACCTAGTTGTGTCTAAATCTTTTTAAATGATCCGGCAAACTTTTTAACGCGCCAAGTTGCCGAAATCGGTCGACTCTAGCGGGCGAATCGAGGCGCAACCAACAGCGCAGTCAAGGCTGCAGTGGTGATGTAGCCAACATCGAGCTAAACGTCGTCAACATTGCTATTTTTTGTTTGTTTTTACTTCTCCGGGCAAGCATAACAGGTGATGTCAGCAGCATCTCCTTTCAGCACTCAGTGTTGTCCACATTATTGGTGTAACATACCTATGCAGCCCGCTTCTCAGCCTCAAGAGCCGTTCAGCCGTCATCGCCGTCTCCTGCGTCACAATGGCCGTCGTCATCTCGTCATTTCTGATTATTGTCTCTAGGAGTTTCGTTCACGCTGCATCCACAGACTGGTGCCGCAGTTGTGCATACGTCGGATGTTGTAGACACCACAACGAGGTGAAGACTGCGATGCAAACATGCTCCTTGTACACGCCCGCCCCAATCCCGCCCGTCGTCGCGTAGAGGATCACGTGACACATGACCGCTCATACCATATGGTAGCCATGTTTTTGGTGGCCCAGGGCCAATGTCGGCCGACGGAGTTGTAGTTTCGGTTTCTGTGCATGTTTAGAGCAAGATATCTCAAACTATAGCCTATTTTTGTTGAGAGCAAATGATGTAGTGCTTTTTTTTGTGCTTTTTAATATGAAATCATTCATAATCCCAAAATTTCCTGAACTGGATGGAGTTGCCCTTTAACTTGCATGGTAGTTTATAACAAAGGCAGCAATTTCTCTTTTTTCAGCTGCTGACCACCTGCAAGCAAAAGGAGATGTGATTTCGGCACGGCCTATTCCAACGGGCAAGCAGCCGCTAGAGCACCAGCAGTCCTCGACGACCTTTCCCAACAAGAACAAACTTACTCCAGACGCTTCAAGCGGCCCCTCGGGTGACCCCGACGTTTCCTCCGAATCCTCAAGATCCAGGCAACGCCCTTCCACCGCGGAACTCCACGAGTGTGAGTACTGCTTAGCCGTGTTTCCAAAACGCAACAGCCTGGAGCGCCACGTGGCCATCCACACCGGCGACACGCCCTACGAGTGCCGCTTTTGCCCCATGTCCTTCGCAAACAAGGACGACCTCACGAAGCACGCCCCGTCACACGCGGGCGAACATTCGTTCAATTGTAGCGTCTGCGCGAAGAGCTTCCACACGAGGGCACAGCTGGTCACCCACAGGCTCTCCCACACCCCCAAAGGGCCACACGGATGTCCAAAGTGCTCCGCTTCGTTCTACCTCAAGTCATCCTTTGACGCTCACCTGAAGTACCACGTGCCCCACCAGTGCAGCCTTTGCTCCGCGTCGTTTTCTGGCGAGGACGAACTGGCGAGGCACGCCCGGTCACACGTGGGTGAGCCTTTGTTCAAGCGCGGTGCCTACGCGGCAGGGTTTCACACGGGGGCGCTGCGCAGCGTCCCTAAGATCGCCCACACCTTCAAAACGATGCACAAGTGTCCGCGGTGTCCGCGCACCTTCTCCCTCAGGTCATCTCTGGACGCGCACTTGGAGTGCCACTCGCTCCACAAGTGCCGTTTCTGTCCAGTGTTCTTTGCCGATGAGGCCAGCCTGGCGAGGCACGTGTGCAGCCGGAAGAGACACGTCCTCTGGCGGTCGCACGTCAAGAAACATCCGTTTGTGTGTAACACCTGCGCGGCGCGCTTCCGTACGATGACGGAGCTGGTCGTCCACGGGCTGACCCACGCTTCCAAAAAGCGGCACAGGTGTCCGCAGTGCACCTCCTCCTTCTACCTCAGGTCGTCTCTAGACACACACCTGAGATGCCACACGTTCGAGAGGTCGTTTGCCACCTTGTAGTGAACTCGCGTGGCTCGGGCATCGTCGCCGGGGCGTCGCTTGGGCACATTCGCCGGCTAATCGGTGTCACGTGGCTGGGGCGCCTTTGCCGGCTGATTGGTGCTGCGTGGATCAGGCACCTTCACCGGCCAATCGGTGCCGTGCGACTCGGGCGTCTTCGCCGGTCCATCGGTGCCGTGTGGCTCGGGTACATTCACCGGCAGATCGTTGTCGCGTGGCTCAGGCACCTTCGCCGGCCAATCGGTGTCACGTGGCTCAGACATCTTCGCCGGCCGATTGGTGTCACGTGGCTCATGCACCTTCGCCAGCTGATCGGTGTCGCGTAGCTCAGGCATCTTCGCCGGCCGATTTTGTGCCGCGTGGCTCATGCACCTTCGCCAGCTGATCGGTGTCACGTGGCTCAGGCATCTTCGCTGGCCGATTGGTGCCGCGTGGCTCATGCACCTTCGCCAGCTGATCGGTGTCATGTGGCTCAGGCACCTTCGCCAGCCGATTGGTGTCGCGTGGCTCAGGCACCTTCGCCGGCCAATCGGTGTCACGTGACTGGCATTTTTGCCGGCCAATCGGTGCCGTGTGGCCCAAGCACCTTTGCCAGCCGATCGGTGTCGCGTGGCTCAGGGACCTTTACTGGCCGATCGGTGTCACGTGGCTCAGGCACCTTTGCCGGTTGATGGGTGTCGCATTTCTCTGTGATCGGCAGGCTCGCAACGGCATCCGAGAGTCTGCATAATTCCGCCGAGGAAGGCCGCCGCCTGTGCGAGGTGGCCCGTTTGCCCCAGGAGGAGAATTTGGGGGGTGTGCGCACAACCCTCGCATGTGCCTACAGTCTCCATGCTCCCTCATTGACATCTGGCATCTGAAGTTGCACACTAAGATGCACCAGTGAAAATGTATGTTAAGATGCTTCTGTGAGGATGCATATTAATATGCACCTGTGAGTATGCACATTAAGGTGTATCTTTCAGAATGTACCTCTGAGGACCTGTTAAAATGATCAAAGCAGATGCACCTGTGCAGTCTGAAGGACCTTAATGCAGACGTATGCTGAAGTGATTTTGCGCGGATGCACATTAAAAAGAAACATCATGCAGTAAAATAGATAGGTGGCTTAGTTGGTACATGTTTAACTTGTAAAGTGCCTAAAAAACGAGGGCACAAGGATAAAGAGACAGGACCAGTTGGCTTAGTTGGTACATGTTTAACTTGTAAAGTGCCTAAAAAACGAGGGCACAAGGATGAAGAGACAGGACCAGTCAGGAGCTTGAATCTGTGTACAAATAGTAATTGTTCAATAAACATTCAGTTGTAAGTTAGCACTTGGTTTTGTCTCTTCTTCCTCGTATCCTCATTTTTTAGGCGCTTTGCAAGTTAAACATAATGCTCCTGCGAGCATATGTGTTAAAAGACACCTGCAAAGGATTGAAACATTTTTTTATACATCTTGGTTGGGAAAAGGAAGTCATAAAACGAATTTACAACGAAAAAGAAAAATTTTTAGAGCTATATTTACGACACAATACGAATTTGCAGTCTGCGCCTGCGGGCGCCGCGGAAAAGTGGCCGCAATTTGTCACGTGACTGGCCGCTATTTGTCACATGGTGCTTGTGCTCTTTCGGAAGCTTCCTATGGTCTCTAAAAGTTACTTATTCATCTTTGTTTTATTATAACAAAAAAATCTAAGATTAATAAGTAACTTTCAGAGCCCAAAGGAAATTCCTCAAAAAGCGCAAGTAGACGTGATAGACCTGTGCGCCGGTCAAATGGTGGCGGTGGCGACATGGTGAAACACGTTGAACTGGCGGCGCACACACGCTCGGCGTGCGGCGGCGGCGTGACTTTGAGGCAGTAGCAGCGCTGCACGACAGCGCGCTGGTCAACCACGTGACCCACGGCAGCTCCCGCAGGCGCCAACTACAAATTCGTTTTGTGCTGTAAATATAGCTCTAAAAATTTTTTTTCTTCATTGTAAATTTGTTTTTAACATTCTTTTTCCATCTCAACTGTTTAAAAAAATGTTTGTTCCCCTTTTGCATGAACCCTTTAAGATACATATTACATTAAAGTGCAACTTCATGGATGCATGTTAAAGGAACACTGACACCCCCCAAAAATATTTTTTCATATTTGCCAGGCAATTAATAATAGTGTCAGAAGACCACCCAATTGGCGTATTTACTCGCATAATGAACACACTTTTTTCTCCGAAAAATTAACATATATTTGGGGGGGGGGGGGGGGGGAAGCGGGGAGCGGGAGGGGGGGGCGTTTATTACGCAGGTTAAATTTTGCATTTGCACATTTTGTGCAAATGTCATGTTAGGTGCCAATAGGACACGACAAGGTACTGTGGCACGTCTCCAGTGATGGAGGCGCACCCACAGCTGGTCAGGGGCGCGCCACAGTAACCATGCTTTATAAATTGTAAATCTTTTTTGTGCGCTTTCGGCATGCCTTTTGCCGAAGGAAAAGCGCCCTACGAAGCTCACTCAGCACAAAATGCAACGCTACCATTCTTAGGCCCGCTTCAGACAAGGCAACTTTTCCAGCAATTTCGGGATTGCTGGCAGGTTGTTCTCTAGCTTTCCCTAGATCAACACGAACTGCTGAGATCGGGTCCGTCTCGAAACGGACAAGCAACTCGGACAACCAATCAGGAATGCAATATTTTCACAAGACATCTCTGTGGTGGTGATGACAACTAAAGACTTGGTTCTGGTTTTAAATGGATTGTTTTTGGAAATAAACTGTTTCAGAAAGATGAGTTAGTATTCTCAATGCAATTTAAAGATATAGAAACATGTTTTTAGCATGTAACTGTGCATCTAAATAGTGCAAGAAAAAAAAAATTTCAAGATGATGATGGCAAGTCATAGCAATTCGGTATCTGTGTGTGAACGTGGGCGTCTTGTGTTGCTGGTATTGCGACGTCAAGTTGCTGGGCGAAATTGCCACGTCTGAAGTGGGCCTTAGGCGATATATATTGCTAGTATCCGGCGGCACACTCAGGTTTATCTGCGACCACGCGTATAAAAACTCTTATCCAACCGTTGACCGCTGAGGCCCGCTCGCACGAATCAATTTCGTTCACGGAGACGTCTGTTACCAGGGGCTACCAGACACTCTCAACCTACGACGCTGCGTGCACCTCACTGTGCCGTTCTGTTACGGATTAAATAAACGCATTTACCCGGAGTATGTGAAATTAGGCCTAACCCCTTTCACGATTTCACTGCCCAAAAGAGGACCACAGACGACGGCGTGTTTATTGACATCAATGCTTCCGATAGGCGAAGAATGTCTGGGGCTGGCCAATTCCTTGACCCCAGCTTCGTCAAGTGTGCACGCCGCTCGGTTTCACAGTTGATGACTTCCGCAACTACCCATTTGCAGCCACTACAAGAGTGGCTTGGCTTGGCTTGACTTGGCCTGATCGCTTGGCGGCAAAAGAAAATTTGCTTGCTGGCTAGCTAAATTGGACGCAATTCGAGACTCGCGGAGCCGAGAATTGGAGCTGCATAAATTACGCGATGGGAAAAAGTCCAAATATTGGTACCTGTTGTGGGGGGTGCGTTCATTATGTGAGTAAATACGGTAATATTTTGCTACATGCGTCACATATATTTTCAATAAAGTAAAAAAAATGTAACTGCTTGAAACTGCAACTGAAACTGGACTGGGGAGGAAGAAATATAGAGGTGGAGAAAGTTATCGGAAGTCACATAGCTGTGCAACTTTTTTTTTTAATCAACGTATTTGCAGCTTTTTAGAAGCCACAAACGATGGATATCATAATTCTTTTCCTATTTTTATTATTGACTGTATGCCTTTTATGACCCACGACTTTGAATATATTTGGTGGTTGTGTCTAAACCATAGAAAATGCCACATGACCACGTGGGAGAGAGAGAGAGCGCAACTCAAATCGGCCAGTTCTCGACCGGCGGTTTTCGGGCAGAAAGAAAACAAATTTCAAGTTGCAAATTGTGTTCTGGGTTGTTGGGCTCTCATATGTCATGTATAAATAGAAACCTTGGGAAGCATAAATGTCCTGTCAGTGTCCCTTTAAGATGCATCATGCACCCGTGAGGATGCATCCTAGGATGCACTTGTGAGGATGCTCATTAAGATGCACCTGTCAAGATGTGCATTAAGATGCACCTGTGACTATGTGTGCCAAGATGCATCTGCAAAGAAGCATGTTCAAAGGCCCCTGTGTGGATGTGTGTTAAGATGCATCACTTCTGTGAGGATGCACATTAATATGCACCTGTGAGGATGTATGTTAAGTTGCTCTTGTACAGGTGTACATGCACCTGGTGGATGTATGTTGAGATGCACCTCATGCTTAAAATACACCTGTGAGGATGTATGTGATTGCTGAGGATACACACTAAGATGCATCTGTGATAATGTACATTATGCTGTTGAAGTGATGGGTGTGCCTGTGGTGTTTCTCAATGGGGAAACTTCTGGTGCTGCATCTGAAGGTCCATCCTGCCAGGTTACTCTACGAAGTGCATCTGGGTCATCTCTTCTTGCCGCATTTGTGAAACTGTGACACTTCGAAGATTGTTTTTATATCGCCGCCAGGTGTAGTGCTTTAGGGAAAGAACCTTGTTTCTGCAAATCAAGCTTGTTTTCGTCAGTAGAAAAAAACAACTTTCATTCTGTTTTGTCCATACATTTTTGTGCATGCTTTCCCTGCAACATGAAATTATATTTTTAAAGTGAAAAATAAAAAAAATAATTTTAATTGTGTGGTAGTTCTTTCTTTATGTGGAATTGTTTATGTTATAATGGAAGTAACTTGCGAAACATGCTTTTTAGGTGATCAGTTAGGCTTAGTACCAGATCATCTGGAGAAGAAAAATAAACTATAAGCAGCCAAGATAGACATACACGACCATCACCACAAGCCAGTGGCGTCACTAGGGTCAGCAGCACCCAGGGCAGTAGCCTGCCATGAAACCCACCCCTCAAAGTCGTTTCGTAGAATTACGTTTTGTGAACTACTTTTCATGGACACACATTTCATGGACATTTGTTTCGTCGACGCGAACGTTTCATCGACACTCATTTTGCGAATTGCACGCTGTTGGGGCATTTCGTCATGCGTGTATCACTGGGGTGCATGTTAACCCATCCGAACGTCCCGTTTACGACGCTTCGCGGCAACAGCCTGTGGCAGCTTATTACAAAAATGTTGACCCACCTGACCCACCCGTACACACTGCTTCGCAGCGACAGTCTGATGCAGCTTATTACAGAAAAAAGCTAATCTGTGCTGTCAATGAAACATTGCGTGTTGATGGAACATAGTTTGATGAACTAATTGCCACCGCCACTCTCGTAGTCCTCCACGATACCACAGTCCCCCCCCGCCCCCCTTCCCACCGCCCACTCTTGTGGCCCTCCACAACATCCCCCCCCCTTGCCCCCCCCCCCCCCCACTCTAGTGGCCCATTGCGACCCCCCCCCCCCTCTTTTCTCTGCAGGATCCACCTAACGGGGATCAAATCCTGTAGAGAAGCACCATCTGCTTGCACTTGAAAAGCCCTTTAGGGATCGGGTGTTCGTCCCCTTCAGCATCTTTTCCAGCCTACAGCAGTACTCTTCTGTTCCTTAGACACCCTGCAGATCTCCTCTACCGAAAACGCAGATAATTAAATTATTATCGGTGTTTCCCCACCGCTAGCTTTGAGCCTGCTGCACGAGTGTTAACTTTGGTGCATCGCCGCGTTTTCTACTCTAGAATAAAATAATTTAGTGGTTTACGAGAATGCTCAACAAGTTTCCAATTGAAACCATATTTATTTTCACAAATTAATAAGTTAATCAAGAAATTTAAGGAATTATCCTTGATATACTGTAAAGGACTTAATTTTCGCAAGGACCTAATTTTTGCGAATCGCCTCCAATTCGCGGAAATTAGGTCCCACGAAAAGTTCCGGTAAAAGGTAAACACATTGGAATCTATATTAAGATCCCACCGCGTCGCGAAAATTAGAACCCGCAAATTATTCCGAAACTTCAGCTTTGACCTAAATCACAAAATATTGAGCCCCCCAAAAATAAGTTTGCAGATTTTGTTTTGTAATATGTTCAAAATAAAATTAAGCGCTGTATACTGATCAGTCTGTCATGTTGACTGCTCAATTACTACTGTTTCGATTCGTTACATCAGGAAACACTTTCTTAACTTTAACAACTCTTTGTCGGTCTCGCGTTCTGCTACCATGGGTGTGACCAAATTTCTCATCTAGCGTGTAATTAATGTCGCCATACTCTCGCAGACGAAACTCGTGCTCATCTACCGACCAATTTTGCGGAAACCTAACCGGGACGGTTATCAGAGCAAAGTACCAAACAATTTTCGTGACCATATGTGTCGTGCCAAACAAAAAAAAAGCTTCTAGAGACCGAAGTCATACTTTATGCACGCTCGCCACGATTTATGGTAAGTTAAAATGAATAAAGGCTGTTTTCACAAATGTTAAGTGATAATTATAGTTAGCACTTTTCTTTTTTCGTCCACCAGCCTTCGTTGGCATAAATAAAAAAAAAAATTGAGTTCTTTTACACTTACAGCAGAATTTTAGGGTACAAAGAGCAGTCTGCTATGAGCTTATAGCAGGAACTTCAGGAAGTCTGCTCACTACCCGAAGACCCAACGTCACGGCAGCCGGAGACAAAAGACGCCAGAGGAGCACATCTTGGCATTCTTGTGGTAAATTTGGTTACATTTGTTTTCACAAAGTGAATGTTTAGAATTTTTTCACAAGTACGCTTCAGTCATCCATTTTTCAGGTTTCCTGGAAACAAGTCCTGCTTGCGGGATGTGGCCTGTCGGTTTATGTGTTAACTTCACAAGACAAAAAGATGGGGCAATAAGGATTAGAAGTCATATAAGAGAGGAGCTTACCACGGGAGAAATGCAACTTGTGAAGAGATATTGACCGGCTCAAAAATTGAAAGCATCTTTTGAGTTGTCGAGATCTGCGTGATGAACTGCAAGACGAGGCTGACGTCCTAAAACACCTGCATCGCAAAAGAAAAAAAAAAATGGTTGGCCCACACCTTTGGCGCTCGGCTATATTCTGCTCACCCCTATGCCGTTGCCCACAGTGCATTAAAGTGAAAGACTGCGCTCCTTTCGTTACGTCTTGTAACTCTTCTGCAGTCAGCATGTGGTGGAGTCTAACACTGTCGGCAAAGATTTGCACGATGGTTTGAGTTTTGATGCGAAAGCTATAACTGCCTCATGGCGCGAAGCCGGCGTTGTCTGTAACAGCGAAATGAGGAATCAATTCCCATTGGCTGCGACGCGTCATATTGAATGCTTCGTCACAGAAACCGGCGGGGCTGCTTAAGGTCAAAGCGGACGCGCCTCAGAAATAAAACACAAAGAAAAGTACAGCAACGCAGATGCATCGGAAGCTGTGGATCCGGAGGGGGCGCCGCACCTGCGCAGTGGGGGAGCGTGATGTCACCGCTGGAGCACCATGTGAAGAAGGATGACGTTGCACTCTGGTTGTAGGAATGCGCTGTGTGTAAGAATTATTTCGCATTCTTACACGTAAACAGTCTCGTGCTTTTAACTAATTGTTTTGCGGTCACTGAAAATGGCAACCACCAAAGCTAAACACTGCAACGATCGCACGACTGCACCACTGCCAACGAGGTTGTTCACTGCCATGGCATCTTCTATACTCACAAAGCCTGGCAGTTTGACGACGAAGCCATATGGCGAATTCGGGTGGTCAATCGCCGGCGAGCTCACGCCGGCGGCACAGGCAACGAAAACCGCGCCAGCGGCGCACCACGTGACCCTCTTCACCCGAACTCAAAGCGCCTGCAACTGGCGTTTTCGTCTGCCTGGGTCGCGCGTGAACTTCAGTAACTTCTTCCACGATTATTTTATGATACAATAGGCACGCTCTAGGCATCGGCAACATATATTCGGACTCTGAGATGTGGGTAAACAAATTGTAATATATTTTGTTTAGATTCTCGAGGAACTGTTGCCCTCTTACAAAGATCCTAGAAGGCTCACCAGCGTCGCCATCTTATATTCCATTTTCTTGTTATTACCTTTTTGCTGGAATCCTCAGCATTTTGATTTGACCCAGCCCTCTAAAATAGTAATGCGCGTTCAAGTGTCGAGCTGCAGCACTATCAATACATTTTTTACAGCGGTGTAATAACACGCTGTGTCCCATAGGAAACTGATCTTACGGAAGCTTCCTCTAAAATATTTTATCTTTATCTCCGTTGTTTTTGCTGTCTTTCTCGGACCACAGAGGGGTGTCTGTCTCAATGGCTTCGTTTTCTACTCGAATCCGCTATCGGCGACCATTGTTTCGTTTGGTTCCCTTTCCCGATTCGGATATGACGATACCGGATACAGTCTGGCAGACAAGCTGCCCGACCTCTTGGAGCTCGGGCAAAAATTGTGCCGGTAAATTGCCAGCACACGCCTGAGAAGTGCCACCCGAACGGCGCGCACTCGCCAGCCTTTGACCACGCGAACGCCCTTGGCGGAGATATGGCAAAATATTTTGCCGGGAAATGACCGCGCGAATTCGCCAATAGAGTGTCCCGTCGCAGATTTAGAGTGCAAAGTGTGTTTTGGCGTATCGCCACAGCGGGGCGCCAGTCACGTGGCTCTTCTCTCCTCCGTTGTCTGCCGCTTCACCTTTTCCATTTTGGTGGCCGCTTCTCGTGACGATCTGCCAGCCTTTGTCAGTATATAGGAGGCTATGCCACTGCACACTGCACCAGCTACACCTTCATAATCCCGCCTTTCCGCGTGACAAAGAGCTTGTTTCGCTTCAGGGTTGGTACTCTTAATACAACATAGATGGCGACAGCATCGCGCCGCACTTGGCCACTTGGCAAGTTCATTCGGAACCGCGCCTCGCTGTTTTCCGTTGGCACCAGCAGGCTCTGGCACCAGCGGCACCACTCCACACGTTCGACGCATTATGGGCGATTCTGGGAGAGATTGCGCACAGTGCGAACTCGCTATTCCAAAGCATAGAGCAGAAAGGGGAAACGTAGTTGGCCCTTTTACGTCACTTTCGATTCACGGAATCGAGGGTGATTGATTCAGAATTCTGAAAATGCGCCGCATATCGAAACCAAAACTTAATCAATGATGTTAAAAATAGAATCTCTTAACGTAAAAAGTAATTTACAAACAACACTCCCATTTTTTATTTGCTTTCATAATCTGCCAGAACAACGTTTTGTGATGTTTAAAACAATCTGCTAATATAAAATCAATGCACGGTCCGAAGCCCCCGTTTGACAAGCCAAGCCAGTCCAACATGGTTGTTGGCGTTACTTGATTGTCTTGGGGCCGATATTTAATTTGAAGTTTTTGGTCGCAAACAAGGGCTTTTGCCAAATTGTGCGCCTTCATCTACCACTCCGATACCCGATCTATCCAAGAACCACTCACAACAAGTGCAAGGTAACGGATTAGGTCGAGGATTCGACAGCTCTTAGACGAGCCTCGTAGGCGCTGTCAAGATTGGCAAGGTTAGCGGACATGAAAAGGAATTTCGGATTCCCGTTAAGCGATGGTCGTGTCTAACGCACATCCTCGAAGAATAAGACAAATAAAGACCCCGAGATGCATGCACGCGGTTATGTAGGCTCTTTATTATCATCCTGTTGCCCGATTACAAACAGTACGGCACCATTTACATGGCGTTTCTCAAGCGCATCACTCGATCGCTTGCAGCTGCTGCGACGAACACGCAAGGTTTCGGCTGATCACGCTTGTAACATTTTCATGAAAAACGAGTGATAACCTTCTATTATCTAGGATATGGAGTGCCGCCGTTTTATCTGCATGTACGCAGGCTCTTGAATTAGCAAATTCAATTTATGTGACGCTAGCGCGGCGCGAGTGCCGTTAGGGAGTTTTTGGTAGATCGTTTCCGCCGTCCCACAACGCAGGCCTGTAGCTCTCAATAGAGTAACTTCCTGAGCCAGAGTATCGCGTTCCTTTTCCTTGCGCCGCCAACTTCGCATTGGCGGAGAAGCGGTGCCGTGCGCCGAACTGGATCCAACCTTCATGAGGGAAAACGAACTTGTAGGCGCCGAGTTTCGGGCGGAGCATGTTTCTCGCTTTGCGTTTGCGAAAAATGCAATCTACACTAAAATTGAACGAGCTTGAAGGTTCTTTGACCATTGAACATCATGTGTAGCTACTGGGTACTGTATGATCGCATTGTTTTATAACGTAAGAGATGTTTTAAAACATGTTTCCAAAGTCTGGGAAGCAGACGACACAGAGGACGATCGCGTTACTCGCGTCTGCAGCTCTCGCGGAGTGATACGCGGCCGGCTCATCCAGGCGCTTCAAACCTGATGACAACGCATAGCTACGGCTTTCAAAGGGACAATGTTTTCGTTGGTTACCTTGCTCTACCGATGTCATAGAGAAAAATGGGAAACAAGTAACGGAACGACAGCGTACGTCCGGTGTATCTCCGCACTATATTTTCTCTGCTCCACGCGCCACGGCACGCCGCCCCACAGCCACGCCATCCGCCCCTCCTGCTCTCCTGAAGAAGCGACGGTCGCTTGCCGTAGTGCGGCCTTGGATCCAGCATGGCCGCCCGGGAGCACCCTTGCGATACTCTGCTCCGCAAGCGAAGCATATGCAGTTAATCTAGCTCTCAAGTTTGTGCAGCGCCCCTGTCGAGCAAAATCGAATGATTGGCAGAACTACGTTGGTGAATATAAATTTATGAAGGACAATAACAAGAAAGAAAAAAGCTACACGAAAAGCATTCTTATCGTTTGGATAGGGCACTGAAAGCACAGACTGTATTTTTATTGTCTTTATTTAAACTTTCTCAGTTCTTTCAGAAGCTATATTATGGCACGTAGACTAGTGCTGTGTAAAAAGTTGTAAAAGAGCTTGGCTCGTTCATGATCGAAAGCTGCAGTGCCACTTTATGCTCTATGCAAGCCTTATTTGGTCTCATCTTACGGTAAGGTCGTGCCCCCTGGCCATGAAAAACGGGCCCATACCAGCTACGCGGCGATGCCGAGACGCACGCGTCTGCGACTTTCCGGTGTACTCTTGTTGAGCTCCGGCGCATTTGCCGCTTGGGGAATGTCACGTCATGCTCAGGCCTTGCCTTCTAGGTGATATTACTACCGGTTCTTATGAGATCTGGAACGACGCAGACAAGGCTAGTGGTGTGCGTGCGTAGTGGCGGTGGCCTCTTTCCGGAGGGCATAGCGGTAGGGGAAGAAAATGCAGTCCACAGAAAGTCCCCACTGTCCTCCACTATATACCCTTTTCAGCCCTTGTGCACCCAGGCGAAAAACGCAGAGTCGCTGGGTTGTGTACGCCTGCCCGGCGTCTGACATCCTGCGGAAGAGATTTGCCGCGCATGCTCCGAGCGCATTCCACAGCCCAGTAGACAAAGATGGTTGCGCACAGAAGGCGATTGACTGTACTCTGTTGCAATGTAAGAATGGCAGGAAATGCTCTATTGACAGAAGAAACGCTCCATTCAATGTTTAATGATCCGAGGTGCATTGAGCATTGAGCAGGCACGTAGCCAGGATTTTCATTCGGGGGGAGGGGGGGGGGGCCACCCTTGACAAAATGCTGTATGAGGGGGAGGGGGGAGAGAGGGCCCCAGCAAAATGGAAGATTTGGGGGGGGGGGGCCCGGGACCCGAGGGTCCCCCCCTCTGGATACGTGCCTGGCATTGAGTTTGGGGGGAGGGGGCGGAGACCCCCCCAATTATTCCATCGTAGAAGTGGATTTTGACGACCCAGCTTCTGTTTTGACAGACATAGTTCTTTCTCGAGAAGCCATACTCGGCATTCGCTTTTCCGCGCATTGTTGTCGAGGCTAGCATAGCTTCCTCAGTGTTCCGAGAAATCTGAAGTACCTACGTGAGCGATTGGCCTCATTTGAAGTCGCATTCGCACTATAGCGCGTGCAAACGAGGCGCGAGGGAAGTCACGTGTTTGCACGGCAGTGCGGGGCCACGGCACTGTAGAAACTATCCAGAAAAGTTGACACCAAGCATGGGAAGGGCTGCAGTGTTTTTGGGCCTCACACTCCTCTCAATTCTCTCTCGCAGACCTTGGAACCTGTGGATTCAGATCTTGGTTGGCCACCTACGACATGACTCATGCGCGTGCTTCGTTGAGAGGGAGCGGCAGCGGCGATGATGTGTTCTGAACACCAACACATAGAAGCAAAGAGGCCCACTCCTGCAACTCTGACGTAAAGAGGCTGTAGTCTCACGGCCGCCGTCACGTGCATCCAAGGACACTAGTTGCACCATGCAGGCGCAGCGACGAGGAGGAAAAAGAGGTGGCGGGCGTGCGGCCCAAGATGCCGGCGGTGCACCAGCGGCCGACAAGGAGGTTGTTAATGCCAAGCCGAAACCGCCGATCTCTACCATACTGCAGGCCGAAGACATCTCCGGGTCTCTCGACAAACTGTCCAAAGCCTTCTTTGGGAACGTCGAAAACTGGCCAAAGGCAGTGCCCAAGCAGACCGCTTCCTCCCGGAAATCGAAGGGGGCCCAACCGGTGGAGCGGAAAGGGCCGGCACGCATTGCACCTCGACCACCGCCCCCGCCGTCTTTCCTCATAGCCCAAGCGATACCGTCCACGGCAAATTTTATGGCGTCTCGGCCGATGTCGTTTCCGGCGGCGGCACCCTTTGCCGTGGCTCGGGCTCCGCCACCCGTGTCGAATCTGCTGCCGCTGATGTCCCGATCGCCGCCGGCGACAGTTCGAGGCGGAGTGCCCGTGGTCAGAATGGCAATGCCTGGGGCACCCTATGCCGCAACCCGTGGAGCAGCACGCTCTTCCGTAGCTCGTGCAGCAGCTCCCGGCATCGCCACGGCTCGGGCACCAATGGCAGCATTCGCCTTAGCACGACCGATGGTACCCACCGCGGGTTTCGCCATTGCCGCGACGACTGCACCCTTAACAACTTTCGCCGTGACGCGCGCAGCGGCACCGGCGACGCGCCTTGCCATACCCAGACTGACGCGAGCTACGGCACGAGCTAGGGCACGAGCTTCGGCACAGGCTGCGGCGCAAGCTGCGGCTCTGGCTACGGCTCCTGCCGTCACGACTCGGGGGAGGGGCAGACGTGGACGAGGCAGAGGCAGACACGCTGCCGTGCCCAAAGGGGCAGCGGCTACCGCGCCCCCCGCCCTGACTCGCGCAGCGGCACCCGCTACAATGCCCGTCGCTGTAACTTGCACGGCTGTCCCCGCTGTGCAAGTCACGGCGGGTCTTCCCGTAGCTACGGCCATGCCCGTCACCGCGGCCACCGCTGCTACGCAGCCGTACACCGTCCTCGTGCTTCAAGCGTCCGACGGCTCCCACAACCGGATCATGCTCGTGCCATCGAACTCGGCGAAGCCCAATGGATCTGGCGTGGCGCCCGGCGCCGCCACGCAGGGGATTTCGAAGAACGCCGCTGGGAAGGCGTCCAAGAAGTCGCGAGAGACGGACGAAGAGGATGCGGACGAAGAAGGTGGCGAGCAGAAACGGTGCCGCTATTTCTGGGAGCCGTCGGAGTCGGTGAAAGCGACGAAGGCGTTGAAGCGGAAGCTCAGCACTATCTGGTGAGTGCGACGGAACCACTGAATGCCTCCGGAGTGCCCCGTGTCGGCTGCTGTTTGTGCCTATTGCGTGTGTGCACTCTTGCTGAGGCCAGCTCGGTCGGCCGAGCGTCATTAGCGGGGCACGGGCAACGTGCTGGTGCAATGTCGTCTTTGTAAATCTGCCATTGTTTTTCGTTGTTTTTTCGCTTTCAATTGTAATTTTTGCCCAGCTGATTTGCGTCGTTTTTTTCACTTAATGTGTACTGTCTCATACACATTAAGAAGAGGGTAGTAACTGATACATCTTAAAATGACTCGTGGTGAAGAGGCATCCAGTTAGATTATATGATTGCCGCAAACCAAAAAGTAACTAGTTGTTAGTACTTTGAGTGTGTAACTGTTGCTTTTTTTTAATTACTCATTAGGTCTCGGCCTTTCTAACTTCAATGTGTACGTTGAAATAAATTGGGTGTACATCTAGCGGCATTAAAAATATTTTCTTGCCGAAGTTTGCATTTCTTTGTCAGTGTTTGGATTTATGTCACCTCTTTGCAACCTTGTCTCATCGTTTTCCTCAGGTTGAAGGACTTCCAAGTACTGGAGCATGCGATTGGTGCGGTGGCATCACATTTCCCCCTCGTGTGCCCCCAGCGTATTAAAAGTAGGTGCCTCGCTTGTCTTTTACCTATAATTGCTTTGTTTCTGTCGGCGGATACGCAACTTTGTGGCCTCTTGCGGATGCAAGAAATGTGCGGGGACAGGCATAAATGTTTCTAAGCTAGGGGACGCAAGTTACTGCCCGATATTAAAGGGATACTGCAGCGAAATTCTAGCTCCCATTTCATTGTCTAAATGTCAACCATGTACCGGCCACACCACAGAGACACCAATTTTTCGCTTGGAAAGACGCCAAAACAATTTTTAAAAAGGAATAGACCGAATGTTACGTCACTCTGACCTTAAAAGCAGTGCCGCTCTGCAGAAGTACGGCGGCAAGCTGCCTGCGTGTGAGCCCCGTGGAACCGTGTTTTCCTTCTCTCTCGGCCTGTTCAACTCCTGCGGGGAGCGGGGAGGGGCGACTAAGAAAGGCCAGGTTGTTACGCGTCGACGACGCCAAGTGGCGGAGCTCGTCACAACGCCGGCCCCCAAGCAGCCTTGCCCGTCCTCAGCCATTTGACGTCACGTCTGCCATGATTTTATTTATTATTATTAGTCTCCCGTGATGCATCGCGCTCTCCACTCGCTAAGGTCGGTCCTTTGGAACGAAAAATATAGCCATCCGTTCTAAATATAAGTGTGCGATTGTCATTCTGCAGATTGAGTTGATTGTGTTTAACTTATTTCTGCACATGAGAGGTATATTTTATATTTCGATTCAGTATTCCTTTAATGTGCCCTGCAAAGTGTTGAAGGACACATGCAAAGGAAAAACCTATTTTTTTAAACAGCTTGGATGGAAAAAGGAAGTCATAAAAGACATTTACAATGAAAACGGAAAATTTTCAGAGCTATTCGCGACTCCAGCGAACTATGGGGGGTGCACTGGTCAAGCGAAATGGCGGACGAAAGGAGCTCGTTTTCGTCGTTCAGCACGCGGACCACCATAAATTTCTTGCACTGCAGCGTAAAATCGGTGTTACATATGAAAGCAAATTGATTTTTCGACGGTAGAAACCTTCTTCTAGTCTCTGTGTAGGAATGACACGGCGGAAGCATACAAATAATTACTGGAAACAATGTTTGTTTCTATGCTGCCTACGAGAACCAAGCAGTGATAGCAGACGACAGAGTCGAAATCACCTCTCCTGAGCTTCTCGGCGTTGCCGCTACATGGCGTTGGTTTCACTGGAGTTGCCAATATTTACGGCGCGAAACGAATTTGTATTTGGCACCCGTGGGCGCCGCGGAAAAGTGGCCGCTATTTATCACGTGGTGCTTGTGCTTTTTCGGAAGCTTCCTACGGTCTCTAAAAGTTACTTACACATCTTTGTTTGAAGTGCAACAAAAAACAAAGATTAATAAGTAACTTTTAGAGCCCACAGGAAGCTCTTGAAAAAGCGCAAGCCGACGTGATAGACCTATGCGCCGGTCAGGAATTGACAGCGGTGGCGCGCTGGAGTGTTCCCTTCCGGCAGCGGCAGCGGCGGTGTGGAGAAACGCGTTGAACCGGCGGCGCACCACGCTGCGCGTGGGGCGGTGGCGTGACAGGTCTACCGCGTGACCAGCAGCGGCTCCCGCGGGCGCCAACTACAAATTTGTTTGCGCCGTAAATATAGATCTAAAAAATTTTTCTTCGTTGTAAATTTGTTTTATGACTTTTTTTTTCCATCTAGGCTGTTTTAAAAAATTGTTTTTTCCTTCGCATGTGTCCTTTAAAAGGATGCTCGTGCTTGACGAAGTCGAACTTATTGTAGCATTGGGCGTCTAGCAATCAGACTGTTAAATATTTATCGATTCGCACTTCATCATAACTTGTTATTGCCTAAGCCTAGGACTAACTATGGTAAATTTACCACCAACTTCTCAGCCACGGCTGTGTGGAATTCATTACCTTTAGCCATCAAGCAATCACCATCAATGCACCTGTTAGAAACTTTGCATATTTCTTCAGTCCTTTTAGTCATACATTGCTGTCATGACGTCATTGTGTATCTCTCTTTTTGATAATTGCCGTTTTGTCTCTCATATTATTGTAATTAGCACTGCATTTCACTTATTCTCAAAATTGATTTGCAATTCCAACTGTTATAACCTTGCTCTGTTTATTCAGTGTTATTTTATTTATAAGTTTATAATTATTATGAGTATTTAACTTACTGTTATTTTGTTCATTTTATATCTCTGCAATTAGTTCTGTGTTTCACTTATTCATGTCATAATTTATTTTCTATTCTGACTGCTGTAAATTTGTTTTATTATTATTGCTACCATTAACAGGAGGTCCCTTTCCAGTCTCTGACTCTGGGACCTCCTTCTGTAATATTTCTAATGTATTTACCTTTGATCTACGCACAATAAAACCAACCTGAACCAACCTGAACTCAATGGTTGGCTTCTGAGTCCTTGTTAACGCCGATCTCCGTGGAGCAGACGTGTGGCGAACAAGCGACGAACTTCGCCTGGCGGCACATTTACTTTGCACATGGCGTACCAGCCACCGTTCCGACAGACACCACGCATCGAGCAAATGCCGCTGGGCAAAATTCTTACCGTTTTTTTCCTCCATGGTGTCTAGCCTTTAGACTATTCTTTGTTGGGCAGCCAAGAAAATTAGTTCTCACCAACCTGCGCTCACGTCACTGATGGTGAATCCCGTTCGCGGATGTTATTGCCCGCCTTTTTTCGCGTCGGAGTAATTTCTTAGGATCTTTCTTGTCTCAGGATATTCAGCCTTGTTTTCTAGTACCAATGAACGTATAACAGACTCATTCCTCAATCACACTTGGATGCCGATGCCTTCGGTAAAGTAGCTCGGTTTGTTGCTGTCGGGAGGTGCCACGCCTCGCCAAGAAAGGAACGTTATGCTTGCTTCGCAGAGGAGGCATCTGCCTCTTTGCCGGAACAAAGCGGCTTTGTTACTCGAGTTTTCCTGTGACCGTGGTGCCTGAAACGTGTCTTGAACTATCTGTTTAGTGTCTGATTTCACCCATGCATCAAAAGTGGCCTCGAAGTAGCAACAAGTGACAGCTAAACGGAATCTGAGCTAAACGTCCCGACAAAAAATATGAGTGAATACACGTGTCACCGTTGTCGCAGAGTCGCAACTCCTAGACGTTGGAGCTTTTGTGGCCTCCCGAGCGCCGTACTCTGCAACGTGCTCGTTGCGACGTCTCTAATTCGGAAGCGCAATATTTGAAACGTTGCTGCCCGTTTTCCAGGAACGGTGTGCTTCCCGTTTGCCGCTCCCGACAAGGTCACCTTTTTGTCGTGGCCAGTGCCGAAGCAGAGAGCCTCAGAGGTGGGTAGGCCTTCTTTGTTCGTTTGCAGCTTGGCTTCAGGCACCGTCTACAGCCGAGCCGTAATCCAGCAATGCGGAACCTAGGGTATGCCGAATCCGGTCGGGTCAAATGTAACTCTGTGATTCGTAGAGCGCCCATTTTTTTAGTGGGATCGATTGGACAGCAAGAAAACAATGAATTTGCAGCACTCATTTGTTTGCTTTTCCGTTACGTGACACTACGGGATGCAGTGCGGAGCGCAAATTCGTCTGCTTCTTGCATAGGGGTTGCGATGATGTCAGAACGCCGAGCTTTTATTGGCTGATTGAAAGAAAATAGTGGGTAGACCTCAAGGCATCTAGCATTGAAGTCTACCCACTATCCTTTCAATCAAAGCCAATCGGAGCTTGCCGTCGTTCTGCCATCAACGTAACTCCTGTGCAAGAAGCAGACGACTTGCTCTCTGCATAGGCTGCGAGAGTGGTGCAAGTTCCTCTCGAAAAGTCCTAAAGTTACATTTACCCGAGATAATATGTAATTATGTATATTAGAAAAGCCAACATGCTCTTGCTAATGTGTGCATTCACAGGTACACTTTCTTAGAAACTAAGTAAGTTACATTCCAGTTGCTTTTAAAAGTATCTTGTGTTGTTGAGGTGTGCTGCTATCGCAGACCAGCAGCCCTGTTTCTAATGTAGAAAACATATTGGCAAGGTGCAATTTTTCTTCAGCAATCTGCTCACAGTAGGGTATGAAGGGGTGACATTCTCAATCAGTCCGAATTTCTCAGCAAAATTTTTAGTAGGGTATGTATGTCACTGCAACTGAAGTTTGAGGTCACTCCAAACTTTAAACTAATTTACCGTTGGAGGAATTTTATTGTAACTTGGAAAGCATTTAGTTGCTTAAACTGTAACTATAGTCAATGTCAGCGAAACGCAGGGCGTGGCGCGCTTCGCAGCCAGTGACATTGCGACGTTAGCTGGCAAGAACGAAGGAAGAGGTGTGAACGCGAAACTTCGTTCCCTGCATTTCTTACGCTGTTCGTGACTGTAATCACAGGAACTAAGACACTTCTTCATAGGTCAGTTTTGAGCTCTTTACGTTAACGATGAAGTCTATGTGTCTGCCACATCTTCAACGACATTGATGGAAGACCAGGTCCATCCTTTACCTTGCCGACACGCCGTTTGTTTTTTCTTTTCAGTGGCTGCGAGCTTCCGAAGTGAGGAGGGCGCTGAGGAGAATGCTGGACGAGCAGCGGCCGGCCACCTGGCTGTGGTCTAGGGAACTAATAACGAGGAAGAAGATCATGCTGCTGTGTCGCAAGATGGGACTGACACCGCTGGCCTCAGGTAGGATGCCGACAGAACCCGCGGAGATAACCTCGCTTTGAGCTGGCAGTAAGCTACGCTTCAAGGATCGCAACGCTTTGGCTGTCTTCTGATGGTTGAAATCATTGTTGCCAGTCATCCGAAGCTTTATCCGAAATCGCAGGAAGCGGCTTTCCGTCCTCCAGAAGTACTACAGTCGAGCCCGGCTATATCGCACTGGGGTATTTCGAATCATTGTTTATATCAAACACTCCAAACGTCCCCTTGAAAATCACAGTATAGGAGCATTGTCTTTTTGTATCCAACTCCCATGGCGGGGACACTCAATATGGCGAACGAAGCCCAGCTGCCCGTTGCTTTTCCCGCAATCCGATTGCGCCGGTGGTGAGGTGGTGAGTACATCGCTTGCGTTGCGTGGCTGGCAGACCGCCAAGCCAGCATACACGCAGGAAGATACGCTGCGAAAGAGCACTTGTGGGTAAGGAGAGACTATGAACCGTAAAAACAAAAAGTGGAAAATAACAAGGGGAAGGGCACGCGCGCGTGCGCAGGCAGAGCAGGGAGTGCTTGCTGTTGGAACGGTAGCCTGTGCCTCTTCCCTAAACACTGCTGATGCTGTGCGACTTCTTAACCCTAAAATAAAATAAGCAAAAAAAAAAAAAAAGTCTTCGGCAAGTCGAGTGTGTTTATAAACACTGCTGATGCTGTGCGACTTCTTAACCCTAAAATAAAATAAGCAAAAAAAAAAAAAAAGTCTTCGGCAAGTCGAGTGTGTTTATAACAGTTGTGCAGTCACACTTTGAACTTCTTATCTTTGTTTACCTTATTCTTTTTCTGTTATTGCTTTGCCCGTCTTTTTTTTTTGCTGCCTGAATTTAGTGAGCTTTCTTTTTTGTTGCTTACTTAACTTTTTTCTATGGATCAAGAGATTTTTTTTATGCATCTCGCTTTTCCGTTTTTCTTTCATTTAATTTTTTATTAACATTGTTTTGTCGCTTATGCTCTGTGGAGGTCCCGGCTAGGAGCGCGTCCAAGTGCAGCATTGTTGTGGTCTCTGCCAACTGCGCTTTACTGTATTTGGCTGCTTTTGGATGCTCTATTTGGTAAACTCCCATTTGTCGCGGCTTTCGATATTAGCAGAGACGCCAGGAAATATTTTTGTATATCAAATTATTGATGTATCAAGCTATTTTACGATACCCCTTAAATTCAATATATCTGAGTTCGACTGTAGAACGGTACGCGACAGTGCAAAACGGCGTCGCCCGTGCTTGCCAACACCATATCTAAAGGTTACGAAATTGCATTTTTTAGTTGTAAAGATTGCGCGCCAAATGCACTCGCATTGCTCAAGGCAACAAAAATGGTGGCACCCACGAGACAGTCAAGTAATGAAGTGCTCATGCACTTCATTATTTTAGCTTATTTTGGTGGCTCTAGCCTTGCCGACTGTTTTCGCTGAACTGCCACCTGCTGGCGCTTCGGGGTGTGGTAGTCTTGCGAGCACTTTTGGGCAGGTCGGACAGGCTAACATTTCGGTGAAGTCTGGTTACCGGTACAGAATAATGTATGTGTGCTCTAGGCCAATAGAATAGCTAGACCGGTGCAAAACTATTTAAAGGGATCCTCAAGATTGAGGCATTGGTGATATGGAAGTGGCTAGGTCAGTAACAATGACGCCAGTTGTGCAAGCAAGTTTCGAGAGAATCAATTCGTCGATTAGCTGCCAGTCCTTTTGTGCGAATGGCGGGAAATCAATTCCACCTTGTTTGCCTCTAAATACACATAGACAACTGACAGTCCACTAGTTGCATGAAAAGACAGCTGGTAGTATTCTCGAAATATTACAGTGTTCTAAATGAAATGTACTTGTAAGGCCCCTTACTGACTTCATAGAAATGAACGGCCTTTGTACTCGTGCCGACGACAACGCAGTCTTCTGAGGTAGCGAAGAGGAGGCAGATGTCCCACATTCTACCCAATGCACTTGCCTCTGATCTCTCGGAAACAGTCCTTGCAATCATGCTTCGATGCATACTTTTCTCCGAGGCAGGCGTTTCTTGTAGGGACACTCTGTTTGCATTCCGTCTCCATGAACGCGTCGGCACGTTCTCTCCCCGCAGCGGACGGGCTCCTGGGGCCGGCAAGCGCCGGCATCATGCCGTTCCAGCCGTTCCAGGCGGGCGGACGGGCGCCCGAGTGCCGCCAGTGTGGCCGGACCTTCCGTAGCCTGGAGGAGTTGGTGGCCCACCTCCAGACGCACGCAGCCAACTGGCCCTACAAGTGCAGCGTCTGCTCGCGGGCCTTCCGGTCGCGGGGACCCCTGGTGGTCCACGAGCGCAACCATCTCACGGGGGAACCCTTCGAGTGCGACTACTGCCTCGCCGTGTTCCCGACCAAGGAAAACCTCGTGAGCCACATCGGCAAGCACACGGGCGACATGCCCTACGAGTGCCGCCTCTGTGCCATGTTTTTCGCCAAGAAGGTTTCGCTGGTCCGCCACATGCGCACCCACACTGGCGAGAAACCCTTCAAGTGTCCCGCCTGCTCGGCGTGCTTCCGTGTCAAGGCGCAGCTCCGCGCGCACTCGTACATCCACACGGGCGAGAAACCTTTTAAGTGTCCGCACTGCTCGAGCTCCTTTATGCTCAAGACGTCCCTGACCACCCACATCAAGAGCCACACGCCCGCAGAGCTGGCGGCCGCCGCCGCGGAGATCCGGCGCTCGAGCTCACCGCCGGTGCTGCGGGAGTTTGAGTGCCGGATGTGCTCGAAGCAGGTCAAGTACCGGACCGGCGTGGACCACTACTCGCGCTTCCACGCCAACCGGCAGCCCCGGCTCTGCCGGGCGTGTCTGGGCGGCCTGTTCCGCAAGCGGAACCGGGGCACGCATTTGCACGCAGACAAGCCCCACAAGTGCCGGCACTGCCCGCGCGCCTTCGCGAAGATGTGGGGCCTGGTCGTGCACATGCGCAAGCACTCCAAGGGCAAGACCTTCAAGTGCGAGCACTGCACCCGGGAGTTCCGGCAGAACTCGAGCTTCGTCATCCACGTGCGGACCCACGGCGAGGGCAAGCCGCTCAAGTGCTGGGTGTGCGCGCAGCTCTTCGAAGCCAAGGACGAGCTGGTGGAGCATCTAAACAGCCATCCCACTAAGCTGCTCTAAGTGCGTAAGGGTGACGCCACCTAGAAGTCAAGGCCTGCGCGTGACGTCATCGTTAGTTGATCCCTCACCCGCCGCAAGCGGGAAACGCGCCGAAATTCGACAATAGCTGCCGCAAAGCGGCAGACGTGCCCATCTTGGCATCGCTGGATGCTGGCGTCGCGCTCGGCGTGAGACGCGTCGGTGGTAACGAAGACGCAAGCTAAGCAGCACTGCGTGGGTACGTGGGTCCTGCTTGTGGTGACGTTTTGGGGGGGGGGGAGGAGAGTGAAGGGGAAGGCGCAGGCCTTTTCTTGTAGGTGGTTTGGTACAAGGTGCAGCAGTACGAGCTGGCCCAGCGGCGTTCCAGCTGGGGTGGCGCAGTAGTCACGCGGGGAGCCTGGAATGAATTAAGCTGTTGAGAAAGAGTTTGGAACGGACTGGCCACGTTCCCTGTCATCGCAACGTGGCAGTCCATTTCACAACTTGGCGTGCCGGTGGCACCCCGTGCGGCATTTGACTCCTTTCGGCTATCACTGAGCTGGCCCAGCTCGTATCGCCGCCGACTGCTGTTGGAGGCTGGTGAAGTAGTACAGCCCGTCCCCCAAAAAATTTACGGGATTTTTTCGCAGCAAAATCAAACTGCATTGCCAAACGCTGATGTTTCACACAGATGTGGTACTAGTGGGCTGAACCACATACCAAAGTTTCAGAACTAACGGTTATCGTCTTAGAAGGTTACTTTCGATTGGAAAGTGGGGCCCGTTCCCGGTATTGATCCCCACCTTATCGAAGACTTCGTTGGCCGCCATATTCCTACCGAAAACTTGCGAAAATCGATCGTAACTTTTGAGTCGCCTAACAGCAAGCTCCGAGACTTTGGCGTCTGGTACGGACCACTAGTGCTACATTTTGGGCAAAGACTGCATTCAACAATGCACAGATCTTTTTGCTGTGAGAAGAAATGGCGTATAGTTTTCTTGGGGATGTCCTGTAGTATGCTTCGCTCAACGCAGCCACCGTTTATTCAGCTCGACATAGACCGGGCACTAAAACGTTCGATGCCCGTTCCTTTTGTAGCTCGTAGCGCGTGTATCGTGCAAAATTACTTCTTTTGCGTCATTATGGAATTGCACTCGCTATCGTTTTGTCATGTATACTGTGTTGGTAAAACTTTCACAGCAAATTTATTTCGGCATGTGCGAAGGTAATAAAGGTGCACTAGAGACGTTTTTGACTTGGTCTTTTGGAGGCGGTTGACTTTCTCTACCTTCTCCGAGGGTTTAAAAAGTATATCGTGTGACGCGTGCTTCACTTTTGTATAAAAAAAATGCGATCAAATATTTCTATGCTTTTTTCTGCGGAGAAAAAGATGTTCGCTTCAAGAAAGCCGATGAGGAAAGGAATTGTGAGGCGTTTGGTTTAGCCCAGCAACCGCGAGCATCAGCTCGACGAGGAAAAGCTTCTCCGCTCCTCCTTTGACGTCACGGGAGGCGGGTCATAGGGTGCCGCGGTGTGAAGCGCTAGAGTGATGGACTCGTGTTTGGAAAACGGATTTATTTTGTGTGGGAAAACAACTCCCACCAGATTCCTGACCAGATCACAGTGCTGTGCAACGGAAACTGACGATCTTTCCAAATACAATGTTGTTGTGCATAGACCTGAGCATTACCAGGAATGTTTATAAAACTTTGGAGGAACCAAGTATGACCGACGTTGCAGGCGCGACATTCATTATTAAGCATTCGATAGCATCGTAAATGTTGGTGGCCGCTCGAAAAAGTCTGCTCTGCTCGGAGTTATGATCTGCTTCAAGAAGCGAGAGTTTTACACCTGTCTAGAATATTAAGTGTGTAAAATAGCTATTCGGAGAGCAAGTCGTCTGCTTTTGCGCAGGGGTTGGGGTGACGTTCAGAGTGACTCCGAGTTCTGATTGACCTTGATTGGAAGGATTGTGGGTAGACCTCAATGCCAGATGCATTGACGTGTACCCCCTATTTTTTTAACCAGCCAATAAGAGCTCGGCGTTTTGGCATCATCGGAACCCCTATGTATGAAGCAGACGAGCTTGCGGTCCACATACAATGATCTGGTTTAGGTATTCAAGCCTTGCCCCAGGCTTTATTATTTCTTTTCTTGTTTTTTTTTTTCCATCTAAAGATTTCTCGCTTGAGTACAGACGGAAAACCAAACGTCTAAAACTACTTTCCATGTAGTTCTTTCTCGGATTCACTCCATATTGATCAGTGAAGTTTCATATCCTTCATGTGATTATTTACCATGCTTAAAAGCACACATGTCATTTGCAGGAATGCATATTCACTAGATAGTGTTTCAAGCTTGCTCTATTTTATTGTTACAGGCGAACTATTGAACGAAATTGTGTATATGCACAGCCCAGGCTTTCTTTTTTTCTTTTCCCCATCTTGTTGCATGCTGGGCGTGTTTCTTTCATTGTGTTTGATTTGCCATCAAGTGAATTTGATTTCATGTCTATGCTTTTCAGAAGCATGGTTGCGTTCAACCACTCCTGTGAAAGTTCCTGATAAGAGTGATAGTATATGGGATGAATAAGCAAAATAAAGCGTAAAACAAAAAAAAAATTGCGCAACCTTTTTTTTTTTAATTAAGCAGTGGTTTATTGCTGGCTGCTTGCGTTCTGCTCAGATAACGAGAGTTTTAACTATGGTATTCCACGTATTTGAATGCTACCAATGAAGTATTTGCGAAATGGCATGCAGAGGTCGGCATTTTAGGTCGCCCTCACTCACCCTCACCCTCACAGTCACACTCACCTAAGCCCCTCACTGACCCTCACCCTCACAGCTACACTCACCTTCAGCCCCTCACTTACCCTAACCCTCACAGTCACACTCACCTTCAGCCCTTCACTCACCCTCACTGAACCTCACGGCCCTCACTGCCTTCACGGCCCTCACGGCCCTCACGCCCCTCACTCACTCATAGCCCTCACGCCACTCACCGCCCTCACGCCACTCACCGCCGTCACGCCACTCACCGCCCTCACGCCACTCACCGCCCTCACGCCACTCACCGCCCTCACGGCCCTCACGCACTCATAGCCCTCACGCCACTCACCGCCCTCACGGCCCTCACGCCACTCACGGCCCTCACGCCACTCACCGCCCTCACGCTCCTCACCGCCTTTGCGGCCCTCACACCCCTCACGCCCCTCACGCACGCATAGAGTAATCTACACAAGGTAAAGAGCGGACACTGCCGTAGGCCCCAGCGTCCCGTATAACAACTAGCGCGCCAAATGGTCGATGAGAAAAGCTTACTCTTGATTCCGGTTCCGGTGGTTTCAGTTTCGGTTTCGTTTCCGGCGCTTTTTTTGCCGAGCTTGCTGTCGCGCGGCTTCTTTTACTTGATGGCACAAATGCTTCTTATTAGAGGCTTCACACCACGAAAGAGCAAAAATTATTGTCTTTACTGCTGTGAAATATTAAGATAGCTATTCTTGTCATACTGCTTCCGTTTGTTTACGTGTTTACGAAGTATTTTCAGGCAACAACAAAAAGTGCTTCAGATTGATTTATTTTGAGGTCAATCATAAACAGACTTGAACAATTCAGAATCGTGAAGTATTCTTCATGAGGGCACACACATTCATATCAAGAAGAAACGTTACAAGAGTCCCACATTTACCAACACTCCAAACCTGAGGCCAGATTCACGAAGAGCTTCTTAGTTTACGACAACTTAGCTAAGAAGTTCGTAAGTTAAGAACATCGTAAGAAGTGGAGAAATCGGTATTCACGAACGCGTTCTTAAGTGAGAGGAGGAAAGCGACGTTGTCGTACGGAAAAACTAAAACTTACCGGTGCTGTTGCTATGGCGACGGCGTCTTCGGCAGCACGAACAACCAATCGGAGAGCTCGGCATTTGTTCGGAGCCCTTCGGAGCCGTTCGGAGCACGTGGATTTTTCATAAACACAGGCGGCCTTTCTGCCACCGCTTGTTTGGGGTTCGTATCCGTGCAGTGATATGTCGACGCTAACCACGACCAACTCTATACGCTAACACGATTTAAACTCGCCCGAATGCCGAGGCCGGGATGCGTAACCACCCGCATTGACTGCTACGAACTCGATCGCTACCAAGTCAACACAACTGTCATCGTTTGTAAAAGACGGCCCGCAGTCGTTTGCAAAGTGACGTAGATGGGAACAAATAGCCGCGGCGTTTTTTGCGGCCTCGGAGATGCAGGAGCGAGCCGACGTTAAAAAAGATACGTTTGAACTACGACAGTGTAAGCAAGAGCCACGTAAATGCCTGTTCACACTGGAGCGGACGCGCGTGTTTGATCGAAGTGCTGGATTTGCGCTGTTGGACCGCGAATTGATAAGCGCTTCGGGACCGATCCTTTACAATTGCAACTCGATGCTGACGTGACACCCGGCGAAGAAAGGTTGGACCGGCATTGCGACCCACGAACTCTTACAGCGATCGACAGTGAAATGCAGTCGTGTCAGAATAAAATGAAATACTAATAACAAAATGTACATACCATGTTGCGAAGGTAATCCATACGGCGTTTATTTGAGCTTGATATCACACAAAACAGAGATAGAATCGATGAGAGCCCCTTTTCGACGACAGCGTTCGTCACCGTTGCCTCGGAAAACAAGGAGATGACAAGAGGAAGAGATTGACCTCTTAATCTAGAATTGAGGTCAGCGATCAAACTAATACGGGAAGGGTTCACAAGGGTCGCGCGGGCATATTCCATTCAGCACGCCAGCCGGTCGTGGGCAGACGGTCTTCGCCAAGGACCGTCAGATCATCGCTGCGCCGAGTCGGAGTGCCTGCTAGGCCTATCCGCCGATCGGTCGGAGTCCGTACTCGTGGCCCTTGGAGTCTTTCCCGGGTGTCTGTGGATCCAGCGTTCTTGTTCGTTCGTCGTGGTCTGTTTCAAGTACATTTTACTTGTTTCTTGCTGCTTGAAGTCGGGACGCGTGAGAAGCGCACGTAGAAAAATAAACATCCGCTGGTTGTCGCGACCAACTGAGCGACGCTGTCGGCCATGCTGATTTGATCGTAAGAAGTGCGTAAGACAGCTTCGGAGCTGTCGTAGGATTTCGTCGTAACCTGCGCAAAACTTACGAAAATTTCGTTTCGTGAATACGGATTTGTTCTTAAGTTTTGTCTTACGCACATTTTTGGCGTAAGATCGTTTCGTGAATCTGGCCTCTGAACTTTCCAGCGATGGTAAACTGTTTGATTGATTTAATCATTGGTTGTCACAATGCTGAGCAGTTTCAGTAATGTGGACATGTGGACATAGCTATCATTAACAAGTACTGTAAGCGACTTTATTGTTGCGAGCTCGACATTTAGCGATGTGCCAGTTTCGGGAATATTTCGTGGGCACAAACTTTCACCACCGTGAGTGACATTGCATGTATTCATGTCCATAGGGCAACTTATTCACGTTACCAATTTCTTGTGAACTTGATCAAATCGCGATATTTGCGAAAATTACGTCCACGCAAAGATTAGGTCGTTTACGCTATTAGGGCACAGTCTAGACTGCACAGATTTCAAAGAAGCAGATTCAATGTCAATATACAGTACACTATTTGGAGTAGCCTAACACTTCTCGTAGGCTAACAAAAAGGACCTAATTCAAACCCAGGGAATATTCAACATTCCCATCCATATTCAACACAATGAGTGTACAGCAGAAAATATAGCAATGCTAGTACAGGGCCTGTGGGAATTACAGCAAGAACAGGCAGCTAAGGTCAAACCACCTAACAGTGTTAGGTAATAAAGATATACAAAAAATCTGTTACCAAGGTAATCACACAACATTTGGTCAATATACAAGGCACATTGATTAAAAAATTAACATATCGGACATGTTCGGCATATACTCCACGCACACACCCATCAAAGATCACTTTGCTACAAAACGTCCTCATCCCGTATATAAAAAAAAAACTATGTCCTGCATTATAAAGTTGCAAAAAAGCCAGAAATATAATCGGCATGCAAACCGCACAACCCAATTAGAAATCATTCTTTCATAGGCGCCTGAAACACCATACCATACTAAGCTTTGAACTTGTCGAGTTGAGCGCCAGCAACAGAAGAATGAAACCAAACTTTTTCCAAGTTTTGATTAATAAAGCGCACATGCCAGCACAACCGCACCCTGCAAAACATCTTCAAAAACCTCCGCTGACACTCCTCGGAGCATAAATGCAAAAAGCCAATACGCGACAGATGGTGATACAAAACATCACAGACATTGCGCAGGTGTACTACGCTTTCTATAACACACATGAAGTGAGATTCCAGGCTCTGAATGTAAGGGAAAGCAGCCTCCGAAGGCACAGTTAATTGCCGAACATCTTTCCTGGATAATGAAAGGCTTTAAGCATTTTAAAATACTGGTGGGGCCAGTTCAAGTTGTCAGACCCTTCCCTCAGTGACCCAGAACAGAGACAACCCTGTGAACTTTTTTCCAGGAAAAGCTTGATTAGAAATCCTGCAACATAGTAGGTGGCAGAGTCGTCTATTATGTTAGAGTCTTTACTTGATAGAAGTTCAGAAATATCGTCCAATGGAGGGAAGTCGTCCACGGGGGCACATTCCACGGCATCAGCGATTGAGGTTATCTCTAGTGAAAATGGGGGCACCTCCTGAAGGAGGTTAGTGTTGTCATCTTCAACATTTCCCTTTTCCGAGAGTTTTAGGAGCTTCCTAATCCCAATGTGCTTCAGTCCACAAGTAAACTGATACACATTAGGATTGGTGTTGTAGCCGTGTTGTTGCCTCATCTGCAGAAACTATTTTTGAGGGCATCTTGCTGCAGTCGCCGTGTGAAAAGAAAGCTGAAGTTATATTTCTCAGAAATGTTCTCCCAGAGCATGAGGACGGCCCTGATAGTAACCTGCCACCCAGTGACTGTTTGTGGCTGCCATCTACCCCCAAACTTCCAGGCTGTTACCCATGGAAGTTGGTTGCAAAGGAAATCAACGATTTCAGTGTCGCCGTTTCTAATCGCATAGCGTAACTTTTGTTCAGATTTTTTTGGTCTCGAGCTGTTAAAACAGTCAAAAAGTTTGTCCATGCGGTCACAAAAGTATGCCGTGGACATGGCCGCCTCAGGGACCTGTCTGGCATAAACAAGAGCTAAAAGTGCAACGCATACTGATGAACTGAGTCGCACGTTTCACCTTCATGTTACTGAAAGGTGTCTGGTGAATATGCCAGTCTGTTAGTTTCGGGGCTAATCGTAGTCGCATCTCGTGCGTGGAGTGGTAAAGTTGCACAATGTAGTTCCAATCTACAGTTTCACTCCCGATGTGAAGCTTATGGGCTTGCAGGTTGTTACGGGTGGTCTTTATCAGGTTCGGGACATCAAAAATAAAATAGACACTTTCATTTCTTACTTTGAAGAATGGCTGCTCAACAGACACTCCAAGTTGATGCGCCAAACTTACGTTGGAGGCACCCTGGTCACAGACCACTGCTTTGATACTAATGCCAATGTCCTTCAGCTGCTCGATCAATGACATAAGCAGGTTACGAGTTACAGAGGATGGTGTTGACGTATGTCCAATAGTA